CGTTACCGGAGAAGAAGTTACGCTCAACGCAGAAACTATGGGAATGTTTTTGTTCCCCGAAACTACAGAGAATCGACAAGTATAGCTCAAGAAATTATAGACATCGGCGCGGGTTAGAGTCTGCATGGACAGTGGGTTGGGTTAAATGTGAGAGGAACTCTTCCAAGAGGTCGTCCAGGAGGGCGTGTCCTATTTCGTCGTCAATCTCCTTCGCGAAGGGATGGCAGGCATCTGTTTCTACCAAATCTCTCGCTGCCATGGCGCCCACTAACTGCCATCTCCTTGTAAAGACGCAACTCCAAGTGATTCTCCCAGCTCTGTAAGAGCCCAAGCTCTCTTGGCCATGGTGAACCCTAGGGTCCCTTCTGTGGAGCGTCTCCTCGCCTGCCTCCTCCAAGGAGGGAGCCGATGAGGCTTGCTCTGACCCTTCAAGCAGATCCTCTGCTGAAGAGGCCGACGGCCGGAGCTCCTCGGAGCTCTCCAAATCCTGCTCTGCCAGATAAATGGCCAACGTTGATGGCTTCTCTTCCTTGTTTCCTCCTGGGAGATCGACCATTTTCAAGAAATCATTATCGAATGACGGAAGAAAGAACCTGTTAGGATGTGAGGGATCGACATCGGTTTCTATATATTTTTACTCATCATCAGTGATTTAATATTACATATAAAAACGTTTTGGAAGGAATTGGCGTTAACCTGATGAATATTAGTAAGAAATTAAAGATGAACATACCACAGTCATTACGTTCTGGAGAGGCATCGTCAGAGTGTAGCTCCAGCACCGAGACGGGACTGAGCTGCTGCTCCTCCTCTGGGCCCTCCCATCCACTGTTTCTCTCTCCGTCTGCATGAACCTGCTGCAATCCCTCAGAAGCTACTTTCCTTCGGCCTGAGCAAGATTCCCCGGTATAGTAGAGACAGAAATTTCCTACTTCTATTTCACCATCTCCTCCTACGCTCTCCGAAGCTCCTCCCTCCCATTCGGAAGCCTCCGGCGGCCTCCTGTGATGAAGAACGCTGAACAAAGATCCGAGGAGCCCCTCCCTTCGCCGGGCAAAGCGGTGCCCCCCCAGGCTCCGCAGCCACCTCCACGCGCCGCCGGGCCAGCACGTCCTCGTGGGCTCCGAGAAGACGATCCTCCTCGAACAGCCGTTCTTGAGAACGTAGAGCTCCAGCATGAAGGGCTCCTGCTGCTCCTGCAGCAGCTCAGCGAGCCGTTTCCCGGGCGACGACGGCCCGGGAAGGGAGCTCATGGAGACTCCGGAGAGAGAGGGCTCCGAATCCGGCGAGAGGTGGGCGAAGTTTTTGGAAGGTGGAAGAAAATAAGATGAGACACGGGCGTTTCCGGGCCCGATTCCTGATAAAATGGCCTCCATTCTGGCTACAGTAATCGGATTGCATCAGGTCGGCCCCTCTTTGTCGTTATGGAAACTGTGCATTGGTGCCTATACACCATGTGGTGGGGTAGTCAACGGGCCGGGACGAGTATTACTTGCCGAGCCCCGCCGGGGTGTGAGGAATAGCCTGGAGCTGAGTATAAAGCTGGACCCATTGAAGCCCAGGTCCAGCCTCAAGAAACAAAAATGGTGCTGTTGAGCTCACCCAATCACTATTGGGAGAGGCAGCTCGAGGGATGTTGACCTACTAACTTTGACATTTCACCGACCAAAATTATCAGCTGGACTGATAATGGCCGCGGACAACCTTGACGGGACTAAAGGCTAAAAGACCCCACATTGGATTGTGAAAATTAATACAAAGCTTAGTAGAAATTATTCTCCCATAATGTATGATTCAACAAAAATATGTTTTTAGTGTCAAATCCAATAAAATAAATAAATCAAATTCACTAAATGGGGAGTGACGAGTCAACATGCACAATGACGACACAATCCCTTGAGTCGTAGAATTTCCAAAAGAATGCAGAAGCGCTTTAGTTACTTTGACCACACTGCCATTTCACATCCCATATCCAATAAATATAGTCAAAAATCTCTTAAAAATCTAACTTCTAGAAAAATTGACGCACTTTAGGAACAAACTTGTAAGGATCGAAAATAAGATTTCAGAGACTAACTCCTAACAAATAGAGAAATCTCATGCGTCGATTTTCTCTCTCAACTCAATCGTTCTCTTTAAGAGTGGTACCAAGGAGGAGATGACACTCAAAGGAGAGGTCACCAGGGTGTCACTTGCCACTCCATACTTCACCACCTTTTAAAAAAACGTTGCTGTAATTTTTCATTTATTCATTGCATAATTTCATGTCAAATGCTTTAAGTGGTACCATAATCAAGAGGTGTTCCTTATTTTCTTCTTTAATGTATCAAACATGTTCTAGAATAGATACTAAATCGTGAAAATGCTGTAATAAATGTGTTTTTTTTGTGGCTGTTATTTTTCTATATTTTGATTGGCTGAAGGAGTCAATAATGTGACATGGTCTTATTAGCCCATTTTGAATGTGGTAAAGTTGTATGTTTGCATTGGAAGGGACGAATTTTATTGAATCTGAAGGTAGCAATTGCATGCTTATTTGAACCATCTATATGAGATGATAGCTCAATATTTCCAATCTATATAATAGTAAAATGTTATGTGGGGATTTATATGTGAACATGTGGAAGTTTAGTTGTCTAGTATCATCGACATTAAGTCTACTTGCACAAAGAATACATGGGGGGTGGTGGAGGGGACGACAAAAGAGAAGGAGAGGTGTCATTTGGTCGTGATTTAATCTGATATCCACTATGTGGACTGAACCCACATGATTGTGATCGCTTTATAAGACCTACGCTCAACATGAACATTAAGAAAAGTCTAGAGAGAGAGAGAGAGAGAGAGTGGAAGCGGGGACAACTACCATGATTATGGGACATCCATGTGATAAGAATAATTACCTATAGAGTTTTCAAGCACAAACATCAATCAAAGTCCTCACAGGGGGCCCAATGTGTTCTTCCTTTCATGACTTCGGTTTTGGGCTGGGTTGTAAAAGAGTAAGGTAGATAGGAACGTATTAGATGGTGGGTTATTTTCGGCAGTTTAGAGTCCCAATTCTTCTGACCCTTTAGGGAAATGTCTTATTCTCCATGTCCTGTCAAAGATCTTCTCAAGGGGAGATCCAGCCTCCAAGGTGTTTGGTCATTCACTTTTCTGTTCCTTTTCCCCCAAATGATTCCATAGATGCATAAAGTAGAGGTGGATTGGTTGAGTAAGCATGAAGCTAGAGTAACTTAATTTCCCTCATTGTGGTCTTCAGAACACACATAAAAAGTTAGATACAACATTCCTTGCCGTAAGACTATAATACCTCAATCACCCACATGGTATCCAATCCTATCTAGGGTTCCATATGGTTCAAGAATAGAGGTTATCATGTGAATTTTCTCAAGACTCGAGAGTCCTATGAAGGCTGTTCAACTTTGAGAAGGAGAACTACTTAGATATCAATTACTAGGATATTTAAACCAAATTCAATCAAGTATGCATTCGTGGACCTTACCCAAGAAATGTCTCATCATCACCCCATCTTGTATACATGGATGAGTTGAGTGGCCATACTTCGAGAAATCGAATCAGTTAATGTTGCATTGGTAATTTTATAAAACAAATTGTCACCAACTACCCAGATACACAAATCCGACCATTCAAAAGATGCAAACAATCAAATCAAATGTTATGAAATATTTATGTCAAATCATCCAAGAAGACATCCATGGGATGATCTTGAAACATATTTTAAAACCAAATTGATGTAGCCATAGCTTTTTAAAAAGTAAAGTGCACATTATCCATTTCTAGTAAATATGAAAACTTATCACGAATTAAAATCAGTTCTTGAAAAAGAAGTTCTTTTGCTCTCTTTTGCTTCGTGGAGTGTGCAGAGGTGACATCTTGAGGCTATTACTGGCCATTGCTCCTATTCATGCTGATCCTAAGTTAAAAGCCCCTTACATTGATGTGATCCACCATTCAACCTTTCGCTGATTACATAGTTAATCCTTGAAAGATCATCATGTAACTCTGCCGCCATCTGCACAACTTCACGTGTACAACCACTGACAAATATTGTTACCGGGCCAGGAACTGAAGGCATGCACATGCCCCTCAGTCCCATGCACATATGGGTAGTCAATCCATCAGCTTACACTGCTTTAGGCTTCTTGATCTTGGTTGTGTGAGACTCACAGGTCTGAGTTGACTCTTATTGATAGCATATCCTTGGTTCATTAGTTATTAAATAGATGTGCAATGAAAAAAATTACATTAACTGATAAGTGATAGTGAAAAATTAATTCGTTTTTTTTTGTTACTGAGAAGTGATCAATCCTAGTGCAACAAGTGTCATTGTTCATTCAAGAAATAGGCCCATATTGTTATTTCAAATTTACTTTGAATTGTATATTTTGATAACTAAATGTGAGTGTATGATTAAATCGTATATAATTAGGTAAGCTTGATGATGATCAAGTGCAATTTCCTGCATGATAAACTTGTTCACGAATATTCCTCAATTTTTAATATTATGCTATCACTATTAATTTCGCTAAGTTGTGCTTATGGTTCAGCCCAACCGACCCGATTACAGCCTACCTGGATAGATTCGGGTCGGATTATACCCGTTCAGACCGAACGATTCGGTGAGGGTTGGCTGGACTTGTGCTTAAAGGCCGCTACCGGTTGCTAAGTACTTACTGGGTTAGGCCACCACCGGCCCACGTTCATCAACAACACCTACTACCAGTGGTCGAGGCGTCTAGGTCCGGGCAGAGCGATTTCTTAACGAGTGGGCGTTCCTGTGGGCTCCACTCGCCGACTTTTCATGGGGGGTCGGCATTTCTCCAAGAATGTTCTAGATTGTCTCTCGTATTGTCCTAAAGCCGAAATACGATGTGATTAATATAATATACAAAAAGTTGTATTTTTTTACTGAAGCTGGCCCATGCTGAAGTTGATTGTCCCATTTCCAGGTCTCAAGTTCGGGCCTCCATGTATTCTTAACTCAAAGGCCCGAAGCCCACTAGCGACGGACGAACTCTCTCTCTCTCTCTCTCTCTCTCTCTCTCTCTCTCTCTCTCTCGCTCTCGTGTAGGCATGGACATGCGTGCTAGGGTGATAGAAAGCACGTACATAAGATTATACCATCGAATATAGTTGAAAAATAATATATATGAAGCCATAAATACAAGAGCTGTCTACTTCTCACCAGAGGGACATCACCTCCTCACACTTTCTTTTAGCAGTAATAATCTACAAATGGAGGCGGCGCGGCGGCGGCGGCGACGACAAAGAAGATGACGGCCGGTGCAGCAGAGGGAAGGATTGAGGGCACCGCCGTCTCCACCTCGTCCATCGCCACCGACTTAGTTGTACGCGAGGAGAGCCTGCTCAACCTCCATCGGGAACCCACCGGAGTGGGCAGGGACGGTGGAGAGGAGCTGCGGCAGCGCCACCGTTTGCAGGTGCCGGAAGATGAGGACTCGCCGGAGATTCGACAGCCTTCGCCGGAGAGCGGCGGCCTCGGAGAGGAGGCGCTCATTGTCGCGACGGAAGAGGCGGCTGTGCCCGGTGACGGCCCCCACCCGACGCGACAGCTCCATATTCCTGGATTTGAGCCACTCTACCTGGTTCGCGAGCTCCTCCAGGTGCCGCTGCTTCCGCAGTCGGGACCGGCGAGCGGACTCTCGGTTCGACACCATGCGGCGGAGCCGCCGCTCCTCCGCCGGCGAGGGCAGCCGGTCCCTACCCAGCTTGCCGGAGCTGGATCTCCTCTCTCTCTCGGCCTGCTGCGTTTGGGCTCCGGCGGAGATTTCCGGCGGCGCGAACCTGAAGCCATCGCCGTCGCCGTCTTTCACGGCCGGAAGCTGCCCCGCGAGGAAGTTCTCCGGCGACTGCATGGCTGCGCCCGCGATGGTCGGGAGTGAGGGCGGAGGAGGGAGTTGGTAAGGGAGTGAAGCCGTCGGAGGGCGTACATATTTAAGGAAAGGGTGGGAAGGGGAGAACACCAGGTCCCGCAGGGGGAGGAACGGCACACGTGGCGTCCCGAGCGTTGCGGACTTAGATCACGTCCATGTGGACTGCTGCGTCAGCTTGCACTCACCCAAAAAATTCTCCTTGTGGCAAGTTTTTTTGTTCTCCTGGTCACCTTTTCCCTCCGGCGTCATGTGAGGAGGGGGCCCGCAGGTCAGTCTTACCTTGTCCAGCAAGGAAGAGCGGGGGCGGGGCGGGGAGTGTACTCAGGCGCGTTGACTGGAACTCGTCATCTCATCGGGTCAAATCTCTAGGGAGGGAACAGCGGTAGAAGGATGACCGAACAGCTCATCGACCGCTGGTCACCTTCGCCTCGGAACGGCGTCTACGGGTGCTGGTGTCTGTCAGAGATGCTGTAAATGAAGAAAGAATAGGTAGAGATTCAGATCCCGATCGAAAACGATCGGATCTGGTCGGTTCCGGTGGGATGCACGAGGGAGACAAGGAAGATTCAGGGTGCAGGAGCGACGTAGAATTTTTTTTCTGGGCTCCTTCCCTGTCTACGGATCTCTTTCTTTCTATGGACCTCTTTCTCTCCCCCTCCTGCTGGTGCAGTTTCAGAGAACCAGGAGGTTGAGAAAGAGAGAGAGAGAGAGGACGGGAATCCAGCTTTCCCTTAGTGCCTTTGCCTTCAGACTCTTAAGTGTTTGTCGGCCACATGGGGGAGATCCATTTCCGGTTGCCCCCTCACATCTACTTCGTTGCTGTTTGAAAATGTTCTCCTTCGAGCTCCATTGGCTCTGTAGTTCGGAATTGAGCTCTCTCTCTCTCTCTCTCTCTCTCTCTCCTCCGCCTCAGAGATAGACCGTTAGATGCCTCACCTTCGCCGCTGAGCTACCGGAGCTCCGTTATAAGAGCAAAGAACAAGGTGAAAGGGCCTCAGTATCCTATCATCGGAGAGGCACTTCGCAGTATTCCACCCACAAGCACGGGAAAGGAGCACACTCCCCTCTCTCTCTCTCTCTCTCCATGCATTTATTTATATTAGTAATAAAGGTGCCCACCGGCAAGCCTCCGGAGTTTGGGTGGGAGGAGGGGGGACGAGGTGAGCTTTCTGTAGACGATAGCGTGCATGGATACGCAGATCCATCCCCCTTGTTGCTCTCCATTCACGTGGCTGCATCTGCGCGTGTTCTACGAGCTCGGCGTCTAAAGAAGGAAAAGCTACCGTCGGCTTTCGTTGGGTGGCCCAAGGGGCCCCATCTGCTTCTCCAGCGAAAGCCTCTTTCCTCGGAGTTAGACCGTCGCACGTGTGTAAGCGGAGGCACACGAACTGTCGGCTCGCGTACGGCCGATGCCGAGGGGATCCAGCCTCAAATCCCCCCTCCAGTGTGTTTCTTCTTATGTCCATGAGACGTTGCACGCCTCAGCACCCGTGTGGTTTTTTCATGCATGGTTATGCCTACGTTACTGCATACTCTCTCTCTCTCTCTCTCGCTCCCTCGCTGTGCCTGATCTTCATGGGGCCATACCCAGAATCCACTTTGTGGGCTTTTTTCTCAGAGTCATGCAGGGTCCAAGCCCAGTAAAAGACGCCTCAACTTTGGGTGTGTGCGGTCCATAGAGAGAGAGAGAGAGAGGAGACACGTGGGTGACGGTCAGATGGCCACATGGGTCTAGGAAAGAAATGTACCGGGGGAGAACCACACGAAAGGTCCGCCCGAACATAGTCAAGGACGGACCTCGACTTCTTTTTTTATTTATTTGATCATTTATTGAATTGTTTTTAGGGCTCACGCTCGAAAAAAAGAGGGGAAAGCTGGTTGGACCAGTCAGACTCACAGGCTGGTGGAGCCCACAGGGCACCCTCCCCCGCCCCCCACCACCACCTGAAATGCGCTGACTAAAATAATACTTGACCGTGGTCCATATTTTCAGGACCATGTTGTGTAGTTTGGCGATGATGGACGTCAGAAAGATAACTAATATGATCCCGGCAGCTCAGCAGTCAAGATTAATAGGTTTATTGGGCCTTCATGGGCCTATTGAATCCTGTATTAGGTTTAATTTGCCTATCTTTTAACCTACGTCGCCACGCCGCACGGTCTGGGCCCAGTACAATCGGAAAACATCGTCACGCCCCGCCCCCCCCATAATGGGCCTTAATGGACCCCTCATGTGGCATCGGATTCATTCATTCACAGATACTGCACAAGATAACTCTCTCTCTCTCTCTCCCTCCCTCTCTCTTTCGCTCTCTTGCTCTCTCTCGCGTTTATCCTCGGCTATCAATCTCCGTGTCCGGTTGGAGCCAGTCCTAGTCTTCCCCTTCCCGTAGGTCAGCAGCTGAAGACAATCATCGGCTGGAACTGCACTGGATTTTCATTGCCCGACCAGCCTCCGTGCTGGTTCCTCTCACCTCTCCCTCTGCCACCTGTTTCCGGCGGCGGTGATGATTCTGTTGCCGCCGACCAAGAAGAAGCGGCGGCGGTGGTGATGATTCTCTCTCTCTCTCTCTCTCTCTCTCTCTCTCTCGTATCGTCCGCTATCAATCCCTGTTGCAAGAAGAAGCTGCAATAAATTTTAATCTGCCGACATAGCCATTGGCCGTCAGTTCCCCCGCGGCGGCGTTCACACTCTGGAGCCGGATCACGAAGGTAAGGGGCAAAACCCTCCCTCAGAGGGTGGCCTCTCTCTCTCGCTGGTGGACGAAAACCATGCAGAGTAGAACCAGGTTCGCCGTCGTCCAGGGTGCGGCTGCTAAGGCGGCGCGATATCACGTGGTCAAACTGACCTCCCCGACAAAACAGCCGCCCATTGCCGACGGGTGGACTACAGCGCAGCGTTTAGTCAATAGATACGGAGAGTTTATCTTCTCGTGCTTTGCCCGGTCGTGCAGATCTCCACCGTTGTCCCGTGCTCAGCAGACTTAGACTAAAATACACATATTCAGAGAGAGATTGTTCGCGTATGTCGTTGGATAAGATGATGGATCGTGGGTCAGTAGGGCAACAACCGGTGATCATCCGATCACAAAGTCAGAGGGCAATCCAGACGGGGAAATATTCTCGTCGACTGTTAGATGCTTGCTGAAGGATGCGGCTTGGTCAATATTTACGGGTTCCCTCCAGACTAGAGCTTACGCAGGTTAACGCATGTGAACACAGCCTCCTCGTCTTTTCCATCTTTTTGACGGCCTGAGCTGGAGATGAGTGAGAGAGAGAGAGAGAGAGAGAGAGAGAGAGAGAGCTCTTTAACAGGAATCGAATCATTTTGACCTTTGCTTTGGAAGCCCATCTTCGCTGATCTATAAAATTCCACCAGTCAGCGTTACATCTGGTCAGGTTGGGGATGACTGTTGTAAGCTTCTCTTGGACGAGGTGCTGTAGTGCTGTCACACGGAGGTCGCAAACTGTTGAGAAAATGAGAGAGAGAAGGTGCTCTTTCTCTCGCTCTCTCTGAATCGTTTCGTCCTTATTATATCGCGTTCTCCGCCGTCCGTGCCGTGTTGTCCCCCATTATTTATACGGAGACTCCAAGTTCCCAAGACTCGGCCCCTATCACGCGCTTCGGAAAGATCAACCCCACGCTCCCTCCGTCTTCCACCTTCGGAGAGATCTTCATCCTCCTCGAGCCCCTCCCAGTTCTTCCTCTACTCTCTCTCTCTCTCTCTCTCTCTCGGCATACGTACAAATAAAGACATACCTCATCCCTCCGGACATCTCCTAATCTCCCTGAGCCGAAGGATGTCGAAGAGCATCAGCATCACTGTGATCGTGCTGGCCCTCCTGCTCTTCATGACGGAGGCCGCCCGGCCGGAGCCTGCAGACTCCAGAGCAGCCCACCAGCCGCTGGTTCGTTCTCCCTCTCTCATCTCTCACCAACCCGGGCCTTCTGTCGAATCCACGGGTTAGCAAAGGATTCTCAGGCCTCTGATCTTCGCCGCCACGGCAATTACTTGATTTTCTGTAGGTCGCCGCAGAGGAGCAGTCGGATGCCGAGGTTGAGGACTGCGGTGATGAATGCTTGATGAGGAGGACCCTTGCAGCTCACCTCGACTACATCTACACCCAAGGGAAGAAGCACTGAGACGGCAGCAGCTTCACATGTTCTTCCCTCTTTCTGGCTCTTGGATCGATTAGGGTCCGTTTTGTAGACATCTCGACCTGTTCGACACCGATTTCATCCCAGATTTTTATACAAATTGAATACTTCCGAGTGCGTTCCATCCACCGCCGATCCTCTCCGTCCCTCGGGGAATCTGGGTTTTCAGCCCGTCGGAGGCATCGATCCTCATCTGCCGCTTTTGGGGAAGAAACCTTCAAAAAGATTCTGTCGATGAACCGGAAACCATACCAGGAAGAGTAGCAGGATGCTGATAAAAACGAAGTCGAAGTAGATTGAAGCGTTAATTTCTTTCTCCTAGAGAGGAAACCACACCTCGTTCTAGCCGAATTCATTGGTGGCTACGTTCGGCGAGTAGATCTCTGATTTCTTCGACCCACTGGGAATCTGATCCAAACTCGTACACCGAAACCCATCAAAACCTTTCACCATCTCAAATGGACCACGCGTTGGACGCGCTTCTGTCATCAAACGAGCTGCATGTCCACTTGCGCCGTTACCATCCCAAATCAGAACAAATGCCCCTGATTCCGATTAGGAGACTTTGCCCAAATGCCATAGAGGGCAATACATCTATACCTATTTATTTGTTTATTTGTTTGTCTGTTTGCGAAGAAATTTCTGGATCTCTCTCGATCCCTGCGCGAATAATCAACGAATATATCTTATTTATCTCCACTCAGTCCACGCACAGACCACCTAACTAACATCATTAAAAGGTAATGAACGTCATCTGTTGGTGGATGACACCACAAAAGGTTGACCCGCAATTTCAAAAGCATGGAATGCAGAGAGAGAGAGGATTGGGTTGACCCATTTTAATCAAAGCTAGATGCCTTGAAAATAAGGTTACAGAGTCAATAATAAGGTTCAGTATCGTATTAATTTCCATGGTCAAATAATTGGTGATCGATTGGCAACTGGTAGCGCTAGCTATTCTGAATCTTCGGCTCAGTTCAAACCGCGGATAATTATTTCCACGAGCATCCTGTCGAGGACCTCGGTCGAGCTCCAGTTGTCCGAGGGATCGCCGTCAGCCGTCCCCCGCCGCCCGCGGAGTTGACCCTCCGAAATGAGAGAGACGACTGAAGGCTATCAGGGTCAATGCACCGAATTAACATTAAAGGTCACTGTATCGAAAACAACTTGAACCTGGTTGACTTTGTCCCGATGGGTTGGTCGGGTCCACGTCTGCCCTAATCCTGTGCGATGACGCGTGACGGTCTGTGGGTCCCGCTTATTGTGGGAGGAATCCCCATTGTCAGCGCCACGCGTCGGATCTTCTCTCTCGAAGACGGAGGTCATACTGACCATCGCCTACGTCAGCATTACAGCTTCCCCTTCTCTTTTTCCGGGAGTTCTGGATTCGCGTACAAACGAGAGGAGTGGAACTCGGAGTACCGGAGGTGGATTAGGCTCCCGGCGATCGGATCCGATCACGGTCCAGGCAGATCGTGCAGGATCGGACACAGGAACGTACAGATGAGCCTCAGGCGGTGGTTAGTGGGCCGGGAACCGAAGTCCCGCCAGGCCCACCGCACCAACCACCGCCGCCCTCCACATACTCAACGATTATTAAACGTTTCAACACCATGTGAATGAGCTGGGAAGAATGTCAACGGATCGGGGGTAGGAGGAGGATACTTGGATTTTGACGTTTTAGACCCGGTTCGGGGGCCGATAAATGGGCCCAATAGGCGGGATATTTTTTCACGGTCCTCCGAGCTTATGGGATGAGCGACGCCTAGCTAGGGGCTATGCATTGTGGGCCGGAGAAGGGTTACCCATTGTCAGTGGCCATATGGAGCATTTATTGCCAGAGGGCCCATTTTCTCTTAAATATGGAACTGAAACACCATTAATTAGGGTCCGTCTCTGTGAGCGTGTTTTAATGAAGGGTAAAAATAGAAAATGATACGATACTTTACGGGGTTCACAAGCGTTGAACAACGGAAGATAGAAATGGTATCTATGAGCCCCTTCAAGGAGATGAAGCTACTAAAGCGTTGACTTTTGACAGAAAGCCGATCTCTCTGGTTGGTAACTGCAAAGTTCCAAGCATGACAACAAAAACCAGAAGACAATGAACGGGGTGAAGATAAAGCAAATATGTTCATTACGTCTGCAGCAACTGACCGGTGAAAATTCTTGCATGATTAGATGATTCTTGCACCAGAATTATAGCTCCTGAATATTGAAAAATAATCTGATCACACGAGGATCTCAAGGTTCAGGAGGACTCTGTTATGCGCAAACATTTCTCATATTGCATTCTATTCAAAATAATCGTGATCAGTAGGATGATCAAGCAATGCACATCATCATTTGAGGCTACAAAATGGTCCACGAGTTCCAGTTTGACAAAAAATGGAAATATCGAACATGTTATTTCTATCAACCCACAGATCGAACAAGCCCCGGCTTAAAGGAACTTTGAATGAGGATCATGGAAAGAAAGCCTATTCAGCTGGAACTAATCGAGAGGCTATGCAGGAACCAGGACCCTCGTTTCGGAGAACAAGTGCAAGCACAGGGCGAGGCACACTGTGACGGAGAGCATGGACTTGGTGGTGACGTACCTCATCACTTCCGCGCCTCTCTCAGCAATCTCCCCCCGGACGACCTTCACACCCCTCTGTGCACTGTAGGACAGACTGCGGGGTAACATGTCGAGGAAAGATTTCACCGTTTCAGATGTCACCCTCCCTGTCAAATCGAGAACGAAGCTCCGATTGCTCGGGACGGCCAGCGTCGACGACACCACGTCTATCCATCCGGCACCAATGGTCTCCTTAACGCCGGCGTCGAGCAATCTCGTACTGTTGCGCTTCGTCGACAGAGCCTCTTCTGCATCGGCTTCTTCGTCTCTGTCCGTCGATGAACTCGAACCCGGGCTCGCGCTGGTGAGCACATGGTGGGAGGTCTTGACGAGGGTCTCCACGGCGCCATTACAGACCGAGACCAGCACCTCTTTCATCTTGGCATCGTGCTTCGGATTGGTGAGACCAGAGAACATATCGTCAAACGTGTTGAGGTCCATAGTCTTGTCCAGGTACACCGCGACGGCCGTACCTACGAAGGCCTGGATGCAGTCTCCAATCAGCAGCCGGAACTTGTCGTCGCAGATCAGACTAACCCACTGAGGCACAGAGGAGGCATCTGCGGCGCCGCCGCCGCCGTCGGAAGCCGCTCCGGTCGACATCTCAGCCTGCGCGGAGTAGAGGGCCATCACCAGGTTTCTGGCGAAGCTCCCGACCACCACCGAGGCGAAACCGGAGCCGGCGGTGGAGAAGAGCTTGTCCAGAAGCCTCTCAGCAACGCTCGATTCGGTCTGCGATCCGGGTTTGCTTCCCGAGCCGGACTCGGAGGCGACGACCCCCCGCAGCACACCGAAGGTCACCGCCTCGGAGATCCTCGACACGGAGCCGGCGAACTCATCGGAGACGGCGATCTTGGAGAGCTGCGTCAGGCTGGGGGGGATCTTGTCCGAGTCGCTGCGGAGGAACAGGTTCACGTCCTCCGAGACCAGCCCGAACGTCTCCGCCGACGCGGAGAAGGCCTCCGCCAAGGAAACCATGGCCCTGAGAAGCTTCGCCAGCCTCCGCCTCTTCTCAGCCACCGCAGGGAGGTGGTAGACCCTGTAGGCGCCGTACCCAGCAGCCCCAGCGGCGGCGAGGAGGAGGAGCCATCTTCGACGCCTCCGCGAAAAATCCAGCGCCGCCCTCGCCATAGGGAGCTCCATCGAAGAAGAAGAAGAAGAGCAATAACAACAACAAGGTTAGATACCTCGCTTCGTCCTGGCAATGGCGATCGAACCCACCACCCCGAAACCCTAGAAAGGGCGCTGGATCTACTCCGAGTGGCGGAGGAATTGGCGAATTGACGACCTATTCGTCTCGCGCGAGAAGACTATCCGCCACCAGCGTATAAATACGCCTTCGTTCACCCCGATATTTCCCCTCCGGCGCCCGGAAAAATTGGTTAAACTCGTGGCCCTGCCATGCCCCGGCGATGACGACATAGGAAGCCCGCAGGCAGACAAGGGGAGAGGGGACGACTGGGAGGTCGGCTCGGAGAGGAAACGAGGATAACGAAGACTGTTAGGGGTATTTCAGATATTCTAAGAAAACTATGGTGACGCTAATCGGAGTGAGACTAAGCGATCCATCACCGCACAAACGGCAGCCATATCCCGATTACCCACGGCCGCCTCTCTTTGAACGGGGCCGACGACTAGTTTTTTTTAGTCAACGACAGTTCCTGGTCGTAATTCGGTAGCCTTAAAAGACTGCCGCCGCTTCTGAGACTTCGCCTTCGTCAAAACCATGGGTGGTCTCCTCGGCTATGATTCAATTCGGCCTGGCCCATTTTGATAACTCCTCCCGGCCCAAATCGGCCCGCCTTTGAGTCACCACGTGTGTTCCTCGTGGGTTTTTTCTACACTGATTAATTAATTAAGAGTGGAGGTTGTTCTGGCAAAATCTCCACATGTTTGAAAGCGGTACATAGACAAATATGGATCTATGGATGTTATTATGAAGAAATGATTCTTTTATGAGGACAAATTATTAAAATATCAAGTGAGGAGTTTTAATAAATAGTATGTTTTCGCGAAATTTCATTTCCTTGCATCTCTAAAAGAGGTCACCGGGCCGGGCCTGGGCCATGCATATTGAGGTGGACCGGTCCCCGGGAAAACCGGGCCGGACCTTCTCCGAGCCCGATATCAGCCCGAAAATTTAGTACGATCCAACTGTGAAGCCCGACGTTAGGAGAAACTGGGCTTCTCCAGGCCGGGTCGTTAAAGGTAGTCGATTCCCGCACATTCCGGCGAAACAAACGTGGGAATTCCCTGCCAAGGGTTTATCGCTTTACCTCGCTCAAGTAGCAGCAGTAAGTAGTCAATCCCCAACGGTCCCGGTGACAGAGCTTCAGTGTCTGTTGGCTCCGGTGGCCGGGAGGAGAAGATGCTGGCCCTGGGGCTCCGATCGCCCATCTCCATCTCCACGATCCGTTCATGTCGAACTGTGCCTCCGGCGGCCGTACGGGCCTTCTCGTCTTCGTCGGTGTCCGGCGATCGATCGCGTGGCGGCCTCCCCCGCTTCTATTCCCAAATACTTCCCTCTTCCAAGGTCAGCGACTCTCTCTTCCCGTTCGTTGGTTGGAGCTTGGAACTTGTTTCTCCTCTTCGTCTCGTGGTGTAGCCGCGAGGAGCATTCTATTGGAGGGAATAAATTCGTGGACAAATTACTGCTGCAGGGTGAGACGGTTCGTGTTCAGGGGGATGAGTTCTGGCACATGGCGAAGGTCTTGCGTCTGCGTGTCAACGACAGGTGTGCTTCTCTCTCACATAATCTCTGATAATGATGCCTGTTCTGAGAGCTGGCGATGAACGTTATCCTTATCGCGCCTCTTCTTTTCTCGGCCAGTTGCATGCCAGTTCATTGGGGTGGGACCTAACGCTAGGTGTTGTTCAGTCTCTCCCGAATCCGGTGTTTGAGTTCCAGATGAATGCAAATAATCTATAACGCATGAGTTTTATCTGAATTGGGCGCAGGTTTCCAATCCTGTAGAAATAATTTGCATCATGTGCACCAATGTATGCTTAAACAATAACCTAGATCGTTTCCCGTCATGGATTGTAAGGGTAGAACTCTTCAATGGGAGGGGAGTCGTGATCGAAGGATATATAGACGGCATTGACCGAACTGGGATTGACTTCCTGGCGTCTGATGAACCAAAAGTGGTCACTCCTAAAAGCGCTCAGTGGGATGTTTTTGCAGCTTTCGGTGAGTTTTCTGTGATCACCCGTTCTGCCATAACCTCTTTAGTATTTTGTGTAGTGTTCACAATTATTTGCGCACTGCAGGCAGCTTGAAAGGTGGCCGAGGAGATTGGCTAGTTGAGAAGTGTACTGTATGCTTTCTCCCTCGTTTGGCAAGCCCAATAGGGTTTTGTTTCTCTGTACGCCTTGATTGTGTAACTCTGTTTGTTCCCAGGAGCTTGGAGCGAGGAGCATAACACCATTGCTGGCCGAAAGGTCTTCTTCAATTACAGAGAATCGAGTAGACCGGTTGCAGCGAGTTGTATTAGCTGCTATCAAGCAATGTGGGTGCATGAATCTACTTCCTCTCGACTCTCTGGAAAATCTGCTGTTCTTCCACATGGGCGATATATGGATCCATCAACTGTTCCTCTGAGGTTTCATTTGGCTTACTAGATTATTCTCTATGTTTATGTAGGTCAACGACTGGATGAAATGAAGCTGAATCCTCCTTTGAAGTTTCAGGACTTTTTGCCAGTTGTGAGTCGATTCTTTTTTCGAGTTGCAATGAAATAATTAAATGCTGCCTGAGATTCTCACGATGACTTTCAAGGAAAGCAAAATGACCATAAAATCGCTTTTGCTGATACCATACACAACTAGAATTATAGAATCACTGAAACAGTTGTGATCGTGTATCATCTGTAAAGAGATGATCTATCTTGTGTCACTGAGCTTTTAACTGATTTTTACCTGGAACCCATGCTATTGTTTGATCTGTTCATTAAAATCCCATGAATACACGTACCTAGGATGTGCTCAGGTCCCGACCAAAGTGTTTTTCCTAGGGATCTCATGAAAGAAAATGATAGAGAATGCCCACCGGGGAGCGAATTACTTCGTATCCCTCTGGCTTGAATCATAAGTGAGTGGCTTATAGTCTTAATATTTTTCTAGAACAATGCTCCGTGGAAATCTCGAGTCTGTTAATTATTGTTGACAGCCGCCCAAGGGAGCGATCACAAGTTATCTTGCCATTCTTCCGGAATCTGGTGTGATTTGATTAGCGTATAAGATCGAGCAGGTTCTCTGTGAAATATGTGGAAATAATCTTCGTTGATTTCTTCTTTCCCCTGTTCATCTCAGATTGCCGAGACCAAGCTTGCTTTCCTCGCCGCAGCTGGAGCAAGTCCTCTTTGTAAAACCTTAAATCTCTCTAGATTAGAGGCCAGTGGACTCATCATCGTCGGCCCAGAAGGGGGTAAGAAAACCTCCTCCTTTATCCCTTTGCAGATTTTCTTTGTTCCGCTTGGACTTAAACCTGGCAACATTCAGATAAGGCACTGAACCTCTCTCTCTCTCTCTCTCTCTCTCTCTCTCTCTCTCTCTCTCTCTCTCCATCTGCATGTATTTTTATTTGAGATAGAAATGGATAGAAATTATAGATTCTTGGAAATTTAGGGCTTCAGTTGATGATGCTCAATTTCCATGCTCCAAGGCTCTCGTCTGGAGCTAATTCACCAACTCAAGTATCCCCACCCTGCGCATTCTGAGAAACTGATGATGGGAACTGTTCCCCTGAATTCTTTCAGACTTCACGGAGAAGGAGGTGGAGCTCATGACCGAAAGAGGCGCCACTCCAGTCGGCCTCGGCCCGTGCCGGCTACGCGTGGAGACGGCGGCAGTCGCACTTCTGTCGGCTCTGATGTTGTGGTCCGATGCTCAGGGATCCATCTCCCCATCAGAGCAAAATGGCTCCGAGGCCTAGACCAGCCCCCCCCGGTTGCCTGTATTCATTTTTCTAGAGAGAGAGAGAGAGAATATGAAATCAAGGAAAAATGTTAATGACACAGAGGTCCATGTGGCCGGTAAACTATTCCAGACAAGTTGTAAACTATGGAGACCAACTCCGAGGTTGGTGGCTTATTCCATGCAAGTCGTCGATCTGGGGCTCAGGGCCGGCAGGCTGCACCGCGCTAGGTAGGACGAGTAGTCCGACGCCGAGGGGATCCCCGTGGAGTTGCTCGCTGGGACGCCACCGGCAGCCGACGGCGGCGCCGCCTCCCGCGGCGGACAGGGGGCAACACGAACGCTCACGTCCACGCCGTGGGCGCCTCCCCATGCCGGTCCGTCTGGCCACGCCGGCGGCGGCTGCGGCGGCGCCGCTCCCCTCTGACTCCGGGGGGCGGTGGCGCCGGTGAGACTCTGCACCAGCTCGCGGAAGCCCCAGGGTTGCACCCGATAGACTCTGGGCGACGCCCCGGGGCCCGCGGGCTTCCTCCAGGGCTTCTCCGGCGGGTTCTTCCTCACCGCGTGGAGGTGGGTCAGAGGCAGAGGCGAGCGCCCCCTCCCGCCGGGTTTCTCCCCGCTCGGCTCCGGCAGGTACATGCTATCGATCGGAGCTTATCTCCCTGCGCACTTCTCGAGCTCCGGCAGTGGAAAACGAAAAGAAGAACGAGAACGATGGGTTCGTCCTTCTCCTCCTCCTCCGCCGGCTCCTCCGCCGCCTCCCCCGTCTGGTTGCGCCGCCAGTATCGCCGGAGAGTTCTTCTTTCCAGAGGAAGTGGAGGGGTCGAAGAGGGGGACTTTATAGCGGCGACCCTCTCGAGCTCCGGGCAGCTGTCTTCCGCTGACGTGCCCGTCGTGGACTCCAGTCAAGGTGGGAAGGCGGATGGCAGTTTTCACCCTCCGAATTCCGTCGTGGACTCCACTCCAGTCAAATAGGAGTGGGAAACGTGGTGATACGAATTCCTACTAAATTTGATGCCTTACGTCGCCTCGTATGTTCTACATTCGTCAAGCGCCGACATTTCAAATAGCTGTAGACCCACATAAAAAGCATGCCATCGCCGCCTTATTTGACCAGTTGGGGCTAGGTCAACTCGGAAAATGGATACGTGGCGGCAGTCCAACGCAGCTTCCAGAAGCCATTAACTCGTGGGTCACATACGGTGACGGCACATGGGCCCGCCCGCCTATTTATTAATTAAAATAAAACATGAAAAATGGAAAATTAGAGTTGGAATCAGATTTATCATGCTCGATCCTCGGTCATTATGAAAATAGTAATAATTATTATTATGGATATATCATATATTAAAAAAATCCCCGCGGAAAAAGGAACGGGGAAGAATTGTGGGTAGAATCCACCCAAATATCAGCAAAGCCAACTTTAATGGGCCTACCTCAAAGCAGGTTCTACTTACAGCCCAAATTTCATTTTTATTGGGCGAGCCGTTGATGGGTCGAACAGAGTGAGCCCACTATCCAGATCCGAGCTTCGACGTGATGCAGCTCGTCCCTCCCTGACACATGGCGTTCTTCAATCTATCCACGTGGCAAGCATTTATTCCGGCCCATCTACGAAAGCGCGTGAGTGGGTTGGCCCATTTATCAGGAGCTGCCCGAGGGCCCACCCGTCCACGAGGGATAAGCCAATGGGCCCAATAAGTAGCCCACGAGCTGTGTGAGGCCCGCTCAACGTGGATTGTCCCGCATGTGTGGTCCAGCATCCTGACTTGGTGGGCCCATTGACGGGCCAGGCTGATGGGAAACGTCCACTATAGGGCCTGGTCCAAAGCTTGGGGCCCACTAGCACCAGAGGATCCCATGGCATCCCAGAGATCGGGATCAAGACCTAGGTCAGTCAATGGTCAAACTCCCACTGACAGCGGCGGCCGCCACCAGAAAAGCCGAGTCCATTGTCCCACCGAGTTCCCCGATTCCCGGAGACCCGATTTGTTCTCTCTCTCTCTCTCTCTCTCTCTCTCTGTGGGTTCCTGACGAGTCTACGAGCACGGCAAGAACAGGATTTTGGATCCTCATAGATTGGAGATGGAGCGAACGAATAAATTATTTATGGTAGAACAAAAATTGCCGGCGGGGATCAATAATCCGGCTTATTGACCGAGTGGGTCGATTCAAATCCCCAAAAGGTTAGGTATTCGGCCGTCGAGGACATCTGAATTTTGCCGCCGATGATTCCTTCTCCGGAGGACGGGATCAGAGCGATGGAGGGGGCTTTTCCGGTGAGTCTACGAGGATCTCGACTGGTCTCGCTCACTGAATTGTTCTGGTGAGCTTGCACTTGGAAATGAAGAGGGCGGCCGTGTAGTTGAGGCTGCAGAGCTTCAGAAGCTCCGCCGCCCTCTGCTTCAGTGGCGCGCTGCAGTCGCTCTGTATCACCAGCAACAGCTTCGCCGCCAGCCCCGCCTCCACCGCCTGCGACCCGCATTCCTCCGGCGAACTCTTGCAGACCGCCGACAGGACGGAGAGCGCGTGCCTCGTGCAAGCTTCAGACACTCGCATCAGGACCCTAACCGCGTTGGGCACCGCCTGAGAACAGCTCCGCAGAGCCTGCAGGCCTTGGGGAGCCTCCGCTAGGGCAGAAAGTATCTCCCATGCGGATTCCATGCAGTCGCGGTTCAGATCGGGGAGGCGCTCCACCAGGGAAGGGACAGCCCCGACGGAGACGACGACGGGCCTGACCTGGTGGTGCGAGTAGCATATGAACCGGAGGAGGCGGAGCCCTGAGGAGGTCCCCTCCGGAGACGATCTCTTGTCCTTCACCATCTTCAACAGTCCGACCAGGAGGCTGAAGCTGGAGACGACCTCTTCTTCTTCTTCCTCCTGCTTGTCCATCTGGAGGAGGGTCTCGAGGAGCCTGGTGCAGCAGAGCTTGGTCTCGGGGGAGCCCTCGTTGAGCACGTCGGCTAGGAGGGAGATCTTGGCGGGTTGCAGCAGGTTCTTCCTGGAGGCGTAGTCGAGGGGGAGGCGGGCGAGGACGGCGATGGCGAGGGACCCGACGGCATGGGAGGTGAAAGGGCCGAGGAGGGAGGAGATGAAGCCGATCCCGCCGGAGTCGGCAACGGCTTTCTGGGCGGCGCCACCCCCGTGGCCGGAGACCAGGCCGTGGAGCTCCTTGAGGAACTGCACACGGGCCCTCCCCTTGGCCCTGCGGAGGGTCTCGAGGAGGTCCGCGGCCCGGCCATGGACGTCCTCGGAGCGCTTCTTCCGGTGGTGACGCCGCTGGGAGAACCAGGCGTGCATGAGCTGCCGGAGTGTCCGGTTGGGGGTGACGGCGTCGTCCCAGAGCTCCTGCATGGTGGTGGGGCAGGTGTGGTGGCCGAGGGAGAACCATCTCAGGATGTTGGAGCGCTCGTAGGTCTGGCCGGTGCAGAGGGTTACCGGATCCACCATCGGCTCCAGCGAGATCGGGCAGATGAAGACCGCCGGGATGTCGTCCTCCGCCGCCGCCGTCGCCTCCTCGATCATCTCCCTCAGGTCGAGCTTCTCGCCGGCGGGGAGCCCCACCCCGCCGCCGCCGGTGGCCGCCCCGCCGCCCAAGACCCCGTCCCTGACGGCGCTCTCCAGATCGACGACCTGGGCTCGGCTCTCCAGCCGCCACGAAGGGGGGTAATGCCGTAGCTCCGGCATCTTCGCCGGAGGCGAAGACGAGAGCTAAGATCAAGAACCAGAAGAACAGAAAAAAGACAGGCAAAATGAGGCGAATCGGGGGCTAAATTCTCCGGCTGGACCGCGGGAGATCGGGGCGAGGAAGAACCCTAACGGAGGAGGAGCCTTCCTCTCTCTCCTGGGCAATCGAGGAGGGGATCGAAAGTCCCATCATCACCGGCATCATATACAAGGCCCGCGCCACCTCTCCTCCTCCCCCACCCTCCCGCCGGAAAAGGCGCAACCTTTGCGAAAACCCAACTCCGGGGAGGAGCAGGAAGAGCGAGGGAAGGGCCTGGAAATGCGGCTCTCCGAAAGAAAAAGCCGAGGCAAAAGGGGGGCGGCAGGGCGCTGACGGGGGAGACGGAGAAGATCACACGGAGGGAGGCAGATGGGGATGCTGTGGCTAAGATGCGCTGTGAAGTCAGCTCTCGGTCAACACTTTGTGAGTGAGCCCCACCCTACAGCTGAAATTCACCACTTTATTTTAATCATAATTAATAAGTGCACGCAACTCCTTTGTTTATTAATAGCATGAGGGCTCAAGCGGCTCGGCCCGGTTTTCTGACGACGGTTTTCAAAAACTAGGGTGGGGGATCCGGGCCGGGGCTCCGTTTCGGGCTTTTCTCCGGGCCGGGGCTCATTTCCGAGGCTCTTAAATATCCGGTCAATTATCCTCTCCCGGATTAAATGGTTTCTTGTACGTTATGTGATGGCCTCCTCGGAGGTAACGTGACCCGCCACCATTTTCTTCTCCGTCTTTCGGTCTGTAAAGCAATTGACCGAACGCTTAAAGCCTGGACGGCGAGGCCGACGTGACCCCCCGTCCCCCTCGCCCCCCTCGCACTCCGTTGACCGCTTTAAAGCTTCCCTCTCGTCTGGCGAATGGTGTGCGTCCACGTGGATGGCTTCGTACTCCAAACGACATCTATCTGGGACACCACACCGCTGCCTGTTTCATTCCATTCGAAAGAGGACACTGAGTCATCATTTTACTATAAAATAAAATAAAATCTGTTACCCAAAAAATCTGCAGGGTAGGATCAGAAAGTTCCGAGGATTTATTTTCTCGAGAAAATGATAAAAATGGTCGTCGTTTTATTAATTATATAATATTTCTCGGCTGTAGATAAGTTTCCCAAAAAATGAGTGATTTCGGCGGCGGTTGTAGTTAACGTTGGTTGAATTCGAACCGTCCGGGCGAGAGGGGAATCTGACCGTCCGATTCTGGGGGATCGGCGGCGGTAGATGGGGCGACGAGGTAGGTCGACCGTGTCCCGAGCACATGGGCCCCGCGGTCGCCACATAAGGGAACACCGTGGACGCCGCGACGAGGAGACCGAACAGTGCGCTGGCATCGGCAGGGGACGACGTGGAACGGTGGAGTTCCGAAGAAACGTGCCGGGAGGACAGGCCGCCTCCGAGCCCGCCTCATCACGCCACGTCAGAACCGAGGGGATTGACGGGATTTCCGTTCAATGGGGTCCACATGTCGGATAATACTATTATTTAAATAGCATAGTGGACGGAACTTTAGGAATACTCCAAAATCGGTGGAGATAATTTGGTCTGTGGTCTCCATCTGTCCCATCTCGTCTGACATCTGGCCCCACGGCACCCTCCCCGTCTCTCTCTCTTTCTCTCTCTATTGCAGCAGCTAGTCCTTGGGCTGATTGAAGCTAGTGGGCCCCATAAGGTTTTATGGGCCTGGGTGGCTGGGTGGAGGGTTGGGCCCAGTAAGATTGTTTTGGATTCGTAGTGTGTGGGGTCAACGTTGGAAGATGGAAAAACTTGGAGGAGCGACGATGAGAGAGGAGAGCAAGCGGAGGTTTAGGGAGGCGCTCAGCAGAATCTACTTCCCCGCTCGTCCTCCTCCGCTGTCGCCGTCGCCGGCGCCGGCGCCGGCGCCGCCGGTGGGAATAGATCACTCCGATCTCCGTATGCGGCTTTCTTCCCTAGGTTTTTGAGGCGGGATCTCGCGGCCTGGTTATTATTCTGTGCCTGTTTGTTCCTGTGTCTGGCTCAGCAGGAGAGGGGGACGGATCGGAGGAGAAGGACAAGGAAGAGGGGCTCTCATCTGAAAGCGGGGAGCAACCCCGGAGGCTGACGAGATCTCAGAGGAAGAGACTCCGGAAGAGAAAGCTCAAGGAGGCAGCCCCCGTCGCCGCATCGGGGCGGAGGAGGAAGATCATCGGGCCACTGTTGCCGTCTTCCGGCTCAACCCCCGCTTCTGAACGTCTCGAAGGTGAGGAAGGATCCAGTGAGCCTGCGCTGCCGAGGGAGAACGACATCTCTCTGGACTTTCGACAAACGCCTCCCGTGCTTTAGTTTAGATTAAAACCCTTATCTGGTTTTGATTTGTTGTGGATGAAAGGAACATGAATACTTCGCGTTTCTTCCGATCGAAACCGGTGATTCTTTTGTAGGTATAAGTTTTTTGGTAAAATTTGTGCTACTCGAGCTGGATTGTTATTTTCAAATTACCCGAGGGATCTTCTGCTTCCTCTTCTTTCTTCAACCCAAACATCCTCTCATTGTTGTTCTTTATGAAATGATGTTTTATGTCCATATGTTTGGTTTTTGATTGCAAGATAAGATTTTTTTTCCTACCATATTTATAGCACTCATATTATCACAAAGAATACAAACCCTTTTTAAACTCAGACTATCGTCCTCTAATTATGATTGGAGTTCCTTGGATTTCATGAAATCAAGACGCTCTTAATAATAAGCAGGAACCACTAATAATGTTTAATTGACTACTCTGATTTATGCAAAGTCAGAATTGCAATAAGCAAACAAATTTAAATCTTTGTTCAGATGGCATCATAACTCTATTGATTTTGTGCTTGCAAGATACTGAAAAGATCTTTAAACAACATTTAAGTATGGTTATTTAGGATTATATTGAATTCCACACATACAAATATTAAAGAAAATGATTCTTTTACTTGCTACTAAGTTCAAGTAGCCGATCATAATCTCTATGTAGCACTTTATTGAATACTTTTCCTTCTTTATATGAATCCAATTTTCAAGTGATGCTCATGGGCCCCACTACATCACACTCTTGGATCAAGTCAACTCTCCTAACTTTAGGGGGTGCATTTCCTCAAGTATGAGGATAGTGAGCTGGTTATGGAGAGAAAATGATATTAGGATAATAGATGAGAGGAAAAACCTTGATACATGATATTCAAAGTAAGAGAAATAGAGAGAATAGAAAAAAAGGGGGAAGGGAAACTTGGGCATACACTTGATACAAACTGCTTCAAAGGGGTTGACCTCTGACCTTTTATTTTCTAGGAAAACTCTCAATGATCCTTTTGCCTTTCCTCCTCGTGTCTTTATACTCTTAAGATAGAGGAGGCATTGTGTCAACCTCAAGTTATCCTTCTAGTAGGGATGTGATGAGTTGGCTAGTAACCTATCAATGCCCTCTGCAACTAACACTTCGTCCTCAACGGGGAAGTTGAGAAATTATTGACAGAGGTGAGCGGTGACCTCCTAAGTGCTTTCCAAATATCCAAATAAGATATTATGAACAATTATCATCATAGCATAAAGCTTATAAATCAAAAATAACTATAGGTTATCATAGCATCAACAAAATAACAAAAGGTATTTAAATTAATAAGATTATTCTTAGATGTTGAAATAATATTGATTAATTAGAGTATATACATAAAAAAAATAAATGAGAACAAATACAGCTAATGTTAAAAGAAAAAATATTTCATCTATATCACTCACACGATTATCTGTAATATATTTCTCAACTACATTGAACAAATAAAGCTAATGTTAAAATATCTGTAGAATTCAAAAAGAAGATCTATCCAATGTTTTATGACAAAACGACTACACACATTAAAGAAGAAATCAAGGTTTCATCACACTCAACTATCTGTAGTAACATACAAACCAAACAACTACATTTTTCTCAACTTTTATACTTGGATTGAAAATTCTAAATTGATGAATCCATGAGTTGAAAAATATATTTTTCCTCCTAAATTTTGCCATTTTAAAGAGTTTTAATTTGGTATAAAATAAAAAACAAGTTATAGTCTAGTAGCATCCAATCTCATGGTGCTCTTGTAAATAACTGCATCAATCGTGTTTAGTATTGATTAACATCTAAAATTTCGATGATGACATATAAAATGAATAAATATATACAATTACGAAAATTATTTACTGCACAAAATATCTGGGACTGAGACACAGCCTAGACTCCTACGGGAGGCAGCAGTGGGGATTTTTCCACAATGGGCGAAAGCCTAATGGAGCAATGCTGCGTGGAGGTAGAAGGCCCATGGGACGTGAACTTCTTTTCTCGGAGCCATAAATATCATGTTGCACATGAGTATGAAATTGATAAAGTATAAATTCATGAATAATATAATGTAATGATGTTACACAAATAACAACTCAAGGAATGTACTTGAGTCTCTTATTTTAGATTCTATAATTTAAATGCAGAAAATAATTACCACATTGGATTTAATGAGAACCATTGAAATAAAATCTTTGCAAGAAAACTTATTCAATTTACTACATGTCTATTATTTGAAATTATTACTTAGAATAATTCTTGATGGAGAACTAATTAACTCGATATGAATTCAATATGAATTACTTAAATGATTGCTAAAAAAATTAGATGATTATTAAATATTGATTTATTAACTCAAAAGAGCTAATCATCATAGTCATCAACATGCCATGTAGAAGCTAATTCAAATTAATTTTTTTTTGACAGTTGAAGATGATAATCAACAATTGTTCACTAAAAAAATGGTTTAATAGAGTCCAAGAACAAGATGTTATTAGACAATAATAGTAGCTAGAAGTCAAAACATTATAAAAATCCTTACGAGTTTTTTTAGATTTATATTTAGGGATCTATAGAAGTTTTAGATATGAAGGAATAAAATCACTAAGGCTAGAACAGTTCACCAAATGTTAACTTTATGATTAAGTTAATTCAATAGTTATCTTTTTCAAATTACTCTTAATCTTCTTGCATGACATCAATCCAATATTCATCTAGGAGTTCTTTGTTAATAGTCTTAAGTTGTATTTTAGAAGTAAAAGTTAAAAAATTACTTTTAACTTTAATAAATATTTTATCATGATATTGCCATTTAATTTTCCAATAATCTTTTTTATAGGATGATCCTCAATCACTCTCCATTGTTTGGTGGTCCATCTTTTCTTGAAATGACTTTTCAAGAGAAGTGGTGCCATCTTATTTAGTTTTCAATAGAAAACAAAATGATCTTCCTCATTTTTCACTTATGATTCTAGGTCTTTAATACATTTTACATTAACGGATACCACAATGGTCATAGTTTCTGTATTATAGGTTATAACCTTTAGATCTTTTAGAGCATCTTAGAAAAATATTTGCATCACTTCTATGATCAATTTTTTGTAAATTATTTTTAAAGTTGTTTCATACAAAACACCTATATTCAAATGATTTAAAATATACTCCATTTAGTTTTCTATTTTTAAAAATCTCATATAGTGCTTTTCTATGTTTTGATCTAATGAGCATCCAATTCATAATGTAGCATCTTGTGCTGACAACCTCTAGGCAAAAGTATTTGGATAATTTACTTTCAACCAACATAGTTCCTATAATTTTTTGTACCATTTTTTTCCTTTCCACCAGATCATTCTATTGTGGCCCTAAGACATGAAAAATTATGAGTGATTTTACATCTGCCACAATCCTTTTTAGTGGTACTGAATCTACCACCATGATCATTCATATAATTTTGATTTTTAGTTAATTTTGAGGTTAAAATTCGTAAACACATAAAAAGTTTCATCCATAGGTGTTGGTCTAAACATAAAAAACTCAAGGTGGGTCCAAATAGATCAATGTAAAGTAATTATAGTAGTTTTTTTGAAGTGATGTGTAATTTTATTTTAAAAGATTCTCTAGTATGCCTTCATTTTAAGTAGCTTTCATATGTAAAATGTGAATCACTTTCTAAGATGGATAATCTTTTAACCAAGTTAATCATAGTAAATTTCTTGATTAATTTGGTGCTGACATATCTTGACTTTTTATGCCACATTCTAGGTTTAGTTGATTTTTTATCAACTACCAAACATCTTTATGTATCTACTAGTTCACTTAAGTAATGGTATACTAAACTATTAGTGCCCTTGTTTATGATTAGACATCAATCAATCTTAAAATTTACATCTTTTTATCACATACCTGACTAATGATTATCAAATTTTGCTTTAGACCTTAATCAAACATATCATCGTTAATCATAATTCTTTTTAGGGAGTTAATATTACCATAACTTACAACTATTTGATTCTTATCATCTCTAAATGTGACTGTCTCTATCATATATCTTTGACAACTATTTTCCAAGTACCACTTGAAATAGTGGTCCATAGAAATCTGTTTTGAAAATAATTAAGTTTTGGGTTTACGAACCCAAACTATTTTGGGTTTAGAGATGCTAGGAGCTGATTGAATAACTCGTGAGAGACCTCATACATTTAGTTTCAAGACTGAAATTCCTATTGATGATCAAATTATAATGAGGGCATTTATTTTGATAATGAGTAACGAGATTCAAGATTTTATATAATCAACTTATAATGAGGACATTTAATAATTCACAATTTTCAAATTTAAGGTGATCAAATTTTATGGGAATCACTCAAACCTTAATCACCTTTCGTAAGTTCAATTTTTATTGATTTAAATAGAATGACTAATTCATCAATGAACATTACTTTTAAAAAAAATTAAATCAACAAAAGGTAGACATTAAATAATTTTTGCTTAATTCCAGTCATTCTCATCTTGTCCGTCATTGATCTCTATAGTAATTCAAATATGTATGCACTTTTAATTAGAGCTGATCTCGCCTTCACTGCACAACACTACCAATACTTTAATTTTTTGTTTGAATCTTTATTCCTCAACTTTGGATAATCGACTTTAAAAAGACTAGGCTTATTGTAATCATAAAAAAATTCATTTTCTTTGATAAAATTAGAAGTGTGATCTTCACTATCTTCACTATCTTCAAGGTTATCACTAAATCTCTTTCTAAACACTTATTTGAATTTTCTAGATACAAGTGATGTCTTCTTTTTTGTTACTACTAGAATCTCTGAATTCCTCATTTACTTTCAATACAATGCCTTTTTCTTGTGTTCCTCTTCTTCTTCCTTCTCTTTTAGTAACTTTATTTTATCAATTAATAATGATCCCAGTAGTTCCTCTAAGCTTGTTCAATAACAATGATAATTTGTAACACACAACAAAATTCTCTCTTGAATCCTTCAACAATAAGCCCATGAAAAAAATGATTCAAGTATTTGAGCCAGCATACTCATATCTAAAAAGTTGATCGATGAACTGACCAGAAGCATGTTCTTGTGAATGCAATAAATATTCAAAGCCAACCATGGCGGTGGAATGCAAAAATTAATAAAGCGGTGATAACTTTTACATTCTGTTGCAAAATGCAGTCTAAAGTCGTCCAGAATTAACCAAAAAAATACAGGATCGGAATGATCTGAATTAGCATGCCTCATACAACTATCATCCCTGTTGGTATAGGAGAAAGAATTCAACGAACTAGGAATAACAGGTTTATGCTTAACACTAGCAAGATAGTCACTCTGAAGGTGTTGGAGACTGGCTTTCTGTCGGTTTCTAGTCCAACTGGGGATCCATCCCACCTCCTCGAATTGCATTGCTATGCTAAATTGGGAATGCTCCCTCAAGCTCTCTTCTTCTTCTTCTTCGATTTCAACATCACGTACCCAATGAAAGCAGAAATGAGGCTAAGGAGAGTGACGCCGGCGAACACAGGTATCAGTATGGCATACTCTTGGGGCAGGAAGTACTTGTGTATGAAATGATCGCCGTCCACAAATGGCTGCAAGATCGCATCGGCAGAACCATCATCAATACTAGTTTTACTCTTCAACTGACATCTCCAAATAAAAGAGGCATATTCCCAATCTAAAACCCTTGTAGAATGGGAGCTACCCACCAGGATGACGACCCAGAAAGTGTAGTATGTGAATATTGATAGGCTGATCACAGACAGAAGAAATCCAACAGTCTTGTCGGCCAATTCCATCTCTTCTAGATGCACCTCCTCTGGCTCCAATCAGTGCTATAAGAAAATTGGGGATTCTAAATCAGAGAATAAAAAAAATAAAGTTAGAGAAAATATATATAAAAAATGGAGCCAAATGAGGTCAATCCGTTTCTGGACTATGAAACCATGTTCGCCTCCGTGAAATCTGCATCATACTGTGCAATTTCTTCTGTCTAGTATTGATTGGCGAATTAGTTCATCCACGATCCTTCATGGCGCCAGCAGATTCTTCGACCCGAGCGATGAATCAAGAGAATACGTCGATCGGGAGGAAATCAATGCTGAATTAAACCTACTAAACACGAGGAGAGATTTTTGATGGTGGATTCGCAAGGTGTTCGGCCACCGAAGTTGGGATTAGGCGCATGCGATCACTGGTGCTCTCATGGCGTCTTCTTCTTCCCCATCCCCTGTCCACATCGAGGGACCCTGGCTTTTTAAAAGGGACAACCAACCGACGAAGGAAAGCCATGAGGGCGGACTTCACCCTCTCCAATCCCCCCTCCCCCAAGAAGTTCCCATTCAATTGTAGACTTCGCTCCTGTACCCAGGGCGGCGACCTGAAACCCCCCCACCAGGTAATGACGGCGATCGCAGACCATATCTAATGTCCTCGATTTAATCGCACCATTAAAATATATCAAATCACCGACCCTCCCTCCCCCGCTAATCTCTATGTGACTAGGGGAGGCGGATCCACCGAAGAAGGCCGGTCTTCTGTACCTCGAATGGATCTGTCGCTTCAGCGGCCGCGACCTAATCTCCAAACGACGCCATGGCGGCAGTTCACGAGCCAGATCAGGCCTCTTCAAGTCGGAGATTCGAGGAGAAAAGAGGAAAGGGAATCCAGAAGAAGACGAACGGACGAAGCCGAAAGGAGGAGAGAATACGCGAAACAAGGAAAACCGCCCGGAGGAAGAACAAGAAAAAGAGCAAGACCAAGGACAAGGAGGATAATCCCACCGCCCGGAGGAAAGCCGAACTCTTCCACTGCCACCCCCGCCCCTAACCCCACCGAGTTCTCTTACCAGCTGCCGAAGATAATCCATCGCGGTTCTCCTCCCACCCTGGACAAGACGGCGCCAGGCGCCTGATGCGAGATTCTAACAGCCGAGGAACAGGTCAAGCTTCTTGCATAAAACCCCTCAGACATATTTTATACATGCTAAAACATCCTAGACTGTATTTTAATGAAAGCTTCCCAGATCTTTCGTTGGTTGGGCCAAACCTGTACGTTACTTTAATGCAGTGGAGCCCAGGCCCATTATGCTATCGCACTGATTTTATTTTTTTTACGGATAAAATATTTGGGGCGTTTGTGGGCCAAAAAGGGGCATTATTAGTGGCCCACGACCAAAATTGGGTAAAAATAATTTGGTTTTAAATCGGAGCTTCATAAAGGTCGAAAATAAATGCGTAAATAATTTTCTTAAAATCTAATTATAAAATAGTTGGGGCTTATTTGTGCGTGGATATTTAAATGTGAGGTCTAGTGCGGTATCTTGTTCTTCTATGGGTTTATATGCAAAAGAGCCATATTTAATATTGTTCACTTATTGTAGGAAGATCGGGGGAGGAAAGTAGGGGCGTTGGACAGCTGCTCGGGGGAGTGTGAACGTGACCTTCCACTCTCTCCCTCTCTCTCTCTCTCTACCCCCCACCCCCCCTATCTTCCTCTCTCTCTCTCTCTCTCTCTCTCTCTCCGTCTTTCTCTCTCTCGCTGTCTCTGTCTTTCTCTCCCTCTAGACTCTGCTGCTCCTTCGTTGACAGGAGAGCTGGGACTCAAACAGAAATCCCTGAAAAATCTGCTAGGCTCTCTCATCGTATTCAAATTGGAACCCCGAGGGCAACGTTCACTGGTTTTTTTGTCAATTCATGGTCTGGCGCGGGGGGCTGTTCTTGTGAGCTCGGCGAGCTCTGTGGCCTCCATTTATGGAGGAAAACGCGAGGATCTGGGCTTTTAGAGGAGGCAGGGGGTTGATCCGAGAGGGGGGTGGATTCGGGAGCTGCAAGGGTAGGTTTGATGGAAGGATTAGCGACATTGACGGAAGTATTGTACAATTCAGGATCTATTGATGGTGTTGAAGATGCCGAAGAGATGCATAGTCCCGGCCGCCGCATTTCAGGTATCGTTCTGCCGTGTTCTGTTATTAGCTTCGTTTCCTCGTCGACAATCTGGCTTTCATTTCTTAGTCGTGTCAGCTACGCTCGTGGATTCCGTAAAACACACAGTGCCAAACTTTGCCTTTGCCATGCCTGTATCTTTTCGTAACACGTTGATTCAAATTAGCATTCAAACTATTCTTGGAAAACTGCGTCTGGGATGCTAATAATAAACGAGCGTGTTTGACTTTGGTGAAGATGATTTAACTTGGAATTTGTTAATGTTAAACCCGTTTGGTTTTATGTTGAGATCCTTAGTTATTCACTTGGAAGAAGCATGATGAACCTTCATCTGTGTCTCAAGGTTTAACGATCTTCCCGATTTATCAATATTTCTTCCTACCAATCAAATGAGATTATTTATTTTCCTTATCAAGTTGAAGATCCTTCGTTTGAATATAATTTTTCAATAGCTTATCAACTTTTAGACCCTCCCATACTCACGGTTGCTTATGATTTCAGTCGAGAGCTTTGATAAGTGAAGCTTTTAATATCTTCTCTAGATCTTAGTTTGTCTTAACTTTTAACAGGTTGTCGTACACACTAATTTGTCCTAAGAAATAGTTTTCATGGCAACCGATTCTCTTTGATATCTCAAAAATTGTCTCAAATGCAGAGAATGATCTCAAACGCGGTGTTAGAAAGCTTCATCCCCTCTACCGTAAATATCACCTTAAGAAAAGATGAGAAAATTCTGGGCAATATCCCCTGTTGATGAAAAGAAATTATGGATGAAAAGAAAGCGCCGAGATTGTGGAAAATACAGAGACAGAGCAATAACCGAGAAAAGCTTGAATGTATAATCCTTCTTTTAAAATTTTTTGTGGGTTTTATTATTGTGGAAAATATGCCAATCCTTTTATTGATCTTCATTCCATGAATGCCACCACCACCAAATATGAACTCCCGTGGCCTCTAAATTCCTCTTCCCCAATCTGTCATCTGTCTTCTATTTTTATTTCTAGGCAAACATTGATGTCATATATCCTCTCTCTCTCTCTATCTATCTTTCTCTCCCAAATGGCTCGAAAGCTATGATTATACTTTCATTTCTTACTTCATGCTCTTATGCATGTATTGTTTATCTATTTTCAAGCTCTCCTTAGATCAGTTTAGTCTCTAGCTGGATGAAATGCCGTCGTGATGTTTTTAATCATTTCATTATCTCCTTCCTCTGGTTTTGGATCAGATTGCATTGATTTTTGTATGGATCGAAAATGCACATTCGAACTCTGTACAAAGAGTGGTTCACCGGCAAGGCGATGGTGGATATAATGTGGATCATACTCTCTCACACTCTTGTATCCACGATGAGATAATTCAACAGAGGCGTCAACCTGGTCGCAAGGAATACTCAGTTAGCCCGCAAGTTTATGACAGATCTGACAGCTCCAACTTAAATCATCCTCGGGGGAGGATATTGCTTGGACTGACTTCGTCTGATTTGGAGGGTTCCAGGCAACCCATCAGAATTTTTTTGAATTATGATGCAGTTGGTATTTCTCAAGACAGAGATTGTCGAAATATTGGGGATATTGTGAAGGTGGGCCATAGCCTATAATGTCATGAGCCATGATATGTATGAAATTTCTTCTCATTTTTGCTTGTTTTGTAGATTGGTGAACCTCCAGCAGCCTCTGTTTCTGGATCGCCAGCATGCAATCCACATGGAGATCCTCCAATATCTGGTGACTGTTGGTATAATTGTACCTTGGAAGATATATCAGGGCCCAGTAAGAAGCTCCGTCTTCGCAAGGTTGCACTTCTTCTGTAAAACCTCTGCCCATCTGATCTGCACTTTGATATTCTAATAATGTGACTCTGTGACAAATCTGGGTTTTATGCGAGGCCTCATATACCCATACATTGATGAAATTTAGCCCTTGCTATGTAGAGTGTTGAAATGGAATCCAATTCATTGTCAGAAATTCTGTTAATCGAAAAAATAAAATCTTGAAAAATACTGGTGTGTGAAAGAAGATCTTTTCAGCTGGTGAGAACTTCCCTGCCCGACATTACAATGATAAGTCAATGTCGTACTAGTTGAGGAAAGCTGAACAGTGCACCAAAGCAGAAAGGAGGAGAAGGTTTACGAGATGTGGAATTCATCTCAGTGACCTTTCCATTAATAGATTCATGGATTCGGCCATGCCACTTTCTGAAGTGAATCATATGGTTAACTATGATCTTAGCAAGCTGTTCCATGCCCAATAGCTCATCCGCAAATGATTTTTGAGAATGCTTTTCAAATCTCTTATAGTACCAATATATCATGTTCCAGACCTTTATCTTCTCGCAGTTGATATTAGATTCATCCCTTTGTATGACATCATTTGGTGTTAGTTTGGTTACTGGCATGACATCCAAATGACCTAGGGTCTTTCATGTATCCATGCCCTGGTTCACTTTTGTAGGCAATGGAGAAAACAGCTGGCTGGTTTAACCGGGCACTCTCTGTGGAGCCTGTGAAGGGGAATCTACGCTTAAGTGGATACTCTGCCTGTGGCCAGGATGGTGGTGTGCAACTACCCCATCAATATGTAGAAGGTGCCTTTACTTATCTCGATAATTTATTATTTTTAATATTTTCTTATGGTTTTTTCATGCATTGATTGGCTTGAATTTGATTTGCAGATGGTGTTGCTGATGCTGACCTGGTCCTTTTGGTCACCACTAGGCCAACCAGTGGCAACACACTTGCATGGGCTGTTGCATGTGAGCGTGATCAATGGGGTCGTGCAATTGCAGGTAATCATCTTGACCCTGCGATGCTTTCTGTTTGAGGTATTTAAGTCAATAAAAGATGCCTCTCATCTCTTCAGGTCATGTCAATGTTGCGCCCTGTCATTTGACTGCTGAAGCGGAGTCATTGCTTTCGGCTACTCTAATACATGAGGTTAGTAGGATCTTTATTCCAACAAAAAAATTGATGATAATTACATTTTTGAGCCACCATTCTCTGCAGGTTATGCATGTTCTAGGTTTTGATCCCCATGCCTTTGCACATTTCCGAGATGAGAGGAAGAGGAGGCGCACCCAGGTACTCTATACCAGCTACTTACTATGTCTGCAGATGTTTTAAGACCACTTAATTTTCTGTAAGATTGTCACATGTTATGTTCGAATGCGGAATAAAGTCATAAGTTTTTAATCTCACATTTGATTTCTAAAACATCATTGATGGAACCTGAGTTCTCTCTCTCTCTCTATCTCGTGCTCCCGCATCTCTTTTTCTTCTTTAATGTTCATATGATTTAATGATGTTTTATGCCAACACAGTTCTATCTTTTGCTCCAGAACAGACTTGTCTTCTTGCACCAGAGAGTGGACGATAAATAGATGGAAATGGATCGAGACGATATGAACACAAATGAATAACATTAGATAGGAAATGATGAGCAATAACCTGGGATCCATTTCTCGCTCCATAAGAAATCCAATGAAAAAGCTTCATGAAGCCATTGATGACTTATAGATGGTTCTGGTCAATGAGTTGGCTCCTCTTCGAATGCAGACCAGCCCCTTAGTTTCAGTGTTCTTTTTGAGATTGATTGAGATGTGACTGCCGCCTTTCAGGTTCTGCACTCAAAAGTCTCTAAATATTTAATAAACCTTGAGAAAAAATATCAAGTTATCTGAAACATTCCCTCAGCATAGGCCTTTGTCATGCCTCTCCCCGTGATGGTTGATCTATAGCTTTGGCTTGAGGAACAAGAATTATTCACACTATGATCCCTTGTTCTCCTGAAACTCATGAACCTTGTATTCAGGTCGCCGTCCAAACCTTGGATGAGAAGCTTGGCCGTACTGTCACCCGTGTGGTCCTCCCTCGCGTCATCATGCACTCAAGGCACCACTATGGGGTAATTCAATACCCAACCAAGTATTTTCATCTCTCTGATATATATATATATACACACACACACATAGAGAGAGACACTATTTTGCGTTTAATCATTGAAAGATGATTTTACTTTACTTTATGTATTTAAATCATAGGTATTCTCTGAGAACTTCACTGGGTTAGAGCTGGAAGATGGGGGAGGTCGAGGCACCTCAGGTAAGAAGTCTCCACATCAGAGTTCTTAGGCACGAGGATGAAGTCAAAGGCATAAGCATCACCTTCGGAGCCTTTCCCCTGGCAATTCTTATGGCAGGATCCCACTGGGAGAAGAGGCTCCTCATGAACGAGATTATGACAGGGTCGGTAGATGCTCGATCAGTGGTTTCAAAGATGACTCTGGCATTATTAGAAGATAGCGGGTGGTACATGGTGAACTACAGCATGGCGGGCGATCTGCAGTGGGGCCGCCACCAGGGTGCGGAGTTTGTCTCCTCTCCGTGCAACCACTGGAAGGGAGCATACCATTGCAACACCACTCAGTTTTCTGGCTGTACGTACAACAGGGAGGCCGAAGGTTATTGCCCCATTGTAAACTACAATGGGGATCTGCCGCAATGGGCCCGATATTTCCCACAGGCCAACAGAGGTATGAAATTGTTGATTTATTAATAAATATTGTTATTATTTCTGATTCTAGTTAAATCCTGGGATTAACTGGTTTTCCTGTTAACATCCAGATTTAATACCGGATAACTTGTCTATCTTTGATCATATGAAATTCTTAAAGAAGCATGCAAATGATGATGTCAACCTTTTTGAAGAAACGAGTAGAATAATTCTACGGGGGTACTAATTTAATATGAGCATATGTCAGATTATGCCGAATTGATTGATAGAAACAGATGGTGATCTTCTTGTCTTGATTAGATTTCATTAACCAAATATAAAGTAAGAAATTTGCGATAGAAATCAATCACGTGTTCTTTTCTGTGATACTGCTGAAAACATCTTCTGTTTTTTTTTGGGAAACTTTGAGTCTTTTAAGCAGAATTATAACTTACTCTTTATGCCGATGCTCATGTGGTATCTATGTTCATCAATGTTTGTTTCGAAAGATTTTTTGTTGGCGTCTTTCTGCTCAATGCGCCAATACGTCCATGATATCCCCACATGTAGCCAACTTCTTCCCCTGCTCCCCTTGACTAATCTAGGCGCGAAGTCATCGTTCGCTGGTCATTACGCATTCTTCTGGGTCAGAGTGCCCATGAATGCCCATGATTTCCACGGAAAAATTCATCATTTCCCGTGTTCCTCGACTAGGTGTAGGCGATCAATCATCATTGGCTGATTATTGGACATATTCTTTCATAAATGTCCATGGTGTCCGCCCACAAGGTCAGCATTTTCCTGGTGTTCCACTGGGTAAATGTAGGCGGGCAATCATTATAGATCATTTTCATGAAACTAGGCCCTAAATCTGATATTCTCCCGGTTTCCCTTTGACTAAATTTAGGTCGGGAATCATCATTGGCTGATTATTGCACATTATGATGAGTCCATGCACAAACTTAACTTTTCCCGTGTTCCTTGACCTAATGTAGGCGGGCAATCGTCATTGGCCGATTATTGCTCCTATTTCGTAGCTTATTCTGATGGCTCTTGCACTGATGCAAGTAGTGCAAGAGCACCCGATAGAATGCTGGGCGAGGTGCGAGGGAGCAGCTCTAGGTGAGAATCAAGATAAGCTCCATGAAGGTGAAGAAAATCTGAGTGCCCTCATGCTAATATCACAGCGTTCGCAGGTGCATGGTTTCATCTTTGGTCCGCAGTGGTTTTGTGCGGGGATCAATGGCTCAGGGGAATGGATGCTATCAGCACAGATGCATGAACAACTCATTACAGGTGCAACTCCTCAGCTCCTATTACTTGTTGTCTACATTTTTCATGTGATAAATGATGAATTGTATCCAAGGGACAGAGCCCTCAGTTGACCATTCCAACGAATGCTCATAAATTTTCAATAGAATGTCACATTAATCCAAGGAATCTTACGTACCTCAGGGTACATCTGATCTTTGATGAAGTTTGCTCTTAATCTGAGGTTTCTCCTGGCTTGTTTACTGTTAGACTCATTAGAAAGTTTCAATAGAATTCCTTCCTCGAACAACATCACAAGCTGTTCTATATTGTTCTTGTTATTGGTTCAGACACTCTAACAGAATGTCAAAAAGATCACCAGGGTGAGTTGATTGTATTATGCTTCCAGCAATAATCCTCCAATGCACGTCCTCACTGAACAGTTCATCACCATGGATGCCGATAATCTTTCATCCATACGAAAATATATTCATCTCACTCAGCAAGATGTACTGCATTGACTAGGTAGCTGTTGATGGGACGTGGAAGGTGTGCCCTGAGGATGGTGGCCCAATCCACTTTCATGGTTTCAATGGTGATGATCATTCATTCCATGTCTCCTTTAATTGACAACAGAAATATAATTTTTTTTCCGGTGCTGAGTTCATTTCTTCCGTTTCCTGTTTCCAGGGGAGCTGATATGCCCCGCCTATCATGAACTGTGCAACGCCGTGCCATTGCCTCTACATGGGCAATGCGCCGGCTCATGCAACTTCCATGGAGACTGCATCAACGGAAAGTGCCACTGTTTTCTTGGGTTCCATGGCCATGACTGCAGCAAACGTAGGTCCAGTTCATATTAATCAAATCAGACTCTTTGAATATTCCTCGCCGGTTATGTTCCCTCGGCTCATCCATCGTTCTTCTGTGCCTTCCAGGGGCTTGCCCAAGCAATTGCAGCGGGCATGGAGCCTGCCTCCTCAATGGAATCTGCAAATGCCATGATGGGTGGACGGGGGTTGACTGCTCCACGGGTAATCCATCTGCAAATTTGATGATGAATCGCCCTGAGACAGGGGAATAAATAATATGTCGCCTGATCCCTAGTTTTCTGCCGCGCAGCCATCTGCAACGAGCAGTGCAGCCTCCATGGTGGCGTCTGTGACAACGGTGTATGTGAATTTCGCTGCTCAGACTATGCTGGCTATACTTGCCAGAACAGATCTACTCTCTTGCCCAGCTTGTCAATCTGCCAGGATGTGCTTGCCCAAGATGCGGTAGGGCAGCACTGTGCCCCCAGTGAGCCCAGCCTACTCCAGCAGCTTGAAGTGGCTGTCATCGGGCCAAACTACAGTCGCTTGCTTCCCAGCGGGTGGACCTTGTTCAACATCCTCGACCGTGGTTACTGCACTGCAGCCGCCAAACGGCTTGCCTGCTGGGTATGCTTTCTGACATCTCACTGCGTGTTTTCCCTGCTGGGCTCTGCACTACGCTTAGGAAACGTTATGTTCGAAAATGAATGAGTGTTAAGAATGGTCTTATACTGGAGAAATAAATCGGTCACTCTGAGGATAGGTCCTGCTCATATCTGCTAGACCTTTCCATTTAGTTTTAGGTATTTTTATTTCAGAGCACTGGCGCCAGCCGTCCATTTCCTTTTTTATATGCTGCAAAAACCATCTAAATTTGAGCTCCATGCTCAAATTGAGCATATTTCCTCCTGCGAAGGAATCCCTGCTCACTCTACTCTTCTTTACTTGAGATCCTTATTGCTGCCCGCATTTTTCATCACAGATCTCGATCCAAAGGTGTGACAGGGACGGGGACAACCGGCTTCGTGTGTGCCACTCGGCTTGTCGGTCGTACAACGCCGCATGTGGCGCGTCCATTGATTGCTCGGATCAGACGCTTTTCAGCACCGAGGAAGCAGATGGGCGGTGCACAGGGTATGGCGAGATAATCTCCGGGTGGTTCCAGCCTTTCCGCAACATCAGAAAGGTGTTCTAGTGCCACGGCCGATACCACGCGGGGGCAGCATCTGTGGGTAACTTAAATCTCTTCTTCGTGCCCATCCTTCTTGTATTCCTTTCAAAGGCGCCAAGCAACTAATCTCCTAAATGACGGAGGTTGTGCTTCTGGGCGTTGTGATTTCCGATGTAGAGTTGGGGCTCCTCGTAGAAGGAGGCGCCCCCCGCCGTAGAGATGAGGATTCCAAGTGGGAATGACTCCGTTGTAGGGCTCAGCCGTGGCTCTCATTGAAGAGAATGAGAGGTCTCCGTCAGCCCTAATAGACTATGTATACATCATTTTGGGTAGTCCCACGCCTCTTCCTACCTGACTGAGAATGTATCTCTCTCTCTCTCTCTCTCTCTCTCTCTCTCTCCTTCATCCCTCCCTTGCATCACCCTCTGGATCGTCCCCTGCAAGACCGTGTTCTGTCTGAATTCACTTATACCCCTCTCCTGTAGCGCGGTTCTTAAGTTCGATGACTGATTCCACTCGTCACCCAGCGCGCCGCCATGCGCACACGCCGTGCCACCGTGCGTTCCCACCGCGCCACGTCTGGTGCCAGGGTCTTGGATGCCGGGTCAAACAATCAGAAGAAATAGATTCACAGCCTGATGAATCGTCTTTACTGCATTTCCGCTTGGTCAACGGGTCGGGCACCAGCAATCTGGAGTCTGGTCAACGGTCGTTTTTCGGGCCATATTTCATCATTTAATTCATGAAAATAAATCGAAAGAATCTCTCGAATTCATCAAGAAAGAATCGCATTCCTCGTTACAGAATGGGCGAGGGTTGTAGATCGAAATAGGTTGCAGATACGAAGTACCCGCAGCTCGCGAGCACGTAGATTTTGATCCAAATGGAGGAGAAGGTGATGAGGTAGGTACAGGTGCAGGTCGCCGCGATCACCAGGGCGTAGATCACCACATATTTCAGCGCGAAGAGATCTCCCTCGGTTCCCTGGTTCGGGAAGTGCCCCTGAGCAGTAAAGTCGGAGAGCAGGTGGTCCTTGACCCTGAATCTGTCCATCAACCAGCCAGCCACATCGTTCTCCGACAATGGGATCTCGTTGACCGGGATGCGTTTGACGTGGATGTGGACCTCGGAGGGCCCCACGCCGAGTATGTTGTCTCTGAATAGAGGGCACCAGTGCTTGTACCCGATGGTTATGTCGTAGACTGCACCAGATCAGGCAATTACCACTCAGGATTAAAGGTTGACTTTTACAGATCGAAAATTGAACGCACTAAACCCAGGATTATGGGTGGCAATCTTATAAAAACCAAACACCTTATAAGAGATTATCCTATTCGCGTGTTGATTTAGTACCAAGATCTCATCTCAAACTCATATGCCGGAAAATGTGTCAACGCGCTCAGAACAAAAAATAAAAATAAAAATGCCTAGGTAAGGTAAGAAGGAGGAACCTGCATCCAGCGAGCATCTCAGAGTCTCAAAACACGCATAGAAGCCTCTTGTTTTCGGAAGAAGAACATTTCTGAGGATAGGCAAGCCGTTCTCAGCAGCATATTGCTGGCTTCTTATACACTTGTGCTCGCTGAGACAAAAATCAGTAGAATTGCGTCAGAAGATTCAACAAGGAAGACATCATAAATGACTGCAAGTGCAAAGGGTGCGAAGAGCCAGGGAAGAACTATTACGTGTAGTCGGTGCCTTCTGGGAAAACCACAAGCCACAGAGGATCATCAGGATCCCTGTAAGATGAAAGAATATGGAGCATTTTCGATTCATCGAGTTCCCATTTCCTCTCCACAGGGATGAACTCGAGAATCTGAAAGGCCCAACCGAACACGGGCAACCTCATCAGACTGCTCTTGAGCACATATCTGATGTAACCTAGCCGGCCTTTTCTCGCTGCAAGATCCCACAAGTACATCCAGTCCACCTCAGTTCTGTGGTTGGCAAGTATCAGAACTCGCTCCTTTTCGGGCACATATTCTCCGGAAAACACCACTTTTGTCCCGTTTATTTTCTCGAACAACAGAGGCCACATAGACAGCCATGCACCGAAGAGGCAAGATGTCGCCACCCTGCTATAGTGGACGCTGAAAAATCTCAACACCACAGCAGTCCAGGGCGCTAAGCAAACTAACAGCATGAACGCAGTTGAGAGGAACATCGCCAACAACAAAGCACCCCTCAAGATCCTCAAGGGAGACAATGTGGGCTGCCTGGGCCTGTTAGCAGAGTTGAGGGGCTCCTGGATTTCCATTTGCGCATACACCAGATGCCCTCCTCCTTGCGCAATGTAGGAGATGGATCAATGCAAAAAGTCAGTGGAGAGAAGCACCCAATGTTTCTGAAAGAAGAAGAGCCTGTAAAATGTTTATAGATCTCCGAAAAACAGCCTTCCAGCAATCTTCAGCAAATCTTGCCTTTCCTTTTCCTGAAAAGACGAATAGAATCGGAGTCAGTATTTGATCAGGCGATTCTGTCATTAACTTTAATTGCCCTCCTTCCCGATAAAAATAATGTTTCAATGGAGTTTTATAATGGTATGAAAGCAGTGAAGTACATCAGAGCCTGTCTGAGGGAACCCCAACCGGATGAGAGAAACGACCACCTGAATCAATAGATCAGGAGTGCGCTTCTTGCAGGGAAATAAATAACCAGCTTTAAAAGAACGATCAGACCCAATATTACGATTGCCACTCCAGGTCGATCAAACTCAACAGAATCAATAAAGAAACGAATGACGGGAAGGCATCCGGGGGGAGGGCGGCGCTTCTTACCGGGGTTCAAGGGAGGCCCGGCTGCGAATGATGCAGGACCCTTCGAATCACTACCCTACGAGCCGGTACTGGTGGGGGTGGGGGAAACAGGAGAAACGAAAAGGCAGCCCTTATGAAGTCGCTGAGCACGAAGGACGACGAGGGAGAAGGGATCAAGTGAATGCGTGCCGCGCAGATGCAATGGAATCTCTTTTGTACCCTCTGAACGACCCGCAATATGGAATCCCCTTCCCTCGTTTTCGACGAGGCGAAGCGGACACCGCATCCGTCTCTCCCATCCGTATCGCAGCGGAGGCTTCAGTCGACACTTTCATATTCAAAAACTCCTCACCCACAGGAAACAAGTCCACCTCCGTCGAAACATGCCAATCAGGAAAAAAACGTGCTCTCAGCCTACGCCGCCGATCTCTGTTGACACTCCAACCGTACTGGCCGCTGCCGTCTCTGTCGATTCCCGCCGACGCCTCCAGGACAGCTGATCCAGCCGCGAGGTTCGATGTTGACTTTCTGACCTCGCAGATGGATCCGTTCTGCAAACGACGATGGAAATCATTCAAGAAGCATGGACGAGTTGGCGGTGTATTTATGAAAAATGCCCCCGAAGGAATTAAAACACGGAGCACCAGAAGAATATTATTGCTGATGGATCCGCGATCATACCTTCAATGCTTATCCCACAGACAAACATTTCCGATGAAATTTCTCTTGTCACGCCGGCGACATCAGAGGGGGCACGCCCCTGAAACATCTGAAACATTTCTCTTGTCCCTGGCAATCCAAGTCGTGCCGTACAGACACTCCACTCGCATCTGAAACATCGCCGCGCCCTCCCCTTCATCCGATCTTCACGCCCCCCAGCAGAGCGATCATTCCGTGAGAAACCTGATTTAAACGGCTTCTCTGATCCTCGCAAATCATCTCTCTCTCTCTTTCAGCGGCGTTATTCCACGTGTTCCTCTTCCCGCTTTTTTCCCGCCACCATTCTGCGGCGTTATTATTCTGTGTGTTTCTCTCAGCAAGCCCAAGGTCTTGCTGGACCTTGGGCTTTTTATGCTACCAAGCCAAAGAACCTACAAGCTCATTTGGGCTCAGTGGCGGTGTCTGCCATCGCTTTGCCGCTCCCCCCTCCCGCTCAGATCTCTGCAACCCAGCTGGGATGTGTAGGCCCAGTATCTAGTCGCGCTTTTAAGTAGCTCCCTTAATGGATTCATTTGGGCCTATATGGGCCCAAATGGATTAGGAGGAGGACGACAGAAAGAACCCTAATTTCGAAATAGGAACGAAGTTCGGGCGATCGTAGTACAAGAACTGAAAAGGGGGGATCCATTCTCTGAGAAATGAAGAAGAAGAAGAAGAAGAAGAAGAAGAAGAAATATTCACATCGCCATGATCTCTGGGAGATTTTCTGATGAAACAGAGTAAAGGGGATCTCGCTCTCATCACCATCTTCTCTCGCACTTCCTGGCGCGGGCCTTCTTCGAGTCTGCGGCTCGTCTCTTCTTCTGTCTTTCCATCTTCTCGACGGCCCTCTCCAGGCGCCCGACCCTCTCCAAGAGGCCGCTCATCAGATGGAACTGGATCTCGTTCTTCTCGCAAAGCTCCGCCACCAGCCCTTTCAGTCCTCTGTTCTCCTCCGCCATTCTTTCCATGAACTGCGTCATGCACCGTCTGGCTTCTTCACCGTCGCCTGTACTCTGCTGCGCGACTCCAGCTGGGGTCGGAAGGCGTGGGAGCATTCTGGCTGCAACAGATCTCTCCCCCCTCACTTCCTCGCTTTCAATCGCATCCTCCGAAAGATCTCCATGGCGGTCCTGCGATTCTTCTCCCGAGGCCAGGACTTCATCTTGGATTTCCTCCATGGTGTCGGCGGCAGTAGTATCCTTGACCTCTGACAGCCCCTCTGAATCTACCAGTTCACAACTAGATAGCGGCGCGCCATCATCTACCGCGGAGACCGATGCTCGAATCTCCTCCGTCGGCACTGGGGCTGCTCCGGATTCATCGGAGATGTTCTTCCCCTCGGATGCATCCTCAGATGGATCCGCGAATGCGCCACCAGAGGCAACCACTTCCTCTTCTTCTCCCTTAGTGTCGGCCGTTGCAATCGCATCCACGGCCTCCTGGATTGCGATCGCTCTCCGAATCACCCTCCGCCGGTAGTCCCTCACCCCACGGACGGAGTCCAGCCGGAAGAGCAGAGACATCAGCGCCTCGCTAACCCTAATCCGCTCCTTCGCATCAGCACCTAGCCGGTCCTCAGATCCCTTGACTTCTTTCTCGACGATCTCCACTTCGACCTCGAGCTGGCGGAGGACTTTCATGTTCTTCCTCACCAAGAAACCCCTGCAGGCCTTCTGGATCCTCATGGCGGCTGCCAACATAGTGATTCCCGCCCTCGGCCTTCCGTCGGCCGCTGCGGCGGCGGCGGCCGCCGGGGGAGTCTTCTGTCGTTTCTCCTTCTCGTCGGAACCGATGAAGTGGACAGGGATGGAAACGACCTTGGCGGGGCCGGCCTTCGAAGAGGACGCCGCCCCCCTCGGCCGGACGTTGCCACTCCAGAAGCTTGGACGAAAGTGATCCTCCATCGGAGACGACAGCAAGCGCAGATGCAGGAGAGAAATGTGTCTGGTGGGGGGCTTCAAGTGTCGGGGAGCTTATTTATAGGGTCTCTTTTATCTAGAGAGCTCAATAAATCTCTAGAAGTTTCTACCTGTTGCCTTTGGACTTTTCTAAATGGAGAATCATCTAGAACATTCGAGAAAAAAAAGGAGAAGAAACGCGATAATTCTAGCGGCTTCAGCGCGCTGACTTCTGCGTCAATAGGCAAAATGCACCATCGTTGCTTGCCGGCAAGGAAGGGAAGAACAAGTCAGACCCTGTCCCCAGTTTATGTGCCGTCTGTTTTCTGAATTAGGCCCCCGTTGACTTACTTCTCCAAGCCACCAGCAAGGCGAATTCTTTTGTTTATAGTTGCTGACTTTCTTCTATGGCTCTGGCAGGCGGTGGTTAGGGTGTTCTTGTGAGCTCCCATCAATCTATGCGAAACTCCTTCACCATCTCCCCGTTTGATCAGAATTCGAATCACCCATCTGGGAACTTTCACGGGGGCCTGGTAGGCATCATATCCTTGAATGAAATAGCCGGTCAACGGGACGACTTTTTAGGTGGCGGAGAAAATCGTCTCGTCTGAGATCATCACCACCTCCGAGTAGTTTACAGTTTCTACGTCGTAAAGGTGGGATTTTTAGGTGCCGGCGCGGGAAAGCCCTTTTGGCCACCTGGGGTGTTCCTAACGGGGAAAGTCCTCTGTATTGGTGGGGCCAAGGTTACCGCCGCCGCTGGTGGGAGGTCGAAAAAGGGCCCCATTGCGGCCCACAGAAGTCAACGGCTGTCACGCCATGACGGGACATGATCTATAAAGATAGGGGGGGCATTATAGACGGTGGGCCTTGCCACCCATTTGTGGGCACCCTCAACGGGGCCTCTAGGCCCACAAATTACTCTCTCTCTCTCTCTCTCTCTCTCTCTAAACTCCGCCACTTCACACCATTGAGAATTTTTTATCTTCTTCCAACCCCACATTGCGAAATCTGCTCCACCGCTTAAGGAAGAGCATCAAATCTGTGCACGGCGTTGGATGGTCAGACATAGAAAACAGATAGCGACAGATATTACTGTGGAAATGGGCAGCTCCGGATAGCTACATGCCTGAGATTTCCAACATTATTTTTCGCCGGGTGGGTCGTCGCTTTCATGATGTCAGCAATAGTGGACCGTCTAGGAATGCGAAGTCATCATCCACACGCGGCCGTGTGGTTTCAGATTTTTTTTCTTTTCTGGGAAAAGAAACATGAAGAAGACCATCAGTAATAGGGTAAACTCCTGAAGAGTGAAGATAATCGTGAACAGAAGAATCGTGTCTTCTTTGTTTCGATTCTTATGGGTGCCGATCCTCCTTCGTCGAATGCTAGCAGCCTCCGAAGTCAGCGAGAGTGAATCGTCCCGATGCGGGCGTGCTCCCAGCATGACGGAGCCCCAGAGTGAGTGACACGTCGCCGGAAGTCCCCGTCCTCTCAAGGGCCACCGCCATGGCGGCGCCGTAGTCTTCCAAGATCCCAACTCGGACGCCGTCTTCTCCCCCCGACATAATTGCCTCCGCGCCCACAACGGCCGCGGAGACGTCGCCAACTACGCCGCCGCGGTTGAGGCTGGCGAGCTGGGGATGAGGGAGGCCGGTCCCCCCTGCCATGTCTTCCGGCCGCTCGTGGCGCGGCTGCGGCTGCGTTGTTGACTCTGATGCGGCTGTCTCTCCCTCGCCGGCCTCCGTCGCCTCGTTCGCTTCTCGTTGATACATCTCCTCCACCATGGGTTTCCACAGCCGGACCCTCGCGTTTATGAACCAATTCGACACCTGCGGTGCACATCATCTGTTAAAAATAACCTTAAAAAGCTGAAATCACAAAGTTTTTGTCGCTCTCTCTCTCTCTCTCTCTCTCTCTCTCTCTCTCTCTCTCTCTCTCTTGATCTCTCTACCTCTCTAACCTCTCGATCTATCTGTATGCTTAGAAAAATCTGATTCTCTTACGACTCCTGCTTGTAATCTCTCTCGTGTCGTAGGGGCTCAGTCAGGAACATACCTGACTCCTTGATAACCCCGTCTGCCTCGCGAGAAAGTGCTTATCTGCGTCGCTTGGGTACCTGAAGAAAATGGAAAGAGATGAAGCCAGAGAAGACACACTGCCCCCTCACAAGGAGTTCCCCGGCGATCTCTTCAACTACCGTGGGGATGTGGTGTTTAAAAGAAGACTACAAGAGATTGTGCTCTCAGCTTCCTACTGTCAAACCCCGGATTGATGTAATTCCTTGGCGTTAGGCGTTAGGCGGATGAAGAAGAAGAAGAGTAAGAACAGAAGGCAGAAGAGGGAAAAAAATTCTCCAGGGTAACGCGGGTTTACTGTCTCCGGAGAGGTATCGGTGACGGTGACACTTACGGATGAAGGAAGTGCTCGAAGAGCCAAGCTCTGAGGACGTTGACCGAGCGCTCAGGCAAGCCCCTCTGTGGCCTCCAAGACTCCTGCTCCACCACTCCATACTGATTGAAAGTTCTCTGCTGTCTCAGGATCTGGTCGACCAGCCGAAGCCTGGGGGTCTCCCCCTTGGTGATGGCCGACGGGCCGCTCCCCTCTTTCTCCCCAAGGAGTCGACCCACGTGCTTCAGCTGTGCAGCTATGGCGTCTTTGAGGCACCGGAAGTGACGGGACATGGCCCGCCGCGCCAGACCCGTGTAGGGTGCCGCTGCGCCGAACCCCATGGCCGAGTCGAACGAGCTCACCATTGCCTGCATCTTCTCGGTGTAGTGGCTGTATCTTCTATCCACCTGAAAAAAGGGCCAAAATTATGGGAAAGCAGTCGCATGTACTCGTGTGTATGATTAATAATAATATATATACATATATCGAAGAAAGAGCAGAAGAGTGAAAGGAGGCCATGAATGAGAGCTTTTCAAGGAGATCAGAGTTATTGATCAATACGGGAAGAGTATCTTCATCTCCGTGCCAAAAAACATAAAGAAAGTCAGAAGCCACGACATGTCCACAGCTCCAATGATTCGTTCCATGTACCCTCCCCTTCGTAGCAAGCCTTCGTACGTGCCATAGGGTGCGGGTAAGGAGACTGGAAAGGGTGAGAGGAATAGGCGGAGGGTGAGAGAGAGGAGGGGGGGCTGAGGTGACGTTTGACAGGTAATTTCTTCCATCCGTCGTTTCCTGGTTACTGCCTGAGATAATCTCTATACCTTCTGTATAAAAGGGAGGGAACTATCGATAATGAATAATCTTTCGAAGCGTTAGAAAATCATTAGAAGATTCACAGAAGCTTCTCTCATCCCCGCACCTCGAAGACGAGAGAATTCTACGCGTTGGAGACGTGACAATTCTCCTTTCATCGAGTCCGACTCCCTGGGGTTTCCGAGGGATGACAGAAGTTTGCTTACCGAGTACGAGAGAACCAAAGATGAGAAAAGAGAAAGAGAGAGAGAGAGAGAGAGAGAGAGAGAGAGAGAGAGAGAGAGAGAGAGAGGTTGCCTCATAGAGAATGGAGATCAGCTTGGCCTTCCTCCTCTGATGCTCAAACCTCTCAGCTGGAGAGAGAGGTGGAGGCTCCTTCGCAGCAGCTGTTCCAGCAGCGGAACCCCCAACAGCGTTGGAGGAGCTAGGGTTTGGCTCCGTGGAAAGGGAGCCAAAGTGCTTCCCTTTCTTTCCTTTCTTCAGCAGGCCCATTCCCACACTGCAGAACTCTTGGAGAAGCTCCTGGGTGGCTTTGGCGTACTTGGGGTGCCTGATCATGTTTCCCATCCCGACAGATCCCACGTACCCCACTTGCTGCGCCATTTCCAGCTGCTGTAGAGAAGAGCTCAAGGATAGAGACAGCCCTTGATCTTCCATGCCCCCCCCTCTGAAGGACTCGTTGACGAAAGACGGGGACTGGAAGGAGTGAAGATGATGCGGAGGAGCTCTCTGCTGACTCTGAGGGGGGTTCATCAGGAACAGATGCATCGCCGCGACCGAGTCCGCATTCAACTCGGTCAACTCGTTCTGCTGAGAGTCGCCTCCCTGCGGCTTGGGGGTGTACCAGTTACCGGAAAAGGCGGCAGCCCCCGCCGCCGCAGAGGGCCTCTGGACCCGGTAATTGATCGGTATCTGGTTCGCAAGGAGGTCGGCAGCGCAATTCCCCCCTGCGGGAGGGAAATCGAACATGTCTGACAGCATGGTAGCGGCGGTGGCGGCTGATTCAGAGATGTGCACCTCCCCTTGTTCAAAGCCTTGCACCCTCAGCCCCTCCCGCCTCCTCTGTTGGGCGGCGAGAGCCTGAGAATCGACGGTCTCCGGTGATCTGCCGAAGCCGTTGGGGAAGCTGAAGATGCCATGGTGGAAACCCTGGGACATAGAGGATCTCACAGGGTTGACCGGGGAGAATGTCTACGGACCTGATTCCGGCAGAGGCTGCTGCTATTCCGATGCCATCTGAATCCGGCAGAGCTAACGTGATATCCTTCGGCCGATCCTAAACGAAGAAAACCCAGATCAGATTCTCCGCAACCCAACATCGGGAAGGATGAAAAAAACTGAGAATTTGAGAGTAAGCTAGAGAGAGAGAGAGAGAGAGAGAGAGAGAGAGATCCACTTGTTTTGGTTTCAGTCTTACCTGATGGAATCGTTTTCCTGAAGAGGAACTGAAAGCTTCCCCCGGTGTCTCTTCGGCATATATTAGCTGCTCCCTCTCCGGTTCTCCCTCCCTTCCTCTCTCTCTTTCTCTCCTTCGCTATCTCTGCTGCTGCCTTCCTCGCAACATCGTCTTCCGAAACGGCGGAGCATAATCTGTTTCAGACAGCCATCAACACAGGTCGCTGCTTTTGTCCGATTTTCTCCCTCCTTCCTCCACCCCTGGACCTTCTTTAAGCTTCTTTGGCCGTCTTAACGTAAATAACCACATAATCGTGCCCCTGAAGAGGAAGAAGGAAAGAGCCTCTCCTTTTCTCCAGAAGCTACCGTCGACAGCCGACCCCGTCCATGCAGCGAGGGTGTTTACGCCATTCCGTAAGAAATATCACAACAAGTCCGGTGGGCGTTTCCGGAATTACGAATCTTCTCTCCCCGCTTACTGAGCTCATTATAGTAATCGATATTTTCATTAAAAAACTAATGACGAGTCTCCGCTCTCCAGAGCCTGGTCAACACAAAAACTCAAATAGACCGCCCCAAAATCTTAAAAAAGAAAATCTTATCACCCAACTCGCTCTCTCTCTTTCTCTCTCTCTCTCTCTACACGGACGGATCATAAGACGCCCGAGCTCAAACTAGGCTGGCTCAGTGAGACGGGCCCCCGGGTCCACGGCGCCTCCTAAGATGAAAAACGGTCGGAGGAGTTGCAAAGCCGAAAGTTGGACTAGTCCAATAGAACTACAGTATCTGGGGTCCACCATTCCGTGGTCTCACCCTCGTCTGACCCCTATCCACAATCGAACGGTCAGGGGAGATGGTACCTGGAGGGGATAACACACGCCCTCCGATCTTGTCGGCTAAGAGAGCGGTAATCGCTCGTAGACAATTATTGCACCCTGATCGCAGGGGCATGTTACGTAAATTCAGACATCTTCGAGCCCCAGGATCCACCGAAGCGGTTGACATTTTTTTCGTTCGTGATGTCATCAAGGTGCACATAACCACCCGCTCTGCCGCCTATCAACGCCTTGGAGGAGGGAGAGAGAGAGAGAAAGAGAAAGAGAGAAAGAGAGAAAGAGAGAAAGAGAGAAAGAGAGAGATAAAGATAGAAAGCAAGAGAGAGAGAGAGAGCGGGGTGTTATGTTTCTACCGTTGGCGGCCCAACCGCGAACCGGACCGATGGCTGACAGCTCAACCTCCCCACTCCATCCTCTCTCTCTCTCTCTCCTTCCTCTCTCTATCCATCCATGCTTCCCTTCCTTTTTCTCTCCGTCACGTCCGTCCACGTTTCGGGCCATGAAGTCATGAGTTTCTCGCGGGTTCCTCTCCGCCGCAAAGACCTCCCGTCTCCCTCCGCAATTCAGACGTCACCCGTTTACCTCATCCGCCGCCATCAACAGCCCCAGCGGCGAGAGGCGGCTTCCTAGGTCCATACCGCCGTACAGGCGCACGTTTGACAGGTGGCCTGGCATGTGCAGCGCGCGATCCACGGGTCTTATTCTTGCTGTAATTCTTCATCCGCCGAGGGCTCTGTCTAAACTCACTCTGTGCTTGCTGTTCATCCGCACACACCCGAAGAGATACAAGGAGATAGAGAGAGAGAGAGAGAGAGGGAAGTTGGGAACCTCTTTAGGGGTCATTGTCAATCTGTCTCCGTAAATTCTCCGGTACCTACTCGCGGGGAGTCTTTCGGAGGTCTGTGACAGATAATTGAATAAGCGTTCCTATGTGGATACTCCCCACTGTAAGGGAACGGACTGAAGGGAGAAGATCTGTGAAACCCCGGTCTTGGCGGAGCCCCGGGTGAGAAGAGGGCGGGTTCTCGCAGTGAAGATTTACACCCCCTCGCCGGAAGGATTGGAGAGGGTTCTACGAATCCGTGTCTCTCGGCTCCATGAAGCGTTATTCGCTCTCATGTTTCCCCCATATCAGTGGGGTCAAGGCAAACGGAGAGGGCCTCCCCTTCTCTGGGATTGAATTTAAGCGAAGAAGTGTAATGTCGTACGAGAGGAACCGCCAAACGTGTTTTCTCTCTCTTCTCTCTTTTCTAGATTCCCGCGTACTCAGTCCGATGAGTCGGATTCTTGCGGCTGTCGCCGAATCGAAATTGATTCAGCTCATAGGAATTCATGGATGACGCTTGGAGCTCTCTGAAATATCGAACAGGCCGCCTTCACGAACTCCGACCAGTTGCCGGTAGGGCCGAGGGCGGCTTCGGGCCGGCCGGTGGCTAACAAGTGATACGGCACGTTCCTCTGCCGTGCAGCTAGAGGAGCGAAGGCTGGAATCGCCGTCGATGACCAATAATATGCGCGGGTTCTTCCTCATTCAGCCACCGTAGCCTGGATTCCAACGAATTGAACATTCAAAGGAACCGCAGGGGACCCAACCAGATGATGAATCTCCACCTCGGAAGCATGGTCTATGAACCATCATCGAATGGAAATCATCCGAGGCCTGGAGAGATCCTTCCGTTCGATCGAGAATGTAAAGGGAGACAGCATTACGTAAGTTTATTTGCGTTTGTAATGGTATCATTGTAGTCGGGAATCGCGGGAGTCGGATCATCAAGGGTCTACTGGATTCCTTCGCGGCTGGATGGCTGGTCTCTACGGCCTTCTTTCCCAGAGCTCGATAATCGATGAAAGAGAGAGGTCCGCTGCTCGCAGAGATGCATGGCTGCGATTGGTGTGGAGGAAGAAGATGATGGTCACGGGCATCAGTAAGCCGTTCCGACAGTCTGTTCGCTGCAGACTTCGTTCAACCAGAGGGGCCTTCAACGCTGGGAATTTAACGTGTTCCTTCTAATGCGGGCAGAATTATTTACCAGTCCAAAATTTTACTAGTCCAACTTGTCCCAGATTGCTCTGGACCCGGCCAGGACGTCGTCTTGTATCTGGCCAAGACCCAGGTCTGGGTCATATCGCTCTCACCTCCGAGAGAAGGGTTGACAGAGAGAGAGAGAGAGAGTTGAGCTCTGTTACATGTACGATGGCGAGACAAAGAACTAGGGAATTTATGAAAGCGCGTATTGACCGCACCACGTTCTGGCATTCGTGTGGGTACAATAAACGTTGACTCTCCTCATATCCGATTATCTTCTATGATTATTTTTTACATAAAATATTAATTCATTTTACGAAATATTATCATTATTATCATTATTAAGAAACCATTCCCCACATTTTACGAAATATTATGACATTATTATTATTATTCATTTTACGCCCATGTCAGCAAAACACCAGGCCGTAGTAGAGAGGGGCTATGAAAAATATCTTAAGAAGATAGTTATAGAGGATGCCCCCAAAAGACGTAGTAGCTCCGCTTGACCAATACGAGGCGCGAAGCTTCTCTCCTCTAGGACGAAAGACTGATTTCTGTACAGTAAGCACACCCCTCGTCGATTTGCCCTGGGCAGATGATGGCGTGGCTAGATTCCCGTCCCTCTCCAACCATAACCACCCTCTCCTCTCTCTCTCTCTCTCTCACACACACACACACACACTCTCTCTCTCTCTAGCTATCTAACTAAATAATTATTTATTATGTTTTTTTTTAATAAACGCGTACGTATATCCTTGACGTGCCACCAAACTTTAGAGCCAGGCCGAGTAGGTTACTAAAGGTGTGCATTGGCCAAACTCATCCGACTGGTCAGTCTCGATAACCATAGAAGTGGAAAGTTGATGATCCCGACGTCTCAACGACGGCTGAGATAAAACGTGGCTCAAACTTGCGAAATTGAAAAAATGCTTTGAAGATTATTATTATTCATTTTCTTATTGGCGTTGTGGACCCACCTAATATTTTTTGTCACCGACCAAAATAAATACGTGTGAAGTCTAGAACGAAAATATGCACTCCTACCCTGTGGATGTCCTTCAGCTCTCGCTTTCTCTGTCTCTCCAAATCCCCTCTCTCTCTCTCTCTCTCTTTCTCACCGTGACGGTGGTCCATCGCACCCTTATTTACCACTCCGTGCCGCATGGCTGGAGAGTGGGTCCAAGCTCGTACTTCATATGAGTACGCCCATGGATTCATCATCTGAGATGTTGTCGATGCCAAGTCTTGCAACCTACGGGTATTATTATTCTAAGTTAGCTTCCCATCTTACAATGGAAATGTTTGAATTAGACAAGAAAGAAACAAGCGAAAAATGTGTAATGGGTTGTGAATGAAACTTTATGAGAAATATGAATGATCAGTGGTTTCAACAAAAGTTCTACAAGGCCGTCGTCATCCACATGGCCGTCGATGACCATAGCGGATGAAGAAGAACGTGAGCAATGCCTTTCATTTTTTCGAAGAGAGGAGCAAAGTACATGTATGCTGGTATAATTGATTGATGACAATGATCGGCGACTAAAGACTAAAAACTAAGTATTTTTGTTGCATTTCTTACTCTGATTACTTTCTTGCGTGGAACGCAAAAGTCAGATTCATACCCAAAAAAGAAAACCCCGCTTGATCTCTAGAGAAGTTGGGTATGGGGTGGGAAGGGTCTCACTCATAGGAACATAACGTGTTGCACTTGTCATGTGGCGCTGACTGATGACGCTCATCTTACAATTATCTCTCTCTCTCTCTCCCACGTCACAAAGTGGGTAGGTTGTAACTCGTCAGCGACCAGCGTGGGATTCGTAGGAGTTGGGTGTGTAGCTCATCGTGCGGGCAATTAGTGGCTAGGAAGGATTTGATCCTCCTATAAATTTTGATATTGACTATAGCATGATCTATCACGTAATATATGATAGTAATATATAATATTATAAAGTCACTCGCATAATTTCACGAATCCATTTATTCAGATACGCAACCCCGCACTTACTATTACGCTGAAGATGATGAAACCAGGAGTACACTTGTGCACTCACCATTATCATTGGTACCTCTGTTTTACTGCCCATGAAAGGCTCTCCCTCCCTCCATCTCTCTCTCTCTCTCTCTCTCTCTCTCTCCCTCCCTCCCCCGGCCACACACACACACACATTAGCCGATCTTATGATAAGCCGAATTACAGATGTCTCCAGATTTGTAGTATGCTTATATGTTTCTGACAAGCTCATCGACCACAATGGAAATAATGACAATAATGCTTTAATGTCCTTTTGACCAATTAAATTGGAAAGCGCTTCCCATGCGAGCGTCTCTCTCTCTCTCTCTCTATGGTTCGAAGACTTCTTGGCATCTCTACTTTTCAATCAGCATGGCTGCCGGATTCGTTCTGCAGGCGCCAGATAAGGACGGGTTCACGGCACGAGGGAATAACCTGATCCCACACGTGCGTTGAAAGGGAGGGAGAATCCTGAGTTAGGCACGAGTCGTGTTTCGGCGCGAAAGAGTAACAAAAGGAATGTGGGAGAGAGGAATCTTCTCCAAACGGCGGCGAGCTTCCAGCCGAAGTGGGCCTGATATTGGGTCCGCATGTGTTCAATTCGTCGAGAAGAATTAGATCAGACTCCGGGCGTGGATCTAATGGGCCTGCCGGAGAACGCTAATCGTTAGGCCCACATCTAAACAACCTCACTTTGATCGTGGGCCGCTGCAACTCGCTATCCGATCACATGCATGCAGCCCGATTGGGAGACGCGTGAAAGCAAAACCGTCCAATTCTTGAAGCAATCCCGGCACTGGGCCGAAAGGGAGTTCAGTCTATCTGAAGGCCAGTCTAATAATAGATCATCTCCGAGGCCCATTATGACTTACGTGGGCCAATAATGGGCCTTACAATACTGGAAAAAAGGGCCATTGGCCTCCTCTGGGAAAGGATAATGGGCTTTTTTGACAGTGCCGATGGACGAGCGGGCATCTCCGCTGGGTCAACATAATGGGCCCCTGATTTAGAAAATGGTAAATGGACAAAAGGGTATCGTCACTCGGCGGTGAAAATGGGCAAACGGGTACCGTCACTGGGACTCATGACTCACAGTGTTAATGGCCCTTGTTCTTGTTGGCTGCTTCTCTCTCTATCAGCGCTATGAAGATCACCTCGAAGCCGTCGATTTGATCGTACGATCAGCCGCGTGTCATTCAGCAAATGGCAGGGTTCTCTGGAATCCACGTGGACCTATTTTGGCTCACAATTCCCAGATTTGCCCATGTGGTTTTTAATCCGAGCCAAGGAAAAAACATGAGGTACTGACGAGGAGGTGACCACATCGCGGTCGGTGGGAATGCTTTGCTGTGCCGTTTCGATACAGATAGACTAAACTAGCGGCGTAGAAGCTCTCCCAGCAGAGCCTTCTTCTTCTTCTTCTTTCACAGTGGGCTGCCGTCGCCTTCTACGTCGTCAGTCCCTCTGCCCACCCTTTCTCCCCGGCCATGGCGGCTTCTTTGCAGATGTGCCGCTTATCTGGCTTGGTTGATCCCCGGAGCCGCACCTCCAGCACCCGCAGAGGCGCGGTGAGGTTGGTACCCGTGAGGTGCGGCGGAGGGGAGAGCGGCTCGGGATCAGCGGCGGTGGAGTCCGATTTCGATGCGAAGACCTTCCGACGGAATCTAACCCGGAGCGAGAACTACAACCGCAAGGGATTCGGCCACAAGGAGGAGACCCTCCAGCTCATGAACCGCGAGTATACCAGTTGGGTATCTTACACTCCAGCTGTTCTCTATCCGTATGTCCGATTCCTTGATAGGGTCATCGACGGATGCAGGAATTAGATTCAGTTGGAAATGCCGAGGTTTATTTCCCTACCCCTTCTATCCTCTTACCTGTCCTGCTGTTTTGCCCTGGAAATTATCAGGTGACGTGATCAAGACGCTCAAGGAGAACAACTACGAATACACTTGGGGAAGCGTGACGGTGAAGTTGGCGGAGGCCTATGGTTTCTGCTGGGGAGTGGAGAGGGCAGTTCAGATTGCATATGAAGCAAGAAAACAGTTCCCTGAGGAAAGAATATGGATCACGAACGAGATCATTCACAACCCTACCGTCAACCAGGTGAAAGGCACTGCTTTTGGTGTTTGTTCATCTACTTTCATGGGAAAATGGGTTTGAGTAATTTATAAATCAGTGGTGTATATAAATATATATTCTTGGAAGAATGTTTATCTTTTGTTCACATGAAGACCAATTGTTCCATCTCTGACGTTCCAGAAGATCGGATGCAATATCGTAATTTGAAGTTTGATTTCCTTGCCGCCTATTGTCGCATCTGAACCGTAGAATGACTAAATGATGAGCAAATGAAGGTAGAGATTGATCTCACGGTATAGTTTTTATGTAGAACAGCATCGAAGGAAGCGAGAGGGGTCCGTAAGGAGTAGCCAAAAAGGCCCATGAGGATGAAACGTGGATGGCTGAAATGCAACAGCATGTTCCCTTCAGAGATCCTTCTTTCTTTTCTGTCTGTAGTTTTATTTCCAGATATTATTTTTATCTTCTAGGAAATCCTTTCTCTCTGTAGTTTCTATTTCCAGATATTGTTCTTTAGAAGATAAATAACTAATTATTTCCTGTTTTAACTAGCGCGAAATGTATAATTGGATGGATTTTCAAACCAAAATAGTATCTTGATGTCGCCTTCTCCTTGTAGATTTGATTATAGCTCCTTTCCTTCCTTGAGAACGTAAAGGAACTCCCTTTTTTATCCCCATGGGTGAAGGATTTCCTCCCCTATTGTTCTTTCCGGGGGTTCAAGGATTTCAATCTTCCTAGTAAATTCAAGGTTCAGTTTTCATCTCAGGGTTTCCTCTGCATCAACTCATCTGCCCCTCTATAGAGGGTTAGTCCACGAGAGATCTGCTCCTCAGCTGAAACTTCAACCCATCTTTTGTTAAAAGAAACTTTACATCTGAAGTCCAGCATCCCCCTTCACCATCATGATCTTCCTAGTTTTAGTATAGCTGGATTTTATTTTTTTTAGATTACTATTAAATTAATGGTTCAGGGGCGCTGTACTCTTTGCGTTTCTAGAGAAGATCAGCCTTTCCATCCGCTTTGTGATACTGAGAAGTTTCATATTGCAGAGGATGGAAGAGATGGAGGTGAAAAATATTCCTCTTGATGAAGGGAAGAAGGTGTTTGATGTCGTTGACAAAGATGATGTCGTTATATTACCCGCATTTGGGGCGGCAGTGGAGGAGATGAAGATTTTGAGTGAAAAAAATGTTCAGATAGTTGATACAACCTGCCCATGGGTTTCCAAGGTGAGTAACTATTTCCTTGGATCATACAACAACAAATTTTTAATTTTTTTCCCCTTTCTTTGCATTTCGAAATTGATTTTCTATCTCCACTTAAATTTTCTAAAAGGTCTGGAACACGGTCGAAAAGCACAAAAAAGGTGATTATACCTCAATAATCCATGGAAAGTATTCCCATGAGGAGACCATTGCAACTGCATCATTTGCAGGGAAGTATATCATCGTGAAGAACATGTCAGAGGTTGAATCAAAAATCTTTTTTTTTATTGTTTAGCTAATTTGTAATATGTTTTTCTTGTGCAAGTATTTATTTTCATCATGATTTTGTGACTGAAGGCGATGTATGTATGCGACTATATTCTTGGAGGTCAACTCGATGGATCGAGCTCAACAAGGGACGATTTTTTCCTGGTGCCGTACTCTCTTATGCTCTGTTTTATTACTCATATCCGGACGTAAATGTAGGTTCATTACGGAATATCTCTGTACCCACCTACAGAAATTCAAGAACGCCGTCTCTGCTGGATTTGACCCAGACGTTGATTTAGTCAAAGTTGGGATTGCGAACCAAACAACAATGCTCAAAGGAGAAACAGAAGAGATTGGTGAGCCTCATCAATGTATTCTGAATTTCAAGATTCATTCCTCTGTTTCAATTGAACTTGAAGATTTAATTTCTTTTCTTTTCTACTCCAGGGAAATTGCTCGAGAGGACCATGATGCAGAAGTATGGCGTCGAGAATGTCAACAGCCATTTTATAAGCTTCAACACAATCTGCGATGCTACCCAGGTCAACCCCCACCCTTATCAGTGATTTTCCGTAAATGTGAAAAAAAACAATAAATATTTCAGCTTTGAATGCCAATATCTTGTCAGTAGTTAATTTTGGGATGTTAATCTCTGAACGTGGGTTATGTTTTGAACAGTTATTTATGTACCATTAGTTCCTCCTTTTATCGTCCCAAAGTGGCGCAGCTCTTTGGCAGAAAACCTGATGTCACCATCTTTGTGCAGGAGAGACAGGACGCAATGTATAAGCTAGTCGAGCAGAAGGTGGACCTCATGTTGGTGGTTGGTGGATGGAATTCCAGCAACACCTCGCATCTTCAAGAGATTGCTGAAGTCAACGGGATCCCCTCCTACTGGATCGACACCGAGAAGAGAATTGGTCCTGGGAATAAGATAAGCTATAAACTGAACGTAAGCCCTTCAAGTCAACGCCGCCACCCACCCACCCATCAAAATTCTTGTGCTCGACCATTATTTATACACGTGTGTCCCTGAATCCGTGGCAGCATGGGGAGCTTGTGGAGAAGGAGAACTGGCTACCTCCGGGCCCCATCACCATTGGGATAACTTCAGGCGCTTCGACCCCAGATAAGGTAACTTTTGCACCCCTGATACTTTTTGTCTTGCCATTTTTCCATTTCATGAGGAAATTTATCATACTTTACTAAAAAAGAAAAATAAATGGCTGAATCTCACACCCTTCCTCATCATTTCGCATGCACTTTATGTCCATGCTGGTTAAACATTGTTCTTCCCAATTTTTATGCCTATTAGTGACCTCATTCCTGTCAATATTCTTTCTTCACCCACTTCAACTCATTCATTGCTACATGAAAAGTAAACAAAAAAATAAAAATAAATCAGAACATAACGTGATTTTACAGGATATCTTCTCTTTAATGGAATGAACCTTAAAAAGAAAAAATATTTCATGATTTGCGTAAAATCATATAATTGGCGGCCTGGCAGCTCCGAACTGGTTTCGTTTGACCGACGACACCAGGCAGGAAAGGAGCTGGGCCGCCACATGTGAAGGTACACAGCGAGCGACCTTCCAGGTCAAACCGTAATGAAACAAAACCTGAACCAGATTCAGCTCGGGCGGGGCAGATTCTTTTTCCTTCGAGGCATGACAATTTTGAGACCCAATTCGAAGAAATCTGGAGTCGGGCCCCGGCTACGACTTGACCCCAAGCATTCCCTCTCCTTTCGACAGCTGATCCGAGTCAACTCCCGTTCATTTGCTCCCTTGAACACGTGGGATTTATGAGCTTCCGCCCCCATGATCCTTGTGCAGGTCGTTGAGGATGTTCTTGTGAAGGTCTTCAACATCAAACGCCAGGAAGCTCTGGAGGTGGCCTGAGCTGCAGAGTCCCCGGGCCGGCGACGTCTCTCCCCGTTTGTGTACAGTGCTTCTCTCAGATGAGTAGAGCAGCCGACTTTCTTGGCTTCCCTGTTGAAACTAGGCACTAATCTCATTGAAAGGTTTGGTCAACTCCTATTGCTCCGCATCTCAGCCGTCCGTTTATCGTTGACCGGAGATCCCTGGTTGGTCCCTATCTGAGTTGGGGCGTCCGGTTCAACCCAGTTCTTTCTGGCTTTGGGCTCTAATCATCATGTCTGGAATCTCTCTCTCTCTCTCTCTCTCTCTCTCGCTACGACTGGACCCAACAGATAGGCCCAGTAGGCCCGACCCACTTTGCGAACTGGGAGGGCCATCGGATCATCGACTGACCATCGGGAGCGTTCTGGTCATTCCATGTCATTTTTAGCTATCCTGGAAAGGATGTCATGTGGGGCCCACATTCAGGACACGTGAACAGTTCTCATCTTCCGCCTCCGCGTCAAGGATATTTCGGCGCATACGGGACGGATTCTTTATGGATATACTCGCGCTTCGAGATTGGATATCGTCCTCGATCACGCAGCATCCTGACCGTCCATTTCAAGGGTCTAGTAGATTCCTAATGGGCCCCATACTCTGGTAAATAACAATTCGGCAAAAAAAAGAAGTGTTTTACCAATATATTTTTCGGGCTTTTTAGGCCCGTGAACGGCCCGTTTTCTAGCAGATCAGGCGAAAAAATGAAAAAACTGGGCACGACCGTGAGACTAGCGAAGGATCGGCCCGAAGTTAAAGAGGCGACCGGGGCTTGGGCTTTTTTACGGGCTTTGAAAAGTAACGGGCCAGGGTCATGATGCTTCGACCCGGTCCATCCTTTTAACCCAGCGTAGTGTAACTTTTACTGTCGAGTTGATAGCCTCGTCTCCACCACCCCTCAACCTTCTCCTTTGAAGCCACTGCTGGTCTCCGTACACAATCAGCATTTAAAGCCAGGTCCTCTTCCTACTCCTACCCATCACGAAGCAGAATAGCACCGCCGCCATACTCAGGAAACGTCACCGTCGATGGGGAGAAGGGACAGTATGAGATGGGTCGACAAGTCCCTCAAGGACTCCGTCTTCCTTTCGAGAGAGGAGGCGTCCTTCTGGCTGGGGATAGCGAGCCTCGTCTACTGGGGCGTCGCGGAGATCCCTCAGATAATCACCAACTACCGGACCAAGTCCGGCCATGGCGTCTCCTTCGCTCTCCTCTTCACTTGGTTAATCGGGTCCTCCCTCCTCTCTCTGTATCTCTGTTTCTCTGTTTCTCTGTTTCTCTGTTTCTCTCTCGTGTCTCTTCTAGCTGATCAGAAAAACTGAGGGGTTCGCCCTTTTCCACACGCAGGGACGTCTTCAACGTAGTGGGGTGTCTGCTCGAGCCGGCCACGGTATGCACAGAAGACTCTCATAATTCTACTCGCAGGACGAGTGCAGCTTGTGTTTCTGATTTTCTCTAACACTCTTTCTTCTGTGCTTCTGGTATGATCAGCTGCCAACTCAGCTCTACACGGCCTGGGTGACAACACTCTGTCCTTCTTCGACAATTAAACATCATCCGAAGGCCTTCGTGGAGAGAGAGAGAGAGAGAGGTGTGCCTGTGTTCTGATTTTAGCTTTCGCTCCGCAGCTTTACTCGGGCATTACGGTGGTCTTGGTGCTGCAAACTTTGTACTACGACTACGCAGTGAGGTGGTGGAAGTACAAAAGTGTCGACATCAATCCAGAGCCAGAGGTATATCTCCGATCTTCTACATCAACGAAGTCGTCGTGTATTATATAAATTCAGATGACAAAATATTCCGAAGTAGGTCAGCGAAGCATCATACGGCCGTTCTACTGACGTCGGCTTCTCCTTCTCAGGTCGAAGACGGCAAGAACTCCGTCGATCCCCGACCCACCGTGCCCCCCACCGCGCCAATACTCCTGCCCGCCTCCGCTTATCCACTCCCTCCACGAGACGTTCATTATATGTGCGTCAACTTACGTAAACAATCTACGGGTTGTAATATCATTGTTACATCAATTCCTTCGCCCTGTGGCTCCTCGGACGCGCTCATATCTCGATCTCTCCTCGAAACAGGTCCGCCAGGTCCCTCGCCAACAGCGGCACGCCGACTTTTGGATCTTATCTCGTCGCGAGGAGCGATCCCGCCGGCAGACAGCCGGCGCTGCTACTGGACTCCTCAGACGACGAGTCCATGACGCAGCACCGCTCGGGCGTGGCTGCTGCAGTGGTCTCACTCTCGGTGAGCTCATTTATTTAACTCTCTCTCTCCCCTCGCTTTAAGATGCCTTCCTAAGTATTGCGATGCCCGGCTAAACCCGCCGCCGCGGGTCGAGTGTCGTCAGCATCTGAGGGCCTTGGGGAGGGGGGGTGGACACGCTTCTCGAGCTTATCTCTTTCAGGCCTCCAATGGGACCCACATTCACACGGAAGTTTGTCGTTTTCATTTCCATGATACTGTTCAGTCAGCAGTCTTTCTCACAGCCTCCGATTAAAGTAGCAACAGGACAGAGCCTTATAACATGGTCATAGATTCCTTTGCGATTGTTTACTAGAATGGCCCAGTCTATTTCTGTAACTCTCTTGATCTGATTGGTCCACGTGTGCAGCCGGGTCGCGGCACCTTGATGGCCGTCTGCGCGAGCCTGCCGTTTCGGACGAAGGCTTTAATGGGAGGGGCCCTGGCGGTGCTCTCCTCCGACGAATCCTTACAGGTACTCAGTTCGGAGGAGACCCTTCGCCGGTCAGAGGGAGTGGGCGGTGATCTCTGGAGATAACGAGAGTTCTTGGCGCAGGAAGCGGGGCTAGAAGGAGGACCTTACGGCGTCTGGCTGGGATGGATAATGGCCGCCATCTACACGGGAGGCCGCCTCCCCCAGATCATCCTCAATGTAAGAGATTCGCATAATTTTGTTCGATTTCGATCGATTTGATCGGGTTTAAGCTGATGAGGTTTGCTTGTGCAGATCAAGAGAGGGAGTTTGGAGGTAAATCTCTCCCCGTCCGCAAGATTATCACTGGAGATGATTGGTGGAGAAAGGAGCAAAGATCTGCGATCGGTGGTGATTTTCTCTCTCTAATCTCTGGCTCCGTTGATGTTTTCTGCAGGGCTTGAACCCCGTCATGTTCCTACTGGCCGTCCTCGCTAATGTTTCTTACGTGGGAAGGTCTCTCTCTCTCTCTCTCTCTCTATCTCTCTCTCTCTCGCTATGACTGAGATATCGATCTCCTTTTTTGTCTCAGCATACTGGTGAAGAGTGTGAAGTGGAGAAGAATAAAAGCCAACGCACCATGGCTACTGGACGCAGCAGTCTGCGTTATACTAGATCTCCTCGTATCCTTGGCCAGAATTTACGTAAAATGCACCATCCATCCCTTTCAAAGCTTTGGGCTGGACCCCCATGGAACGGTCATACATAGAGACAGACTACAGACACATACAGAGAGAGAGAGAGAGAGAGAGAGAGAGAGAGAGAGAGAGAGAGAGGAGGGTTAGGGTTCACTCTTCTAGGAATTGAAATTATAATATGCATATTGTTCACTTAACCATTTTGTGAACAGATCTTACTGCAGTATCTGTACTACAAGTCTGTCCATGAGAGGAGGAGAAGAAGAGATGGCATGCGGGACGGTTTCGGAGACTATGAGGAGATCAAGTGACCATCCCCGTGAACACACGATCGCGTGTGCGCATATGGGTTGCGTATCATCTAGTTTTGACTTTCCATGTTCGGCAATTCTGTCAATGGGGACCGTTTGCCCATTGACTCAAAAATAAGATGAAAGGAGAGTACTTTTGCCCGACACAATTCTCATGATTTATAGGCCTAATGGTCTGAAAGGGTTTATTGTGCCAATCCAATTGCCAATTATCGTGCCAAAGAAAGAGAGAGATGGATTACTAGGCCAGCCCAAATAGGACTTGGCAACCCCCCAAAATTCTCAATGGCTTCCTTTAAAATCCTTAGGGAGCGGCAATATTTGCCTCATATACTCGAGGTAAGTGACTCTTAACTTTTGATAACACTTAAACATAGTTTGCAAAGACAATAACACCCTTATGCCCCTAAATCGCATAATGCATCCTCCCCTTCTCTCTCTCTCTCTCTCTCTCTCTCTCTCTCTCCAATGGCCATCATATCCAACCATATCTTCGGGCTTGTCTATTGTCTGTTTGCATTTGCAGTGACCAAGCCTCCCACCACTTCCCTTTCTCTCTTAGCATCATTCCTCAAGCCACTGCCTCAACAAAACCATCCATGCTTGTCTAGCACTATTGTGTAGCAAATATTGGCAATACTAGCCCCATGTAGGTGCCATCCCCTCTCCATCAAAACTACACAATTGTGTAGCTCCTTCCCCTAAAATTTTTATGTCGTTTTAAAGGTATCATAAATCTCACTCCCTATCCTTTACAAGCCTGGTTCAATATAGAGAAAAATTGAAGGTATAGAATTGGAATGTTAAAGATAATTAGGTGATCATATATATTAATATCATGGCATATATGTTATTCGTCCTTGTGATGTAAATGTAGAAAATGGATGAAAGTTCTCCAATTTAAACGTCATTTCTATAGGTGGAGGTGGAATGAAAAACATGTAAATTAGATGGAAAAAAAATGTTGTAGAAAGGAGAACAATGTTCATTATTGGAATTGTTATAATATTTTAGTGTCATTACAAAAAAATGAACACAAAGGCCAGTTTTATTCTCATGGGTACAATAATTAAATTTTGATGATGGTTTAAGAAACTGATGTTGATGTTTCACTATTTCAGTTATCCATAATGCCTAACTCCAAAAAATTTGCATTCAATGTTGTAAATTTATTTATGTTCTTTAAAAAATCAAAGTGATGAATATAATGAAAAATAGTTCTATTATGATAATTATTAAATATATATCAAATATTGAAAAAGAAGATGATTGTGCATCTAATTTTTAATGTGAAAAAAATGATATTTGTTGCAACAATAATGAGATGAAAGTAAGTGTAAGCTCAATCATTGATGAGTTTCAAAATATGTCTTTAAGGACATTGTATAAGGTCCTAGTTATGAATGAACTTCATTAAAAATCATTTGACGTGTTGACCTCATGTGTTAAACTAAATTATTTTTTGTGTATCTATGCATGCATATTACCCAATAAGATGATAATATAGATAAAAATGTTAAATGACATTTATATTAGCACATCTAATAATAGGATGACCTTGGTGCATTAGATTATTTATCGCATTCTTCCAATGTTAAAAAGGCCTCCATCTAACTGATGGTTAAATCTAGAAAAATTTAAATGAGATATGTAACAATTGTATCTATTAGCACATGATTTGAGATAGTAATGAGGTTAAATTCAAGATAATATGGTAAAGTTGTTAAAATCCTATATAATAACATATTCTACTCTTTTATTTCGGTACTAATTTCCTTTCACTTCTTAGTTCATAGGATCTAGATGACAAAAAATGTGTTAAAAAATGTTTTGATCATCATACATTTTCCACTCTCTAAGTTCCATGTATGATAACACTTATTGGATTTTAATAAGTCATTAATGAGAAACACATTGAATTACATACTGAAGCCTCCTTATCATTTGATTTTATAGCTCCAGTTCACTCATGATCACACACAATAATCATCTTCTTGATTCACAACCCTTAAGGAACAAAATTAGAGGAGAATCTACTCTTCTCTTTCAAATTCATGATTGTAGAGAACAAAATGTAGGAAACACACTCATCTATTTTAAATTCACACTTTAGGAGGCCAAATAAGATTAACATCAGCTAATATCTTCTAGATTAAAGCTCTAGATGGGCCTTGAGTACAAATATACTATAATTATAAAGGTAGAACATGTTACAAAAAAAATTCTTTCAACTTATTATTTCTCAAACTCTTCAATCATCTGATTTCATGATTGGAGAAGCTTGGCATGGAGCCTAGGTTTTGAGTAGCAAGTGGTTGATGTTGTTTATTGATGTTCAAAGTTGAACTTATGAAGCTTGGAATCTTCAAAAGAAGGTGGAGTATGTTGATGTATTTTTTTTTATAATTTTTCTCTTAGGTTCTAATCACCACACCCTTGCTCAAAATGAGGAGAAGTTCCTTCCAATATCCAACATAATGGGCCACCCAATGGTCATTCAACAATCTAGAATGTGCCACGTCACCTTAAGTCTAAACTTTATAAATACTTTTAACTATTATAAAATTCTTAAAAAATTGAAACCTTTGAATGTTGATGCAAAGTTTCTTACTTTTGTTCCACTTTTGGTTAGTTTTCAGTAAATACTAGAAATTTGTGTTTGTGACAACAATTCTTATATAAATTTAATTCATTCAAGTTTATACATCAATATTAACTATTTTTACCTTGAATGAATTTTTAAATAATATCAAACATCACTATTTACCACTCTATCTTTGATAATTAAATACCTTCCTCAATGAATCAGTAATTCAGATCATCTAAATTTGTAATTATACTACTATAAGTTTACCAAATTGCCCTTCAATGTATGTTATCATCATTAAAACAACTTAAACTCTTAAAAACTTCAAAAACTAAAATAAGCATACGAATAAATTTCACATGTAATAGTTGAGATATTCTAATATAGTCAAGTCACAATGACATGGATTTAGATATTGATTACTCTTTCTAGAGATTTTATGTGTATCTAAATAAACGTAAAGTTTTTTGTTTGGTAGTGTACACACTATTGATTAGTACAAATATATTAGTGAAAGTGATATATATATTTTTTTTGTTCATGTTACAAAGGAACACAAAGACAGGGAATGTAAATAGATACTCATTTTTAATAGATTAAGATGAAAATAAGTCTAATATAAAAGATGAGGGACAATACTATTTAGATGAGTTAACTCCCTACATACAGTTAAGATGATTTAATAAAAGAGCTCGAAAGTTCATAAGATTTTATGCTATATACAAGAATAAATAGTAAATTTACATGGTTACAAATATGCTAAGAGATTAAAAAATGTAGGCAGAATATTCTTCTAGAGTGTCTCTTTCTATTTTTAGCAAGGGAGTTGACTCATCTAATTGGATAAGATTTTATACTCAAAGTGAGAAAGACATCACATAACTATATGGTAATTTTGAAAACCAAAAGCACCTTTTCCATTGAACTTGCCCATTGAAGTTACAAAGAAGTCTTTCTTCTTAGTTAAGAAAGTAAGTCAACTCAAGTAATATGAGGAGAATGAATTAATTTCTCTCAAGAAACTAGTTGACTCATCTAAGAAGAAAAGGCCTAATAAAAAATTTCTCTTCAAGGGTGAAGCTGAAATTTTATATTATAAAAATATTGAAACACTAAAATGTTTGGTTACATTGCAAAAGCTCCAATATAATATGCATAATTTTTTGTCCATCTAAATTTACTTTATAATTTGGAACTAGCCATATTTTTGTGTAGGAAGGATTAATTATGTTGGTTTTTTATTATTTAATATCATTCCAAAGTATTGATCATTTAAATTTAAAGTTTACAGATCATATAATAGGATATCTTTAATTAATTTTCTATGCCATAATTAGTAAGATAAAATGACCATCATCGCTATTTTGTAAGTTCAATTTTTTATATTAAATTATTGTTTTCTTAATAATAATTCATCCATTATGTAAATGTCTCATTTTAATGGTTAAAAAGATCATTATAAGTTCACATTCCTTAAATTAGTAACATAGAAGTCTCATTTATCATAATCTTTTGGATGCCATTAGCATGGATACGTTAAGAATATAATTCTAAGTTAAACCCTAGGGACTAAAAATAAAGCTAATTAGGGTTTGTGCTGGGTCTAGACACAAAGACGAGGGGTTTTAGATTATTATCCTAGTTTAAGTAGAGTTGAAACAAGAAATCCTTTTTAACAAAATGGACTGGGCCCAGCTCGGAGGACTTCTAGGCTCGTCTGATCAGGCCGGGCCGGGGCCCGGCCCTCTGGCACCTGCTCCGCGGGCCAGTCCCCAATCCTTTTCTCGTGCCCTTTCAAAAGAATAGCCGCCAGAGCTTCTGCCACCACGCTGAGGCGGCGCCGGCGGCGGAGGGATGGAGGGGGCGGAGGAGGTGGGGTTAGTGCTCGCGCGCGCGTCGGAGCTGAGGTCGAAGATTGACCGGTGCATCCTTGAGAATGCGGCGGAGAGGCGGCTCAGCGACGGGGACGCGCTGGGCCTTCTGTCTCCGGTTGAGGGTGGCAGAGAAGAGGAAGAGGAGAACGATGAGGACGACGCTGAGCAGGAGGAAGAGAGCCTTATAGACGTTCGCGATGCGCTGGAATCCCTCGAGCAGCAGCTCTCCTCTCTCCAGGTCCCTCTTTCTTCCTCCCTTCCTTCCCATACATATATTGGCTGCGCGTCTTCGCCTAGGGTTTGGTGCGAAGCTTTTCTTATCCGTTCATATATGATGACGTTGACGCTACGTGGAACGACCGGACCTATCGAGAGGTTTTTTTATCATACTTTGGCATTGTGTATGCGATTCTTTGATCTCGTATTTACCTGCATCCAGCCTCGCCATCAATTAGATGGGGGACGAGAGAGGGGACAACCGGTTGAGGGATTCAACCGTGTGCGAAGTTGAGTAGGTAGAGGGAGATGAGAAGGAAACCCACCCGCCAGAACAGGTTTCTGATTCTACTTGCATGAAGGACCGGAGAAGATCTGTATGCATCCCGTCTGGTACCATAGCTTTCCGTTTCTTGTCAGCCTTCTTGCCCGTCGCCAACCTTTGATCCATCTCAGGTATCTTGATGATGATCTGCAAGCTCAGAAGACTGAGTGATCTCACATGGCTAATAGAGGGTTTTGGCTGCTCGTATTGGTTATACTGGGAGCGGCTTGTGGGATGTATCCAGGATGTTGTTGCAGGATGGAGAGCCGGGGGGAACTGTGGGGCTTCGACCTTCAGATTTTCTGTTCAAATGAAGTAAAATTCATGGATATCGGCTTGTTCCATAATTAATTTATGACTAAAAAAATGTGATCAGTTAGTGTGAAAGAAATCTGAGAGAGATTTTTGGATTATTCATGACCATGTCGCTGTGAATGCATTATCCATGACCATGAAGATCATCTGAAACCAAGGGTCTCATTGTTCTGATAAAAAATGAATCATTCGCCCGCTATCATCTGTCTGATATTTGGGAATTTTAATCATTAATCTGGGCATAATTCTCCTTCTCTGGTCTTTTGGATCACAGGCACTGGAGCAGCGGCAGATCTATGAAAAGGAGGCAGCTTTGGCCCAGATCGACCGATGCCGCATGTTCCTGTTGAGCAGGATTAGGGAATATAAAGGGGATTCGGAAGTGGTGCAGGAGGCGTCGATCTTTGCTGGTGGAAACACAGAAGAAGATGGTGATCTGCTCCTCCCCCCCTACTCCAGCCACATACCCGAAGCATTTATCCTGGGCGGCCTTTCCTCCTCTCTCCACCTCCCCAACGGCCTGGGGAAGAGACCCTTGAGCAGGGTGGAAGACAAGCTGGGAGAGTCTAGCATGAAGCAGGCAGATTCTCTGGCAGGAAGCGCGTTCCGAAGAGCTGGGTTGTTCTTCAGGCTTGCGGCGAAGTCGGCGGTCGCCACTGTCGGAGTTCTTGCCATCTTGCGGCTGGCCGGGTTCGAGCCGAGGCTCGTAAGGAGGGGGGGGCGGCTGAAGCCACCGGAGCTGCTGCAGACGCGGCGGTGCGAGGCGGAGGAAGCGGTGGCGACGACCCGGTGCCCACCTGGTCGGGTCCTGGTGGTGGAGGACGGGGTGGTCCGGTGCGTCGTGAAGGAGCGAGTCGAGGTCCCGTTTGGGTCCGTTGACCCGGCTCCAGTTGTGAGCTTGGGGCTCGGGTAGGAGAGCGAGCTGCGTTTTTTTTTTTTTTTTTTTTTTGCGTTGACCGTGCCCGTCCATGCTATGCTCACGTGGTGCATTGGATGAGCTCCCTGGAAGAAAGGCCGCGACTCTTCTGTTCTTGAGCTGTAAATTATATTTTAGAGTAGCGGCCTAAGTCGGCGATGCTTATGTCCATATGTCAAAGGGTAGCTTATGTCAGCAGGCCCGGGCCGGGCCCTGCTGACCTTATCCTGGGGCCCGAGCTCTACTTTCCTCCATAAGGCATGGGCCCTGTGGAAAAGTCCTAAGCGAGAGAGAGAGAGAGAGAGAGAGAGGATTTAGAAATCTAGAAAGAGATTTTACAGGGATCCACTAAGTGTGACCCGCTAGACTATTTGGGCTGCATTTGCGGCCCAGACTGGGAGATGGTGACTCATCGTGAAATTGGTGCATAGATAAGCATCTTGAAACAGCCCATACATAGATATAGACAGACACGCTGATGTATATATGAACATAATATGTATATTCATTTGTGAGGTCTTAGTTGGGGCTCGAGCCCGGCCCGAAAATGAGAATATGAGAGAGAGAGAGAGAGAGAGAGAGAGAGAGTCAGCCATAAGATATTGCACTAGGGACATAGACCGATCAAAACGGATCTTTTGCTTTTAAAAAAATGTATAAACAGAGCTATTTTCTAATGAAAGTGGAGTCGAGAATCGGAGGAACGGTCAGTTTATGAGACAATGGAGAGGCGCCGGCGAACTCCCTTTCGGGGTTTCCTCTCTTCTTCTCCTCCCATTAACTCCGGAATGGCCGTCAGCCGCGGCGAGAAACCCTTAACCCTCCTCCCACCGCCGCTCCCTCTCCTCACCCCGCCGGCGAGCTCCAGCACGACGCCGGCCATGGCAAGGGCGGCTCCGGCCTTCGCGGCGAGCGTGCCAACCTCCTCCGCGCAGAGGCGCCGCCGCAACATGGCCCGCGGCACGGCGAAGTAGAGCTCTCCCGGCAGGACCTCCTCGACGGGCGTCAGATACCCGTCGAGCTCCACGTCGTCGGCGTTGCAGAGGAAGCTGCGGGGGTCGCCGGAGAGCACGTCGGCGGCCCTGACGGCCCCGGCGAATCGCCGAAGCTCCCCGTTCGCCGTCACAACGTTCGCCATGGGAGCCGCCTCGCAGGCCCCCGTTCTCCTCCGGCGAGAGAAGAACATCCTTCAACCCCAGAGGAAGAAGATGAAGAGAAGAGGAAGAAGAAGAAGAAGAAGGCAGTAGGTGTCGTAGTAGAGGGAAGGTGTTGGAGGTGGACTGTATTATAAAGGGGCATGGACGAGGGAGAAGGAGCACGTTTTGAAACTTCTTCCCCTCCCCTCGTGGTGAGCGGACGCCAGGCTGGAAGCCTGATTGGACAGGTTGGGGATGCTCACATGATGACGTATTCAATCACCGGACCTTTTTTCGCTTGTCTCCACCCCGGATCGTCCGATGAATATCCGACGGTTTTTTGACGCTCAGACGATGACGTACTCAATCACCGGGGATTTTCACTTGTCTCCACCCTGGATCGCCCGATGAAGATCCTACGGTGGCTCGTCGTCGTCCTCGGCAGGAGCGAAGACATCATAAAGTCAGCAGACTGTTGTCACGGAGCTCCCATGACAACTGTCCATGGCTCGTGACATTTTCCAACCAATTATCTGTCGCCACGTAGAAATAAAAAGCATATGACTCTTTTCGGAAAATAACCCTGAAGAGAGAAAAAAAATAAAAATGGACACGTGCATTGCGCTCGCGCCTTGTTGAGAGTGGGATTTGAACCCACGCCCTTTCGGACCAGAACCTTAATCTGGCGCCTTAGACCAACTCGGCCATCTCAACTTATAAATAATTTGTTATAAATTTCTCATTCAAATTACAAAAATCCAGGCGTTGCTGGAGTCATAAGGGGGCAAGAAGAAGTTCGACCCACCAGAGACCTCAGAGATGGCGCATTTCCCCTCCAAGTAGCAGTTCTTTTCAAGACAGAGGAGGGGAAGTCGAAGGAGGTGCTCAACTAGATGATGTTGCTGCTGCATGACAAGGATGTCAAGGTGCTTGCACTTGAACGCGAATCCGATCGAGTTCATCTTGCATCCGTCTTCTGTATTTTCTCTTCTCTTGATGTTGATGAAAAGCAGGAGAAATATGTGGAAGAAGTATGCATATATATTCATGAACTCCATAGAGCATGGAGCCGATCCTTCCATGCTCAGGAGCTTTGCCAGATCCATGCTAGAGAAAAAACAACGAATGAGAGGAGCATAGATCGCACAGAAATGCTCCGCATTCTTGCTCTTCAATTCTTAGGTCAAAACCAGAGAGAAACAAAATAGCCGAGACATCTTCTAATCATCCGACGATCGCCGGTCATCTTCTCAAATGGCAGGCTCAAAGGAGATGAAGACGGTACCGGCAAAGCCGTATGTACACTATATAGATGCAAGAAATCTGACTAGTTTCCGGGCTGTTGTGGACAATGGAGCCGATCAATCGGTCTCGTGGTCGGGGGCCTGCGAGTACCAGGCGGGGAGTCTCCCCCGGCGTCGTAGCATGCGGGTGAAGGGGGAATCTGGCATCCTGGCCTTCTCCTCCTCTTCCAGCTCCTCCGCGGTGGGGGGCAACCCGTCGGGGACCGGGAACGGCCGCTCCTTCTCCCGCTCGGCTTTCACCGGCACGGCCTCCTCCGGGTGCCGCTGGCTGTGCATCTTCTCCACCGCCGTAAGCCCGTGAAGGCAGTCGATGAGGGACTGGTTCCCGCCCGCCTGCCTCACGAACTTCTCCACGTCATCTTGCTGCATCTCCTTCTGCAATTCGACGAGATCGAATGAAGATTAGACGTTTTCAGAGCGGAAAATAAGGTGGTTTCTGGACACACGAGGGGCCCGGAAGAATTGATACTCACTTCGAGATCTTTCAGCTCGAAATAGGCCCTCCAGCAACTGTACGAGTCGTCTCCTTCGAGCCTCGAGCAGTACTCTGGAATTTTTCGCAGAGATTAGAAGATCCGCAGGGAGGGTTGGCGAGAAGAACCGCAAAATCCGGGGAAAATAGAGGCCGGCGGGATAGACAAGGCAGCGGAACTCACCGGTGAGGTCGTTTTCGGTCTTCTGGAGAAAGGAGGGGTCCTTGACGAGCCGCTCGATCCTGCTCCTGCTGAACGGCTCCAGCTTCGGCACGGACGAGGCACCGTTCTCCGCGGTGCCGCTCCCGCTGGCGCTGCAAATCACCACCGGACGAACATATCTCACCGCCGACGACGGCGCCTTCGCCCGGCGAGACCCGATCTCCGCGCGCTCGAGGACGAGAGACGGCGCACAGTGGCACCGGAGTGAGGCCGCGCCGATCATCTCAAACTGTCAATGGGCTAGCTACCACGCTAGGGTTTGCTATGGCTATGGGATCGAGCCCTCTCTGCTCTGATCTGATTTCTTCCTCCCTCATTAAATCTCTCTCCCTTGCTCCGTTTTAAACGGGGAAGGAAGAGGGCCAAGTCCCATCCTTTGACACGTTGAGGCGGCCGCCAACGGATAAGGATCCGAAACCAGTCATTGTTAATCCCGTAGTCTTGGTTTTAACGGAATCCGATAATAATCTTGTTGCAAGAGAAGACGGATCTGGACCGTTCGTTTGTCCTACTAGGACATGATTTGGCCACGTGGCGTGCATTTGAAAAATATCTGCCCCTGGAGATATTTCCCGTGGCGTGCTCCCGCGGTTTTCCATTGGGATAAAAGCGGTGTACCCCTTAAATCTAATGGACGGCCGTGATCGAATAATCCGGTGGACTTCAAATCTGCTCTTCCGTTTTGATTTGGAAAGTTGGAAACCGGGGACCGGGCCCCCGGATCCAGAGAGCGGTAAAAACATATCGAGTCCAATGGGACATATATATTTGGGCCAAACTCGAGCCCGATGGGCAAATGTGTTTCTTATAACGGGCCGTATCTTATAGGCCCACATAGACCTATGGGGTTCTCCGAGCGCGGACAGAGGTGGGGTGACCCGTCGGCACAGACTACCATTTCGAACGCTTCGAGTCGACCGTTGGAGTGACTGACGGTGGCTCTCTCTCTCTCTTCTTCCGTCTCTCTCATCCTGTCGCCGAGAGGGTTTGGAGAGGGAGGAGGAGAGGGGAGGTGGAGAAGGTGGGAAGGAAGGATGGTGAGCACCCGTGCCCGGACCGTGGAGACCCCCTCGATGCCGAAGAGGGAAGGAATGGTGGCGGCGGGTGCGACGCCGCCGCCGGCGTGCCTCGCCGGCCGCCGGAGCGGGGAGTGGGAGGGGAAGAGTGGAACTTCTCTGGAGTACGAGAGGTGCAGGGAGGAGAGGATCCGAGAGAACATGGAGAGGATGCAGAAGATGGGCATCCTCGATCTTGCGCTCAAGTTTAAGTCTTCCGTTTCGGGGAGCAGTCCGGCCTCCAAAGGGCTACAGAGCCGGCGGTCTACTCCGTCCCCTGCCAAGCTGACCAAGGACTTGCCTCCACGCCGATCCTCCAGGTTTTAATCCACAGATAGCGACTGGATAGTATTAGCGTTAGGGATTTGGTGCTGCATTTGGTAGGAAATCTGGTGTTTATGCTGCCTGTGGCCGACACCATTTTAGCCCGAACCATTTACATTCTGCTCCTTGTTTTGCTGATATTTTCCTCTAATTTTTCCTGCTGATGTTTCCTTTTTCTGGCCATCGGAAAGTTTCCTGGTATTTTGGTGGCAGGTTATTGACCACCTTGATCTTTGTTGGAGGGCTTTTCTTTGAATCTAATCCTGTTTTCAGGGTATCCTCCTGCTCGATCTCGTTCTTCTGATCATCCCTCCATTTTTTGTCTTCAACATTGTTTGTTCAGGTCGCCGATCTCCTCCTCGGTTTCGTGGTCATTTTGGTTGATGGGTCATCGTCGGCGTTTGAATTTCTCCAGGATGACTACTGCCATGATACTTTTATACTTTCCTCTTGATCTGATGTCCTGAGCTGGTTCAGACTGCAGCACGCGACGCAGATCAGCTATTCGGAGATTGAGGTGAAGAGGAAAGACAAAAGCCAGTTCAGAGGGAGCAAGATCTCAGTGGAGGAGCGCGCGAAGGAGGAGATTTATACCGATGAACACCAAGATTTACTGGGCGACCGTGAAGCTAGCTGGACTCTCTTTGTGGATGGCTACGACAAGAATGGAGCGCGGATCTATGATCCTGTCAGAGGAAAGACATGCCATCAGTGCAGGTTGGTGCTTAGATGATCTTCAGAGAGTTCATCGGTGGGGTGGTACCATTATAGTAGATCCAAATGCAGTCTGACTGGAGAATGTCTTACACCCAAATGCAGGCAGAAGACTCTAGGGTACCGTACACATTGCAGCAGCTGCAACCTCGTTCAGGGCCAGTTCTGTGGAGATTGTCTGTACATGAGGTCCGTTCCTGCTTAAAATCAATATATGTTAATCATAACCCACAGAAACAGATGATGATGATTACTACTGAAATCGCTCCATTGATGATTATCAAGGTGTAATTCCTTAATATGCCATGGATGCGGTGGGATTCCTCGAATTTCTTCAGCTTGACTGCATCTTTGCTAGATAAAAGATGGTAGCTTTTCGCGTTAACATCAGTTGATAGATACCCTGTCTTTTCTCTGAGAAATCTCAGATATGGCGAGAACGTATTGGAAGCGATCAAGAACCCCGGCTGGGTGTGCCCGGTGTGCCGAGACATCTGCAATTGCAGCCTCTGCCGCACGAAGAAAGGATGGGCTCCGACCGGCTGTCTTTACAAGAAGGTAGTAATCGAGGACCGGAGGCTCTTGTTTTGTGATCTTATCCTCTCGCCTGCGATTTTGTGGATCACATCAGAGCTCTCCGGGATTCTTTCTTGTTCAGGTTGTGAGTCTTGGCTTCAAGTCGGTGGCGCATTTCCTCATACAGACCAGGCGGCACCCAGTAGATGGAGATGGTGAGGTGGTGCCGGCCCTCCCCGTCTCTGCGCAGAGATCCCTTCCCTTCACCGACGAGGAAGAACCAGCAAGAACTACTGAAAACCCGAGAAAGAGGCGGAAGAAAGAAGCTGAATCTACACCCGGTGCGGAAGAAACTATGGAGAAAGTTGGCGACGTGGATGGAGAAAAGGGAAGCCATAGCCCAGATGAGGATGTGGCGAAAGGTTGTGGCGAAGAGAGAACACAGGGCAGAGAAGAACCCGACAGAGGCTGTGTTAGTGACCGGGATAGAAGGAATGGTGGGAAGGACCAACGGAGAACTAGCGCAGACAGCGTGGCAGGGGGACCAACGGAGAGTAATCAGAAGCCTGGTGGAAACAAGGGTAGAAGCAGAGGAGGGCGCCTCCTCCCTGTGGACGTGATGCGGCCAAGCCCGGATTCCATTGCTGGGAGGCTGAGAAGCCGGATGAAAGTCTGAGAATTCGGACGGAGGAGACTGCGCGGGGTCAAGGGGACCATGACTGGGCTTGCTACGAGCATGAAACCAACTGTGGAGGAGATAGAGATAGAGAGAGAGAGAGAGAGAGAGAGAGAGAGAGAGGAGGGGGAGTTGTTTTGGTCCATGAACGTGTCGATCTGTATTTTTTGTAGCTCGAGGAAGTCATCCGTCGAGCTTTCATGGAGTGTGGGCATTCGTCTCCAAGAAAATTTCCAATTACGTTATTAACGTGTGAGATCGATCATACGATTCCTACAGCTACTTAGCACGTTTCCAGCTAATCCCAGCTTTCTTCTCTGCCAAACGCCATTTAATTAATCCCTGCTCTGATCTCCCCTCCGCCGGGCCACCGCAGCTTCGACCTGGTCAACGGAAACCATGCGTGATCTTGCCGTTTGGTGATTCCGTGCAGCCTCAAAAATGAAGCCCAGAAAGAAAACCAGGCCCTGCCCCGGAATCTAAACCATGATCTCTCTTTCTCTCTCTCTCGATATACATAAAAAAATGTGCATATTTAAACAAGAGTTTTTAATGCGCGTAGTGGACTCAGGGTATGAGAGAGGAGGCAGGAGTGGGGAAGCAGCCATGAATTCAGCCTGGAACAAGGCTTCAGTGGTGGTAAATCTCAGAGATCTCTCTCTACCCGTGGAAAACGCCGGCTCCTCCCTACGGCAGCTCGGACTCAGCCGCACGTGCCTGCGGAGGCAGGAGGCAATGGATAAGAACCAGGAAACCCTAACGGGGGAGGAGGTGGAGGGAGGGGAGCTCTTCCGGCGCGAACTCCGACAAGAGAGGTGCCGAGACGCTCGCCGCTGTGATGGGGGGGGGAACTGGGGAAGTCCACACCGGAATAAGATATGCAGAGGGCTTGCCTTGGAGCGGAGTGGCAGGGCGTTGAATCGCCGCCGGCGAGGGTTTTTATATACATGACGTTGACGACTTCGCCGGAGACACGCTCCGCCACGCACTTGTCTGGCGATCGCGTTCTCGATCTTAATGGCGGATGGGGGCGGCATCCGATGTTCTTCCTGTTCGCTGCTTTAGCAGTGGCATTGCATGATCTAATGGCAGTCCAGCGAGAGAGAGAGAGAGATAGAGAGAGAGAGAGAAGGGGTCAAAAGCAGCTAGGCTTTCTGCGCCATTTGAGTGCCTCGGAGGGGTGGGTTCTCTGCGTCTCCTCGACTGGCTCTTCGGATTGGGGCCATTGAGCGAAGGCGCGATGGGGGGTGGGGAAAAGCTGCAGAGAGAGAAAGTGGCTTCTTGTCTTCTCTTTTCTTTTTCAATGGTGGTAAACAGGGGAGGAGAAGCGGCTCCTTGTCTGGTTCTCGTCTAGGAAATTGAAGGTTGGCCCATCTGTGACCGCCCTCTAGCATCCAAAGTGACACTCTCGGGGGGTGAGGAAGCCCAACCTTGAATATTTCCCTCTCTCTCTCTCTCTCTCTCTCTCTCTCTCTTCCTCTATCCTCGTATGGCTGACTATTACGTTCTGAGCGTGTGAGACAGAGGAGGATCTTTGACTGCGAATATAGGATTTGAGGAAGAACCTCTGGATGAGCACCCCTCGCAATCGTTGAGGACGAGAGTACAGAGGGGCACTCTCTCAAGACGACCGGAATGTACCAGGAAATATGTGGCGGGCACTTCTCGCAGGCACCCCTCCATGATGGAGGGGCCGGGGGTTCCCTTTTCCTTTTTCTCTGGGTGGCGGCTCATCATGGAGACACATCCGAGGCGACCGGGGGAGGGTGGGTCTCGGCAGCATCCGACTCATTTTTAGGGCAGACGGCCTTCTCCCCTCCCACATTCTTGTCCCAGTCCGCCTCAGAGAGCACTTTGGAGCTGTATGACCAGCGGAGAGTGGAGTCCAAGTGTTTGTCCTCTGAGCGCTGGCCCCACGGCGGGTCCCGACGATGGATCCCACCATGGAACATAGTTTACCTCCGCGGCCCAGCCATGGCCGCCGGGGGATTTCTCTACGAGAGATTCGTTAGGTTAAATCTGGAAACAAAAGAGAGTAGGATGCTTATTATATTAGGGAAAGTCAATGGGGAGAGGGGGGGCTGGTTTGTCTTCGCCCTCTCCGGCGCTGCGGGGGAGGCTGGTTGTTCTGCGGTGGAGACATGGATAATAATAGTCAAGGAGTGCAGGCGAAGGAAGGGGGAGCATGTGCCAATAATCAGCGCTGACATCTCTCCATCGGCCGGCGGGGGGAGCGACGGGCCGACGGGGAAACTGGGCTTGCTTTAATTATGCTGCAGGGGGAGTCAGGGAGGAGAGAGAGGAGAGAGAGCAGGAGGTTGTTGGAGCTCCTTGGTCTTTTTCTTTCTTCCGCGGCCAGCTCCTTTAATGGGGTGAGGTGTTAGTTCGGTGGGTGCCGATGTTCAGTGGGGGGAGGGTTACATGGTTTGTACGATTTCGGAACTGGTGAGAGGAGGGCGGGGAGGATCTGGGAGGCGCAGCGCTCCCGCGGATGATTTGCTCGTAGTCGGGCTTCTTCGGATCTCGAGAGCTGCTGAAGATTTGAGGTTTTTTTCTTTTTCTGGCCGGCCTGTTCTTCCGTGCCCTTCGTCTCCGAGATCTCAGTGTTCCTCCGTATCTCTTCCAATTCGCTTCGAGGGGCCGGAACTTCCCTGGAATTCGTCGTCGGGTTTGTTCTACTCCGCACCTCTTTTCCTTTTTCCTACGGACGAGGGTCTCGATCCTGTGAAAGAGAAAGTCCGGGGAATCTCTTCCTCTAGGGTTTGTTTGAATGGTTCATCTTCTTCCTTCTCCCCTTTTTATGATTTCCAGGAAAGCAAAAGCTCCGTAGAATGTCGCTGAATCTCTAGGACATCCAATCGACCTTTTCCCTTCCCCTTCCCTTTCCCCGGCCCCCTCCCTCAAACCCACCCAGTTCGAGTTTTCGATTTCCGTGAGCAACAAGCAAATCATCTTGAGATTAGGGTTCCAGCGAGCGATCGATCTCGTCCCCGCTCCGTTGCAGGCGCCATGAATCTCTTCCTGTGGAAACCAATCTCCCACTGCGCGTCCCTGATGCTGATCAAGAAGAGCCGGTGGAAGGACGACGGTCCTGATCCCTTCGAGGACTCCGGCCGGAAGCCCTCCTCGGCCATCCGGCAGCTCCAGGAGAACAAGCTCCGGGAAGCCCTCGAGGAGGCCTCTGAGGACGGATCCCTCTTCAAGTCCCAGGCCATGGACGACGGCGGCGACCTCGATTCCGCCACCAACGCCGGCGGCGGCGACGCGGGCGACCTGACCGGCCGCTCCCGGTCGCTGGCCCGCCTCCACGCCCAGCGGGATTTCCTCTGCGCCACCGCTCTTGCCGCCGAGCGCACCTTCCAGAGCATCGACTCCATTCCCGACCTCCGAGAGGCCTTCTCCAAGTTCCTCACCATGTACCCCAAGTACCAGTCCTCGGAGAGGATCGACCGGCTGAGGACCGACGAGTACCCCCACCTCTGTGATCCAGTCGCCGCCAAGGTCTGCCTCGACTACTGCGGTTTCGGGCTCTTCTCCTACCTCCAGAGCTTCCAGGGCTGGGAGCCCTCCTCCGCCTTCAACCTGTCGGAGATCAGCTCCGCGAACCTCTACAACCACGCGCTCTACGGCGGCGCCGACAGCGGCACTGCCGAGCACGACATCAAGACCCGGATCATGGACTATCTGAACATCCCGGAGAACGAGTACGGCCTGGTTTTCACCGTCAGCAGGGGGTCCGCCTTCAAGCTCCTCGCAGAGTCGTACCCTTTCCAGAGCAACAGGAAGCTGCTCACCATGTTCGACCACGAGAGCCAGTCGGTGAACTGGATGGCCCAGCGGGCGAAGGAGAAGGGGGCCAAGGTCTCCAGCGCCTGGTTCAGGTGGCCCACGCTGAAGCTCTGCTCCATGGAGCTCCGGAAGCAGATCGCCAGGGGCAAGAAGAAGAGGCGGAAGAGAGACTCCGCCGTGGGCCTTTTCGTCTTCCCTGTGCAGTCGAGGGTCACCGGGGCCAAGTACTCGTACCAGTGGATGGCCATGGCACAGCAGAACAACTGGCACGTTCTGCTGGATGCTGGAGCTCTGGGGCCCAAGGACATGGACTCACTGGGCCTCTCCCTCTTCCGGCCGGACTTCATCATCACCTCCTTCTACCGGGTCTTCGGCGCCGACCCCACCGGCTTCGGGTGCCTTCTCATCAAGAAGTCCGCCATGGGGAGCTTACAGAACCAGAGCGGCACCACCGGTACCGGCATGGTGAGGATCGTCCCCGTCTTCCCCCAGTACCTCAGCGACTCCGTGGACGGCCTGGAGGAGCCCGCCGGCGGCGGCGCAGAGGAGGAGGAGGAGGAGGAGGAGGAGAAGAATGACCGGGCGGCGGCGGGGACGGCGGCGGCGGCGGCGGCGGCGGCGGCGGCGGAGGGTCGACGGGCTCCGCAGCTGCCGGCGTTCTCTGGCGCGTTCACCTCCGCGCAGGTGAGGGACGTCTTCGAGAGCGAGATGGCGGAGGAGCAGGACAACGGGTCGTCGGACAGGGACGGGGGGAGCAACGCCGCCGTGGAGGAGGCGGAGAGCGCCTCCGTGGGGGACGTGATGAAGAGCCCCGTGTTCAGCGAGGACGACGACTCCTCCGACCACTCCTTCTGGATCGACCTGGGCCAGAGCCCGCAGGGCTCCGACCACTCGGGGCAGCTGAAGCGCGGGAAGCTCGGCTCCCCCCTCCCGCTCTCTTGGTTCACGGCCGCCGCCCGGAAAAATCACCAGAGATCGTCGTCTCCGAAGCTCCCGACAGAAGATGCCACGGCGGCGCCGCCCAGGAGCTCGCCGCTTTACGACGACGACGACGCTGCTGCGCTGTCGTTCGACGCCGCTGTTCTCTCTGTCTCGCAGGGTCTCGACCGCGTCAAAGAGTCGGAGATCCGCGAGGAGGAAGAGGACGACGGTGGCGGCGGGTATCGCAGTGCGGCGGCGAATGGGGGGGGGAAGCACTCGGTGCCTCTGGAGAACGGCGCTAAGGCCAAGGAGAGCGCCATAAGACGGGAGACGGAGGGGGAGTTCAGACTGCTGGACAGAAGAGAAATGAACAGCCGATTCACCGGCGGGAGGTTCTTCGGCGTCCAGGAGGAGGAGGAGGAGGACGACGACGAGGCCTCCTCGAGCATGGGCCAGCGGGTTTCGTTCAGCGCCGGAGACGACGACAGGGGGGCGGGGAGTCGCCATGCCGGCGGCGATGCTGCGGGGCCGGAGGACGAGGAGGAAGAAGACGGCGAGGAGTGGGAAGAGGATCGGAGGGATCCGGAGATAGTCTGCCGGCATCTGGACCACGTCAACATGATGGGCCTCAACAAGACCACCTCGAGGCTGCGGTTCCTCGTCAACTGGCTCGTCACCTCCCTGCTGCAGCTGAGGCTGCCGGACCCGGACAGGGAGGACGGGGCGGCGGCGGCGGCGCCACCGCCGCCGCCGCCGATGGTCCTCATCTACGGCCCCAAGATCAAGTACGAGCGCGGGGCGGCGGTGGCGTTCAACGTGAGGGACCGCCGGAATGGATCGCTAGTCTCCCCGGAGGTGGTACAGCGGCTGGCGGAGAGGAGCGGTATCTCCCTGGCGGTCGGCTTCCTCAGCCACATACGGGCGGCGGAGGGGGGCGGCGGCCTGAAGCAGCCCCCCGATCTGAGCGACTCGACTGCCCTCCGCCGGCCGGCGGGGAACGGGAAGAAGAGCGCCGCCGCCGCCGCTGCCGCGGCCGTGAGGATCGAGGTGGTGACCGCCTCGCTAGGATTCCTCACCAATTTTGAAGATGTGTACAGGTTGTGGGCTTTTGTGGCCCGGTTTCTGGACCCCTCCTTCGTCGAAGGCGGCGTATTGTCGACCGTGGAGGAGGGCTTGGAGACGACTTGAGCAGGGCTCGCCGCAGCTCCTTCCTCTCTGTGTGCAGGAGAAGCTCCTCCTCCCACGGAAGGGCAGCGGAGAGGACTGTTTGTCTCTCCCCACCCGCCCTTCATCATCCTGTGTTCCTTCTTCTTCCTCCTCCCATTGTTGATGCGTTTTCTTGCCCTGTAGTTTCCGGTGGAATGCAGAGTCTGTCGGCCCCTCTATTGTCGTCGAATGCGCTCAGAGGGAGGGGGAAGGGGGGGGGGCAGGGTTGACCTGGGCAGGAAGCCGACGGCAGTATTTTCCTAAGACCTGGCTGGATGAGGCCAAAGTCAACGGTGAATCCAGTGAGAGAGAGAGAATCGAGGGGTTCACTCCAGGACAGAATGAGACACATCGAGGAGCGATGCGGGCCTCCTCCTGGGAGCGTTGACTGTTCGATATTGATGACGTAAAGCTCCGGCGATGTCGTCAGACAGCGATCTGGGATTCCAGGGGCTTTAATGTAATCTACCCCATAAAAGTTGCCCTAACCAACGGTAGCATTCTCCCTGGTGTGTCCTCCCTCTTCTTCTTCCTCTCTCGTATCTACATTTCTCTACGCGGAGTATGGAAGGGGATGCCTTTTTTTCTGCCGCCCACCTTCCGCATTGCCGTCGCCGTTATCTCAAGATTTGATCTTCTCTGCTCTTCTTGCTTTTTCTTGATTGTCGACATGGTATGAAAGCCATGGAGGCTCCATGGTAGATTTGATCAGCAGTACGGCTTCGTCTACAAGCGCCATTATTCCATCCACAACATCAGCACAAATAGCTTTGCTTATTCATACGAGATTCATCCCTCCGGTTAAACTTACAAGCGACAATCTTCCATGGTAGTTCTGATTTTGAATGGATTTGATTTAATGAGATATATTGAAGATGATCTTTCACTGATCTCAACTTGTGATGTGACCGGAATATAAGGTATGGTGGAGGAATGATAAGCAAATATTAGAGTCTTGGAAGAAAGAATACATCCAAAGAAATATGGGAAGCAATCGAAACCATATATATGATCCACATAATAGATCTTCAGAGACAAGAGAGACATGAGTACATACGACTACATCAAGCATTTCAAAAGAATTTCTGAAGAACTATCAACTGCCAACCATCTAGTGGATGTACCGTCCATGATCTTTGCTTTCCTCCACAGTCTTGGTCCTCAGTACATCTCCTTCACCGTCAGCATCAATGCAAATATCAATCATTTGTCATTTTGAGGATATCATTGCCAACCTAAAATCCCATGATGCAATTCAAGCCTACTATCAAAATCAGCTCACAAGTTCTAAAACCCTAGTGACGAACAATGTCCAAATATCATCACAGTCTCACAACAAGAAAAATCGACAAAATCCTAAATGACAAAATAGGGGATTCCAGTAAAACAGTGAAAGAAATGAGCGAGGACGAGACAGATCCAGATAGTACACAGCTCGATGTCAGAATTGGTCTCAGTTTGGACATAGGGGGCAAAGAATACAAAGAAAAATTCTCACAATACTTTCCTACTAATCAACCCTACACCCCTATCCCTATTGAGCTATTCCAACATAGCAACCCCCAAGCTTACTACATGAACACCGGAAGCATCTTTGAACTATTCATGGCATGATCATGGTATCCAAACAGTGGGGCTTCTCATCATATTATACCGAATCAAAACATTATGAATCAATATACTCCATACCACGAAAACGATCAGTTCATCATAGATAATGAGACATGTTTGCCTATAAACTCTATTGGCAATAGCAACTTAAATTTTAAAATATTTACTTTAAAGATTAAAGACATTTTGAATGTACTTATTGCCACAAGAAATTTACTATCTATACAAAAATTAGCTTTAGATAATAATATTTTCCTTGAATTTCATACCATTTATTGTCTTCTAAAGGATGAAAAAACCAACAAACCCTCAAAGAAATAATTGAAGATGAATTCTATCTACTTCAAGGAATTAAACACGATCCAACTGCTCTATTACAATAAATGACCTTTGGCACAACCGATTAAGACATCCACAATTTAAAGTTTTGAAGTAAATAATCTATAAACATGAGCTTCCCACTACTCAACTGCCTAAACATTACTTGTATGACCTTTGTTATATTATTAAATCTCATAAACTCCCATCTTCTAAAGTGAATCAAACTTTTATTAAACCACTCGAGTTAATTCACTTAGATTTATGGAAACCTGCTCCCATACTTTTATATTTTGGTTTTTTTATTATATTATTTTTATTGATGACTATAGTAAGTATGTTTGGCTTTATCCTATTAAACTAAAAAATGGTGTGTAATGTCTTCTTAGAGTTTCAAAAACGGATGAAAAGTCAATTTTCCACCAGCATCATCTCATTTCAATCTAATTGGGGTGGGGGGAGGGGGGGAGAGTTCCAATTCCTCTAAAAACATTTTAAAAATGACAGCATAATCTACAGTAGAATGGAACTCTCAAAAGAAAGCATAGGCATCTCAATTAGACATGTCAATCCCTTCTTCAATAGGCAAGTATGCCACAAAGATATTGGGATGAGGTAGTATGGACATCTACATAATCAATAGAATGCCGACATCTATCTAAAGGAACAAATTTCTCTTTGAAGTGTTTTTTAAAATTTAACCTGATTATAGTATTTTAAAAATGTTTGGATGCCTTTGTTATCCTTATCTACGTACATATGTTTCTAATAAACTTACCTCCATATCAGATTATTGAGTCTTCCTCATATATAACTCTATACATAATAGATACCGTTGTCTATCTTTAAACTCATGTAAAATCTTTATATCTCACCATGTCATTTTAATGAAAATATGTTTCACTTTTCAAACTCAAAAATGACTCAAAATTCTTCAGTTCTTGATGCCTTTATAGGGATTCTAAAACATTCCTTGCATTCCTCATCTAATATATATATATATATATATTATTATAAATTAGAATCCTCTTCCCCATCCCCAAAATTCTAGATCTAAATCTATATTAACATTTATGAGAACAATCAATGATCCTCGTAACTAACTATCAAACATCACAAAAACAAATATTCTCACAAGACACACTCTATGACCCTCTAACTAAAATTCATCACCTTCTACCTCCAATAGAGAATATCTTCCTGATTAGAATCAACCCTCAAGCCCACCCTCATCTCCAGAAAAATATAGATAACTAGTAGACATGTATCATAATTGTGGAATAGATTTTCAAAAACTTTGGGCCAAAAACATAAACCTAAAGCATACATGTCCACTAAACATCCACTACTAATTTATCTCATTGTTACCTTCATGAACACTCTAGAATCATCAACCTACTCTATAGTAATTAAGAATCCCCATTAGGTCCAAGCCATGGTCTCATAATACAATGATTTATTCAAAAATAACACATGAAAGTTTTGTTAATAAATTGAAACAAAAACCGAATGGTAGCATAGATAGATAACAAGCTAGACTTGTAACTAAAGGATTTCATTAACAAGAAGAGTTTGACTTTTATGAAACTTTTAGTCATGTTATTAAAATGACCATATTAAGGATTATCTTAGCTTTAGCTACCACCTAAAATTAGTTTATTCATCAATTAGATGCTTATAATACTTTTCTACATGGAGATTTATTAGAAATAGTTTATATGGATCAGCTTCAAAGTTTTATTGATTCAAAATTCTCAAACCACATCTGCAAATTAAATAAATATATTTATGGTTTAAAATAGTTTCATAGAGCATGGTTCTGCAAACTTACCACTTGTCTTCATTCCTTCGATTTCATAAGATCAAAAATTGATACTTCTCTTTTCTACAAACCTCATTCACATTTTCTAATCTTTTTCTTTATTTATGTTAATAATATTCTTCTAATTAGTCCTAATCAAATTATCATTAAAAATATCATTCACTCTCTTCTTCAAAGATTTTCTATTTGATACCTACGACCAGCTCACTATTTCTTAAGTATAGAATTAACTCGAATTCTCAATGGTTTCTCTCTATCTCAAACCAAATATATAGCTTCTCTCTTGCACAAGGCCAAAATAGAAGATTACAAATCTCTAAGTACTTCTTATTCTACATCTCCCTCTCAAATACAATTATCTGCTATAGTCGACTATATTATGTATCAAAGTTTAATGAGAGCCCTCTAATTTGTTACGATTACATGTCCTAACATAGCTTTTGTCATAAATAAAGTATGTCAAAAAATATATGCTCCTACAACTAATGACTAGGTGGCTTTGAAGCAATTATTAAGATATCTTAAAGGCAAGATTTTTCATGGACTTCATTATAGCAATCAAGCTTCATCAATAATTTTGGCATTTAGTGACATACACCAGGCCATAACAAAGAAGACAAACGGTCAATGGGGGGGTATCTTTTTTTTCTTGGACCAAATTTGGTCTCATAGAGTTAAAAAAAGCAACCTCTTCTATCAAAATCCAACATAAAAGTAGAATATAAATCATTGGCAAATACAATGGTAGAACGCATCTAGACACATGTAATTCTTACAAAAATTGACATCAACACGACAAACTCTACTCTCTACTATGACAATTTAGGTGCAACATATCTCACAGCAGACCTAGTCTTTCATGCATGAACTAAGCACGTGAAGATAGACTTCAACTTTGTTTAAAAATATGTCACCTCCAAAGCCCTACAAATTTCATTAGTTTCAAGTTGTAAGCAAGTAGTAGACATTCTAACAAAGCCATTACTTAAAGTTTGATTTCTTTATCTTCAAAATAAGCTTCACGTTTATCCCATGCTCAGCTTGATGGAGAATGAAGAGAAAAGTCAACTAACAAGCGAAGAAAATGGTACTCACCAATAGCCAATCAATAGACACATCAATAAGCAGTGACACATACAATCAATGACTAAGATCACTATGATCCAAGAGATTTAATCAGATGGCATTGCCTATAAATAAATGTACAATATGATTCTTTACATACTCTATCATCGACTCACCATTATTGATCCTTTGTTTTACCAAGATCAAAAGAGAGCGCAAAAGGGTTTATGCTCTTGGAGTAGAGGCACGTTAATCACTGATGATGTTCCCACTTCTTCAAGATCTTTTTGACTAGATACAGCTCCAGACAATTGGATACGTGCCCCCTCTCTCTCTCTCCTCAGTCCTATTCTTCTAGGTGATGGGGCTAATGTGGGAGGGGGGGCATTGGTGGCCACTATTTGAGACTGTTCTCTTTTGCCGAAGGGGACTGAAACCTCATGGCTTGGTTGGACATTGACATCCCTCATTCTTTTTCGAGTACTTCGCACTATTCTCTCTCTCATAAAAAAGGTTTGAGCACTAGCTTCACGATATGACCAGTCGGTGATTCTATCAATGATAGTCATCGTTGATCTTAAGTTGGATCATCACTTTGGCAAGATTCTCAAAATATATGTAGAGAGGCCAAGTCTCACAAGTCTTTAATCTCTTGATCTTTGTATTTCGTAGCTGATTCCTCCTAGTTTCTACAAGCACATCGGGCCCGATATGTATCGCCACATCCATACTCGAGTTGTCCATACTTTATTAGCTTTGCAAAGCTAGGAACAAACTCAAGTACTCCAAAAAATTCAGCAAGAAAATAAGAAATTGAAAGTAGAATCAAAAATGCTCAAATGAATACAAGAATTGAAAAATGCAGTGCATGTGGCCACTTATTCGTCGTTATAACTCCCGATGATGTGCGACCTAGATTAAGCCTGCAAAAAAAAAATAACATCAAGAGATAGAAAAAAAATCCCAAATAGTTGTTGCCAGAGTTCGTCGAACACAACGATTTTCGATAGAGCTAGAGTAATTTCTTCAATCTCTTCCTTGCTCCTGCTCCTCCGTGTGAAGACTTTGAACTCCAAGGTGCCCTTGCATCTCTTGAATTTTTTATTTTCCAAGAGCTTTGATGAAAATATTGGCCAATTGATTCTTCGTCCTAATGTACAGGATTTTGATCTTCTTATTTTCAACACACTGACCAATGAAATAGTATCAGATGTCAATGTGTTTCATTCGATTATGATAGACTGGATTCTTAGTTAATGTAATGGTCGATTGATTATCCACTATTACTTTGACTACTTTCAGCTCCTCCCCTTTCATTTCATAAATCAGGTAGTTCATCCACATGTCTTGACAAGTTGATGTCGTGGCTGCAATATACTCGACTTCACACAAAGATAAAGCAATGATGTTTTGCATTTGTGATGACCAACTTATGGTCATCCTTGTAAGAAAATAAATGTGACCAGAGGTACTCTTTTGATCATTTGCATCTCTTATAAATTCTTATCACTAAACTCAATTAGTTCAAAATTTAAATCATCTGTCTTGTAGAAAAGCCTATAGTCAATTGTGCCTTTCGCATATTTCAGAATTTGCTTGACTCCACTATGATCTGAACTAGGATTCTCGAAGAATCTACTTAAAACTCCCACTGTAAATTGGGTCTTGTGTGTGTGTCAAGTACCCTAGACTCCTAATGAAGCTTTTGAATTCTGTGGAATTCACCCCTATGCTTGCTTCATTGTGGGTGAGTTTTCTTCATGCTTCAAGTGGCGTGAAAACAACATTACAGTCTCTCATCTTTGTATGTTTTAAAATCTTTAAAGCATAAGTTTTTTGACATAAGAAAATATAACCTTCATCTTGTTTGACTTCAAGTCCGAGATACGAGTTTAATGACCCAAGATCAGTCATTTTAAATTTTTGCTTCATCCTTGACTTGAAATCTTTAGTACAATCAGTACTAGACCCTATTATGATTAAGTCGTCAACATAAACTCCAACAATTAAGACTTCATTACATGATCTCTTGAGATAAAATGATTGTTCATGATTGCTCTTGTTAAATCTAAGAGAGACTAGACACTCATGAAGCTTAAAGTACCAAGTCCTTGGAGCTTGCTTTAAGCCATACAAGGTCTTCTTCAATTTTAGGACAGAGCCTTCTTTGCCCTCCATAATGAAATCATTTAGCTGCTTCACATAAATCACATCTTCAATCTCCCCATTTAAGAAAGTGGACTTGACATTAAGATTATAAATTATTCGTCCTTTTAGAGTTGCTAAAGTAATTAGAGCTCTTATGGATTCGAAATGAACCATTGGGGCAAATACTTCCTCATAATCAACCCCTTGTCTATGTGAGTATCCTTTCATAATAAGTTGAGCCTTATGTCTGATGATCTCTCTTTGTGAATTTTTTTTAACGTTGAATATCCACTTTAGCCCAGTTAGCTTGCAATTGGTCATAGGTGACATAAACTCTCATGTCTGACTTCGATTAATGGTTAGTATCTCCTCTTTCATGGCCTTCCTCCACACATTTTCACGAGAAGCTTCAATGTAAGAGTATGGTTCTTCACAAGTGAGCATGTAAGTTTGATCATCAAGTGAAGTAGAGATCGTGTTTGAGTACAATTCAACTATGGACTTGTAATTGCAGGGTTACCTTTCTTTAGAGTCACTCTAAGAGGCTGAATTCATTTATCTAGAAGTAGAGACCTCCACATCTTCAATGTCAATATTAGAGTCTTCTTCCATACCTTGAATATGCAGAAAATCAAGTAAGAAGGTATAAGAAGGGGAGATTTCACCTTACCTTCTCTAATCTCACTTGTCATTTTTGTCGAAAATGACATCTCAACTGATGTTGACTTTGCCTTTGATAGGGTCATAATATCTGTAAGTCTTAGATCTAATCTCATAGTCAATGAAGACTATGGGTTGACTTTGATTTTTCAACTTGCTCAGAGGTTCTCTAATGCATTTCACATAGACAATTGAATCAATAACTCGCAAATAATCAATGTGGGGTTTTCTTCCGGTCCACATCTCATAGGGAGTTTGACCTTGTAAAGTTTTAGTAAATGACTAATTAATGATGTAAATAATAGTGTTTACTGCTTCTCCCTATAGCTATTGAGGGAGCTCCTTAGTATTCAACATGGCTCGTAGTATGGCTCCTTAGTCTTCAACTGTGAGGAAGCTATCACAATGCAATTCTTTCTCTCCACCACCCCATTTTGTTGAGGTGAGTAAGGTGCAGTCAATTATCTTTTAATGCCTTAATAAACATAGTAATTAACAAATTCTTTAGACATGAATTCTCCTCCTCTGTCTAATCTAAAATTCTTGATCTTCACTCCTTTTTTTGTTTTTGTCTGAGTCTTAAAACACTTAAAGCCCTTAAATGCATCTAATTTTTACTTCAACATAGCCGCCCATATAAGTCAAATCATCAATGATGAGGAGAAAATAAATGCTTCCCCCTAAGGTGGGTGGGGTAATTGGCCCATAGATGTTAGCAAAGATGAGTTCTAGAGGCTCAAATACTCAGAATGAAAAGGCCTGAGGAAATGGTATCCAGTGTTGCTTTCCTACAACACAATTATGGTAGAGATGATTAGATATATTGATATGAAGAAGTCTGTCCATAAGATGCTTGCTGGACATCTCCTTCAAGGAATGAAAATTGATACGCCCAAATCAAAAGTGCCACAACCAATTCTTCGAATTGTCACCAATATGAAGTAAAGACTGATCCACCACAGTCAATTTTAGCAAGTAAAGTCTTCCCTCATAATTGTGTACCTCAATAAAGAGACAACCATTTCAATCAAAAATAGTCAACTTACCCTCTTGCATCGTCATGCGACAACCTTCTTCATCTAATTGGTCGAGACTAAGAATATTTGCCACTAATTGAGGTACAAATAGCACGTTGGGAAGTTGGAGAAACCCACCATCTTTCTAATAAATTAGAAAATCACTACGTCCTTCAATTTAGACCCTTGAATTATCTTTGAATTTGACAAATCAAGATGCAATCTTATCTAGATCTTCGAAGAAATTTTGATGACCAGACATATGATTTGTCGCTCGAGTATCAAAATACTAGAGATTGAGATCAAAGAGCTTACCCTCAAAGGAGAGCCAATGACTTCATTCAGCTTCGTATTTGTAAGATCACCTTATTGCTCTAAGGATAAGATTAGTGTGTTGTTTGATGGCATCGCCCTCAAGAATTGGCACACAATATTTTTCTCTTCCAATGTCTCGCCCAAATTGTGAAGCTCAGAAACAATCTTCATGAATTTCATTGTAAAATCCACCACTGATTCATCTTTTTGCATCATGAGAATTTCATACTCACGTTTCAAACCTTGAATTCTTGACTGAATCACCCTATCCATGCCAAGATTTCAAGACTTGAGGATGTCCCAATTTACTTTTGCCATCTTCTTGGCATCAAGAAATGACAATATTTCCTCCAACACTGCTCCAAAGATTGCCGAAAGTGCAAGACAATCCTTCTTCTTAGGGACATTATCTCGTTAGATTGTCTGCAATAAATCATGTGAGTCTAAGAATACCTCTATCCACGTTGCCCAGACATGGTAGTTCATCTTCGTAAACATAAAAGACGGCGACGGCAATGTAATCTACATTCTATGCTCGCCGGAGTTACTTGCATCATCTCCCTTCTTTGACGCCATCTTCTTGATCTCATGAATCGAAAGGCCCTGATATTACTTGTTGGCTCAATTAAATACAAGAACTGAAAAATGCAGTGCACATTTCATCGAACAGTCTCTTATTTATAGAGACCCAATAGGAAGAGGAGAGAGGGTGAGTCTATCAGCTGCTAGATGAGCTGGTACCGTGTCTCACGTGGCCCCTTATCTGCCGTTATAACTCTCGGTGATGTGCAGCCCAGATTAAGCCTGCAAAAGAAAAATAACGACTTGAAGATAGAAAAAAAAAATCTCAAATCGCTGCTGCAGGAGAGTTCGCCGGACACAACGATTTCCGGCGGAGCTGGAGCAATTCCTTCAGACCGGTCAGATGCGCAAAGAGATTCCGTCAGCTGCTTCGCCCACACTGTATCCTAGCCACGCAGGTCCCGTGTTAAGGATCATCGTCTGTGAATGGGGAGGCCCGAACCAGTTCCCTTATCCTGGAGGAGCTGGCAAGCTCTGCCTTTGCATCAACCCAGAAACCCCTCTTGCGATGCTCCCTCAAGAATGCCGCCTAGCGGCATGGAGTCACGAGGAACGCCTCGTTCTCGCAGGCCTCCGGATTGGAAGACGAGGAAATCTCCGGTCTGGAGGTTGTGGTACGAGACGTACTGTTCCCAGATGCTCCAGAAAAAGACGCCGCCGCGGCCGCCGCCTTCGTCCATGGAAAAGACCCAAGAGACCCACGAGATTTGGTTCTGGACGAAGGCGGGGACGTCTTTTTCCAAAGCGGCTGCTGGGAGAAGATTCTCTCAGACCGCAACCTCAAGACCGGTGATTTTTTGGTCTTCCGATGCGGTGGTCCGCGATTCGACTGGGGAAAGTCTCACGAGAGGGGGGAGGGGGTGGGTGCTCAGAAAGCTGCCGAGATTCGCGCCGAAAGAGATCGCGAGCTCTTGCAGGAGGTATGTAATCGCACGCAGAAGAAGAAGGATAACCGAAGATGAGAAGGCAAGAACCCTAGAATCTCACGCAGAGGTCGTCTTTCTGGTCAAAGGATCCCGTCGGCATTTCTGTGAATGGCGTAGCTTCTTGGGAATTGTCAGCCTGGTTTCATCCTGAATCCTGCAATTCATGGAAGACTGAATGTGCTTGGGCATTTTGACTACTCTTTTAAGGAGAAGATGAGAAGATGAAGAACATGAAGTTGAACCATCGCAGGAGGAACTGGGAAGAACACTGGTTGACTTTCTCATCTCCAAACAAGATGAATCAGCAGCAATCCCACGAATGCATTCCGACGTTTCCATGCAAATCTCAGTCTAGAAATCAACAAACCTCCGCAATTCTGAGAATATATAATTTTCTAATTCTTTTACTCTTCTGTTGGTATTGAGAGGTAGCTCTTCTGTTACACAGATGAAAGAGTTTGAACTTTGGATTGATTGGGGGCCGCGCGGACGCAGGCCCCCTCTGGCACAAATTACGACGTACAAGCTCCCACGAGTGGAGATGTTAGGGTGGCGCCACCGCTAAGTGCAATGCGGCCCGCCAACCTAGGCTATGGGCCTTCTTGATCACCCAAAGGCCCCGTCCAGGTAAGTAAGTCTTACGATACCACTGGCCCATATTTTATACACTTATTCGACGTTTTAGATCATCCATTACTCGATGTGGGACTAAAGGTAGCGAGCCCCCAACCCCTGTATTTCCGCCTCTCGGTGGGGGCCCACTGATGGTGAAAAGTTGGTTTCAATACCAATATTTTTGCGGCAATCTGATGATCATCTGAAGGATTTTTGGAGGGTCTTACCGAATATTTTTCTGAATCATTGAATGGCTAGTTCCTCAAATCAACTAAAATAACAAAAGGTGGTTTTCGTTATAATTCATTCCCCACTTGTCAAAGTTTATGAAAAATATAAATTCTTGCATATTCTAAATTATACGTTTAAAACTTATTTTTAAAGTTCCTGAATTTTTAAGTTTATTTAATAATGTCAACGCCCATTGCACTCATTTTTCATTCTTAATGTATTTCGTAAAATCTTTACTTCACACATTGGCCATAAAAAATTTATATGATAAATGAACATTGTGATATGTGCCATAAAAATACGCCACTCTATTCACAATAATTGAAGTTTGTAATATCCTATGAAATAAAATGAACTATTTTGACCACTAGATGAATTAATGAATCAGCATTGACTTTTTTCTCGTTTGAAGTCAGTGTCTAATTTGTAAAAAGACCCATCGTACAACATGCCTTGACCAAGATGAGTAAGATCAAACCAGTTAGTGAGACATCCTGTTGACTTCTCGTGAATCCAAGCCTATTGTTTCATTGAACGTGTTGTCCATTTCAGAAGGCATGCCATATATGGTATGCGTAAGTCGGGTTGACTCATCCTTGTATACCCAATTGTCAACAATGTGTACTCACTCGTAAAGGTGAACCTGAAATCTAGATGGGTCAACCCATACACCAATTTTTCTGGGCAGGTATTTGCAGGGGGCGGCGATTCTTAAGCCCCACAGATAGCTGGCATTTGGTTCATAGATTGTTCGGTCAACCCTCACTCTCCATTATTGTATCGGGTCTTAAGTGGTGAGCTGTCGCACTAATAAGTGGGGGGTGTAGAGAAAGATGGTGGTAGCCAAACCGGTCAAGACTAATAACAATGGTATTACAAAATTCTGAATCGGCTAAATAAATAGATAAAAAGCGAACTAGAATGCATATTCCCAGAAGACAGCCGCGGAAGGGGCTGCGGGTCAAGGTAGGCGTATCGACTCGGAGTTTAAGGTCGGCCTAGATCGGCTAGTGACGGCGCTTCGACGATGATCGGCCACGCCTGAGACGGCTGCGGCGGCGGCGGCGGCGGCGGCGGCGGCGGCGGCAGCGGCGACGGGGTAGACGGCGGTCGCAGCGGCGTGGTAGGCGGGGATAGCGATCCGGCCTCAGAAAGTGGCCTTCTTCAGGGAAGTCAACGTGACGGCGGTGCCCAGTGGCGCCGCCTTCGTCTCGATGTCGAACGAATCATAGCGAAGGAACAGCACGACGAGCAGCAGCCGAGACGCGATCATGACCAAGTCCTTGCCGGGGCACTGCTTGTTGTCCGGGGTGGGCACCTCCGTCTCCGGCCCGTTCGACCACAGAACCCGTCGGAGCAGCGCGGGGCCGCCCTCTCCGAGGAACCTCTCGCCGATGAACTCCTCCGCCCTGTCGAAGATCATCGGGTCCTTGGTGGCCATCGGCTGGTACCCGAAGAGGATCTCCCCGCGCCGCACGTCATAGGCGGCGTGGTGGCTCTGCACGAGCAGGTCCCGCTTCGCCCTCCCGAACTGGAGCGGCACCGGCGGCTCGATTCGGAAGGCCTCGTACACCACCGATCTCATCAGCGGCATCTCCTCCATGACCCGGAAGCTCACCTCGCCGCCGTGGGAGCGCACAGCCATGCGGATCTCCATCGCCAGCCGGGTGTGTATCCCCGTCCCCGCTCGGGAGACCCATTTCAACAGGATGGGGAAAAAGATCTTCAGACCGCCGAAGGCGTTGAAGCAGACGGCGAAGAGGAGGTTGTGGCAGGCCTCCGCTCTGGAGATCCCCATCCTCTCCGCTTCATTCAGCGCTGGGGCGGCGGCCCGGTGGAAGAAATCGTAGAGGCGCTGGTAGTCGCGTTGGAGTAGAGAGGGCGGGAGGCGGAACCAGTGGAGGAGAGGGTCTTCCAGGAAGGGCGGGATCCCTAGGGATAGCAGAGGAGCGAGCTGGAAGAAGACCCACTTGTTTATCAACTTGGGGCCGTCGGAGCCCATGCCGGAATCTACCGGGTCCTTCCCCAGGAGCCCCCTGGAGAGGAATCCGAAGAGGGCCTGCTCGTTGTGGGGGCCAAACTCGGCCCTCCCTTTCCTCGCCAGGTCCGTCTCCAGCACGTCGAAGAGCGATCCATACGAGCGGCGGAATTCCGGGACGAGGGACCGCCGGCAGGAGCCCAGGAAGTGGGAGAGGAAGCGCTTAAGGAGGGCATGGCTGGGCTCGGAGGGATCTAGGTAGGAGAGGACTCGGTAGCCGCCGGTGAGCTCGAGGGAGGGTGTGTAGGTGCCGGTGAAGAGGTCCCTCTTCTCGACCTTGGAGGAGTCGAAGAGGATCGAGAAGGATTCGCCGTCGAGGAGGGCGACGACGCGGGGTTCGCCGGAGATAGGCGGGCCGGGAGGCACGTTGAGGCGTAGGACGGTGGAGCCGTGGCGGCGGACGCGGCTGCGGAGGAACTCTTCCCGGCCCTGGTAGTAGAAGTAATCGAACCTATCGCGCAGTGGGCCGACGAGGGGATGCCCGTCGTCCCCCGGGATATTCCGCAGGGACAGCTTCTTCTTCTCAGAGAACGGAGAACGGGAATCGGACTTGTGCCCGAGCGCAGCGAAGGCCGGGCGGCCGATGGACGGCAGGGACGAAGAGAATGAGACGGACGAAGACATCTCTCTCTCTCTCTCTCTCTCTCTCTCTCTCTTCCCCTCTTCCTCTCCTTCTATCTCCTCTCTCTACTCCTCTCCCGCTCCCCCCGGGTGGTAAACGGGTTGGTGGAAGCGATTTCTTAGTACTTTACGACCGTCTCGGTGTTGGTTGACTATTATACAACGGGAGAGTTCGCCCGCAAGAACACGAAGAGTGGGGCCTCTAGTCGCCAGAGTCCGCCCGCAGGAACAGGAAGGGTGGACCCACGAGGAGGAAGAAGAGGGAAGAGAAGAGGCTACGTCACTCATGCACCCTTGGCTTAGGGGTTCCTCTTCTCTCTCATTCGCCTCTTCAATTAGGGGGACCTCTCTTTCTTTCTCTTCTCTCCTGCCGTTGCTACCATTCCACCTTCTAGCCATCCGTCCTGTCACCAAGCCCACCTTTCTTTCCTCTCCCACTGTCGCTGCCGTTCCGCCTCTTCGTCGCCCGCCCCTTGCCGTCGTTCCACCTCCTTGCGGTCCGCCCTGTCGCCGCCATTCTACCTTCTCGCCGGCCGCCACGTCGCCGTCGTTCCGCCTCCTCGCCAGCCTGCTGTCGCCACCATTTCTCCTTTCTGCCGTCCGCCCGTCGCGAAACCCTCTTCCTTTCTCTCTCCCTCCCCATTTTAGTTAATATTTGATTATTCACCCTCGGGTCTCGTTACCACGAGAACCCTCTTTTCTTCTCTCTCCCGCCGTCGCCACGTACCCCCCCTCACTCTCTCTCTCTCTCTCTTGCCGACGACCTCATTTATTAGTCCACCTATTAATTCAGACCTCTTTTTGAAAATTCCCTTACAAGGTTCGTGGAATCTAAGCCAACAAGAATCTTCCAGAAATCAAGGATCTCCGTATTAAAGGTCTGTTAATTTTTAAATTCCTTGGTTATTGTTTTTTAAATCTTTGCTCTTAGAATTTATGATATTCATTGGATTACTATTCTCATGTGAAAGATTGGTAGTCCAAATCCTAGTTGAGAAGTCTTGTTTGATTCTTTGAATTAGATAACCCAATAGGTAATCAACGATCCTAATTCTCCTAAAATCACAGGATCATCTACATATTAAGCCTTTAAAGTTCTAATTTAAGTCAACTCTAAAGATCAATATGTAATTATCTTTAAGGGGATTTTTTTTAACCCTTTTTTCCCACATCAATTATTGTCATTATAGAACAACTCAGCTTCATTCAATTTAGCTCTAGATCCTCATAACACTTTACCACCAATTTTAATAAAGTAATAAGTAATTTAATCGTCTTAGAAGGTGAAATGTTTTGAATTACCATCTAAATCCATAATAACCTGTCATATAATATATTTTTTAAGGTATAATATGAGTATCTTCCATTATCTTGCCTCAATTGCCCATTGTTGACTCATCAACAGATCTACCTCAACCCCACACAATCATCTTCCCCATTCAACCCCCCACCATGAATGCCAACCCCACCCTTGTAGTAGCTTCCTCTCTCACATGCAACCTTTGTTGCTTGAAACAAGCTTTCCTAGAAGTAGCTCTAGAAGCATTTCCATGGTCCTCTTAATGCCTTTTGACCATATGTGTTCTCTTTCATGGTGTAGGCTCTCCTTCTAACTCCCAAATAGCCTTCCCTATCCCCTTCACCTTCATCATTCAAAGTGATTCCCTTTAATGTATTTGTAGCCCTCATCATGATAAGGTCTACATTATGTGTTGTTCATTACTTTTAACATGTTAACATCTATGAATCTCAAGTGCTCAACAATATAAAATGAATCTCATCAACAAGTATGAGTCAATATCCAAAAATTTGCTGATTGTTCATAGTTTTGATGTTTCATTCCAAAAAAAAATAATTTTTTAGATTAAGAGTCATGACATGTGACTATGTTGAGAAAACAATATTAGATCAATGATGGTTAAATCTAAGTTTGAAGTCTACTATGTGATGAACCCATAATTATTAAAATTACTTATCATTTTAAAACTTCGTATCAATATTATCTACTTAGACTCAACACATGGAACCATGTACATATATTTTTAATAAGTATAAGTCATGTAATGCACATGTACATAAATAAAATTCATGAATAACAAAAGTTTGTTATAGCATTCATAATTGGATTTTCGAGCATAATCTAATTATGATTTCATAACATGTTTAAATTTTAAATAAATCTTTAGGAATAATCAGCATGATTATTATTTTAATAATATGATAATATGAAGAGATTAAAGCCCATTGCAAAAAATGCAAACAACAACATAGTTATGACCACTTCAAAATGAGGATAAGATATCTCACTTCATTGACTACAAAAGAGACAAAATCATGATTCTCTCTATACACAGTTGATAGCACCAACATCACCCATGTGACACTCCCTAGTGAAGATTAAAGATATTTTCATCCAAGGGGTTGTCACTATTGTCATTTCTCACAACGTATATATTAATGAAATAAATCATGAATATAACTTTTACAGTTATACTATCATATCTTATAATTATTTCAAATATCTTTATTATGTATGCCAACATGTTACTAAGAGGGGGGGTATGAATTGGTAGGATTCTAATATTATTCTCTTCACTGATTTCTTATCAACTTTTAGTTATTTGAATCTAGATAGTATGATACATTATTTTTATAGTGGTTCAGCCACAACTTATTCCACTCTCTAAATACCACATTCAACATTGTTCTTTGGGTTTCACTAAATCTGATGGGGTCAATGATCCAAGCATCCATAGATATGATAGGTCCCAATTAGGATCCAAGATGGATATAGATCTTATTCATCTCAATTTGGACTAAGAAAATGCTGATTCAAGAAGGAAATTGGGCATAGACTAGACCCATTTTCAAAGGTAAGGAAGGGTTCAAGAGAAAGGAATGTCCACCCCTTCCTTTTATCTCTCTCTCTACCAACTATCTAAAGCATATGTTGGGGAGGCATCCATAACTACCTAAAAGACCTTTGGGAGCGCAGCTCATGGGATTGAAGAAGGGCATCCAACCTTTGATCAAGGATCAAAATTGTGGCAAGGATTAGAGGATTCTAAGAGGCCTTTATTTGAGTGGTCAAAGATTCCAAGGTGGTCAACTAGGAGGTATCAACTACCTAGTTTCTATGTGTAATGTATGCTCTCTCTGATAATTACCACTCAATTTCATCTATACAAAAGAGATTTTTGTATATTATTTGAGGAGGAAGCAATGAAGTTTATGTCGGAATTTTTTTTTAAAAAATCATCATTTTTTTAGGAGATTGTGAGGGTCAATTATTTTTTAGGGAGAGGCCACCATGGTCAATGCCCCCATCTTTGGGGAGGTCGTGAAGGTCAGCCATTATTTTCATTCTAACCATCCACCCTTCTCACCCTTTAATTTCATCTTTCACCACTTTCTAGAATCATTGAAGATCAATCTTGAAGTCCATAAGCCAACAATCATGAGGACTGCATCTCTCCATACCATAGTATTGTTGACTTCTTTAATTTCAATATATATATTAAAAATTACCATTAAGTGAGCATAGGATAGTCATAATTCATTTATTTAGTGATCTATACACCTTGACCTAGATTTTGATTAGACATTATAAATGAAGTCAAACCAAAATAATTGAATGAATAAGATATTTTCTTCTCAAAGTTGTGGGATTTCCATTAATTGTTATCTTTCACGAATTTTGCTTACATCTTTGAGACTTCACTAAATTGTCTTGATCTTATATTGTTTAAATCATTTATTTGGATTTTCTCAATAGTGCCCCACATCAAAATCTCTAATGAACACATTAAATTATGAACTTTATGTGGTTTTACATTAGATTTTACGGTTCCAATCAACTCAAGATATGACAAAGTATCTTTTTTTATATTCTTAGCTATAAAGAGAAAACTAAAAGATATCCTCAAAATTCATGACCCTAGATGACACAATAAGAAAGATTTATTCTGTTCTTTTATATTCATGACTTGAAGCAGGCAAACTAGATTACTTCATATTAATCTCCTAAAAGTTGAAAGAGAAAACTAAAAGATATCTTCAAAATTTACGACCCTAGATGACACAACAAGAAAGATTTATTCTCTTCTTTTAGATTCATGACTTGAAGTAGGCAAACTAGATTACTTAATATTAATCTCCTAAAACTTCAAACGATCAAGATCAACCTTGACTGCAAATGTGCTCTAAATACAAAAAAAAATATGTTACTACTTGTAGAAATTCAATTCTATACTTTTGAGAGGTTTGTTCCTATTATTTTGCCATTAGAAAAACTTGATGTAAATAGTTATTAAATGACTTGAATGATAACTAATATTCTTACATTTTAGGTGCTCTAGATTATAATAACTTGGTGTAAACTCTAAGAAAAAATGTGTTTAATAATTGAATCTCTCTTTAGATTTTTCAATAAAATTTATCTCTTAGACTCTTCCTTTCATTCTCTCACTTGAAGTGAAAATAGGGCCATATTTTTATAAAGATCATTTGGATGGCTTGAGATTTTTAGTGTAATGGGCCACCTCAATAGTTGTCTAATTGGGACAAAAGGATAATGGTAACCCCAGTTATTAATTTAATAGTAATAGAATACAAGTCTTAACGAGACATAATTTTTAACTTGTTATCCTCTTCTCTTGCCTAGCTAGCAAAAATAGACTTCTATGGAAAGATAGATTCATTCGAACTGACATGAGGGTCCAACTACATTGCATTGCTAGAATCCATGTTGTATATGTTAAACAAGTTGACCTCCTTGCTTCTCTTCATGGTACAACCCTCTGCAAATGATTAACATCTCACACCTAGAATTTAACGTCTAAAAAATTATGTTGATATTGTAAAAAAAATCATACAAATTAAGATCTTAGAATGTTGATGCATAGTTAATTGTATCATATTACTCTTTTCCAAGCTTTTCAATGAGCTCATATGACTATTTTTGTGACACTAATTTCCATATCAAATTATTTGATTCAAATTTACACAAACATAGATTCGATTTACTCTTAAGTGAAATTCAATGTTAAATCAATCATAGTTTTTGACTCTTCTACACTTGAGAAAGTTTTACTTAGAGTTGATGAACATCTCTAATGCACAAACGATATATACAAGTAGTTGTACCATTACAAACTTACTAAAATACCCTTCTACACATGATCATAAATAAAAGAGAAATCACCTCTCGTAGCCTTCAATGGTAGCATATTGTCTAATAAAAGTGACATGTACCAATGAATATTTGACTCGATATAAATAATAGTAACGAAGATATCATTATCACAATTTCTTTATGAAAAATGTCAAGAAACAAATGTCGTTTCATAAAAAAAGTACTTATCAATATCACAGAAAATCAAAATGATATTACCTACAACCACTACCACCAAATAGTTGTAGGAGGGTCAAGTAGTAGAGAGTTATCTTACAAATCACATTTTCAAGTTGAACTCAATACTTGACTCAAATTATTTCCTCAAATTAGGTTTGAAACTATCAAGATTTTGATATCATAACATAAAGCTTTGTACAAGTGTCTTTTACTACAAGAGAACTTTTTAAAGATATAAACCCAACAACAAAACAAGCCATGAAATACAACAACTAGGACACATGACAAGTATCAAACACCACAAGTTGTCAATACATGCATGAGACACATAGCACATATAGAAGTTAGTAGAACTCAAAACCAAAACAATGTGCATTAGGTATTCAAGTAAAGAAATACAAAAAGTATGAGACAGTGCTTGATGTAACACACTTGTGCATATATTCACATATGGCATACTTAGCACTTATTTTTTAGTGCAAAAACTAATACTAGTGATTGATAGGAAGTTAAGATGGAGAGAAAATCAAAACTTCAAAAAAAACGTAAATTTCATAAGGTTTTGATTTTATACACTTTCACAAAACTTATAAATATATGTTTTGTATTAATTTTGAGCATGACCATTGAAGTTTGACGTCATGACTTATTTAAGCACAATCTATTGGTGCGCAAAGGTCTCAATTAAATAAGGGAGAATCATTATGACTCAAATAGTAGAATTGCTAAAAAAAAAAAGAGTTGTTGAGGCCCAAATGTGAAGTTTTTCATGTCAGAAGTAATTATAGAACAAAGTGACCTGATTTACTACACCTGAATACAAAGGGGCCTTTTAGCTCTAACTAGAGTATCAAGAAACCAAATCAACGAACAAAGACTAAGAACTTCAAAGTGAGCTTCATTTTCTAACCTTTCCTTCTAATAATGATGACATAAAAATCTTTGGTTCCAAATTAACTCATGGAGTTGTAGGTTGAAGAAAAATCTCAAGTGGCTTGTCCACCTTCAACTTGCATCAATTCAACCCTTCAATAGAGTAGGAATTCAAAATTTATCAAAGTTGATGGTAAAAATTATTTGGTATTTCATTTCTTATCTTGTTACACTTGAATTTTATTAAGCATTGAGACAAATGCGATATGTTTGCAAAGAGATTCCTTTGAGAAAAGCTAAAAATTATAATTCTGGGAGGTCAATGTAGGCTCACAAAATCAGACTTGATGAAAGATTCATGATCATAAGAAAATCACTTATACTCTAGGGACTAGAATAATTGAATTGTTATTGTGATAATGAAATAGAGTGTAAGCTAAAAGTGTTTGGTTGAATCACTCTAAAACCTTACATATTGAGTATTCCTCTTTGCTAATTTATTAATTTAGTGAACTCAAGAGAACAATCTAAAAACATAAACTAGAGTATTAATAATAATAATAATAATAATAATAATAAAATAAATCCAACACCCCTTCTTGATATGTTATGCTAGTAAGCTAAAATCTAACTTAAGTTGCCTACAAATAATTATTCTAACTAAATAAGATACATTATTGATTCAATTGGCTTTTGTATGTTTAATAAAATTTAAACATCATTACATTTACAACTTAAAGAAATTGATAATTATATCATGATCTAATCAACTTGATGTAGCATTCAACTATTTTCAAAAGTTTTTTGAGGTGTGCTATCTATAGAGCCCAAAAGCTTAATAATTGGAATTTAAATAATTGAGATCTGATTTATGACAGATTCTATAAGTTGATTTTTAGGTTGACTTACTTTTTAGTCTACTTAGTCAGTCAACTCGATTGACAAACTTTTGATCAAATCATTATGCATGTTCTAAAAGGATATTCTCTAATTATTTTGATGCTTTGACATTCTAGGATTTGATAGAAGATGCCTTGAGATTGGTTGCTATGGTGTGAGATATATAATGTGTTTGATATGGGATATGTTTTTAGTTTTTCTTTCTCTTGAGATTAATTTGTCAATTGCTTGTTTGACCCATGAGTCAACATGGTGAATTTTTTTGGCAAGTTTATCTCTCTAAATTTGACTTTACAATAATTGTGTAGATTCACTAAGTCAACCCACTAGGGTCAGCCACTAGATCCACTGCCATAGATCTTAAGTCAATTTTCTTGTCTTGTTCAATAATTTCTCTTTGTTATTTTTTTGTTTTGGATCAAATTTTCTTCTTATGGATCTATCCATTGATAGATCTTTTTTCATATTTATGGTTGAAAAACATATCCGAAAAATAAATGAACTATAAATAACAATTTCAAACCTCATCCAATCGTCAATGTAACAACAACATATGTAGAATAAAAAAATATATTATTATTATTATTTTTTTTCAACATCAAAACTCTTAAACCAACATATCACAATAGACAGACCTAATGTAATTGTACATTTAAATTTAATTTGGGTGACATGTGAAGGCTCTTTAACAAGATTCCATCATTATCGTTTGCAAATCATGTATGCCCATCATCTCATCCAACTTGATCTAAACCTACCACTTGGTAGTTAATGTCTAATGAAACTTAAAAAAAGGTTGTAGTTAATGTTTGCCAAGGGTGATCTACGTCATATATACATGGCGAGACATGCTTCAATGTCGTCAAAGGGGCCCTCACCTTAGCAAAATATTCAAAGGAAGGTGAACCCACCCTACAAACCCAAAAACCAATTCTCTCAAAGTCTTCAAACGTGACCATTAAAATGAGTGCAATCAAAGATGTCGTATAAAGTTATGGGCCAAATGAATAATAAATAAAGTAAAGTAGGCATCTTTAAATCAGTTTATATGGAGATATGAGCTCCAAGGTAAACGAAGCGCATTGAAGCAGCCCCCATATCCGTCTTAGTCTCCGTCGAATTCAACAAGCTCGCACACTTCACCTCACAATTTAGTTTACGTCACAGGGCGGAATCAGCAACCCGAGGCGACTCAGAAACGCAACCAACAACGGCTCAAAATCGTGAAGCACACCATCTGAGATAACAAGCAACAGGTCTACGAGAGGGTAAGAGATATTCGAGGATCGTGTTTCGCTTGATCCTACGCATATATAAACAGGAAATGGAAGAAGATGGACGGAATTTCTGCAACGCAGTGGAGTGAATGCGAGAAGCTCGATGAATGGCGGCCATTTGGGCTCCGATTTGCTGCTCGTCGGTACAAACCGGGGTTCCCCCGTCTGGGAAAAGAAGGAGAGGAGCTCTCCTCACTCCGCCTCCGATTCCTCCACCCACGCCTCGATTCGCAGGAGCACGAACCCCACGGCGACACCGACGAGGACGAGCCCGTTCATGATGGCGGCGATCCGAAATATCTCCTCCGACGCGTTGCAGGTGGCGGAGAACGCTCCGCCCCTGCCCTTCTTCCCCCCCGCCGCCGATGCCCTCAGGGAGCCGACGATCCTTGCAAACGACCGGTCAGCGCAGTCCCGCTGGCCGAGGGAGGACACGCCGTTGTGGGCCTTGAGCCCCCCGAAGGAGCCCAGTTCCCCCACGCACACGGCGGCGGACCCGGCCTTCTTCCTCATCGTCGCCGCCCTGGGGGCGGAGGCTACAGCCGAGAGCGCCGCGGGGGAGAGAGACGCCGCCATCGCCGCAGAGCAACCCTCCACCTCCAATCCCAAACCCTAGAGTCTCCCCCCCTCTGACCGGTCTGAGAGGGGTCGCGTGGCGGGCACCCTTCCCGGCTCTGGATCTGTCTCCGGCTCTCTCTCTCTATCTCTCTCTATCTCTCTCAGAGGGTGGGGAGAGAGAATGGGCGGGGATTTGTATGGCTGGATGGTCTGGGGATAAGGTTGGGGGTGGACGATTGGTGGGCAAGGAGGAGTAGTATATCCGCTCCGCCGCCGCCCGGGAGTAAAGATCCCATCTTTGAACGCCCACCACGAACGGGGAGGCCCATCGTGGCTTGGCCACAAGCTAGTACCACTGCGAGCAAGGAGTACAAACCAGACGGGCCTGAGCCAGGACAAGGTGTACCACGTAGGTGTCCGAAATGAAGTGGGCCCCGTGCACGTCGTCGACACGTGGCAGGAGCGATGGGCCCCCTCTCTCGCAGTCCCCTGTCCAATCAGACCCCTAATTCCTTCCGGCCCTGATTTCAGGCCCAAATGAAATGATTCCGGCTGGCCTGGTTCAGCCCAAATTGGACCATCCCGTGCACGAAGTTAACGCCGTCAGGCTGCCGTTAGCCACTCGCGGAAATCAGACGGACCCCTAACCCTAGACACTGCCCCTCCCTCCCCGCCCCCACGGACCCTCTCTCTTTCTCTCTGCCTCTCCTATAAAACCAGACGCTTCATCCTTCAGCTCGCTCGGCCTTCAATCTCTGCCTTCTCTTGTTGGCTTCAGACTTCCCATCGAAGAGATTCAGCGTTCGCTGTGCCGCTAGCTTCCTCTCCTCCCGTTCAATCTCTCCCTTGTTGAGCTCTAGCTCGTGCTGATGCTTCTCTGTGATGAAGAAAATAATACATAGATGACGAGTCCGATCTGCCCATGAGGACTAATCGAGGCATTTGTCTGAGAGAAATCCCCGAGCCAGCTACGCCTTCCGCCGCTTCTTTCGTCGCTCGTCGCCTTCTTCTCCCTGTTCTCCGTCCGTTTTTCTTTCTCCGACTTGCTTTGCTCGGCACGCCGGTTTCTCCATGCGTGTTGGAGAAGTGTGGCATGGTGATGATAGTGTGAAAACCAAATCTGATGGTTGCTGATGATACAAATCCTCCTACTCATTCTGAATGCCACCTTCAAGATCTGATGCCGATGCCTTTGCCGAAGCTTAATCGTATTGTATTCCAGTTCCCGAATGCCTCCATCCCTTCGTCTTTCCCCCGATCCGAAGTCGTATGCGACTAATTTCTCGATGACGGGAAGAACTAAGGTGGTGATAATCCACCTGCCGATGGGTTTTCGGATCGCTCGTGGTGAGATAACCTGTCGACTTGAATCGTTCTATCAACGCGCATTCCGCCCCCGCCGGAGGAAAATGTCGAAGCCCTAATTCCTGAATCCGCTTGGATGGAAGGCTCGGGCACCGACGGAGACTCTTTTGAAAGGGATACTTGATTCCGGATCGTGCTATATATTATTCGATTGCAGCCGATTCATTATAATGATTCACTATCTTGAGCGAATTCTGCTTCGAAATCCGACCAAGCATCTGACCCACGACCTAGAAATCAGACCTAGCATCGGCTGCTCCCTCCTTGGTGGTCTCGTCGCACGGCGGAAATAGTGAACGAAGACGATGAACCAGAAGTCCACAGTGATCTGAGAATGATTCACATACCGGCCAAAATATGGTCTTGCAAGCGTCTGTCGAAGAAATTACAGACTATCAAGAACAGGCACCTCACAGGGAAACAATTTCCCACCAGCATCCGTCCAGATGGTCAAATACAGCAGGGCAGAACGCAGGAAGAAATCCCTAAAATGGTTAAACATGTGTTCGTCACTCACGCATTCGAGAAAAGTCAATGACCCTCGGCGTACAAGATTTCCATATAAGGGAAATCTCCTTTTCTTCCATTTCATCGAAACCCAATTTCACAGAAGAGAATGAGATTTCTGTGAAGCAGGATCAGCTGAAGCGCAGAGAACTCGTGGTGATGGGAATCCGCGCATGGACCAGCAATTCGCATCTGTGCCGGAGAAAAGAAGACCCGAGGAGCAGTCAGGGCTTGAAGACGAAGGGCTGCGGGAGGGAAATGGGACCTCTCCGAGGGTCGTCGTCGTCGAGGAGCCTCTTCACCTTCTTGTTCGTGGCAGCGAGCTTGTCGAAATGCTTGACCTACCAAGAACAGCATCAAGGCGAATGAATACAACGAAAAGAGCAGAGAAATATCTTCCCGCAAAGGGAGGGACGGGAGGATTGGGAGAAGATCTGCGGAATCCTCCCCCTCTTCCGAGCGTATATTACCCATGCGGGACGGCACTGTTTGACGTAGTCGGCCCTCGATTGAGCACATTCGGCGGGGTAAAGCAGCCCGGAGTAGCCGCTCTCCGTATTTTTCCTGCCGGTTTCCTTCTCCAGGCAGGCGTAGAAAGCATCCCTCGCCTGAACCACAGCGAACGATGGGTGATAGACGATGCGATGAGAGAAGAGGGCAACTATGGGGGAGCAGCTAGAGAGAGAGAGAGAAAGAGGGAGAGAGAGAGAGAGACCGTGTAGCACGCCTTTCTGGCTTCGGAGAGCACATCGGGGTAGATCTTCCCCGGGATCTCTGGATCTCCTCTCATGGCGGCCGGCGCCAAGTCTCGCAGCGTCGCCGGGCGGCGGGGGCCAGAAGGGGAGAAGAGAGGGAGAGGCCGCGCACACGTGGCACCAGCCAGGGACGCGAAACCGGTGCATTATAGACCGTCGGATGGGTATGCCCAAACCCTGCGATGCGAGAATCCTTGTTTCACACCTGCTAATCTTTGCCCCCTTAATATTTTGTTATAAATGGGCAAATAATTACATTTAAATTAATGATAATCATTTCCCAGTGCGGGACTTTGGATCCAGCCACGTTGGCACTTTTATTACGTACACGTCACTCACGTGCGGCAAAAAGCGTTCCAACACCTCCGCCGTCGGCGGTCCGCCGGCCGGCCGGATCGGACCGCTCTTTTCCTTTACCGGCGGCGCCGATTTTCGCCTTCCGACGACGGAGGAGGAGCGACACGTGTTCGAGTGCAGGGACGACGTCCCCTTCGCCGCGACCGGCCGGAGGTTTCGTGTCTGACGACAATTCCTCCACCTGGAACTCGCCGGCGCAGCTTCCGTCCCTTCTCAGCCACCAACCCTCCAAATATTCCCACAGAATCTTCTCTCCCCCTCTCCTCCTCTTCTTCTTCCCGGCTGGCTCGGACTATATAAACCCTCTACAGATCGGTAGCTTCCTTCTGAAGTAAACCGGAGCTGAGGAGAGAGAAGGGGAGGGGAAATGGCCGCCTCAAGTGGATCTCTCCGCCCGCATCCTCCGTTTCTTCGTTCTGCTATTTCCCCGCCGTCGTCCTCATCCTCCTCCTCTTGCTCCTCATCTCTGGGGATGTCGACTGTTGGGTCGTCGTCGTTCTCCTCTCCGGCGAGGAGGATGGCCGTTCGGAGGGTGGCTTCTCCGGCGAAGGCTTACGTGGCTGTGGAGAAGGCCCAGGAGGAGAACAAGGATCTCTACGCTCTCGCGGCAGATGCATCGGCAGCCCTTCTAGGGTTCCTGTGGAGCGAGGTGAAGGAGAGAAAACGAAGGTGGGAGCTGCATGCAGAGACAATGGTGGAAAATGTGGGTTTTTTATTCATTTTATTTTCCCTCTTCCCCGATACTTGATCGCGGGCCCCCTCACGCCCAAACCCAGTCTACAAGGCTCGAACTTGGCCCACCGCTCCGCCTCAGAATCCTATTAGGTAAGAGATATCCACCAGAGAGGGGGAGAGAGAGAGAGAGAGAGAGACACACACACACACACACACACACAGATGAAGATGGATGGTGAAAGAAGAGGCGGAAATTGCGAGAAGGGGGAGTTCTGAGATGTTTATGCTGTTTGGCCATGCAGGGCATCGTCGGCTGCCGATTCTTCGCGTTAATTGGCGTCGCCGGAACCCTTGTGGGCTCCATCTTGTGCTTCGTGGAGGTAGGGAGATCGGCTTGATCCCGCCCATTGATCCATCTGATCTATGATCGATAAGAAAATCTTCATCACTTCGTGGGATGTTGCAGGGATGCTTCCTCGTATGGGCGGCATTTCTCCACCGATATTATGGGAGCTGGGAGAGGTTGGAGCAGGCAGGAGAGGTGATGACCCTGCTCATTGAAGCCACAGGTAAACCCGAAGCTGCAGTTTTCCTCGTCAGGCTAGGACACGACCTTTTAAAACCATAGGTTTCACAGATAATGAGATAGAAGTATGTGCTACAAGTGTCAGCAGGAGTGACGGGCCCCGTTCTCTCTCTCTCTCTCTCTTGTTGGATGATTTTTGGTTGGTCGATCTTCGTCCCTGATGCACCATCCCTCGTCGCTCATCGCAGAGAGCTTCCTCGTCGGATCGGCCATGCTCTACTTCGGCATGGGGCTCTACACCATGTTCGTCAGCTCAGGAGGAAGCAAGGGACTCAACCGATGGCCGATCTCCCGGGCTCCCGCTGTCTCACCTCACAAGGTTAGCTTCCTCGTCCACCCGACCAGAAATCAGAAATAAAATGCGAGTAATCTCCACTAATTAATAATCTGAGCTAAAATATTTCATCTTTTTCTCTAAGTTAATTTGGGCCTTATAATGGAAAACTTTATATCATTATCCTATGACTGTAACCAGATAATGAGCATGCTCGGATAATTCCATCGCAGTAGGTGGCATACTGAGGCCTAAACCCTTCTTCTTTGCCGTGTTCCAGACGCGCCCCCCCTGCATGGAGATGGAGCGCCCGTCGGAGGCGAAGGCCGAGCTTGGGCGGGCGGTGGTGATGCTACTCCAAACGGGCCTCGTCGAGAAGTTCAAGAGCGTGCCTCTGACGAATGGCCTGGACCTCGCCTGCTTCGCAGCCTCCATCTTTTTCTCCTCCGCCGGCATCTTCCTCCTCTCTCGCCTCCGCCACAGGCGGCGAATCCCCGCAGGCGAAGAACTGGGAGTATCCACATAGCTAGATCCATTGAATGAAGATATGAGGCATCTGCTTAACGAAGGGGCCAAGACCCCATCGGCAGCGGCGGCGGCGGCGATGATCCCTGTGGGCGTCGCTGTTCATCGCGCAACCCCATCGCAGGCAGAGAGGGAGAGAAATCGAACGATTTTTCCCATTTTCCGCTTCCATTGTGCTTTCTTACTTAGGGTGAAGAAAAAAATCGATCGAGTCTGAAGATCCTTCTGTTGCTATCAGCGAGTTTCGTGCTCATTTTCTGCCTGATGATCCGTCGAAGTCTGTAAAAATTTGACTCCTTTTTACTGGGTTTTCTAGTAAGATTTTTGGGCGCCATCAATCAAATCGTAGGCATGAGGTTGGGATTTTCGGGCTAGCCCCACTGATCGGACGGCCCACCTAGAGAAGGATCTCGCCGATTATCTCCGCAGGGCCGCCATCAGACGGCTGCTGGCGAGACATCTTCGTCTCGCCTAGATGAGGAGCTCCCCGGTTAGGGTTCGGCGTTCGGTCGTCTTTCTTCTGGGTTCTCTCTGTTGCAGTAGCCGGACCGAGGAGAAGAGGGCGGCGGAGCAGCTCGGCCGGGAGAGATGTTTCTTGGGGCGATCCGGAGGCCGGACAAGGCCGCGGCTCACAGGCAGCTGAAGACCCATCTGGCCATAATGGGGGCCGTGATCGCCGCCATCCGGGTGACGCCCATCATCCTCCACCTCCTCACCAAGGAGAAGGAGGAACTGCGCCTCGAGCTCTAGTTCCTCCCGTCCTTGTGAGTTTTCGCTGTTCCTTTGATTTTATATCCGGGTAGGATCGGGGGCTTTCCTTTTGAACATCGACGATACCCAGGAAAAAAAAGAAAAAAGAGAGGACCCAGATCATCCTTACATGTACGATCTCGTCGTCGATATGAATATTTCTTCTGGGTTTTGCAATTAATCCATCTTCTCGTCCTAATGTTTGAGAGTATTGCTGCGCTCAGCGATCGAGCGTCCTTCGTTTGATAAGCTTGGTATTCTCCAGGGATCAAATGGGTTTCGAGGTGCGAGAGCACCAGTTCCATATGCAAAATCAAACCACCCCACTTTAATTGTGTCAAAAAATGCGTTTTTTTTTCTTTTTTTCCATGTAGCGGTAAGAACCTTAGAATTAGATTCGAAATCATAGAAGAAGTTCATCGATGTCTACATCGGAAATTGATCGAGAATCAGGAGAGAGAGAAGGGCAAGTAGGACTCTGTTGCAGATTGAGCACGGTTATGAACCATTACTTTTATCCGGGGAGGGGATGGTATCTGATGTTTATCCGTAGAGATAGATTCCTGATCATTATCCATGCCCACCCAATACATACGGCTCTCTATCAGTTTACCTGTTCCTGGTCAACAACTTATTTATGGCAAGACTCGGATGGCTAATTGGGAATTTCAACGAGCTCTGTTTGGGGAGTTTGGATCACGTTCTTGCCCTTCTCCGAGGAAAATGAATCGTGTATGCAGTCGATGTATCGGCAGCATTATCCATGTTTTCTTCAGTGGCATGTTGTGGGAGGCTCTAAAGGAGTTCTTCTGCGCAGGAAGTAGTGAGTTGGAATCATGTCTTCGCCTAGTCCGAAGATGACTAGTCTGCATATGTGCGCTCAAGAAACAGGGTTCAGCACCATGGCGGGGTGGTTCACCTCTGCCTGATTCTCGGAGATGAACCCGCTTATGCATGCCGAACGTTCGTTTCTGGCTGTTGGGTTGGGTTGGAGGAATCGAAGCGGCTTTAAATGTAGAACCTTGTATGGATGCAGACTGTTCTAGCTCGACCAATCTCGTGTGCCCTAATGCCCGGATCATTATCATCATCATCATTCTCTTCTGGTTCTCGTCGCCGCGGTCCTCTTCTTCCTGTCGGGAGAGACAGACGAGAGAGAAGGGGTGGGGCTGAAGCGGCGATTAATTCTCATACTTTTTACACGACCTTCTTCATGAATCCGAGCTTGCGATGATTAATTCTGTCCGGCCGGAAGGGACTGCGATTATCACCGGAGAAGAAGCCTGACCAGACTCTATTTTCTCTAAACAATCCGTCGGAATCGACGGCTACCCCGACCTCAATGCATGAACTCGCAGAGTGGCATCTCCATGATGTTCCTTACCATCTATAGCTTCCTGGTAAAAAGGCTCGCTGAAGGTGGTAGACCACTGCTCCATCTTCATGGCGATCGTCGTCCTCCTGGTGATCTCTTCTGTGGATTCCTCCCCTTGACTAGCGAGGAATCAGCTCTCTGGCGGCGGGCCTTCACGTATCCGGTTCTCGTCCAGGTGCTAATCCTCGGCTGAGCATTTCGTCTCTCAGTTTCCCTGCAAGCAGAGCATCGCCCCGTCGCAGGTACCCGTCGAGGAAAGCTCTGTAAATCTCCGAGTCGGCCTGGAATCCCCTCCCGGCCATCTCTGCCTGCAACTTCAGCCCCTCCTCCACCTTTCCTTCTTGGCAGAGTCCCTTGATCAGAGAGAGGAACATCTCCCGGGAGGGGGCGAAGAGGCCCCCCACGCTTTCCATCTCCCTCCTCAGCAAGCGCAGCCCCTCTGCAACTCTTCCCTTCTCGCAGAGTGCATCGATGAGCCGCCCCACTGTGGAGCCCTCCGGCCTGAAACCCTTCCTGAGCATTTCCTCGTACAGGTCGGCGGCACCGCCGACGTCCCCCGCCGTGCAGTGACCGGCGATCAGCTTCTCGTAGCTTGTGGACGTGGGGTCGATCCCTTCCAGTGTCATTGCCCGGAAGAGCTCCTCTGCTCTCCCCATCTCTCCGGCCCCGCAGAGGCCGCCAATCACGGTGTTGTACGCCGTCGCGTCGGGTTTGATTCCCTCCGCTGCCATCTCTCGGAAGAGGGCCTTCGCCGCCTCAACTCTTCCACCTTCGCAGAGCCCCGCCATTAGAATGCTGTAGGTGAAGCAGTTCGGCCTGCAGGTGTACCTTTCCATGTCTCTTCGGATTCTCTCGCCGCCGTCTCCCGATCTGCCCTCCCTGTTGAACGCAAGGAGAAGGGCGTTGAAGGTCTGCACATTGGGAGAAATGCTCCCCCTGGGCCGTCCCCCGCCATCGCCGGCTCCGAAGAGCTCTTCGTAGATGGCGAGCCCGGCGGCGGCTCCTCTGGCCGCTGAGACTGTGCGTATCAGCTCGTTGCAGGTGGAGACGGTGGGGAAGATGGCCCTTTTCCTGAGCTTGCCGACGATCTCCACCGCCTGGTCGACACGCCTGGCCTGAAGGCATGCCCTAACCAGCAGGTCGAAGGCCAGCGGAGTGGAATCGCAGACACGGTAGGACTTGACGAGGGCCGCGAGAACCTCTCTAGGCGCGTCCTCACCCTCTCGCCTGCCGCCGCCGCGGCCGGAGACGAGCAGGATGGCGGAGTGGATGAGAGAGACGGCGGCGGATCTGAGGCGGGCGCGGGCGAGGACGTGGACCATGGCAGCGTAGGAGGAGAGGTCGTGGTGGCAGAGAGAAGACGCCTCCGACCACCGGAAGAAGCGAAAAGCCAGCCGCGGGTTGCTCCGCAGGCCGAGGGTGATCTGGGTCGCCTGCTCGGAGGTGAACCCCGTGGCTCCGTAGAGGGATCTGAGGAAGCCCCACCGGCTCCGGCATCGCTGCTCTCTTAGGACGGAGATCACGTCGGCGACCACGGCGTCGTCTTCTGCCCCCTTGCCAGCGCCGCCGCTGCTCAGCCGTCTGGAGGCGGATGGAGAGGATAAAATGGGGGGAAAGGATCTGCGCAGGCGGGTCGCCATGGAGGATCGGAGCTTGGGATCACCTGAACGAACCAGGGGAAGATCGATGATAATCAGAGGGTAGAAGAGGAGGAGAAAATGGTCTTCTCCGTCGTACCCGGATGCAACAGGCCCTCCTTCCCCCTCGCGGAAACCCTCCTCCATTCCCTCAAGGAGAGATGCTCTTCTTTGAAGGAACTGAAGCGGGTTCACGCCCTGGTCATCACCGGCGGGCTGGAGACGGAGACTATCCTCGTCGGAAAGCTCTGCGCCGTCGCTGCTGCCGCCGGCGAGCTGAGCTACAGCCGGGTCATCTTGGAGAAAGCAACCCCCGAGAGGAACAGGTTCGCCTGGAACAGCCTCATCAGGGGCTACGCGAACAGCGCCCAACCGAGAGAAGCTCTCCTGCTCCACCGCCGGATGCTTGCCGGCGGCCTACTCCCCAACGAGTTCACCCTCCCCTTCGTCTTCAAGGCCTGCGCCGCCGAGTCCGCTTTCCAGGAGACGCTCCTGATCCACGCCCTCGTCGTCAAGCTCGGATTCGCCGCCCAGGTCTTCGTGCAGAACTCCCTCCTCCACTCTTACGCAGCCTGCGGTTCTCCCTGGCTGGCCCGGACCCTGTTCGACGGAATGCCTTTTCGGAGCATCGTCTCCTGGAACTCGATGATCGGTGGCTACTCTCGATCAGGGCACTGCCGAAGCGCCTTCGGCTTGTTCGAGGAGATGCGACGGCGCCGCCTGGCGGCGGACAAGTTCACTCTGGTCAACCTCCTCTCCGTTTCTTCTCAGACGGGGAGTCTTCGATCGGGTAGGCTCGTGCACCACCACATCCTGGTTCATGGAGCCGAAGTTGACCTGATCCTGGAGAACGCCCTGCTGGACATGTACGCCAAATGCGGCGACTTGCGGTCGGCTCTGACCAGCTTCAACCGGATGCTCGAGCGAGATGTCGTCACCTGGACGACGATGGTCGCCGCCCTCGCCGTCGACGGCCAGATCGAGCAGTCCCGGTCCCTGTTTGACCAGATGCCTCGCAGAAGCGTGGTCTCCTGGAACGCCATGATCTCCGGCTATGTAAGGCGCGGCCTGTGCCGTCGGGCTATGGACCTCCACCGTCTGATGCTCTCCTCCTCCGGCGTTGAACCCGACCAGACGACGCTCGCCGCCGTGCTCTCGGCGTGCGGCCAGCTCGGCGACTTGGTCGCCGGTGAGGAGCTCCACCGCTACATCCGCCGCCGGAAGGACCTACTCCCGGGGGTGACCCTCTGCAACTCCCTCGTGGACATGTACGCCAAATGCGGCCTCGTGGACAGGGCGTTGCACCTCTTCGCGGCCATGCCCGTCAAGGACCTGGTCTCCTGGAACGTGATGCTTGGCGCTCTGGCGATCCACGGACGGGCCACGGCGGCGCTCCATCACTTCAGTGAAATGCTCGCCGGAGGTCTCCGCCCAGACGGCTTCACCTTCGTGGCCCTGCTCTCCGCCTGCAGCCACAGCGGCCTCCTCGACACAGGGCGGCGCATCTTCAACGCCATGGCCGATGTGTTCAGAGTGCCGATCGAAATCGAGCACTACGCCTGCATGGTGGAGCTTCTCGGGCGAGGAGGGCGGCTGCGGGACGCGGCGCAGCTGATAAGCGCCATGCCCGTCAGGCCCGACGCCGTCGTGTGGGGCGCCTTCCTCGGCGCCTGCAAGGCTCGCGGCGACCTGAGGGCGGCCAAGCAGGCGCTGAAGCAGCTGCTGGAGGTGGAGATGGAGCCGAGCGGCGGAGGGCCGTTCGTCCTCCTCTGTAACGCCTTCGGCGAGGCCTGCCGGCCGGGGGACGCGGCGAACATCCGGAAGCTGATGGATGAACGGGGGACCAGGAAGGACGGGGCGACCAGCTCCGTCGAGGTCGACGGCCAGGTTTATGAGTTCATGGTAGATGACAGGAGGAACACCATGACGCCCGATATATATTATGTGCTGGACTGCATAGCCATTCATCTCCAATCTACAGGTCCCATGCCCAGCATGCCACTGGACCCTTCTGCTCATCACCGAGAAGGCTAACCTGCTTCCTGCAAGAATGTCTGCCCCCCCTCCCCAATTCGGGCTAATCATGTGTAGATGATGAAAGTGACGAGAGAGAGAGATTCAATCTGAATCGGCATCAAACTTTCCACAGGCATATCCATCAGACGACACCCTGACGAACTCAGCACTGGGTCTTGCCCAAATTAGTCCGGAGGCCCTCGAGCCCTCCCAGGGGATTATCCAAAACCATATCATCTTCACAGGGAATATCTGGGTTCAGCTCCTGGATGCTAAAATAGACCAGGCAGAGAGGAGTTCACCGAGATCACGACCCAACAACGGAGGAAACCATAGAACAAAGGGGGCTGAAGGGAGCTAGGAAGAAGCTGGCGCCGCGGACGTCTCAGATTGGATGCGAGGAGACGATGCATTTGAAGCAGCAGGGTTGTAGATATTAGCCCTCTTGAGGATTTCAGCGACTACCCAGCGCTTGCGCTTGCTCAATGGTCTGGATGGGTCCAATCTAACCTGAAAAAAGAATACGTAAAAAGAAAGCATAGTCTCAGAGTTCCATTTGACCAATCTCTAATGTTCTGGGCAGACACGAAAAAGCAGGAGTCTTGGTTCAAATCCAATAGCGGGTAGAACAGTGTCTAATGACTCTTTCAATCCTTGGTTCGATTCTTTGGTTGCTGCTGTTATTATTATTAGTACTGAACTTAAATTGATTGTTTTCAATCCTTGGAATCAAAACAAAGAATACAATCTTGTCTAACATTGGTAGCATCCACCACATCTGTTTCCAAAAAGGAGTTGATGATCGTGGGAGGCGAGCCATGAGCCCCCAGGCTCACCGGAATGACAGATCGCGGCTTCAAGGCTGAATTCTCCATGCGGGGGCCCTTCTACAGGCTTTGCTGGAGCAAAGAGAGGGACCAACTAAGTAATTTACTGGCAAATGGGAGCTCAATCACATTCTTGTGGGAGAACAAATGAACCAGGGCTTCTGTCTAGGGCTCCACATGGAAGCAGGAGTAGTTGTGAATGGAGGATTCCGCAGGCCTATGATGTCAGGAGAGCCTAGGCTACTAGGCAGCCCAATTCTGGATCCCAGCTCAATTTCATACGTAGTCAGGAATTGGTAACGAGGGAGAAGTCTAAGCGTGATTTCTGGAACTTGGGCGGGCATGAACTGTGCTTCTGGCTTTCTATGTTCCTAATGTGATCCCACTTCTGTCCACAAGAAAATCCCTTGACCCAGATGAAATGATCTTCCTAGATGATTTGACATATCGAGAATTATCATGGAATATATCAAGAGACGAAGATAGATAAAAAAAAATCTGCACGAGTTCATGTCAACATGGAACGCAGTAAGCAGATAAATATGCAGGTTACTCCAAAACTTGTCTCCGTGGGAGAGAATGAATGATCAGAACCGAGAATATTTGATAAGAAATCACGGACGCATTCAAAGAGGACGCGCCCTACCAGCTTCGCCAGTTCATTTCTAGTCTTGCGATTTGGGAGAGGCGGGGGATATCCAGAGTAGCATGAACGACCCATCCGACCGCGACCAAGGGTGGGTTTCCATCTAACTAAGACAGATGTGAGCTAGCGACGTGTGTGTGGTGTGGTGTGGCCGGCGTTCGGCCCCAGAGAAATGAGAAGAATCGGTAGCGAGACATGAGCTTTTTGAGGCTCCCCCATACCTTGTCGCCAATGTTGCAGTGGTTTTCCTCATCGTGTGCCATGAATTTGCTCGTGCGCTTGAGATAGCGGTCGTAGAGCTTATTGTGGAAGAGGCGATCCACCGCCACCACCACCGACTTCTGCATCTTGTTCGACACCACCGTGCCCACCACCGGCTTCATCCCCCCGTCTCCCGATCGACCTTCCTTCCTCCACCCCCTAAACAACCCACTAAGCAAGCAAGCAAGACCTATCTAGGTCTCCATGGACGGCAGCGACCTGGGATTTCGAGGAGTAAGGAAGGGTATTACAGTCATTCCATGGAGTCCTCTTCAAGCTTGATCAGCGAATTCCGGGAGTACTTCCGTTCCGGCTCGTTCAGTCCGACCCAATGGCGGCTTGTTCCCCTCCCCTGTTGTACCTGCGCAGGGCCGCCATCTCTCCTCCTCCCGCTCTTCTTCCTCCTCCTCCTCCTCCTCCTCCTCCTCCGTCTATCGCTGCCATCTCCGCAGCTCTTCGGCCGCTCTGCCTCAGCCGGCGGAGCGCGGAGTTGGACCGCGCCCTCTCCGCCTTCACCAGGGCAGCGCCAAAGCCGTCGCCTTTCCTCTACAACTCCCTCATCAGGTCCCTCAACCGTGCCGGCCTCCCCCGGCGGTCCCTCTCGATGTTCCTTCTCATGCTCCACGACCCGGCGACCGTCCCCGACAGCTTCACCTACCCGTTCGCCCTCAAAGCCTGCGCTCAGCTGGCGGCCCTCGACGTCGGGGAGCAGATCCACGGGCTTCTCCTGAAAGCCGCGGTTCTCTCGCCGGATGAGGGCGGCGATGTCGTCCCACTGTACAATGCTCTTATCCACATGTACATACAGTGCGATAGAATCGACCGCGCCTTGGAAGTCTTCGACCGATCGCCTGCCAGAAACGTCGTCTCCTGGAACTCCATGATCGACGGGTTCGCCAAGTCTGAAGACATGGACTCCGCCCGCGAACTCTTCGAGGATATGCCTGAGAGGAACATGGTCTCCTGGAACTCCATGATCGGCGGGTACGCCAACAACGGCCGGCCGGACGAGGCCCTGACCCTGTTCCTACAGTCGCAGGAGCTGGGCCTCTGCCCCGACGAAGTGACCATGGTCAACGTCCTCGCCGCCATCTCCGATCTGGGTCTGCTGGATTCGGGGGAGGAGGCGCACGCCTACATCACTCGCCGCGGATTATCCATGCGCAGCGGCGCCCTCGGTGTCTCGCTGGTCAGCATGTACAGCCGGTGCGGAAGCATCGAAGCCGCTCACCGGTTGTTTGAAGGAATTCCCGACAAGAACGTGGCCCACTGGACCGCCATGATCACGGGGCTCGCCGCCCACGGCATAGCGGAGGGCGCCCTTCAGCTGTTCGCAGAAATGCTGCGCTCGGGGGTGAAGCCCAACCACGTAACCTTCATGGCCATCTTGAGCGCCTGCAGCCACGGAGGTCTCGTCGAAGAAGGGCTGAAACTGCTACAACTGATGGCAACCCACGGCGTTGACCCGCGCCGCCAGCACCTCAGCTGCGCGGTGGACCTCCTCGCTCGCGCCGGCCTCGTCGAGGAGTCCCTCGCCCTCGCCCTCGCCGGAGCCCATCCGGGAGAAGCCGAGCCCGCCGTGTGGACGTCGCTGCTCTCCGCCTCCCTGCGGCGGGGAAACTCCGGCGTGGCGGAGATAGCGGCGAGCAGGTTGATGAACCTCGACCCCGACCAGGGGGCCTCCTACGTCCTCCTGTCCAACGTCTACGCGAGCTTGGGGAGGTGGGATGAGTTCAGCAGGATGAGGAAGACGATGGCGCGGAGGGGCGTGGAGAAGGTCCCCGGGCTCAGCTGGATCGTGGTGGGTGGCGCCGTCCACGAGTTCGCCATGGGGGACAAGCTCCACCGCAGGCAGAAGGAGATCTACGCCACCCTCTCCGCCATGGAATCCCACCTCAGGTGGGTCGACCCCCCCGGCGTTGACCTGGAAATGCTGGGGCCGCCTACCTGAACAATAATCACTTTCTACCGTCGCCCGTTTTGGTAGGGGAGGCTGGAGATTCTTGTATAGCTCGGTCTCGCGCCGTCGTGCTGATTTGGCGTGGGATGGCTGGCTCCCTCTGGTTGTTCGAGCGACCCAGTTGTCAATGTCGCTGAGATCATCTGTCTGGTGCGACGTGGGAATCACCCGCCAAATCTTCCTCCTAAAAATGATACAAGAAATGCATGTTGCCTCGCTCTCTCTCTCTCTCTCTCTCTCTCTCTCTCTCTCTTATTGCTATTTATTGTCCGTGTGGGTCTGCCTCGCTCCATTATTTCTGTTCTCTGATTTTGCGTTCCATCCCCTTTCCGCCTCTACCTCACTTTGAGCTTGCGGGTGAGTTAGAGAGAGAAAACCGTGCACATGTGGGGATATTATGAACCATCTATCTCTCTCTCTCTCCATCTACCGATCTGTCCATTTCACTCGCAATACATGGATATAGTTAAATAAATACGTGGATCATGGGTTGCATGAGTCAACGCAGCCCAACTTTGCCTTCGCCGCCTCTCGAAGCATCTACCTCAAAGAGAGTTGTTGACAGGGTTGTCGTGACTTGGAAACTAGTGGGCTGATGACTTCTACCGTAGACCCATCCGATAGTGACGTTGCCAATTTGTTCAACGTTTCTATTCGATTAGATAATTAAAAAGACGGTTTTAGGAAGTGTAATATCACAGTCAACGAACAAGGACGAGTCAGCAGACCCGCAACGGGGAGATAAAGCCCGCTTGACCGAGCTGAAGTCAGCGTAAGTGCTAGTCAACGAATCCTCCACCAAATAAATCGGCGGGGTCGGTATGAACACAATATCCTTGGTGTTTGTGGGTTATGCCCTTGAACAGCCAGAAAGGGGACATCTACAATATTGTAAAATATGGGGAGGATAAAATATTTTTAAATGCGTAAATAATTCGCTTAATAAGTCCGATTAGGAGGAGTTAAATACCATAAGAAAAACCCTAATCACGTACTTTGAGGACCCAAACATAATAATTCTTTTAAGGGTATACTGTTAATATTACTCAATAAACAGGGTTTTATGAATTTACACAAATTGGCCGGGTTTTTTCGTACGTTTCCACGCGCGCGCACAGTCGCTGTCGGCGGCGTGCGTATTCTTTTCTTCTTCCTCGGGGCCTATCCAGGCTTCAACCGGAAACCTGTGCGAGGAGCCCGACGAAGAAGAAGAAGAAGCAGAGCCAGAACAGTGAAGGGGAGGGGAGCCTCGAAGAGAAGAACTGTGCGGAGGAGGGAGGATGGGGGAAGCGAAACCTGCTGGTCCTCTCCCCACTCAGGCTCCACCTCCCGTCGCGGTGGCGCGGGCGCCCCATGTTCCTCAACCTTCGGAGCAGCTCCCGCAGCTCCACTTCTGTATCCACTCCAACCCTTCTTGGGGTGAGTTCTCTACTTCTCTCCTCCTCTCCTATCCCACCTCGCTTGGGCCACAGTTTTCGCGCGAGTAAGATTTCGATTTTTTACACGCTCTGCGCAGACTTCCAGTTTAATTACTGGTCCTTTCAGGGGGTTTGGTTTTTGAATCTCTTCCCTGTTCTCCGCTGTATCTATCTCTCTTTATCCTCCTCGTCTCGTCCGGGGTAATAGGGTTTATGGAAGCAGGTTTGGGCACCGCGGTTTTGTCTCCCGGATTCTGACTCGTCACCTCTCGGTCTCACCTTAGACCACCACGGGCGGGCTGAAGAGGGAATTTTGGAGATTCATTCACTTTTGATGTTTCCCGCGCCTCCCGATTTGATCCTGAAGTTGTCAAGAAGACTGTGCGCCCGTATCTTTCTAGGGTTAACGAGCAACGACGACTTTTCCGTCGGTTTCTGTATCTATCGAGGACCTTCGTTCCTCCCCCAACCTCCCCCTTTTCTGTAATCGGTGCTCTCTGTTTTTTTTTGCAGCGATAACCTTCCTGTTCGCCTTCCAACATTACATCGTGATGTTGGGCTCGATCGTCGCCATTTCTACCATTCTCGTCCCCCAAATGGGCGGGGATTATGTAAGCGTCCGACCCGTCGCCATCTTCTTCCTGCCCTGGGATCGCCATCTCACCCCTTTTATGTGTATGCCTTCCGGGGCGCTGATCGCTCGGATGCGCTGTTGAGCAGAAGGACAAGGCGAAGGTTATCCAGACGCTCCTGCTCGTGAGCGGGTTGAACACGCTCCTCCAGACGATCATCGGCACGCGGCTCCCTACCGTGATGAACCCTTCCTTTGCGTTCATCGTTCCCGTGCTGTCCACTATAAAGGATCTCCAGTCCCAGACTTTCGACAACGACCACAAGGTGCGCGCAGTCGCCTCACGCTTCTCCTCCTCCTCCTCCTCGCATGATAAGAACAGCTTATAGATAACATCTTTGCAGTGAGACCCTCTGTTCGCTCTCCCCTTACCGTCGGAGGACTACTCCGTCTGGTCTAATCTATTTTTTAGGTTCCTGCTTTCCCACCTCGCCATTGATCCTCTCTTCACCATTGCAACAGAGATTTATCCACACCATCCGGACCGTCCAGGGCTCCATGCTCGTCTCTTCGCTCGTGAACATCGTGATCGGATACAGCAGGCTTTGGAGGAATTACGCGCTGTACGTTGTTGGCTACTATCTACTATGGTCTGTTCCGGGCGGGTGCCCCTCCGCTCCCCCGGTATCCATCTACTAACACCATCGTATGCTCTTCTTTCCTTGCCCGTGTGTTTCCCCCGACCAGATTCTTCACTCCTCTGAGCATGGCCCCTGTCGTGTGCGTCGTGGGCCTCGGCCTCTTCGGGAGAGGATTTCCTGAGGTACACCGACTGGGTCACCCTCTCCCTAATATCCTCCTCCTCCACCACCACTCTTAGCACGGCGCTAACATCTGTGTTGGGGCAACTCAAGCTGGCGAAATGCGTGGAGGTTGGCTTGCCGATGCTGATTCTGCTGTTCCTGCAGCAGGTGAGAACCTCTAGAGAGATGCTGCTGCTGCTCTGGCACACTCTTATGCTTAACATTCATTCGTCTGGCAATGTTTGGTCGACCTCATGGATGGATGGATGATCTCATGCCAGTATCTCAAGCGGGTGAACGAGAAGGTGCATTCCTGGTTCCAGAGATTCGGCATACTCTTCTGCATCGGGGTGGTCTGGTCCTTCGCCGCCGTGCTCACCGCTGCCGGAGCGTACAACGAGGACGGCGAGAAGACCAAGCAGCACTGCCGCGTTGACCGGTCCTATCTTCTGACATCTGCTGACTGGTGAGCTGAGAAACCCCCGCTCTTCTTTCGTTGGCCCGCTTCGTGCATTCCATTCTTGAAATTAGCTCTGTCCAGGATTGGAATCCCGTATCCATTCCAGTGGGGCGCTCCGACCTTCAGCGCCAGCCATGTTTTCGGGATGATGGGTGCGACATTGGTCTCCGCTGTCGAGGTGAGGCCTAATAAGTCAACGATTCGTTTTGTGGAGACGCATCTCGTACGGGTTTCCATGATCGGGATGTTGACCCTGCATGTTTTTTCTTCATTTTCATTCTTCGTCTCTTCTGGGTAGTCCACCGGCACGCATTATGCGACGGCACGGCTGTCCGGCGCTACGCCGCCCCCCACGGAGGTGATCACTCGCAGCGTCGGCCTGCAGGTTAGTCTTCCTTCTGTCCTTCTGATGGGTGAAGCTCTGCTGACCCACAGCATGGTTGGAGGGGTTGGAAGGGGAAGAATGCATGGGGTTGAGAGGGAGAGAGGGAATCTCTCCCTGTAATTTGCTTCCTGTTTCGAGGCATCACAGCCTGGTTTTTTCGTCTGCAGGGGGTGGGAATGCTGATCGAGGGGATCTTTGGAGCGCTGGTCGGCAGCTCCGCGTCTGTGTAAGCAATGCCTGATGGAGTCCGGTCATTCGTAGATGAAAGCGGTTCTTCGGCGATTTGCTCGTTTTCCCCTTTTGCCTGGTCTTTTTCCGGCGTGAGGCGCCGAAGATGAAGATCCGGTCGTGTCTGCCTGACGTGCATATTCCCTCGCGTATTCCGTTTGCGTGACCGCTGGAATTTTGGTTGTGCAGTGAAAACACCGGCCTGCTTAGCCTCACGCGGGTAGCGAGCCGGAGATCGGTGCAGATATCGACTGCCTTTATGATATTCTTCTCCATATTTGGTGCACTCTCTCTCTCTCTCTCTCTCTCTCTCTCTCTCTCTCTCTCTCTCGCTCTCTCTTTCTGCGTATGATTTCGCCGTGGAGCCCTGTTGGTCCTCAAGGACTCTCTCTCTCTTCTTGCAGGGAAGTTCGGTGCCTTCTTCGCGTCGATCCCGCTCCCAATATTCGCCGCCATATACTGCGTTCTCTTTGCGCTTGTGGGTGAGTCTGTCTTGCACTGGGCATCACTCCTCGGCTCTCTCTCTCTCTCTCTGTGTCTCTGTGTTTGGACCCTTCTCCATCCCCTCTGCATTCTTCTCTCTCTCTCATCCTCGGGGATGCTCCGTCTTTTTGTACCTCTGGTGGCAGCGGGCGTCGGCATCTCGTTCGTCCAGTTCACCAACAACAACAACCTGCGGAACCAGTACGTGGTGGGCATCTCCCTGTTCCTCGCCATATCCATTCCCCAGTACTTCAACGAGTTCACCACCTCCGCCGGCCACGGCCCGGCCAACACCAACGCCGGATGGGTAAAAGTCAACCACCCTCAGGCTCTCTCTCTCTCTCTCTCTCTCCCTCTCTCCTCTGACTTGCCCACCTCCTCGTGCAGTTCAACGACATACTGAACTCCATCTTCTCGTCGGCGCCGGCGGTGGCGATGGTGGTCGCCACCGTCCTGGACACCACGCTGCTGGAGGGGATCTCGGCGGACGACAGGGGGTTAGGCTGGTGGACCCGATTCCAGAAGATGGGGGCCGACGCCAGGAACGACGAGTTCTACAGCTATCCCGTGCCTATCCGCCCCTTCATTCCCAGGAGACTCTTCTAACCACCCAGAAGACTCTCTCTCTCTCTCTCTCTCTCTCTCTTTCTCTCTCTCTCTGTACACGAGAAAAGAAAAAAAAAAAAAAAAGGGAAGTGGAAGAAAAGAAAAGTCTTCTTCTCCGCTGTATATGGGCAGTTACTTCCTAAACAAAACAGTCAACGGGGTTGTCGGTGGATGATTTATCTGTTCCAAGATACAGCCGCCGTTTAAGGTAAAGATTCGATCGAGGATCATCAGGGCCGCCGGCGAAAATATGCTGTATTTCTGCTGAGGAGCGAACGGCTCCACGCCCGGTGGGACTCGAACCCACCACAGTCGCCTGATTAGAAGTCAGACGCCTCATCCATTAGGCCGGCCACAGGCGCGGGCGGTCAAAATGATCGGATCCTTTATTCATGGAAGCGTTGACCATACAGAATACACACAGAGGAGGCGCGAAGGGGAGGAAGAAACAAAGAAAGAATAATAAAAGAGAAAAACCTCTCCTTCCTCCGCATCCGATCTTCGGAAACCTCCTCCTTCACATGGCGTAGATAATCTCCCCGCTGCTGTCGATATCCAGCTCGGGGTCAGACTCGAGGTCGTCCATGTCGTCGTCGAGATCAAGGTCAGCGCCGAGGTGGTGGTTGACCCCGGGCGCCGGCACGGTGGCCTCCGAGACGATCTGCATGATGTCCTCCATGCCCTGCATCGGCTGCTCCGGCTCCTCGAACTGGTTGCTCAGCGTGTTCTCGTCCATGAGGTCGGCGGGGAGGTTCTTCAGGAACCACTTGTGGTTCTGGATCTCCGGAATCGTTATTCTCTGCAACCAACCACAGCCGCAACCACAACCACACGGCGGCGGATCCATACAAAAAAGTCAACGGAGGATAGAAGAGAGAAGATCCAAGATTGGGGATTCAGAAGCATTGTTTTGACGAAATGCATGGCGATCAGGCAGGTTTGTCCAGAAAACTTCCATGCGACTTGGGGAAAAGAATAGTGTGATTGATCAATCATGTGGGTGGGAAAAGAGTCAACGGACCAAGGCCGGATTGGCGATGAAGATCCTCTGGATCAAGTCCAGACACTCGGGGGATATGTGGACGTCGTCTGGGATCGAATACTGAACACTTAATATCCTCTGAAATAAAAATAAAAAGAATGGATGGGTCAACATAATTTTCTTCTGACGACGTTGAATCGAACCAACGATCATAACAGGTAGATACCTCTATAGTCTTCCTGAAGTTCTTGGGCTCCTCTGGATCCTCAAAGGGGTATGCACCGACTAGCATGACGTACAAAGTGACTCCGCAGGACCACACATCTGCAATCTGCATTGAACGCATGAAGAAGCATAGGATCATGCTTCTATGGAAGATATACGTGTCAACGAGATGTCTCCAAGAATCTAGAAGATCCTGTTAACAAATCAAGCTATATATTCTACGGGGATGATGCTTCACCTCACCCAGAGAATCAGCGGTGACTACAAAATATTCTTACTGTACACAATAAAAGCTCTGCATAGATCCCAGTACAGAAGAGAGACCCAAAAGTCTTCGGACGACGAATGACAGGTTGACTGTTACTCGCCCTCCTTAACAAAAACCCAAGAGAGCCCAAAAGTATAACCAGGTGGGGGGGACTAGATAGATTATCGTCTCTATGAGATGGCATTTCACAATGGTACCTCCATTTGAATTGTTCAGATGTGCATCCCCCTTGCATCGCGAATAGTGTGAGTATGCTTATGCATATATGCATCTTCTACGCGTATATATATATATATATATATATATATTCAAAAACATACGTGCACCAGTTTTTAGAATAAAAGGGACCATTTCGATGCCAATCTTGGAGTAGGTTTGGCATCTCAATGTTGATGAAAAAAAATGGAAGATTTTTAACCTAGGGCAGAGTCCAATCTGTGTGCCAAGCCCGCTTTATGTTTGAAAATAAAGGTGAGCGCCTTGCGTAGGAATGGTTCTAACTTCAGACGAAGGCCTATTCAAACTCAAGAACAAGAAGGGTCTCAAACAACTAAAGATTGATTAAATCAGGCTTAATCAAACAGACATCAATGGGTTCTCACATCGTTAGGTGTTCTGAAATGTTAAGCACACTGAACCTTCTATCCTTCAGAAGATATCCCCAGGGTACTAAACCTAGTAGACTCATTCATCCCAGGAGTAAATCCTTAACAACATCTCCTTCGGTCAAACCACCAGTACCGCCCCCCCCCTAAACTCCCAACAGTAAGCAGTGAAGACCATCATGCACAGAGAATGCGAAACTAATTTACCAAGCCATTCATTTCTATTATCGCAGTTATAAATTCACTCTAGAAAATTTAGCAGCGCCATTGGTGGAGGAAATAAAAAGATACAGAAAATAATCACCCGACTTTCTTTACGAAGAGCATATTATTGACATCATTCTGCAGGAAGCAATAGAATGCATGCACATAACGGTTGCAGATTCTCATTTGCACAGGCTTCCCAGTTAAGTGAGGTGCCGTCATCATAATATACATGAAAAAGATGGCAAAAATAAGGACACGAGTGTGCCAGTAAAAGCCACTTTACCTTGCCATCATACTCTTTCTTTAGTAGAACTTCAGGAGCAATGTATGCAGGCGTCCCAACGGTTGATTTTGGTTGAGAATGCAACAAAGATGACTGAAAATTAAAATACAAGCTAATCAATGGCAGAGAAATTTTGAGCGAAACCAAAGAATGTGGAACAAAGGTGTTCAACATTTGCACCACAGCAACCAAGTACAACAAAGAAGACATCAGATATATAAATCAAAATCGTATGTCCTGTCTGTGCTACCAATAGTACCTTGGAGTACCCAAAATCGCATATCTTTAAACGAGGAGCAGGACTTCCATCCAATAGTGTGTTCTCCAACTTAAGGTCTCGATGGCATACTTGCTTCAAAACAAACCCAGGGAAGAAAACAACTTATCATCCACAGCTTCTCATAAGACAAATTAGTCTGAACATTGTCTCTCCAGGTTTTTTTATGCAAATACCATTGAATGGCAGTAGCTAACTCCTGATATGAGCTGCTGGAAAAAGTACCGAGCCTGCAGTGAAACAATGTGTCGTTCACAAAGGCTAAGGACCAGGAAGAAGAAAATGTTATCACACCGTGTATTGTTGACGGATTCAAGAAGCAACCTCATCCTCACTAAAGCGCCCGGCATTGCAGATGCGTTCAAATAATTCGCCGCCAGAAGCATACTCCATTACAATGGCCAAATGTGTCGGCGTTAAAATGACCTGAAATGAATTTAAGGGATTAGTTGACGGAACACTGAAGTATTCCTGTTATGTCACATCTACGAAGATACCTCTTTGAACCTAACAATGTTAGGGTGCCTTAACGACCTGTGGTTAATAATCTCTCTTCGCACATTTTCATCTATCTGGAGAGTGCAACAGACGGACAATTAGAATCACATCCAATAAAAAAGTAAATAATATAAAAGCTGCTACCATGAACTTAAAGCATGCAAACAACCATCACGTTCCATGCTGGGAATTCCCTTACTTTTAAATCTCTGAGAGAAAATGTTATAAAAAACCCGAGTACAAACAAGCGACCAAAAAAGCGGCAAAGCGATTAATCGCCCATTAATTCAGATATCACGCATCTTATTGCAGTGTGTCTGTCGCTTTATCCATCCGCATGGCCTCTTGAAGCATCAAAAGTATAAGGTTTGCAAGAACAAGAAAGAAAACTAAAGAAGTATCTCTCTGCACATCCCGAGGAAAAGGATAAACTAGTTTTCGTTTCCATCCTCAAGAATCATGCCAGAAGTCTGAAAAGACAGAATAGACGAGGCAGGCAGAAAATAATAAATTTACCAGAAAATGGATAAAAGTTCAAATATATAGAAAACTTATAAACAAAAAGAATGACCACTTTGAATGGCCACAGCCCAGATACCCGATAAATGCCAGAAGTTAGAGAAGCGAGAAGAAATTGATAAACTTCTTCGTCCAACTCAAGGTCAACTCTCATCAAACCATCTCCATGCAAACTATTCGTTCAAAAAGAGAAAAAAAAATGAGAACGGGAGGGGGAAAAAAAGGAACGGGAAAGCCCCTGTAATCTGCAGCTCTAGGAATTGTTATTAAAACAGGAAGACGACGCGTCAAAATAAACTTAAAACTTGTAGTATCCGCCTAGCAGGCTGACCTTCTCGCCCCTTTCGATATACTTCACGGCTACGAGCTCCCTGGTCTGCTTGTCCCTCATCAACCTCGCAACACCGAAGTTCCCCGATCCGATGTCCTTCACAAGCTCGTAACGGTCGCTGTCGTGCATTATTGGCATGTCCATTGCAGGACCAACCGTCAGGGCCCCCCGATCCATCCTCTAGGAGAATCCCGCGACTCCGCACAATTACCCCGGGATTCTCCCTCTCACATTACACACCGAGGAGCTCTCCGTCAAGCACGAGTTCTCACACTAGGGACGCCAATGGATCAGATCAAAGCTTCCACGAGGACCCGCCGCAGAGCCTGCAGGCGAGAATCACGGCAGGTGGATTGTTCTGCTCGATCCGATCTGATCGGGGTGAGCAGAAGGAGGCGCGCAGTTACAGTTGCCCTGGCGATGGGACGGCACTGTGAAACGGGCGGCGAACCGCAGAAAGAGCCTGTGAGTGCTGTCTCCCCGTCTGCGACAGATCTCTGCTTCTTCTAGAGCTCTCCCAAGGCTTGCCGGGGGGTGAGGAGCCGCAGAGGCGTCGACGACTCTCCCATGAGCTGATCGCTTTCACCTCTTCCTCCCTCTTTCTCCCTCTTTCTCCCTTTCTCTCTCCTCCTCCCCCCCCTCCCCTTCGCAGCTTTTTTCAACCACCCGCTCAAACCAGACCTTCGCAAGAAGAGAGAGAGAGAGAGACGGGGGGGGGGAAGATATTTTATTATATATGGACGTGGAGGAGTTTCGATTCCGCTGAAATGACGAATCTACCACTCCATGTCGGTCGAGATCAGGAGGTCAGCAGCCGTCCGATCGTGGCGACGTCGAGCTCGAGGAGGGAGTACCGATCAGAAGTACGGACGCGAAGGGGAGTACCGATCTGACGGATATCAGGGCGTCGGTATTTCGGGTAGGCGCCACCGGCGGATGTCCTGTCTGAAGAGTGGCCACCGGATAAGGTTCCGTGGTGTCTCATAGGTGGTCCGCCTTTGCGGGGCCCACATACCTGTCCCCTCCTCTCGGCGGTTCTGGTCCCGGACGAACAACAAAAAACTAGGCTTTTAAACCGATTTTATTTTTTTAAAAGGGAGCTCAGATAATACCCGATCATTTTTTTATAATTTTGATAAATCGGTGGATCCGAACATTACGAGAGCGGATGCAGAAGAGAGTAATAATAAGTCGCATTAAATTATGAGAAGAAGTCAACGGGGCGGGGCAGTACCTACCCCCTTAGAATCTGGGCCTTATCCACCTCTCTGTTCTCACCTATCTTAGAGAGAGAGAGAGAGAGAGAGAGAGAGAGAGCCGGATGCAGACGATAATGCTGGCGGAGGGCTCTGTCATCTTGCACTACATTAGTCGTCGAAACTCCCAGACAAACAAAGCACGGAGACTCGAGGGCACACCAGAAACATTCTGGCCAAGTAAAGTCAGGGTTAACCCCGTCCACCACCCTCGTCGCTGCCGCCAGAGGAGCCGCCATGCACTGGGCGGAGACGAACCTCGGGACCATCTTCTGATCCTCCGCCGCTGCCCTCTCTCTCCACTCCGAGATATTACTTACAGCGTCCACTCCGACGAGGAACGTCTGGGTCTCCAGCGAGCACCTCGTTTCTCTCTCTTCTCTCCGTCTCCGCGACGGCGGCCGTTCCTCCGCCGCCACCGTTCTTCCTTAAACTCGGAGCGGCGCCGTGCTCTCCTTCTCCCTCGCGGTCAACGTTTCTCACTTCTGGTCGATCCACTCAAAGGTCTCACCTCGATGTCGTCGGCTAGAGTTGACTCCCTGGGAGGATCAGATATTTCTAAGAGCTCTTTATTGCTCAATATATTCCGCCAGCTGTATTTTTTTTCTCCCGAGAAAATACAGAGAATGCACTAGAAACCATTTTTTTAATCCGGCTATTAAAAAATGTGCAATTTATTCCACGAATCATATGTATAATAATATTATTATTGAAAAAATAATACGCTGCTCCCCCGGCGTCGAGCTCGTCGGCCGACGAATCACAAGCCGTCGATCTTGATCCGAATCCGTCACTGTCCGGACTTTGACTGACCCATTTAGGATAGGCTAAACCGTTTACCGCAGCACCCGGATCCGATTCCCCCCGACGGCAGGACCTTAAATTTTTTCAGATTATTTAAATCGAAAGACCTCCGCCGCCTAAATCTGTCGTTTAGCGGCTCGGCAGCAACGGCACGTCGGCCTATGACACGTGGCGAGTGAATGTGGGCTCGCTCTCTAGATGACAACCGCCAGGTCACTCCGCGCTGCCGACCGCCCCGTCGGCCGTGACACGTCGTCCCCTGTCTAATCACGATAGCAACTAAAAGCAGTTGTTAATTAGCACAATAAATAAGGGATTTCTGTGAAAAAGGCGAAAGATGGGGGGGTTTGTGATAGTTGGCCGCCGGGTTGACACCGTTGAGGGGGAGGACGTAATTTGCAAAATGGACGTGCGGAAACGGCGGAGAGGCTATCTCCCTGCAACGCCCTCGCCCTCCCTCCTCCGGCCATCGCCGTAAGCGGAGCAGACGGAGGGCCTCGCGGCGACGAGGAGGCCTGCCCGGCCGATGGTCCTCTTCGCCGGCGACAGGGATGCCGTGGTGGAAGACCGGCGGTAGTGGCGGCGGCGGCCATTCGAAGATCACGCAGACGCCATCTCCTTCGTCGTCGTCGTCGTCGTCGACGACGACGACGACGACGACGACGATCCACAAATGTTCGGTGTCTTCCTTGTCACCGCCGCAGGGTCAGGGACAATGGCGGGACTTTGGGATCTCATGGAGCCGGCGCGACATGCTTCGGCGCCCGCAGCTGACGCGGCAGAGGAAGCTTCGGCACCTGACTGCTCTGGACGTGGAAGGTTTGAGACTCGACGATGGGGCGGCGCGGACGACGGTGATAAGGTCTGCGAGTGGCAGGTCGGCGTGTTCATCTTCGTCGTCGTCGATGATGCCGCAGCCGCAGCCGCAGCCGCTGCCGCTGCCGGAGGAGTCGGCACCGGCCGGGCCGTCGTGCGCTGCCTGTCGGTGCTGCCAGTTGCATTCCCCACGAGCAGGTCGGGGCAGAGGGGAGGGAAAGGAAGCGCGCGTCATGTTCGAACCCTCTTATTCGCCGGTGGAATTAATAGGAGAAAGGTTTTCTGCGGCCACTCACGTAGGAAGGTGAGAAAATCTCACGTCACAGAGCCAGCGGCCCTGCGCGTAATTTGATCTTCATTTAATTCCTCGCGTTATTCATGGATTGATTCATTTATGGATTTCTTTGAGCTGCTTTCGTCTGGTTCCTGCCAGAGCTTTTAAACACCGAGGCCTCTGATCGTTCATTTAATGGTGTCGGTTTCCTTCATGTTATTCATGGAGGATCAGAAGTGGACGAGCGACGTAGACTCCGGCGCAGGCGATGAGCGCTTCTGAACTAGAATGTGCAGGACCATGCTGATGGCCTACTCTTAAGGGGATTCGGAGGATTCGTGAGATTATTTATGAACGAGCTAGCAAAACAGGGTTTTTTTGCTCGAAGAGCCCTTTGAGAAGACGTCTCTAAATTGATGAAAATGTTGATCCATTATGGTGCGCTCATCCCCATTTCTTTCTCGGGCGACCTTTCTAGGCATCTGATCTTTGCTCTGCATCCATCCTTGCATTGCCTTGCTCAATGTTTCCGTGTGTTTTACCTGCCAGTCCGACTACGGTTGCAGATATTTCTCTGTCAAATCGATCGCACAAAGTAAAGATCGTGATTTTCTCTCTTCGTCTCGAAACCCACTTTGTGCATTTGTATACGAGAAAAGTATTCTTCAAGCTCAAAATCGGGCCTAATGTTCTTTCGACACTTGTCTGGACGCTGCAGTAAGCCAACCTACCGCAACATCCGCAGAGATCCTGACCAGCCTGATGCGGGGTCAAACGTGGGTAATTCTGGCTATTCCCGGAATGCGCTTCAAGATTACTGCCCTGCTGAGAATGCCAACTTCAGGCTGAATGTGCCCCCCAAAAGTGCTCCGTCCAGTGGTTGCTCTAGTCCCTTGCTCAGCCCTCGAAGGATGAGCACTGGAGATTTCTTCTCATCTCCTTTTGTGGCTCCTTACAGCCCCGCAGTTTGGTCAGCGCCAGAATTCCCTTCCAGGGACATGACGGGGTACTCTGCCCAAGCATCATCCGAGGTGGTTCTCTCAGCCCCTGATCGACCGCTGCTGCACTCCCCGAATCTGAGAAACCCAGGAATGAGGTCAAAAGTCCCGAGTGGACCTCCGTCGCCCCTACACTCACAGTACGGGGAGACAGCCGCGGCATGGCGTGATAACAATGGGGGTGTTACTGTCCATCCACTGCCTCTCCCCCCAGGGGTTGTGATGCCCATACAGTCACCTTCTTCTCACCAGAATGGGTTGAAGAATGAGGTTGCATCCATGGCGAATAATTGGCAAAAAGGGAAGCTCATTGGAAGTGGTACATTTGGGAATGTCTATGTCGCCACCAACAGGTATGTCTCATAGGATTGCATGACGGCAGTGGTCTTGATGTCTCTTGCTTATGCGCTGAGAATAATCACAACTCGGTCGACAGGCACACCGGCGCATTATGTGCAATGAAAGAGGTTAACTTGATCCCAGATGACTACAAATCTGCTGAATGCATTAAACAGTTGGAGCAGGTCTGTTCTTCACAGCCCGTGGATATATTGTTCGTGAATTAATTTGATAAATGCTTTCTTTTCCCTTAATGTGGATACCAGCGTAAACAAAGATGGAGGGATGCGTGCTTGTTTCATTTGCCTATTCGTCCATGCTTTTCTGGTTGACATTATCTCAGGGATTTCATCTGATTAACATGCTGGTAGCTTTGGAATAACTTCAGGAAATACTTGTTCTGAGTCAACTGAAACATCCAAACATTGTCCAGTATTATGGAAGTGAAATGGTAAGCGTTTTTTCCTTGCACAGATATTGGCATCAACATATATCATATGGGAATTACATTAACATATAGCATCCACAAATGCAGGTTGATGATCGATTTTACATATATCTGGAGTATGTTTACCCTGGTTCAATAAACAAATACGTCCAGGAACATTGTGGGGCTATCACAGAATCAGTGGTTAGAAACTTCGCACGCCATATCCTCAAAGGACTGGCCTACTTGCACAGTAAAAGGACGATGCACAGGTTTCGCCCAGTACTTTCTTCAATCCTGTCTGAACTTACAAGTCTTCGCTTATATGAATTCATGTTGTATTCAAGAACATCAGGCACCCATTGCAGGTTCCTGTGTTGGCGTGTTAATAATGCACAATTTCTTACAGGGTCTGTTGATGTTCTGAATGCAAGAACAGAGCAGAAACTACGTTTCCTTTATTTTCCTGCCTAGTTTTGACCATCTGGTCTCTCCTCTTTCACAATTCCTTTCCCTCTTTCAGAGCTTTCTATTATCCAAGGGTTCTTTTGTTAAGCAGGGACGTCAAGGGAGCAAATTTGCTGGTCGATGCCTCTGGTGTCGTTAAGCTTGCGGATTTTGGGATGGCAAAACATGTGGGTTTCGCCTCCATTCTTGTAAAGGGTCACGCAATTGCTGCATCTTCTGCATGGTTTTTTAGTTATCTCTCAGACTTCTTCGATCTTCGTGCTATTGAATTGTGTTTCTGTATGTGTTTTTTTTTTTCCCTGTTGAAAAACAGTTGAGTGGGGCGTCTGCCGTGCTTTCACTGAAGGGAACTCCATATTGGATGGCCCCAGAGGTTTCTTTTTCCTCCTAATTTCTCATGCTAGTTTCCACTGAGCCATATCTTTCACAGTTCATGTACTCGATCAGTTCTTGCCGAACACAGGTGATCCAGGCTATGATGAATCAGGACGTTGGGTACGATCTTGCTGTGGACATATGGAGTCTGGGCTGTACAATCATTGAGATATTTACAGGAAAGCATCCTTGGCAAGGTTTTGAAGGGGTATGCAATTCACTTCCTCTTTAAATCATAGAAAATAAATAAATGATTGGCTATCTATGTATTATTTTATCGATTAACGTCTTACAATAGCACGTAGATGCTTCTGCTGACGACAGATTAAAGATCTGGCTTTGGGGTGCTTACTGTGAGTCATCTGTGCCATCCGAACTGGGAAGGATTGTTGTGCGTGTTCTTTGGGTTGATCATCCACGATGATATGAGATCCCCTTGGCTACTTGCACCACCTTTGAAAATAAATGAAGCTCCCATCAAAGATCCCTGATAATTTTTGTTCTTATCATCGTCCTTGCTCTTATTGTGAGCATTCCTCTTCCTCTTCCTCTTCCTCTTCCTTTTCCTGCAGGCTGCCGCCATGTTTAAAGTGCTGCATTCCTCCCCCTGTATACCGGAAACGTTGTCTGCCGAGGGCAAGGACTTCCTCCAGCACTGCTTCCGAAGGAACCCGGCAGACAGGGCGACGGCGAGCCAGCTGCTAGAACACCCTTTCATCAGAAACGCCCACCACCATGATCTTCACGGTACCATACATTCATTCATGGGGCTCAGCTTCGCAGTAGGTCCCCTCATCGCCTTCACCTCCCCTCTCTGAAGCCCCGTCGAGCCCGTCGTCACAGAATCTGAGGGGTCAGTTCTCTCCCTGTCGCAGGAAAACCCCCACAGCTCCAGGGAAAGGGCCGATTTCAGAGTGGACCAGCCGGTGAAGGGAAGACCACTCAATGGGTACAGAGGCAGCTTCACAATCCACCTCACTTTCTCATGCCTTCTCCATTGATTGGTGCTGTATGATGATGATTCTTGCGCATTATTTTTCTTGCCCAGGGACAATGGATCCCACGCGGACGTGCCCGAGTCGAGAGCTCCTCAGCTCTCCCCTCACTCCACCCCGGACAGGGCTCCTGCCCCGTCCCCTCTCCACAGGAATCACGCCGCCCCGAACCACCCTCCTGGGCCTCCGGCTATCCTCAAGGGCGCGGCTCGGAGCACTGAGAAGTGAAACCCTCCGCGCGTGTACGAACGCCGCCGACAGTTGACCCACCGGAGGAGACCGACCGAACCACCGTGTGACGAAGGACTACAGCTAGATTCGCTCGGTTATTGACTTCTGTACCGATGATGTCAGGGACTTTCCTCCACCCATTCCTTTTTTCCCTCAGCTGGGGAAGATCGGCTGATGCTCTCTTCTCTTCTGCTGCTGTTCTCCCTGTAAAGCATGAAACGATAGAGAGAGAGAGAGAGAGAGAGAGAGAGAGAGAGAGAGAGAGAGAGAGAGAGAGATAATCTGACGTTGATTATTTTGGGCTGGCATTTTTGTACCATTCTCATGATTCTTGATGACAGAGAGGGACGGGCTTCCCCTTGCGGAGTCAACGGGCCCGGCCCGAAAAATGCTGGAAGTCCATCCGAGCAGTCGGTCCTTGGACGTGAATTATTTGGATCTCATGTGGGGGGGGGTGGGGGGCTAAAAACGGGCCGTGCCCCCATCCGACACCGGGCTTTTGGGGGCCCGAGCCCGAAAAGAAATGCGATATTTTTCAGACTATTCGCAGAGTAGACGTGTGAAAAACTAAGATGAAGGAGACCCGACGCCGCCACGTTTCCCACGCCGACGTTGACCGCGGAGCAGCCGCCCCCTCTCCGCGGGAAACTGTTCGCCGCGGATCAGATTACCCTGCGTGCCGCGTCGGCATGGGCCATCCGCCCGTTGCGGGAGATCTAGGCCGTTGAATGGGGATTGCACCTATCGGACGGTAAAGATGTCTGGAGCAGGGACGATGGCGATTAAGCGGATGATTGGGTGCGGGTCGATCGTGGGCTTTCGGTCGGAGCAAGTGGCGCTGAAGAGTTTGGGCCCCACGAAACCCCCCGGCTAACGCGGCAGCTTGTCCTGCCGGAATAACGGAGGCGCACGTTAGATCCCTTCCGCATCCCCCCCGACAGGAGATTTTCCCCCTCCTTCACTCTCTTCTCTCCTCTCTTCTCTCTCCTCTCGCTGGTACGACTCGTCGCGCCTTCCTTCCACCTCCCCTCCGCCTTGGTTGGGTACGAGGACGTGCGGGAGAGGAAGAGGGGAAGACGGGAAGAGGGGGGGGGGGTGGACGGTCAGAAGCCCTAATTTTCCGGCTACTTGGGGTTTCAAATTGCTTGTGAGAGGGATCCGTCACAGTGCAGCGGAACCTGGGAACTGGCGTGATTGTCATCGGGAAAGGTGCTTCTTTTTTGCCGTTTCTCCTCATTCGTCTTCCCTGACGTTTGTCTGTGTTTCTGAGAATTTGGGGCTTCCATCTTCGTTCGCTCGGTGACGCCTGCCTGTGGTTGCATTAATCATTGGCGAGTTTTTAGTTTTCCCGGGTTTTTCGGCGGGAAGCGAACGTTTCATCGACTGCCACTCCACCTTCAACTTGAACTTGCTTCTATTGGCGCGGTTATTGGTTTCTATTACCAATTTCCTCATTCCTATCCTTCCTCTAGTAACTGTGCAAAATATGAGCAGGATTAGCCTGCACATGCCATTTTGGGGCAATTTTAAAGATTTTTCATTTGACTGGGTCTAGTTTAACTAGTTTTCCAACATTCAGACGCCCTTCCGAATGCCAAATATTGCGAAGCCGTTTAAATGTGCGATTTTTTTCAAGGACATAGCTGCACTTCCTTCTTCAGGAATATCAATTTGAATGTCTCAAATTGATATTTATGCATATTCCAGTTTGAACGCTATTTTATTTCCTTATAATTTCTCATGAGAAAAAGAGGTATATGTGCTTGTTCTGGTCTTGAGAATTATAATTGAAGTACAAACTTGACCACTCCATTTATATGGTGAAAGACATTATAGTGTTCGTTCTGATGGTGCGTGGAACTCTTTTGCTTTCATCTTGTACCTCAGGAGAGCTTTAGATAATTTAGTCAAGGACTGCGCCGATGGAGTTATTGTGACTCTTTGCTGAAAAAGTGCTATTACTGTTCTGAAGAATGGCCTTTGGATGCTATCTCCAAGTCCCCCGTGAACCATGTGTGATTAAGAACTGTGTTCACGCTAACTCATCTAAGGTACGTGGTTACTTCACATCTTTTAGTGGTTCATAGTCTATATGGCCCAGCAGTTTGTGCCTCGAAAGTTCCTGATCATGACGCTGTTTTACTAGAGATTGGAGCTGAAGGGGCGTGGACATCTTTTAACTCTCTCTCTTTCTTCTCGTTTTTCGGTAAGGTTCCTTGTGTCCCACATGATATTTTTCGTATTGATGTGCTGTGAAGAGGTATCAAACGGAAAGGCTGATAAATCTATAAAGTGTGGGCTATTGTCAAATGTGATACATAGCAGCAAACGTATTAATCATGGGATTCTTCTATGAATGCAGGTTTAGATGATTTATGTTAAGTCTCACATCTTCGTCATTTCGCCTCATCGAGTGGATGGGGACTAGATAGGCATACTTAGTCTGATACAGTAATAGATAGGCTAAATTCTTGTGATTTCATGTTCGAGAAAGATATGGCTTTATGCATGATTTAGAGAAATACGATGACAGATGACCAGCAAGCTCCTCATGGAAACTCGATAAGTTTTGATATTTAGTTAGTATGTTAGTCTATGGATTGACGTTTAATTTGCATTGCAAAGATTGCGGGTTTCATGGTGGGGGAGGGGGAGGGGGAGTACAGAGAGCACCAAGTTACTATCCTTATGAACTTGCTTCTTTCCATCCCGAAGAAATGTTGCCTCTAGTCCTTTTTTTTTCACCTTTTTTGCTAAAGTAACCAGTGACTACTTTCTTTGCAGCAACAAGACCACTGGATTCTCCATGTTTCAAGCAGCATAAGAAAGCGAACATATTATTTTTACAGATACAATACATTTAAGTGTCAATCCTTTGCCGTTCCAAGTGGAATTGCCAGGAATCCAACTCTGAAAGCTACTGCTTTAGCCTTGAGAAGGTATTTTCTTTTCTTTGGTCTACATTTCGTTCACATATCTATTACTCGCTGTCCTATCTGCTGAAAAATTGCTAGCGATTTGACTAAATTTGTATAATATCAGGTCGTGGCTCCTTGTCCATATTTCAGAATAAAATCAAAATAAAATAGTATGAGTGGCTGGATAACATGCGTTCAAATAGGATCATTGGGAAACCATTTTGGAAAATTGTAAGAAACGCCATTGTAGTTCCAAATAAATTTGATAAGTTCATTTGAGGTTATCATGTGGGGGAAGAAAATGACACTCGAGAGGGAAGATGGTGAAGACTCTAGGAGAAAGACGTACAGGAGTAGCAAAGTGAAGTAAGAAGGGAGATAAATGTGTTTCGAGGTTTTACAAACTGTAATATAACTCGGATTTGAAAAGCATCTTAATGGGCATAAAAAGCTGTCTATAATAGCCTCCTAAACGGTTTAAATAATGGACAGCTTCTCAAACCTAAAAGTCATTGCCGTTAACTCTCTCAAGAACATATAATCATAGCCCTCCAAAAGCTAACATGTTAGTCTGATGACTAGTTAAAGACCAGAAGATAATAACTTAATCTGTCAGAAAGAAATGGATTATTGAGCCCATATGTTAGAAAAGACCAAAATATAGCTGTCAGTGGGGCTTATTAAGTCAAATTGCTCAACGATCAGGTTGACAGTGAAAGATGTCAGTCCTTGTATTTGTGCAGCGGCGAGCACCTCTTCCTAATCAATCTACTCATCGCAATGTTAAATATCTTTTATCTGCTAGGGATAATGAAACCTCTCTCTCTCTCTCTCTCTCTCTCTCTCTCTCTCTCTCTATCTCACTTTCTCTCCGATAAAACTGAGGATGTGCAGCTTCTTTGAAAAATCTGAAGGATATGTAGTTCTTTTTTGAGGATGGGAGGATGTCAATTATACTGTTGGAATATCAAGATACACAACAAATGTTATGTGGTTTAAGGAGCCAGTCTTCTTTCAGGTGAAAAGGAAAAATCTGTTGGCAGGAGAGGGTTTATCAAGAAGATTCCTTTTTTCCATTTTTCGTCATTTCTTTCCTCCATTTTTTGATCTTTCATGTCAAGAAATTTCTCGTGATATTTTATTTCAAGTATTATGATAGGTCTTATTTCAGGTTCTTTTTCTCATTTCTGTCATTCTTTTTACGGGTTTTTTCAATGTTCAATTATCTTGATCTTTGATATTGATGAAATTTGAATTTATGGCCAGTTTTTGTATGGTTGGCTTTAAATATCTATTCATGTTCTGATATTCCCATAATTTAGACTCGATGGTATCCCATTTATTTTACAGGTCATATACTGCCTTGCATGCAACTCCACTGGTTTACCAATTGGTTCCAGCAGTTGGGGTTATTGTTTTTGCTCTATGGGGACTTGGCCCGCTTCTGCGTCTTGGTAGACGACTATTTTTCGATGTATGTGGCCATCATCACTGTTTGTCATGCTTTTCTTTGAGTCTCAACTAATCTTTAAACTAAATGCTTCACAGAGCAATGACAATACTTGGAGAAAGAGCAGAACTCAGTACATCTTTACATCTTTCCTTCAACCATTACTACTTTGGTCTGGGGCAACACTCATCTGCAGGTATATTTCTTTGCAACGCCATCTCAGTACATAAAGAGCCTTCAATAATTTCTGTAACTTTATCTCATGATTGTCACACACGTAGTTTTTAGTTAACTTGACATGCACGTTGATTCTCAGAGCGTGGCAGTGAAAAGTGTAAAACTTTGAAACGAAATGGAGAGTTTTATCTTTATCTTCTGAAGTTGACTTACTCATGAAACTATAAATTCTTGCCTCGGATGCTGTTCATTTCGGAGTGAATAATCAAATAGGCATAAGTTCATGCCTTTAAGATGTGTTAAAGTTATCTGCGGGCTTTTTTTGGCTACAGGGCATTGGATCCAGTCATTCTACCTTCAGAAGCGAGCCAAGCTATCAAACAGCGTCTTTTGACTTTTATCAGATCATTATCAACGGTCATGGCTTTTGCATTTTGCCTGTCAAGGTGAAGACATTTTTTCATTATTACTGCTATATGTATATCCGTAATCATATTCCCTATGTTCAATTAAGGAGTCGACATGTAATGCTTGATTCCTGATGTTCAGTTATTTGTCTTGTGTAATTCCTTCTTTTGGTGTAAATTCATATTTGACTTGATATTTTCTCTGTCAAGAGTTTCATAATGCTTGCGAATACTTGCCTCTGATTTGGGTTTAACACGTTTGTGACTCCCTTAAAGTGGTATCTTTATTATTTTTTCAGATTATATTGTCAGTTAACCTTCATTGATTTTTCCTCGATACGTTGGTTGGTTAATTTAACAATTAAATTACCAATGGTCGCCTTACGTTGATCTTTTTGCAGCTTCATACAAAAAACACAGAACTTTTTTATGGAGACAAGTGATTCGAATGATGCAAGAAATGTACGTTTCTTTAACTTCATAAGCCGGAAATCTATGTTTCTATGCTTAAAATCATGTTTTTTCCAATTTCTACTCTGAATATTTTTTGCCTTATGATTGGACTTCATTGATTGGCATATGGCGCATTCATTATTTACTAGAAGGCCATGCTCATCAGAGTCCGTTTAATTTTTTTCCTATGCCTATATAGTTATTGGGGCAGATGGCGATTGGTAGAGTGGGCTTAGAGTGAAGGGGTACTTCTAATCTTCTGGGCTGGAACTTGGAAAAGCCCAATCAGCTCCTGGTCGGGCCCATCTACGCGTTGGGTCAATCCCTTTTTTTCTTTTATATTTTTTTCTCAAGCCTCAATTTTTTTTGCCAACGGTCCATAGTAAAATACTATTTAAAATTAGATAAAAGCGGGGGGGGAGGGGGGGGGTTCACCATTTGCCTCCTTTGATTCTCCATCAAAGGAAATCGGCCTATGGAAATCGGCTTTGAACCTTCATGTTGGCATTTTCAATTCTCGAAAAAGACAGGCCTATGGAACTAGGCCAGTAGTTATAGATCAGCACGAAAATGGTTGCCAGTAACTACCACGTTTGCAGCAGCAAATCATTTCAATTCTCTTGACTCTCTGAGATCTGCTTTGTGGAATTGACCATTTCTAATGTTCTGGGGTAATCTAGCTCCTGTCAATTTTTTTATTTTGAGGAAAGAATATCAGCTGCTCTAAGTTGGATTGGACAATATTTTGGGGGAAACGTTAACTTTTAAGAGCACCCTTGCTAGTCTTGTTGCAGCCATGAATGAGAACCAAGATGTTGCAGGCTGCTGCTGCTGCTGCTGCTGCTTTGTCGTTCATCTCCCATTTCTCTAATCACAACTATTTTACCTACTAAAAGCTGTTATATATTATTGCATCTTTAGATTACTCCCGGTCATATGTTTTTTCTATTTGGAAAAGGATTAATTTCAAAGACTCACCTTGTTTCTTTCTCACATTCCCCTTGTGATTTTCTAATTCTAATTTACCTGACTATGGATACCATACCTTTCAGATGGGTTTCCAGTTTGCAGGTAAAGCTATCTACACAGCAGTGTGGGTTGCTGCATTTTCACTGTTTATGGAGCTATTAGGTTTTTCCACCCAGAAATGGCTCACGGCTGGAGGTCTTGGAACAGTCTTGTTGACACTTGCTGGTCGTGAGGTGCAGCATTTTTCATCTTTTTGGTTCCAGAGTATCTCTCTCAGATAAATTTTATGCGCTGTTTTTCTCTTTTAGTTCCATATTTTTCTGCAGCGTTTCAGCCTGGAACGGTAACCATTTTTATTTTTTTTTTCCTGCAGATATTTACAAACTTCCTTTCTAGTGTCATGATCCATGCTACACGCCCATTTGTTTTGAATGAGTGGATCCAAACAAAGATCGAGGGTTACGAGGTCTCTGGAACTGTTGAGGTTAGTTTTCCATCCACATGGGATAACGCCAAAGGGACGCCATATTCTTGTCGAAACTAATTATTTATCCTAAAACTGTTTGTCTTAAAGCACAGAATTATTGCTGAACTTCTATTTCTTATATGTCCTCACACGTTGTTCTAGTTCTTTGCTTATCACTCTTCCTCTTTAACATTTTGCTTGTTTAACCTTCAAAATATTATATTCTTCCCTCCTGACTGTTTATTGGTTTTTTTGTAGCACGTGGGCTGGTGGTCCCCTACAATTATAAGAGGTGATGACCGTGAAGCAGTTCACATTCCCAACCACAAGTTCACTGTCAGTGTTGTGAGAAATCTTAGCCAAAAGTCTCATTGGCGCATTAAAACTCATATCGCCATCAGCCATTTAGATGTTGATAAAATTAATGTAAGCATAAATTAACGTTTCCTGGATGTCTTATGATTCGCCCATTTATTTTATCGTTTTTCTTCAGTATTCTATTCAGAATATTGATGCTGATCGTTTTTATGTGAAGAATATTGTGGCTGATATGCGCAAGGTATTAGCAAAAAATCCACAAGTGGAGCAGCAGAAGTTGCACAGAAGAGTATTTTTGGACAATGTTGATCCAGAAAATCAAGCTCTTTTGGTGAGTTTCCCTATTTTTGTTTTCAATTATCGTTTTTCCCTTTAACTTAATTTATAAATATCGCTCAGCTGAAAGTCAAGATGTAGTTGCATGTATTTAACATTCTTGATGACGAATGTTAAATACATGTAAAAACAACCACCTATCGTTTTTGCATGTATCTTGACCAGTGGTAATTTCTATTAGTTTTTTGACTACATCAGGTGGTCATTTTACATTTATTTAACATTCTTGATGTTTTTATTAAAATATCATCATATCATTATATCTAATGATACATATATCGATGTACTGGATTGTTCTGCTCATGGTCAGCAACACGACTTGGAGCCATCTCTTGTTAATTTATAGTTTAGTCACAATATGGCAGTGTTTAATTTCAAGTTAGGCTTCTGACAAGGTTGCCATTATGACAAAAAAACTTACTATGGTACCGAAAATAACCAAGGTGATGATCTTTTGGGTTTCATTGTCTATCCCAAACGTCTTGAACACCTGTCATGTCTTTGGAGTTTTTACTTCGTTTTTCCTCATCATTTTCATGGGCCGTTGACTGCTTTTAGAACCATGGAAGGAAGGAGATGAAGAAAAATCAAATAATGATGTGAACAAAATAGGAATAAGGAAAAATGAATAATCCTACTGCTGCCATCATCTCCCATTATGATCACAACCTACTGTCACGATTTTTACCACTCTCTCCTGGTGATGTCATTGTTGCACTGCCTTTCTTTTCTTCCTTCATGTTCATCGCTAGCTGCTTATGTTGTTGAGGCACATGAGTTTTAATAAATTTGGAGACTGAATCGAATCGGACTAAGAAAAACCCCTCTTCTTGGATCTAATATTTATTGTTGTGTTGCAGATTCTTATATCTTGTTTTGTGAAGACGCCACATTTTGAAGAATATCTGGGTGTTAAGGTAAGATAAAGCTCGCTATTTGTCTTTATTGAATTGTATTTTTCTGCATGATCGCGGGAGAACATATTTGATATCATTTATGGAGAAGAATATGACATTTTGTTTTAGTACACGGAAGACAATTTCTGTTCTTTGGGTGAGTGGCTTGCCTGCGGATGATCCTCGCAATTTCTGTATGATCATCTTTAACGTTATTTCTCAAAGATCACTAGTTGTCAGATAGAAATTTCCAAGGCATTCAACACTCTCATATCTGTTTGACTATTTCTTGTCCTAAGTTCTTAGTTTGTTGTCCAGAAAAAAGGGTCTCGCTAGAGGTCTGAGTCAACTGATTCCATCCAGCTGTCTCCTCCTTGAACCACCACCCCCACATCCCCACCCTGTTGCTGGAAGGGAGGTTGCTTACATCTACTGACCAGTAGTTCATCTGATTGGACTTAGCTGTAAATTTTCTTTCACCTCGTAAAAATCATTTATAGTAAGTTATTCCCGTAAATCAAACATCTATCAAGATGTTAACAAAAAATATGACATTTCTTTCCTTGTTTGTAATTGCATTCTACTTTCCTATTCCTCTCGAAAATCATGTGACTTTGGCTTAACTTTGGTAACCAAAATGAAGGGAAGGGGGGGGGGGGGGGGTTCTTCATTATAGTTTCAGTAGCATTTTAATGGACGCAGATAGATATCTGCGCCTCCTCCAATGTTTAGATTGATGTTGAATTCTTATGATGCCATGGAAGGAGATTATAGATTAAACATCGCCTTACAGCAAAAAGCAAGCAGTGACTAGTTGCCTTACTAAAGCAAGGTGTGGAAATACAAGCAAAACCTGATTTCGCCGATTATTCAACCGAAATTATGATCCAGAGGTGTCTTCATGAGATATTGGATTAATTTACTTCTAATACTATTTCTTCATCTTTGTCATAGTAGTAACTGCGGATTATTTATTTATTTATCAAAGTGCGACGAGCTCTCTTTCCCCAGTATTTTTCCAAGATGTTATGTGCTTTATAATCCTATTTATTATCCTTTATGCCAACATCGTTTGAATTGTTTGCTAATAGCAATGTATCTGTGGACAAACATCGCTCAGGAAGCTATTCTGCTGGACCTGCTGAGAGTCATCCGGCACCACCGAGCTCGGCTTGCTACTCCCATTCGGACGGTCCAGAAGTTCTATGGAGACAGCGACATTGAGAAGATCCCATTCGCAGATACGATCTTCTCCCGCCCAGCCGCCGCCAGCAGCCGTTCGTTGCTGCTGATCGAGCCCCCGTTGAAAACGCCGGGCGAGGAGAAACCCAAGTCTCGCCAGACTCCTCGCACTGGCGAAGACCTCAAGGAGACGATCTCCACTTCGGAAGCTCCTCTCCCGGAGAGTTCTGACAACGCACAGCCACCGAAACCCAGTCCAGAGGAAGTTGATCCAGATTCGGAAGAGCTAGCCTCAGAGAGATCAGAGGAAAAGAAGCTGCAGAAGCCCGTGCCTGGAGATGTCCATGTGAAGAGCAGCAGCATGGAGGCATCGTCGTCTCCCTCCGCAAAGCTGCAGCCTGAAGACTCGGGCGTGGGATCACTCGGCTCAAAGGAGAGTCCCCCGGGATCCGCCTCCGCGCAAGAAGACGTTGCCGACACTGCTACATCGCCGGCACCTCCAAGTGAGAGGTCCCATGGCCCTCCGCCGCCCTCCATGCCGGGCAGGCCCTCTCTAGAGGAGAACATTGTTCTTGGAGTCGCCCTGGACGGTGCGAAACGGACCCTTCCCATCGAAGAAGGGCTGGTCCCCGCGCCAAACCCAGTGGACTCCAAGGAAATGGCTTCTCTTCGCAGCGGGAGCGGGCCTGCATCCTCGACCAAGGAAAAGAAAGACGGCCAGGCTCCTGCCTCTGGCGGGCCGGCAGCGGAGCAGCCGCGGGATCAGTGAGAGGTAGCCATAGCCAGACCTTCACTGCATCTCTCTCTCTCTCTTCTTGGGTTGCGGGACGAGACATCACTGCATGAAAGCTGTTTTTTATCGAGGCTGGAAGGTGCAGCATGTACATGTCCTGGCGCTATTAGGTCAACAACTGCTGCCAGATGCTCATACCATTTGATTTGGTGGCAAGATTTTTATGTAATCCTTTTGACGGGCAGAAACCCTTGGGCGTGTTAACTTGTCGACACTTAGAAAATACGACGAAAACTCTTCTTCCACCAACAACGAGGCAGATGCTCGCTCTCTCGGCCTTCACAGCTTCTTCCACCCGCCCCTCTGTCGGCGACCAACTTATGATCCCCATAGCCTTGGGTCTGCCGCCGCCGCCGTCTGTCTTGAATCACGGCGGACGAAACCCGAGCTTCTCTCAGAGCATCTGCCCGCGCCGCTGGTTCAAAGGGTCGGCGTGGAGGATGGCTGCCCTGCTGAATTCTGGTCCCTGTTTATGTGAGAGAAATGGGGCAATTTTATCAGGACGACAGCGCACACTCTCAGATGACTGCACTGTTCCTGCATCAGTCCATTCAATCCAAGAACCCTGCTCAGACCCATCTTTTCATATCCTGGTTGATAGAAAATACCGGAGTTCTTGGCGAATTCAGATCAAGCTGCCGCATAAAAAATAATAATAAATAAAAAATAATAAAAAAGGAGCGAGTAGGTTCTTAACAAGAGCATGAGCAATCGCCCGTCTTTTACAACACTCGAAAGGATGAACATTGCGCAGGGATGTTGTTCAAAGTCGGATGGTTTGAATGATAATTGACGAAACAGACATCGATTCAGTGGTCTGAGGCTTCCCCTTCATCTTTTTTCTCCTAGATGCCAGCACAACAACACGAGCTCACGCTTTAGCCGCTGGCAGCACTGGCGGCGCTCATGTCCGCTGTTAGGTCGAGAACCTGCGCGAGACGCTGATCTTGAGTCCGAATGGTAAAACTTATAACGTTGAAGCTGAGAAGATATTACGACGCGCGAAAGTCAAAATGTGATGACGACGATTGAAAAAATGTCAAGAAGTCAACGTCATCTTCACCGACCTTACATCAGTTTCAAGGTTCATCAGTAGGAAGATCCCAGTCCTGAGGGAAATAATAAATCAAAAATTGCCAAAAAAAGACGATGTAGAAATTACCTTTCCGGTTATTTTGCAGTACATGGAGATCACATCTTTCACGGTCGACTCGAAATGGGTTGTGGCATCGTAACTCTGTGAGGATGAAACAGAAACAGGTAGAAACATAACCAGCTCAAGTTATGATATTTTTATGAGTTGTCGATGGAAGAAAAAGGTATAAGATAGTCATGCAAGGCTTCCGTGCTCCTGAATCCCGGTGGGTAAAAGTCAAAGTTCATAACTTGCCAAGGAAACAAAGATGCGAAGCTGTGAGGGGCCGATGTCTGAAGAACAAGGATCCTAGTTCACTGTGTGCCGGGCAAGGACGAGAGAAGTACTCACAGTAGATATAAAGCAATTGTCGTCGTCACTTTTGTTGATTGGTTCGTATCTGTCGTACATATCATAGAAGATCTCATCTACCGGTCCCAGAAGATCGATTCCGGGCTTCAATTCCACTTCAGGCTGGTTCGACTCAGCTTCTGTCGAGACGAAGGCAATGTATTTGCCTTTTGGCGCCACATTGTGGGAGTAGGAGCAGCAGAACAGGTACCTGCAGGCATGACATCGGAGGACATTCAACAAGATTATGACAGAAAAAGGTCAACTTCTGTTTTGTCATTCTTTCGATTCCTTTCCTTGAGCACTACTGTCAAGCCTTTCTCGCGAAAAGAGAGATATTTTCTTTATTTATTTATTTTAAAATATTGTTTCATGATTTATCTTAAGGTTGAACTGAATATATATATATATATATATATATTATAGTGAGGGAGCAATCAACCTACATGTCGGATTTACGCCCAATCTGTTTCTGGGGTAGAATAACCTGTGCCGAGTGGGATTCATTGGTATGTGGCATTGGGTGGCTCATTATGCAGATTGCCCGGGCAACCATTCCGACCTTCTGAACCTGTTAATAATTGTCAGTCGACATGCAGAGTTTTATCAGATAAAATCGATATCCTCACAGACTATAAGGTTATAAGGTTCTTTACCTTGTTTGGTAAGTAGGATGGGTCACATACTATCTTCTTGCATCGAGCAGTTTCTCCATCTGATGTTACCCCACAAGCTTTTCCATTCTCATCAAACTCTACCTGCCACAAACCACACACAGTCTCTTGAAAAAAAAATAAAAAATTGACCTCGAATGCTGAAGAACTGAAAAGAAAAGGAAAAACTTGCTGGAAATAAAAAAATCGACTAAGGGAAATGAGATATCTATCTAGAAAATTAGAAAATAGGTCACTCAGGGTATCCACCAGTATTCTGAATTCTGGGGAAACCAATGCACTTCGTCTATAATTTTTTTTTGTTTCTTCAAATTATAACTGATTTTACCTTGCACTCTGGCTTGTTGAGCATGTACGTTCCGCCATGAACAGCACTTAAACGGGCGAATCCCTGGAAATGTTTGGTGTCTGAGTTCTCAGAGAAAAAAAGGTCGTATAATGATTCCTGAAGCCATTGATGAGCGCAAACCTGTGGAAGTTCTCCCAGCCCATACAGAGGATAAATATAAGGGGAGCCTCCTTGAAAGCTCGCCAGTGACTCAGCATATAGCTAGTCAGATAAAGCCCAAAATAATCAGCATAGCTAGAATACGACACGAACATGCTTGTGAAAGAATTCATTATTATACAGGAAACCTCTAACTATGATAAAATATAATATAATATACGAGAGCTAAAATAAATTAATGTTTTAGGTCCTGACCAAGAGTATATAGGAGACCTCTAAGGACGAGTTTGTGGCGAGATGTAACAAGTTGGTCTCTCTCTTCTCTTTTTTTTTTGGTATGGGGTGGGGGGGGTGTGGGGAATTTATTGTTCGTGGTTCGTAAGTAACCATAAGAAGACTACCTTCATTCTCTTCACAGTGTCCATTGCAGGCCCATCTAAGTAGCTGTCGTCTGGATGAAGTGCTAAAGCATGCCCAATAAAGTCGACTGTGTCCTCATCAAGGCCATACTTTCTGCAGGAAGGCGGAAGAAGCATTAAAGGATTGAAGGCTAGAAGATTCGCATCCTTTACGGAACGAAAAATCATGTATTTTTCAATTAATTATGTCCATTTACGACAGTTCATTCAGAACAAAATAAATGTTCCGCAATTACACAAAGGTGTGCCAAAGGCCCATAAATATTACACACAAAATAAAGTGTACCGTGATAACATCGATTTTCTGAATTTCTGCGTAATTCATATTTACAGAAGGGATAAAACAAACTTCTCCTTCAGGGGCCTTATCAATCAATATGAACCTTGGTCGTTTCACTTGCAGGCTGGTTGGATGCATCAATAAGCTGCTCTTCAGCTTCGATTTGTACTAGTCTATTTTGAATTGATCTGAAAGTTTCATTTTCGAGCAGTAAAATTATGAAACAGGAGGAGGGGCCATAATAGCAACGAGTTCATAAAATAAAACTGCACTCATGATATTAGCTCGGGCTCATGTTTTGGAATAAAGGAGTTTTTCCGACTTGCTTATATGGCAACATCCTAATCTCACAGAATGGCCTGCATGAGGTTATATTGGTCATTCATGATAGGCTCAGATCGAAGATTTAAATTTATCGTGTTACTCGAACATTCGGGTAGAGAAATAAGAAACCGAGTATACTTCCAGGAACTACTAGAATTTTTAAAAGTTGATGGGATGGACAAAAAGGCTGTGTTTTGATTCGTAGCTTCTCTAAATTCCTTGCCGATGAGTTGAAATATTTCATTTTTCTTATCAGGTCTAAATGTTTTTTGCACTAGTGTTTGGCTTTCAGTTGTTTCCTTTCTGAATAAAAGTTCAAGCTACATCATGCAAGTTCAGGGTGTCCGTTCTGTCGTTAGCTGTAGGAACACCTGCCACAGAACGAAGAAAAACGAGCATAAATAAAAATCTGGCCTCTTTGACGTGGTGCAAGCAGGTCCAACAGTCTCCAAAGCTCCCCATTTTCTATCACTAGAGAAATCCAAAAACGGGGAAAATATCATATTTGCATGTCTCGTACGGTAGAAACTCTAAGCGCAGAAGTATACAGCTTCCAAGACAAGACAACGGGCATCGCACGCTGGTTTCATGTTTCTATCCATATACCATTGTATATTTTCAGGTAAGATAAAAATAAGGTTGAGAGGCATACGAGATGATCTCTCTTGCTGTGACTTTATTGAGATCCAGTCCTTCGTGAGATTTCGGGTCATTGTCATCATAATCTTGCACATAAATGAAAAACTTCCGAGCCCGGCGTTTTTCTAAAAGCCCCATCAGCGTGGACTTCAAGGCTTCTATATCAGTAGCTGGGACTTTGTATATCTTGAAAATGTGAGCAGGTCAGGAAGCATAATGTAAGCTCATGAATGGAAAAAGAATAAAGAGGAGCACCGGCCATTATGCGTTGTCAAGGCGTCATACTTTCCCTCTGTTGTACACAAAGCTCCCGTCAACTGCCTTGAAGTTGAGATATTTTGTAACATTTGTGTGGATGAGAACACGAACCAGAGCACCGTTGGCCATCATGAACTGCAACAGCAATAAGATCATGATTCTTCATTCATTTTAAAAAATAAATTTTGGAAGACTTGTCCTATTAACGGAGCTTTTTACGTGTACGAGGACGATAAATTGGTAGCCGGGAGTGATAGAAGTAAACTGGTGAATATGCATTTCAAACCATTTTACAACAGGTGAATATGAAACAGTAAACTCTTGCGCTAGAAAATTGAGAATCGCAAAAATGTTATTGACGATAGTTTGTTTCTTCTGGATGTTGAATGGACATCGAGATTTTGAGGTTTACAAATATTGAATAGGGATTTGAGGAAGAATAGCGGAAAAGGGGGCCAGAATAAAAAGACGGATCAAATTCAGGAGAGAAATTAATTATGATTCAGGTAACAGCCATTGCAGCTTTCTTCGGTCACTGGATCCTGTACAGAAGCAGCCAGCACGTCTGAGAGAGCTCTCTGTCAGATCATCACCTTTGGGATCATGTCGACGTTGTACTCCTTGCTTGCGCCCAGATGTTCTGGGGGCTTGTCGTTTCCCCTGAATCGTTTCCACAGCTGCGTATTAAGAGAGGAGAACGGGACATGAAATCCTAGAAAAGAGCGGAGAAGAAAACCTGAAAGAGATATCGTGTTCATGATAGAAGCATAGATTAAGAGTGAATATGAGAGAACCTGAACGAGATTTAGAGAGCTCGATTCCCCCCCATAATAGTCATTCCTGTCCATGTGGAGGACCTGCCCAAACAACAGACCGGAAAGCTTTATATTGACAGAGGAGGAAAAAAGCCGTCGACCAGAACACATCGCATCGACATTCGAAGGAGGGCAACCGCACGGCCCCTAGCCAGATTAGATGACAGAGATGGCGGCCTTCGGGACGCAAGATACTAGTCTCAATTCATCAACGAATTGGCGAGCATCGAGGAATCGGTTGCAGGAGAATAGTCATCGTGCCTGTTCTGTTACAGGCCGGGAGAAAGGGAAATCGTTTCCGATGCGAAATCACGGCCGTGATGTACGAACATCAAAAACAAGCAAAGAAATAACCAGCCACGAGGAAATCTAGAGATGAGGATTCAGCGGCGAAGAGGGACGACGGCACCTTGAGCCCACCGACAGAGAGAAGACCGCTGAGTATGCACTCCTTCAAGCCCGTCCCTAGAACGATCACATCGTATTCCTTGTCCATCTTTCACAGCTCGCGGATCTTCTCCCACCCTGGGGGAACTGGAACAGAGGACAGAGAGGAGACAAGACGGAGGGGAGAGTAGAAATGGGACATGGAGACCATGGAGAGAGAGAGAGAGAGAGAGAGAGAGAGAGAGAGAGAGAGAGAGAGAGAGAGAGAGAGAGAGGGATTAGCGGCTGGTTTGCAGGGCCGGAAAGGCGGGAGGGCCTCTCCGGGGGTTGGCCGTTAGAAAACCGTTACAGACCAGTACACGTGCAGGCCACTCTTCAAAAGGCACGTGCTTTTCGCCTTCCTCACACGTGCCTTTGATCTTGGGCCGCTACGGGCTTTCCACAGGCCCAATGACACCAATTTTTCTCCAAGAGAGGAGAGAGAGAAGAGAGAGGAGGGTAGGAGGGAGATAAACACAGAGAGATATATGGAGAGAGAGGGAGGAGAGAGATACAGAGAGAGAGAGAGAGAGAGAGAGGGAGATGGGGACATCTCCGCAGGCGCCGCCGTGGAGCATCTGCTGGAACTGGCCATGGAGACTCCCCCAGAACCTTACCGCCGCAGATGTGCGGAATCCCACGAGCCATGGGGGCTGTGACAACTCCGATCCTCCCTGGCTCCTCAAGTCCCTGCTCAATCTGGGCTCCGCCCTGACCTCCAACGTCTCCCGCTTCGCCGCCAGAGGGAAGGAGGCCGCCTTCGTCCTTCCGAGCGGGCGCGTTCGGGCACAGCCCGATGGCAATGGGGACGGGAAGCCCCGTTCGGCGCTCTCCAAGGCGGATCAGGGGGAGGCGGAGCAGCGGGCGTTGGCGGCGGCGCTGGCGAGCGGGAAAGAGGCGACGGTGCTCGAGTTCTACTCCCCGCGGTGCCGACTGTGCAAATCCCTGCTCGGCCTGGTCCTGGAGCTGGAGAAGAGGAACTCCGATTGGGCCAGCTTCGTGCTCGCCGACGCCGAGAATGAGATGTGGCTCCCCGAGGTGAGAAGACCGAATCCCTACCTCTTTTTCTTTCGGGTGGTTACCGTCTGGAGTCATACTCTAGGTAAATCATCGAGAGGAGGTTTGGAAATTTCCCTTCCTTATCACTGGTAAATTGTTCGGCAGACTTGGATCTGATCGAGGGTTCTCATCCATTTTGGTCCAAATGAGTAGAATATTTCTTACGATTTAATCGTATCGATCCAACGTATTGTTATTTGTTCATCCAGATTACGATGAGTTCAGTGAGAGATGAATGCTGACCGGGGGTGACTGATTATCACTGCAGCTGATCTACTACGACATCAAATATGTTCCTTGCTTCGTGTTGCTGGACAGGCATGGCAGAGCCCTGGGGAAGACGGGGGTCCCTGCAAGCAGGCTTCACGTCATTGCAGGCCTCTCCCATCTCCTGAAGCTCAGGCAGCCCAAGGGGAAGGAGAAACCCACATGCTCCTGACGCGGTTCTTCCCTTACAGATTATCCTGTTTTCATGAAAATTTTGAAGCTTTTGTTGGTACCTGGCATGGGGATTTTGATAGATTCTCATGATCCGCGACTCAATTGTTCTGAAAAAAAAGAAAAAAAAAATGAAACCATGTGGGATCGGCAATTGGGTTCACAGATCCAAGAAAACTCATGTTAATTAGGCAAGAATTTATGCTCCAATTTGTACAGAGTTACAGAAGTCAACCCCCTGAACTTGTTCATTCTCTGTTGCTACAAGGGTCTTTCCTCGGGTCATAAGGCTAATTCAAGAAGTTTAGTTGCACTGTCAGTAAATTAGAACAGGTAAAGGATTGCCACGCCGCTTTGCTCCTGAATCATAGTCTGGCTACAACCTGAACCCGGCACAACATAATTCTGAGATGCTTGGATGTCACTATTTGGAGAACCTGGAACGCTGATTTCACACAAGAGAACCTCCCCCTGATCTGATCCTGGCACCTCGACCGCCTTCATCATCAGGGCCGCTGCTGAAGGGTGGATGACACGAGCTCCAGCGGCAATGGCAGCAGCGTTGACTTGAGGATTCGGCCCCGCATATGGCTATTGCAGATCAGATGGGTCTGACAGACTTGGTGGATCCAGCTTCAGTCCTTTTTCCCCAGCCGGCGTAGATTGGGTTGAATCTTGTGGAGATGGTGTTCTTGTGGAGAGTTAGCGCTTCGATAGGAGCAGCCAGGAATGCATATCCACTGGGGGCACCTTGGGTGCCGACTGTTCCACACACAACCAGAAGAAATTGGGTAATTAAAAGGGTGGGGAAAGCTAGAAGCAGTAGCGTGTTGGAGTTACGAAAGTAAAAGTGGAAGTGTCCCATTACCGGCGTGTATAGAGACATGGGAAGTGCAGGAATGGCAATGAGATGTCCTTTAGAGAGCACTTCCTGGGTCTGGTCGGATTCGCCAACCGAGACAGAATCCTGTTTATGCACATTATCACACCACATAAGATAGGAAAATTCAAGGTTTAATGATTTTTTAAATGATTTTCATTCACAAAGATCAGTCAGGCAGAAAAGCTGATACTGCGAAAGGTATGATGCAACTTTTGCGTATTGCATTGCTCTTTCTTCATTCAAGGTGCAAGATGCAAGCACAAAGATGTTTAAAAGATAGTCAATCAACCAGTTGGAGAATGAGAAACGAACATCAATCGTCATTGTACCGCTGAAAGAAGAGGAATGGCAGCTCCCCAGTGTTTTCGTTATCACACATTTGCTTCTTGACCTAGATTCATGGAAATGGAAAATGGGGGAGCCCGGCGATAAAGAAGACCTGAGATTGTCTGACAGTATCCCAAACTTCCTCTGCTTCTATTAGTAGTCACTTGGAACTTCCTTCTTTCTTCCGGAAGATAAACCAGAAAGCGCAGGCCCATTTTTATTAAGCTTTTCAACCGCCACAATCGCTCGGCGTTGTTTCTGTAGAGAATCAGAAATCATTGCGCGCATCCATGGAAGAGTGGGCAGAAAATTGTGGCATCCCATGGCGAGCAACAGTTACCTGGCTCTCGAGCTGGTTGGCGATGGGAGGAGTTCCAGCAGATTGGGACTCGAGCTGGTTGCCGACGATTCATTCTCTGTTTTCAACATCTCCTGTCGACAAGGAACGATCGGATTGGAAGAAAACTCAGCTGCACTCATCAGCAGAGGACATTCGATACCATATATTCAAAAAGAAGATCGTTTGGAATGGGCACTTCGATGGGACACATCAAGTCAAAGACGATGCGACAGCATGGTTCCCACAAGAAGTACTGCCTGGATGACGCCCCATGCATCATCTGAGTGCCTCGTCCATGGAAACCACGAGGATCGATCGTCATTCACAAGGTTAGCACCTCTCAGGATGCATTAAAACCAAGCCTGCGGCCATTTCATGAAGCTTGCCTCGTCTGATAACAGTGACCAGAGCACCAGAAAAAAAAAGGGGTATGGATCGCGCGATCACGGCAGCATTCTTTCGGAATGCATCACAACACAGAAACGAGGATGGCGCATACTACACGCATCACCGGCGCCCGCAGCGCAGAAGATCAACGAAATTTTTGGACATTTGTAAAAGATTGAGCGACGGAAAACGCAGCGCCACGGAAAAAGATGAGCAACCTCTCGAGTTTCGGCGCGAACACACGCAATCTCTGTGCACTTGAAAAAAGAGAAGTCTGGAGACTTCATGATCGAAGACAACCTACCTCTCCGTCGCGCGCGCCCACCCTCCCCAGCGGCGGCGGAGGAAATACTCCATTGCGACAGAGAAACCCCAGCCAGAACAAATCACACCCCTCAGTTCCTCCTCGCGCCTGAGATGATCGAAGCAGAAGATCTTCATCAAGCGACACCACGAAGAAATTAGTAACCAATTCGGGGAATCTTGATCTCTGATTCACCTATCTCACTCTCTGCCGATCCTCCTGCTCTCTCTGTCTCCCTCTCTCTCTCTCTCTTCCAGGGACGTTCAGAGGCAGCGAGACAGCGGAGGCGAATACGGAGCCCTCTCTCTCTCTCTCTCGCTCTCTGAGCCCGGTGCCGTTCGTCTGAAGGCGGCGGGAGGTTGACGTGGGCAAGTGGGGAGGCACTGGATTACATAAAGCCTACTGAACGGACGGTTGAGATGGGATGGTATAAAAAAAAATCCGATGCCCATCTCGAGGGAATCATTTCCTGATGCCGTGCCGCGTCGCCTTTTGATGTGACTCCCCATTAGGATTGTACGGCTCGAGCCGCAGCGACCCACACATCGTTTGTCGTTTCCGACCGGTGCTGAGCTGGCCGGCCACTTTGCCACCTGGGCCAACCGACTTAGTGGGTTATGGACGGTGGGCCTACGACCATTGATGACTAGAGAGAGAGAGAGAGAGAGAGAGAGCCGTCGGTGGATGTTCAAGAGAGATCAAATGAAGAGTGAAAGCAAACCGCCTTTATTTTTTTGAAAAGCGAGGAATCCAGAAAGACCGGAGAGGAGCGCTCTCTCGTCCCTCCACGAGATCCGCTCCGTCACGCTCAGGCGCGCCGCTCCTTCCCGTCGTCTTCTCCGTGCAGAGCAGCGCCGCTGTTGTTGCGGGGCACTTCAGCCCAGCTCAGCCCAGCCCCGAAGCATTGCCGAGACGCCGACAGACGGACCTTATTGGATGGGGGAGGAGAGGGAAAGCTGAACAGAGAAGAAAAGACTGCCCTACGAACTGAAAAGGATCCCTCACCCACCACCCCTCTCTCTCTCTTTCTCTCACTCAGACCCAGTGCCCATAGCTGATTCTTCCACAGGCGCCCTTTCCCCTGACCCGCCTCCGCCGTCATCCCCGAGGAAGAAGAAAACCTCGTCACCGTGAAAAGGAAGGAAAGCCCTCTTCGTCTCACTCTCGGTCGGCTTCACTTGTGCGTACACCTCTTCCCCGCTGCCTCCGGAGGTGGGTCGAGCTGCAGGCCACGGACCATGGAGTTGGGCGGCTGGGAGGACGGCAGGGGGCGAAAGAGGGGCGGCCGTGGGACAGAGAGGCCTGGCCCATGGCCTCCCGTGATCGAGCCCTTCGTTCCCAGGAACACCGACCTCAACCCTCGGGAGCTCAAGTCCTGGGCTCGCCGCACCGGCTTCAACCCCAATCTCTCCGGCGAGACCTCGCTCAGCAGCCTCAGCGAGCGAGAAGTTCACGAACGGAACGGCGAGCCCCTGCGCGAGGCTTTCCTGCTGGATTCAGCGAGAAGGTCTCCGGCGGCAGCAATGCCGGCCCCTCCCAGGCCGGGAAAGGAAATCAAACCAATGCTGGGTCGAGGGGCCGAGATGGGTCCGCTGCCTGGCCGGGGAAAGGGGTTCCGGCGAGGGGGCGGCGATGACGCCGAGACCCAGGAGCTAGCCGGAGAGATTTGGAGGCCTGACAGGAGGATTGGGGCTGAGCCCGTTGTGGGTTTGAGGGAAGAGGGCAGGGGCCTTCCGCCGAAGCCTGAAATGGCCTCCCAGGTCGACGCGTCTCAGAACAACGGGAATAGGGTTCTTCTCAATGGGGGCTCGCGCTCTCCTGAGAATACGGAGAACAACAAGGCGGAGCCGGGAAAGCCCCCGATGGATGAAGAAAATGGCGGCGTGTTCTCAGATTACGAAGAGCTCGGGGGTCCTCCTCCCACCCGACCGCCGCAAGGGCTCAAACGCGGGCTCACTGAGAATCCCGGCTTCCGTCAGTATAACAAGTTCCCCTCACCTCTCTGCCCAGTCGCATTTCGCCCTTCGCTTATCATCTTTCCCATCTTATTTCTTTCCCGGTGCATCTATACTTGCAGCCTCCCTCGCCATATACGGCCTTCAGCACTACCTATCTCTTGCGGGGTCGCTCGTGTTCATACCTCTGATATTGGTGCCCGCCATGGGAGGCACCGATGTAAGCTTCCCGCCCGACGGGTTCGGTGGAAGCACGGCTACGGCGATCACTCACCGCGACATTGTTGTTCTGATGATGGCAGGAGCAAACAGCTGCTGTGATTTCCACCATGTTGCTGGTCTCTGGCCTCACCACCATACTGCACTCCTTCTTCGGGACTCGGCTTCCTCTAGTTCAGGGGAGCTCCTTCGTCTACCTGGCTCCCGCTCTGGTCATCGCAAACTCCGAGGAATTCCGCAATCTCAGCCAAAATGTGAGCTCCCTGCCATCATCAGAACCATGAATGTGCCTCACTCAACTCATCGTGCTGATCTAATTTCATCTGCAGAAATTCAAGCACATTATGAGAGAGTTGCAGGGGGGCATCATTGTCGGCTCGCTCTGCCAGACCATACTGGGATACAGTGGCCTGATGTCCCTTCTCTTGAGGTATTCAACCATGGCTCTGGTCTGTGTTCTTCTCCAGTCTGTGGTGCATGGTATCCCAGGTTGTGCACTGTTTCCTTCATTCTTGTTTTTTCTGCGCTTTCCACGGACGGGTGAATGTGACCAGCGGGGCCGTAATATTTTATTTATTTCCTGCACTTTTACCTGCATCAGCCCAGTTCTCTATACGTCTCATAGTCTGCAGTTGTGTGACTATTCCGCATTAATTGGCTAAAGTTCCTGGCTTTTGTGCCCACCCCGCTGCTTTTAAAAAAAAAAACCTTTTTTTTTTCAAAGCAGCGCTAGAGATTTTCAAATGTTTCAGTGATGCTCGAGTAGGTGTAGTTATGTTGAGTGATCTTCCGTGGAGCCCAATGGAGGGTCACTACAAAACCATGCTGCAGGTGCATAAACCCAGTGGTGGTCGCCCCGACTGTTGCGGCCGTTGGGTTGGGATACTTTAGCTATGGCTTCCCCCAAGCCGGGAACTGTGTCGAGATCAGCATTCCTCAAGTGCTGCTGGTTCTCATCTTCACTCTGGTAAATCACTTGCCTGAAGCTGTTCCAGGTTATCTTATCTGCTGCATCCCCTTCCCTCCGATTCTATCTATCCACCGATCTGCTGCTGAGAAGAAGAAGGGCTCTCTTCACGATTCTCATTCTTCATGGCGCATTGATTTATCTCACTGTCGGACGAGCTATTCACTGACGATCTGTGCCCGGCGCAGTACCTCCGCAAGGTTTCCGTTCGTGGGCATCGCGTCTTCCTGGTGTTTGCGGTGCGGTGCTCCTCTGGCCCTCTCCACTCTTCATTGTTCAGAATTCAGTCTATGGCGACCAGTTTTTACAGATGGGCACCACCTGCATCATCTCTCCTCCTGATTGGGAATCTCCCTTCTTTCACTTCGATTGAATCTCCCTTCAGGTCCCGTTGAGCGTGGCGATCGTCTGGGCCTACGCCTTCTTCCTGACCGCCGGAGGAGCCTACCACCACGACGGGTGCAACCCGGGCGTGCCCACGTCGAACATCCTGCTGGACTCGTGCAGGAACCAAGCGCTCGCCATGAGGAGCTGCCGGACCGACGTCTCCGGCGCCCTGCACGCCGCAGCGTGGGTCCGGGTGCCCTACCCACTGCAGTGGGGGATGCCCTCCTTCAGCTTCAAGACCTCCTTCATCATGTTCTTCGTGGCGCTGGTGGCCTCGGTGGACTCGGTACGCCTGCCTCCAAGATCCCTGATTTCCTCGCCGGCGTTCCTGTTCCGCCGCCGGGAGAGGCCTCTGAGGTTTTCCAGTCCGGTTTTGCAGGTGGGTTCCTACCACGCCGCATCTGTGCTGATCGGCTCGAGCCCGCTGACCCCGGGGATCGTGAGCAGAGGAATCGGGCTAGAGGGCTGCTCGAGCATACTCGCCGGTCTGTGGGGAACGGGAACCGGGTCGACGACCTTGACGGAGAACATCCACACGATCGACGCGACGAGGATGGCGAGCCGGAGGGCGCTGGAAGTCGGTGCCGTCTTCCTGATCCTCTTCTCGTTTGTGGGTACGACGGATCTCCGCTATCTCCTCCTTCCTGCTCGCAGAATTTCAGAACATTCATTGATTGAAATCTCTCTTCTTTTCTTCCCTGGCTGGTGGGGCAGGGAAGGTGGGTGCCCTCCTGGCGTCGATCCCTCCGGCCCTGGCTGCCGCTGCCCTGTGCTTTACGTGGGCTTTGATCGCGGCGCTGGGCCTGTCGACGCTCAGATACACCCAGGCCGCGAGCTCCAGGAACATGATAATCGTAGGGTTCACCCTGTTCATCTCCCTCTCCGTCCCTTCATATTTGCAGCAGTACCAGCCCATCTCCCGCCTCATCCTTCCCGGCTACCTCCTCCCCTACGCGGCGGCTTCAAACGGCCCCGTCCGCCTCGGCAGCCACTCGGTGAGTACTCTCTCTCTCTCTCTCTCTCTCTCGCTACAGATCACTCAAAGCGGCTTCTTCCTCCGATCCGGTTCTGCAGCTGAGTTACGCGCTGAACGGGGTGCTGTCGCTGAACGCGGTGGTGGCGCTGCTGGTGGCGTTCTTGCTGGACAACACGGTGCCGGGGAGCCGGCAGGAGCGGGGGGTCTACGTCTGGTTGGATCGAGCGGCGCTGCCGCCGCTGCAAGTGGGGGACCAGCGGCGGTCGTCGCTCTCCGAGTACGCGCTGCCGCCGAGCATCGCCAAGCTCTTTAGCTGGGTCAAGTGGGTCGGGTCTTGAAAGGTGAGCGGTGAACTCTCCTTGGACAATATTGAATTTACCGAGCCAAGGGGGGTGTAGCTCATATGGTAGAGCGCTCGCTTCGCATGCGAGAGGCACGGGGTTCGATTCCCCGCACCTCCATGCATCCAATCTCTTTTCGCCAGGTCACGGGGCATTCCACCTCTCTCTTTTTTCGCTCAACCAGTCCCATTGCCCAATCCAACGCAGCCACGTCCCTCACGTCAGCCACGTCTTTACTGGCCGCTCGTCGGGGGAAGAGAGAGAGAGAGAGAGAGCACCGCGGGGAACGGCGGCGCCGGCGGCTGGGAGTGGGAGAGGGAGCAGCAGCTCTTCTATTCCCTCTCTCATCATCCGTCACTCATCGCACTGGGCCTCCCCTCCATCCATCCTTTCAGATCTCTATCTCTCTCCCCTCCACACTCCCGACCACACGGATCCTGTCCCCCTCCCTCTCTCCGTCTCTTTCTCTCTCTCTGTGCATCTTCCTCCCCTCTGGTCCCTCCGGAGTGAACTGGTTAGGGATCTTCGCTCTACACTCCGTACGAGCCAAGTTGGGGATTTCTTCTCGAGAGAGACAGAGAGAGAGAGAGAGAGAAACTTTTCTGCCTCCGGGGACGGGGAGATGCGTCTCCTCCTCGTCTTCCCCTTCTCCGCCAGACTTGTTCGCCAGAGCAGTAAAGCTCCGATTGATTGATCTGGGCCTTTTCTTCTGAGCTGCGGGATGGCCGAGACTTCGAGGGCCATTACGGTAGGAGGCGACCCGGTCCTCCTCGCTTTCTTTCCCCTTCTCCTCCTTTGGGGACCGGAAGAGGAAGGGACCCCCACCCTCTCTCCCTCCCCTCTCGCGTGACCGTTGGATGCAGACCCACCCTGCCGCCGCCATCTGGCGACCCTCCCTCGAAACATTCCCCATCTCCGCCAAGAAGCCATTAACTCCCCACTTCTCGCCCTCATTTTATCTTCCTGCCCATTAACTCTCTCTCTCTCTCTCTATTTCTCTCTCTATCTATCTCCCCCCCCGAGTCTGTCTTCTTCTTCTTCTCCCTCCTCGGTATCCCTTCTCCCGCCGGATCGGTCGCTCGCTTCGGGGGAAAGGGAAATGCTGGTCGCTCCCTGCGTGGATGCGGAGGTGGGGATGACGATGGGGGCTTCTCCTTCCCCCTCTCCTCCCCCTCCTCCCCCTCCGCCGCCGGCCGTCGATGGCTCGAATGAGGATGGCGGAGGGATGGAGACGACCGGAGAAGAGCATGCTCCTGTAGCAGAGGCCTTCCTCTCAGGTACATTTCCCTTCTCCCCTCCTCGCCGGCGCCGCCGGCCCCTCTCTGTCGCCCCACTGCCGTCCCCCGGCCGTCGCGGTGGCGCATTCCTCCCCCATTGCTGGGCAGAAGATCCCCCCGTCCCCAAATCCTGTCCCCCTCCTCCTTCCATGCCCATGCGCAGAGCCTTATTCGAGAGGATGCCGGCATTACCCCTCGCCTGTTGACTCTTCAGCGAGAGCTTCTCCTCGTCGTCACCATCCCCCTCGCTCATCGTTGACCTCTGCGCGGTAACATCTTCTCCTCTCCTACCTGCCTCCCGTCTTCTCCTTCTTCCCCGACAGTGGCTTTCTTGTGCCCAGAACCATCAGAAGCGGCGTATTTTCATGTGAGAGCGGGGAAGAATATCCGCCGGGCGAACCCCCAAACGACATTATGTGAAACTAAAGATCTCATCCAAGCTACTGAAAACGGACGAAAGATCTCATCATTGACCAGCTTGTTCTGAATCTCTACCCGGCCTCTCACCAATCGAGCGCTCATTCTCCTCGATTCCACAATAGCTTCTGGTAGATATGAATCGGCATCATCGGACCACCCTCGATTCAAGGGCCTATCTTTCCATGAACCACCCGTCCACTTTGGGGAAGAACTCAGCGAATAAACATACATGCATATATATATATATATATATATATATATATATATGCAGATATACATACATACATACATGCGGAACCAGGGCGATTCAATTTTCGCAGGTCTTCGGTGGGGGTGGTCTTTAATTCTAGTTGCAGTCGCCGGTGGTGCTCACAGATTATCCTCGTATTCCACGTTATCTCCAGGTCTCTGCGGCGATCCTGCCAAGTGCAGTGATCTGAGCTTGGACGAGAAGAGGAGGATAGTGCACCAAATCTCCCTCTGCCCCGACGACGCTCTGGATTTGCTGCAGAGCTGGACCCGTCGGGAGCTGCTGCAGATCATCTGCGCGGAGATGGGCGAGGAGAGGAAGTATACGGGTCTCACCAAGTCAAAGATGATAGAGAGGCTGCTCAGGCTGGTCTCCCAGAAGGCCCCCGGCGCCGATGGCCCGAGCCCCTGCCCTCCTCCGGCGGCGAGGGAGAAGGCCGCCGCCGGCGGGACTAGGAAGAGGAGGAAGCTGGCCCAACCTCAGAAGATAGTCGCCGGCTCCGTCCAGTCGTCATCCCCTCCATGCGACGGCGACGGCGACGGCGACGGAGAGGGAGAGGGAGAGAAGAGCGAGGGCCTCCTCTGCCGGAATCTCGCCTGCCAGGCGATCCTCGACCCGGAGGACGCCTTCTGCAAGAGGTGCTCCTGCTGCATCTGCTACAGCTTCGACGAGAACAAGGACCCCAGCCTGTGGCTGGTCTGCACCTCCGATCCCCCGTCTCAGGGGGGCAGCTCCTGCGGCCTATCCTGCCATCTCAAGTGCGCCCTCAGGGACGAGAGGTGCGGCATCGCCAGGAACAGCCGCAGCGAGCGGCTGGACGGTGGCTTCTACTGCGCCTTCTGCAAGAAAGAGAATGGGCTCATCGGGTAACCCGCACCGTGCATGTTCTTGATCATTATTCCCCTCTCAGATTCCTATAGTTTCAGCTTAGCAGATTTGCCTAAATATAGTCGAGCACCCACCCATCGTGCTTCATTCGGCCGATCGGATCATCCCTCGTTTTTGTCAACGCGCAGCAACCTAAGGAAGCAGCTGGTGATCGCCAAGGACGCCAGGAGGGTGGACCTTCTCTGCAAGCGGGTGTCTTTGAGCCATCAGATCCTCAGGGGGACCGAGAGCTACCGGCGCATACAGACCATCGTGGATTCGGCCGCAAAGAAGCTCAAGAAGGAGGTCGGCCCTCTGGACAAGGTCTCCGCGAGGATGGCCAGGGGAATAGTCAACCGCCTCGCCTGCAGCGCAGAGGTCCAGAAGCTCTGCGCGTTCGCCATTGAGGCCATCGACCTCGTGCTATCTGATGGTGCTGCTGCGCCTGAGGCACCCCCCGCCGCCGACGGCGACTCCCATCAAGGTGAAGTCAACCCAACAGCTCTCTGTCGTTTATTTTCCTCCGCCTTACCACCTTATGGACGGGATCATCGATCTTCTCTCTCTCTTTGTCTCTCTGGCGGCGCAGGCTCTCCAATCAGCCCCGTCGGATTCGAGGACGTCTCCTCCACCTCCGTGGTTATCTCAGTTGCGGCGGAGCGCAGGACCATGGAGGATGCGGTGGTGGGTTACAGGCTCTGGCATCGAAGGTCCTGCGAGGTAAACTACTCGGAGGAACCCACCTGCGTGCTGCTGCGGCCGGAGAGGAGGATCATGGTCTCGGGGCTCAGCCCGGCGACCGAGTACTCCTTCAAGGTCGCCGCTTTCGGCGGCGCAGGGGAGCTGGGGAGGAAGAGATGGGAGGCCACGCTGGTCACGAGAGCCTCCTCGAGCGCCAGCAATGGGTTCAATTTCTTCCCGGTCGGCGCGGCCTGCGACGGGGAAAGGAAGAGGAACGGAGGAGAGCCGACGACGATGGCCGTCCACACCAACTCGCAGAGGGGCTCGACGAGCTCCAGCGACAGCCACCGGGAAGGGAACCGCCGCCTTGAGATCGGCGCCGAGACCGCTGGCGCTGCGGAGGACGTCGGGGACAACAGCGTGAAGCAGCGCCACCATGCCCTGCGGCCGAGTGAGGCGCCGCCGCCGTTCCTCGCCGGCTCCGATCGTCTCCCCGCGGGGACTACGAGCAAGTGCGACGCCGCTCCCAAGGCCCAACCGGCCGCCGGCGACAGAGGTGGCGGCGGCGGCGAGCCTGCGGAGCGGCGGTACGAGTACTGCGTGAAGGTGATCCGGTGGCTGGAGTGCGAGGGGCACATGGAGAAGGAGTTCCGGGTGAAGTTCCTGACGTGGTTCAGCCTGAAGGCTACGGCTCAGGAGAGGAGGGTGGTCAGCGCCTTCATCGACGTCCTGATCGACGAGCCGGCGAGCTTGGTCGACCAGCTGGTCGACTCCTTCAAGGACGGCATCTGCCAGGGCGAGGAGAAGCCTCCAAACGGCGTCTGCAACGGGAAGCTGGCGGCCAAGGACCACCGCCTTTGCACCAGGCTCTGGCACTGACCGCGGAGAGGGAGGCCGCCTGCCTGCTTTGCCTGGATTTTTGGTCTTTTTGGTCGGTCCCGTGAGGCAGGCTTGCTTGCTTGCTTGATTATGAACTGAACTGAACTGAATTAACTCATTTGACGACGCTTCATTGTCTGTCTTCGAGAGATTACATCTCCGAGAAGATGCGGAGGACCTCTCACTTGTGGTTTCGCTGCCGTCTGCCCATCATGCGTGTGTTTGTTCTCTGATCATCTTCCCAATTTCCTCTCATCGTCCTCCGCCCCCCCTCTCTCTCTCTCTCTCTCGCTCGACTGAAGTTGTGTAGCAGTCAATGGTCCGGCATAACCGCTTGCGCAGCCCCGGCTACCCCTCACAACGTCGGGTCCATCCCCACAAACGGTCAGGCTGGCCATTCCCGCCGTCAAACGGACGGTTCGATCACTGTAGATGCCTTCATTCACGTAAATTAGGAACCCACCGTGCCGTCTTCCCCTGGTCGTCCTTGCGTTGGCCATAGTCAACTCGAGCCCAGGTTACGGTGAGATCGCCGCCGGCGGAGGAGCCAAAGCTCCTCCATCTCCCTCCCCTGCGTGCCCAGATAACGGCGTCCATGTGGGAGGGTGAAGCCGAAGATCATGGCCAAGCAAGCTGTTCATGTCGGCCACTTTATGCAGCAGGAGGCCGCTGATGAGAGAGAGAGAGAGAGAGAGAGAGAGGCGGGGTTCACAAAGGCTGAGGAAAAACCAGCGGAAGCAAAACAGGAACTCCAAACAGGAGGCCACCGAGTTATCCTCCAATGAATAAAGTCAACGAAGGAACCAGCTTATTCCTGGGCCTGGGGCATCAATCGAAGCCGAGCCATCCTCGTCAGCAGCTTGGTGATGAGGTGGGCGGCAATGCCGATGGGGCAGAAGAAGAGGCACAGCAAGACGGAGTGCCGGGTCTCCACCTTGTGCTCCAGCCCGTCGTGGAATATCTGCCTGGGAATACCAACCAGATAAGCGAACTCTTAGTCAACCTTCCCACCCCGGGTGGTTGCGGGGGATGAGGTCAGAGTATGGGTAAAAGAGGCGGGCACCTGGCAGCGAACAAGTCAACCAGCAGCAGGTGCAGCCAGGCGGAGGCCATGGTCAACTCGTTCGAGAACATCCTCGTTATGCTCGACAGCTGAACCACAACAAAGAGGCAAGGCGAGATCTCTCAGCCGCAGAAGAAGACGGATGATGAGGAGGGTTAGGTAGAAGAAGAAGAAGAAGAGGACAAGATGATGTAATGTGAACCTCTGGCAGCCAGTACTTGCTGGAGAACATCAGCCTCATGGTGTCGGCCGTCCAGGAGAGGTAGAGGAGGAACGCGTATGCCGCGCCGAGGGCCACGTAGGGCAAGCCGCTCTCCATGCTCCTCTTGGTCTGCGCGGAGAACACCCACGAAGATGAGCAGAAGATGAACTCTGACGAAGATGGCGGCGTTAGGTTTCCATGCTCCCCCCTCTCTCTCTGCACTCTGCACTCTGCATTCAGTGGGATGGAAGGGGCAGACCGACCAGCTTGGCGTGGGGGGCCAGAACCATGAGAGCGTAGAAGGGCAGCACCGCGACTGTTCCGGCGGTGAAAGCGCTGCCGGCGATCTCAGGACCCGGGAGCCCTGCAGCGTCAACATCGCGGGCGCGGCCCGTCATGGATTCAGTGGATCATTGCGCCCAGGGGAAGGGATCTTTTAAGAAACAGCTTCGCACAGATGAGGAGGAAGAACAAGGACGGATTTTCAATTCTCTCCGAGCTTGATACAGAGAAGGAGATGCGAGCAGAAGAATGGAGATGGAGATGCGGGAGTAATGGACAGAAGACGGACGGAAGGGGGGGGGGGGTGTCCGGAGGATTTACAGGAAGCTGATGGGCAGAAGAGGGTCTTCCTGCAAGGGGTGAAGCTCAGAGCTTGCCGCTGGAGAACGGCTCTCGCCCCGCCCATGAAGCTCCATCGCTGACCAATCTGGCAGCGTCCCGACCCCGCTGAAATCCGGAGACCGAGGAATTCGTTGCTCGTGCCCTTGAAAGCAAAGACCCGCCTGTCCGCCCCGGTGGAGGGGAGGCTTAAGCCTAAGCCGGCCTTCCATGGCTGGCTGACCTGAAAGTAAGACAGCACCGCCGGGCGGGCAATCGTCAGGGGAGCCCTTCTTCTGTATTATATTTTCAAGGGCTCGAGCGTCGGCAAGCCAACGGCATCAATACATTCAATTTGATCTGTTCTTGAGAGACAACTGGTCAAAAAGGAAAGGGTTTTTCAGTACGACGACCAAATTCAGTGGGTAGCATAAAGCATACAGCATACAGGACAGCGTTCGGGCTCGTGAGTTTCTCAGATCTGTCAAGAAATCAGCCTCTGCAATCGGAGAATGAAGTATCCGGGCTCAAATCTAACCCCCAAATCTTCCAAACCACAGAGTTTGCAGGAAGATTTGAGGGCATACAACCCGAGGATTGCGAGAGACCATAGAGAAACAATACCGACGGAAAGAACCAGGGAGGAGGAGGAAGAGGGCGGGAATAATCAGGGTTCCAAATCTAATGCCCCCGGCGACTCGAAATCTGAGAACGACGACTAGAAATCGCAACAGCAGCAAACAAAGACTGAATTCCCGACGACCATCGACGAGGACGGCAGCAGCAGCGGCGGAACAGAGGGAGGGAGAAGGCGAGCCGGCCCAGCCAGACGGGTAGCAGCTTACCGTGAGACGGGAGATGGTGCCCATATCCTCCTCTCCTCCCCGAACCTCAGCTGAAAGAGGATTTTCTGGATGATGCTGCCGCTATCCGTCCGAGGAACCACGCCAGCTTCCCTAGTCGAGATGAGAGAGAGAGTGGAGGCGTGGAGTCACGTGCTCGCTCGAAGGGAGGGGAGGAGGGGGCTGCCCCGCTGCGCCCACCACCTGTAGCGGCTCCTCTTAGAGAGGTCACCGGGTGACGGGGACGACGAGGACAGGACCAAAAGTCACTGTGCCATCTCCCCTCCACCTTTTAACCCTCACCCCGGTGGCGGTCGCATCTCCTGTGGGAACCGACCCACGATGGGACGGCGGCGGCGACGACTTGCTCATTCGCGAGATGGAGAGACGACCCCCGGGCCCAAGAACTCCCCAGCAGGTCCATGGCTTAGCGTTTACGACAACACTAATTTCTGGGTGGCTCCACCGCCGCCGCACAGTCGTCTTCTTTAATCGGCTTTTTTTATCCGCACAGCGACAGAGGACCAAAACTCGGCCTTGGAGAGAGGAAAAGAAGCAGAAGCTGAGAGGATAAACCTAAAAACTTCTTTGCATGAAATCATTCCAAATCCGTCATCGGATTGGGAGAGGGAAACCCTTCTTTCCTCCCTTTCTCTTGTCGCCATGTACAAATAAACATGCAGAAGTAGCGCGGCGAGGAGGACCGGATCACGACCTCTCCCATCTTCACTGTTCCAAGGCGAGCTTCCTATGCCGACTAAGATCGTTGAGATACCTCGAGCTCGAGTAGTCTTCCAGATCGCAGGCATCGAAGAGGACTGGCTTGGTTGGCCCGTCCCCGCCGACCACTATCGATTCATCCTCGCCTCTCAGAACCTGCAGAGCCTGAGCAGACACAGAACATTAATTCATAGTGGTATCCTCCATCGGATCCCAGAGATCCTTCTCCAAAGTAAACAGAGGTCATCGGCCATCCTGTCGGAACCAGCCTCAACTCGGAGAAAAGTCTGAACACGGCCACCGAGAGATATTGAACGACCGATCTGGCTGTGAGCTCAGCCTGCCCATGGGCAATCCGCCCAAGTAATGCATCCAGACTAGGAAGCGAGGCCGGGGGGGGGGTGGGGTTCAACGGACTCATCTCATCTGGGTCTTCCCACCTGGTTCATGTGAGGCCGCAAGGTGGGCATGTGGTGGATGCTCGCCGACGCCACCGCAACCGCGCTGTTCATCTCTCGAGGCTCATACGAGCCCCCGAGGCTGGGGTCGACTAGCTCCTCGAGGTTCTTGGCGTCCAACAGGGGCTTCGCCTGTCGCACACAGGGAGAAGGGCATGTTTCATCATCCTCTGGGAGGGCATACTCCGCCAGCGCAGGCCGGCTACGCCGGACGTACCCATATCACGAGGCTGTGGCGGGACGAGTCTACTGCCCGGCGACCGGTAATGAGTTCCAAGAGCAGAACCCCAAAGGCGAAGACGTCCGTCTTCTCGTTTACCACCCCATGCATGAAGTACTCCGGCGCCAAGTACCTGCCCGGGGGAGAGAGAGAGAGAGAGAGAGAGAGAGAGAGAGAGGGTGAGAGGGAGGGAGAGAGCACATGAGAAGAGAGACCGAAGAAGAAGAAGAAGGATCTGATGGAAGAGGGGTGAACCAACCCGAATGTGCCCTCGATCGGGAACATCACGTGGTGCGGCCACTGGTCCGGCAACCACTTCGCAAGGCCAAAATCAGAAATCTGTGGTCGCAGGTGCAGAGTGGTCAGCCAGAGAAAACGATGAAGTCTATAACTAAATAGGTGTTGCACCATCGTCCGCAACCCTCTCTCTCTCTCTGCTCTTGGGAACGAAGCACTATGTACGGTACGGGAGGCAAATCAACTAAATAAGCATTTTAAGTCGAGAGGGACAACCTGAGGTTGATAATCGTCGGTGAGCAGAATGTTAGAAGCCTTAATGTCCCTGTGGATTATGCGCCGGTGGCAGCCCTCATGAAGGTAGCGCAGCCCCTCCGCCACGCCCAGCGCAATCTTAAATCGGATGCCCCACTCGATCGGATCCTTCGAACCTGAAACGAGAGTCTCCCGTCATTTCTCTATGTTTGGACGGCCGATCCCCACGAGCCCACATCAGACAATAGCTTCTTTCTCACTCTATCATGACTGCAGAGAGATAGAGAGAGAACGCGGAAGAAGAGGCTCTCGCAGGTTACCATGGAGGACAGAGGCCAAGCTCCCGTGTGGGGAGTACTGGAGAACGAGGTGGAGGCCGCCTTCGACCCCGAAACCGAGGAGGTGGGCGGCGTTCGGATGGTTGACGTGGGCGATAATCCCCAGCTCCGACAAAAAGTCTCCCACTCTCTCCTCTTCCATCTCCTTCTTCATCAGCCGCTTCACCGCAACCAGCTGCCCACTGGGCAGCCGCCCCCGGTAAACCTCTGCATGCCCGCCTCTTCCGATCAAGTTCTCTGCCATGGGAATGATTAAACGGGGTCAAATCAGACGGTAGATGCGGGGCAAGTGGGAGGAAGAAGAAGATGGTGCACACATCCGGCGCGGCCGCAGAGAGAGGCGCTGGCGAGAGAGCGAGGGATGGAGAAATCTCAGGACAGAAAAGGAATACCAGCGAGGTGCAGCCATCAACAGTGGAAGAGAGAGAAAGAGAGAGAGAGGGGGGGGGGGATTTGTCTTGGGTCTCGAGGTGTTCCACGTCGGCGTCTCGCAGGCGGACGAGAAGCCGGAGAGCAGGATCCCCCATCCCACAAGGGAAGGTCCCCACGCTGTTTGTGAATCAATAGTGGTTCCAGGAGCAGACTCTGTACGAGTAGAGGGAGAGAGACGTACGGGAACGTCTTTACATCCATGTCTTTCTTCCTCGAAGAAGACGGATGAACTAGCCCCCCTTCTCGCCTTGTATAATTGGGTAGAAAATATCACATTTGACTCGACTAAAGAGAAATATTATGATAAAATTCCTTTCAGGTAGACAGAAAAATCACAAGGATATCTATATATATATATAGCAAGAGAGAGAGAGAGAGAGAGAGAGAGAGAGAGAGAGAGAGAGAGAGACGTTTCGAGCAGAGAAAACTTAGGCAGGCAGTGGGGCATCAGAACGAAGGCATGGTGTACTGTGGGCCGTTGATAATGTTCATCAGCAGGAACCCAGGCCATAAGAATCCAGATTGGACGGTCGTCATCTCGTGAAGAGGATGGTGGGAGAGCAGTGAAACCTGAGAGCTACAGAGGCTTACTGACTACGGCTTACCTGGGCTGAAGTCATCGGTGGCGGCCGCGAGCTCCTTCAGCTCGAAGCTCCGCCACATGGGCCTCCAGAGAATTAGGGGCGGCGGTGGCGGTGGCGGCGGCGGCGCCAATGGCAGCTCCCCTCTGCCGCTCTCCTTAGCTGTCCGAGTCCTCTCCAGATTCCTGAGCGGTCTCCATCTGGTTATCTCCGGGCTCGCCGCCGGGGGGAATGTCGACAGCCGCCTTATGGACTTCTTCCTCTGCAACAGACCCCTGATGAAAGCCCGCCACTGATGGGTATGGGGCTCCTCAGCGCCGCCGCCGCCGCTGCTGCTACTGTCGGAATCCGTGCTGCCGGATACGGTGATGTCGAGAGCTGTTCTCGGCGAGGACTCGTCGGAGCTGCCATCGGCCTTGTCCGTGCTTCCCCCGGTCACCTCGTCCCCCGCTTTTGCGACCATCAAAAACAGGGTATGGAGGCATAAGAAAAAAAGGGGACACATCGACAGAGAGAAAGAAGAAGAGCAACAGGAGGAAAAGAAAGGAATCGAGACTGCTTCTCTCCTCTCTCATCCGTGAAAGAAGGAAAAGAATCTCTGACGAGAAAAGGCACCTCCGGCTGGGTCGGCGCTCGCCATCTTCGCCTGAACGGGCTCTTGGACCGGCGGGAGGGCTTCGCCGTCCTCCTCATTCTTATCTCCCTCCCAGCCCTCTGCAAAGAGAGACAGCAAATAATCTAACAAAGAAAAGGAGCAACCAAGAGGAGACAAGTAAGAGACTCTCTACAAAGAAAGGGATAGAACAGAAAGGGACGACTTTCTTCCCGCTTTGGATTTCCGTACCCTTCTCAAAAGTCATCCTTTCTCCTTCCTCCGCGGCTGGGTCTAACTCGGGGGAGTTAGCGGGCCGCCGTGCCCCTCTCTGTCTCGCCTGTCGTCCCCCTCCTGCTGCTTCCTCCACTCTTCTTATACATCTCCGTCCAATGTTCCGACGGGACGACTGTGGATGGGTTGGGTGGCGGGGAGGGAGAAGGGGTAGTGCAAGGAGACAGAAAGTGCCCACTCGCCGGGGAAGGGGAGGCAGTGAGTGGGGTTGGGGGGTTTTTCCTCAGCCCCACGTCTTCCGAAGCCGGAGAAGAAGAAGGGACATGGCCTATGTATGGCGTTGGACGTAGCAACCAGTATTCTAGTGCCCTCCCTCCCCTCACCCCATCTCCGTCGTCCTTCGGCTATCCTTCCCAGAGGAAGAAGATGTGAGACCCCTCAAACGTCAACGGAGCCTTCTCTCACTCTCTCTCTTTCTCTCCCTAGACTATTGCAGCTGGTGGGGGAGGGTGCAGATGGGTCCTCTTCCAGATGGATGAATCGGGGCCGTCAACGAGGATGACGACGGTCACCAGTCATCGGGAGTAACTCGGGAAACACCTTTCTGCAGCAGCGGCGCCGGATTCGGTATCCCCGCCTGCTTAATTCCTGGGCGTATTCCAAGAAAGTTGACTCCCCTTTCTTACTTACGGTGAAGCAAGACGCTCGCGTCTCTCTCTCCTCTCTCACGCACTCTCTGTCGTCATTCACTTCGTCTTGCGCAACGCACGGTAGTGACTAGAAAAACCAGCTAATATCCAATGCCCAGTTTAAACCTAGCCGTGTTTCTGGTACGAAGCATCCGGCTTCTTCTGTCTCGCCGTCTTCATCCACCTCACGTCGACCTACGCGTAGGAGGTGCGTAAGAGACTTTGACCGGGGTGGGCGGGGGGAGAGTTCACGGAGTCGGTCAACCAACTCTGCCTCACGGTCCTCGGCCCGCCGGCGGGGCGGAGTCCCGCTTAGTGGTCCTCCGCTCATCCACACCACCATGGCGAGGCCGTGAGGGGAGGTTCGGCAGTACCTGTCAACTGCACTCAAAGGTCACCGCACGGGGACGACCCATCTAAATTATAATCTGTTAAATAATATGAAAAATCATATCTACATGTACACGTATCAAGTGGTGTTGACCCGACGGGTTTCATATACGCAGCGTGCCGAAGTGGGTTTCGTTGCTCCTAACTCACCGGGACAGAGCGAGTCAACGCCGGGGAGATCTCGTCCCATGTGAAGCCGGGGCAGGCACGTGCACGATCTCAAACCACATGGGTGTTCACACCGCAGTCAAGGTCAACGACCCTCTGACAAGCCCTACTCGGCTGTTGAACAGTCCACATTATTCCGCATGCTCTGAACTCAGAACCACCATCACAGCATATCCCGTGCTCACGGCGCATATCGGCCGTATGTAAGATTGGGATTCAGGTCGGAGGTCTGACGTTAATCGGGGACCAGATCACCTCAGGTCAAAGGGTGGGTGGCTGGGTGGCTGGGTGGCTGGCTGAGATGGGAACGATGGCAATTTCTTTAGCCTCCACCTGGTGTAGCATCATCAGCCCAGCCCAGCGCCAATATTTCCCCAGGCTGCGTTGGGGGTTGACAAAATCCCACTCTGTTTTGGGGCTGATTTCTGGATAATACACAGGAGATATACATTCGACTCAACAAAAAGAGGAGAAGAAGAAGAAGCCCAACCTGCGATTGCATCGAGAGCTCCAACGCGGGTCAACCCTTCATCTGCAGCCGTTTTCCCCACACAACCCCCCAAAACGAGACAGCCCCTCAAGAATTTACATGCCCAAAAAAAATAAAAATTATCATTATGATATGAACAGTTAGTTGCCATGGCAAGAAACACACCAGGGGGGGGGCTTGTGTGACACCCCTCGATGGGCACCTTGAGGTAGCGTTCGAGGAGGAGGGCGATGAAAGGCGATGGACCATACCTGCCGCTGATGGCCACCTGCTCGCTACCTGGTCATGTTTCTCCACTTGTCCTTCAGATCCACCTGCTCAATGGGTCAAGGGGAGGCATGCTGAGAGATAGCGCAGGCAGGGACCGAAGAAAAGAAGCTTTCCATTCCCCTGTCGAGGGACAGAATATGTTCATCTCTACCTCCGTCCTCTCCTCGAACGCTTCACGGTGGGAATGCAGGATGATCTTCCAGTTCCCCTTGCCGTGCCTGCAGGGAGGGGGGCAAGAAATCTGATAAAAAACAGGCACCCCAACCCATCCATCCCATCACACCACAGGACTCGACAATAATCAACCCGGAAAAAATTAAAAAAAAAGAACTTTAATCGATTCAGTAGTGTCCGAATGAACTTTTTGTCAGATTCCGCTTATTTTCTCGCAGAGAAAGAGGCACACATACTTCTTGACGGCTTCTCTGAGGGCATCCTCTTCCTGCGGTGTCCACCTCTTGATCTTCCTCGTTCGGACAAATTTTGCGATTTCTTGCAACCTCAGAGAGGGCACTCTGCGCCTCCTTGGTGTGGCCAAGTGAGCTCCTCTGGAACAGCTTGAGGACTTACCAGACGGGGACTGGACAGCATTTTCGTCCTCCTGCACACGACAGAATGCTGCATCTAATGAGAATCAGGGTCACCACGCAATCCAACGGGCATGGATCAAAGTCAACTTCGTTTCTGGACTTCAGCTTAGATCTCTGCCTTCACTGGACAACTTGACTCTTCGTTTAGAATGAATAAGACAGAAATAATCTCCCAGAAGAGCCTTCCATTGTGGGAGCAGACAGACAGCAGTAGGCAGTGGGATTGCCACGACTGATCCCTGCTTGAGAGCCTGATCTGAGAGGATGAAAATCCCGCTGAAAGGTCTATTTCTTCCGTAATTTAAAGTGCCATCAGTTTAAGCAATTAAAATTTCCAACACAATCAACTTTATCGCATTTATGAGAGTGCAACAGCAGAGACCATCACCTCAAAAGTCAGCGCAGCTGGCTTTGGAAGATCGGACTGCGGCAATAGTCCAGGGCGCAGGGTGTCGCTATGATCCTCGTCTTCAGGTCCCCGAAGAATAGTGGCTCGGATATTTTTGTCAACGAAAAGCCCTTCCTCACCCTCATCCATCTGGTTTCGGTCGCGCACTGTGCCAATCGGACTACCCGACTCATCCATCTTGCCAATATCAGGGACGTGAGAAGTCCCTTCCAGAGCGTCTGCAAAGGGACCTACCGCCACCTTCAGCAGAGTATCCGCGCCGCAAGCCCTTCGAGCTTCCTTTGTTTTCGTAACTTCCGGGGAGGACACCAGACCCAGCTCCTTGGACCTATGATCCTCATCCATGGACGCGTCCGGAGACGCTTGCTCAGCTAACGCAGCTGTTCTTTCAGTCTCCGCTGCAAAAAAGAGATGGTGAACCAGTTAAACTCCCACGCTGCATGAACTTGAGAATTCGGCGTCAAGATTGCCAGAGAGACGAGCAGCATCGATAAGAGCTCGTCGAGGGAGCATGACTGACCTGTTTTCGGAGTTACAAGGTCAGGTTGACCTGATTGGGCCAATTCCTCCGCGTGAGAACCACCGGAAGTAGATTGCTCCAAGGATTCTTTAGAAGGCTCTACATCGAGCCCCCCGCCACTAATCTCGACAGGTTCGTCCCCACCTCTGGCATCAGATGGCCCCTCATCAAGACTTTGTTCCTTTCTCTCGACGGCCTCCTGGCAGACTCCAGAATTAGACGGCTTCGCATCAACGGCTTCTTCTTCTTCTTCTTCTTCTTCTTCGTCGTCGATCACTGCCCTCGCCACGAGTTCCAGCAGCTGAGGGCCCATTTCCTTCAGCGCCACCCTAAGGTACTCCCTCAGAGACGCGGCCGCTTCCCATCCAGTGTTCCACCGCAGTAATCGCTCCCGCGCCGCCGCACTCCCCAGCGCCTCCTTGATCGCCGTCCGCCACCGCATCAAGCCTTCGCCCACTAAACCCCTCGCCACAGACCGCTCGACGTCCACCACCCGGCAGTTCCAGATCCTGTTCACGGCTTCGAAGAAGTCTGCCTCGGCACTCACCTTGCTACGCGGGTCTCTGAGGGGAGACAACGTCAACTCGGCGGCCACCGCGCAGTAGGCGGCGACCAGAGCCTTCGGTGGGCTCGCGGCGCCGAGAGAGCGGTCGAGCTCCTCGAGGAGCTCGAGGGAGCGGAGGGTGTCCTCGGAGAGGCGGTCGGAGGAGACGTCGAAGGAGAGGCGGCGGAGGAGGAGGGCCTTCTTGAGGCGCGGGTCGAGGAGTTGGGGGTTCGGGAGGCAGAGAAGGATCTCCTTCGCGAGCCACTCCTCGATGGGATGCTCGAGGAGGAAACCCCGGACCCAAGATACCTCGCGGGGGTCCATCGCTCCTCCTCGACACCTCGTAGAAACCCTAGCCGGGCTTCTCCGAGGAACAGGGGGATATGGAGGGAAGATGGCCGACGAAGAAGAGTGAATCCCCCCCTAGAATGCTCTCTCCCGGCAGGAAGCTAATAATGGGCCTGAATAGCATCAAGATGGGCCGGTCCGAATCCGACCCGATAGCAGACGCTTCTAGGATCCCGCCACCTTGGGACGACTTGACCAAGCGGGCGTCCTCTCTCTCTCTCTCTCTCTCTTCTCACCCGCCCCTCTGTAAGTCGAGTCATCGCTTGATATCGATCCTCTTCATCCACCTAATCCCCCCTCTCTCTCTGTTAATCTATCTCCAGGTCAATCTATCTCTCTATCTCTCTCCCGACGCTTGCACGGGCCGTCGTCTTTATGTTGACAGAGCTCGTCGGGGGAGGAGGGAGAGAAAGCAACGCATGCCGTGACCTCCCCCACAAGCCAAGTGTGCCCTCCGCGGGAGAGGGAGAGGGAGAAGGAGGGCTCTGCATCTTCCTCAAGTCATCTACGGAGGAGACGAGCCGACGGAGTGGGTGACACCGAAAGGCCGATACCCTAAGCAACCGTAGCCATTTAATACCCTGCGATGCTTCATTATCTGGTACAAGCAAACGACCTCAATTCAATCCCTACGCTTGCGCTCTCACGCTTTACGCACGCTCTCTCTCTCTCTCTCTCTCTCTCCCTGTACCAATATAAACCTCCTCCAGCAGTGGAGTTCTTCTAGCCTGCTTCCTCTCTGGCTGAGCTTGGTGATTCATCTCCTTTCTCCCAGGCTAGCAATGGCATCTCCCGCTGGAGTTAGCATGAAGGTTAAGGGTCGCCATGTACGTAGCTCCGCCTCTCTTTCTCTGTCATTCCTTCCGTATGAGATATGCGAGTTTAGTCCCGCAGAGATATGAGAGGTCTCCTGTTGCAGGTGGTGCTGGACAATGGAATCGTCCGAGTCACTCTGACGAACCCTGGGGGAATGATCACCGGCATCAGCTTCAACGGCTTGAATAACTTGATGGAGGTCCTCAACGACGAATCTGATCGAGGGTGCCCCTCTCCTCTCTCTCTCTCCCTCTCTCTCTCTCTCTCTCGCTTCCCATTTCTTGAACCGGGCTGACTTACCATCATCTGCATATGCATGTATACCTCGCGTTCTACAGGTACTGGAGCACCAACTGGAGTGAGCCTGGTGGATCAGGACATTTTGACAGGTGAGTCGACCTCACCCTTCTCTCTCTCTCTCGGTCTCTCTCTGCGTGCCTGCATGCATGTACCGCTGTTCACGCATGCATGAAGTGCATCGGCCTCTTTGTTCTGACCAGTGACTCAGAAAGATCACGGGGCGAGGAATTCGTTTTGCAGGATACAAGGAACGGATTTCCGGGTCATCGTGGAGAACGAAGAACAGGTGGAGCTTTCTTTCTCCAGAAGCTGGAACCCATCCCTCAGGGGAACCACCGTCATCCCCTTGAGCATCGACCGGAGGTGCGCCAACACAGAGAACTCTCACTTGGCTCCCATTTCTCGCCAGCCCTTCTGACCAGATTCGACTCGCCCCGCGCAGGATCGTCATGTTCCGCGGCCTCTCGGGATTCTACAACTACGCCATCTTCGAGCTCGCGGAAGACTGGCCGGACTTCGATTTGGCCGAGGCCAGAGCAGTCTTCAAGCTCCGTAAGGACAAGTGAGCCACGCCCGCCGCTACATCCATAAATGATAAGGGGTCGTCGACCTGGTTTAGGAGTGAGCTTTGTACAGGTTTCACTACATGGCGATGGCGGATAACAGGCAGAGGATCATGCCCATGCCCGAGGACCGTCTTCCTCCTCGAGGCCGGGCACTGGCCTACCCCGAGGCCGTGAGGCTGGACGACCCGATCGACTCGGATCTCAGAGGAGAGGTAAGGATCAGAGAGAGAGAGAGGAGGAGGAGGAGGAGGTTTCCTCCGCCGCCGTCTGACGAGCTCCGGTCAGCAGGTGGACGACAAGTACCAGTACTCGTGCGAGAACAAGGACAACAGGGTCCACGGCTGGATCTGCGCTGACCCCCAGACGGGCTTCTGGCAGATCACTCCCAGCAATGAGTTCCGCACGGGCGGCCCGCTGAAGCAGGACCTCACCTCCCACGTCGGCCCCATCAACCTCGCTGTGAGTCAACTCTCCCCCTACCCCCGCGCTCGTTCCGGACGTTGACCCCTCTCCATCCCCCGAGAGCAGATGTTCGTCAGCACCCACTACGCGGGGGGGGACCTAGAGCTCAAGTTCAGGGAGGGAGAGCTCTGGAAGAAGGTCTTCGGGCCCGTCTTCATCTATCTCAACTCCACCCCGCGAAGAGGCACCGATCCCCTCTACCTCTGGGAGGACGCCAAGTCCCAGGTTCCACGCTAATTAGCTAACCAGAGCATGCTACTTATTATACAGACAGGCCTGCGCACACGAATTTGTTCATATCCATCTCGCATGACTACGTGATGCAGGCGCAGGTTGAAGAAGAGAGCTGGCCCTACAGCTTCCCTGCTTCAGAGGACTTCCACAAGCGTGAAGAACGGGGTTCTGTGGGCGGCAGGCTCTTGGTCAGGGACAGGTGAAGTGACGTCTTCAGAAAACCCCGTCTTCAGGTTCAGTTATGTATGAACTGCTTGGTTTGCCCTGTCTTCAGTTTTCTCGACGACGTTGACGTGGCCGCGAACTCCGCTCACATTGGTCTGGCTCCGCCCGGGGAAGCCGGTTCGTGGCAAAGGGAGAGCAAGGTCTGCCTGGTTCCCAGAGGCATTCATTCCATGCCCTCCCCCATCTCTCTCTCTCTCTCGCTCTCTCTTTCTATATACATATACGAATAGTGACAGTGCACTCGTTGTCCTCGCAGGGATACCAGTTCTGGGCGAGAACGGGAATCGACGGGTATTTCACCATTGGCGACGTGAGAGCTGGAGAGTACGGCCTCTACGCTTGGGTTCCGGGCGTCCTGGGGGACTTCAAACTTGCTGAAACCGTCACCATCACCGCCAGTGAGTGAGCCTTCCTGCTCGCGAGTTCAGACTCTCCTTCCGACGATCTAACGGAGGCCCGCGAGCTCTGCAGGGGGCCATGTCGAAGTGGGAGACGTCGTGTTCGAGCCGCCGAGAGACGGCCCGACGTTGTGGGAGATCGGCGTTCCAGACCGCTCTGCGGCGGAGTTCTCCGTCCCGGACCCGAACCCCAGCTACGTCAACAAGCTGTACGCTGGTCATCCCGACAGGTGAAGGAAGAGACGCCACTCGGAAGCACCTTGTGCAGCCAAAGAGCGAGCCTCACGCGGCCATCGGATCTCGACAGGTTTCGACAGTACGGGCTGTGGGAGAGATACGCCGAGCTGTACCCGGAAGGCGATCTGGTTTACAGGGTCGGGGCAAGCGACTACACCAAGGACTGGTTTTACGCGCACGTCACACGGTACTGCTGGCTCTCATCTTCATCTTCTTCCGTCTTACTTCCCAAGCAAGCTCAGGGAGACCCCCCCCCCCCCCCCGTTATTGTCTCCGCCTGATCGACCCAGGAAAACTGGTGATGGATACAAGTCAACGACCTGGCAGATCAAGTTTACGATGGACCGTGGAGCCGCCCAGCCTGGCGGGGGCGGGCCTTACAAGCTCCGGATTGCTCTCGCGTCGGCGAAGAGCGCGGAACTACAGGTAGGCCCGCGAGCTGAGAACTCTCCGTCGCCATCCCCAGCAATCAGCCGCATACTTGCTTTGCCCGCCTGCATGATGATGACCAGTCGACCGATGGTGGTTCTTGTTCCTGAGCGGGGCCGTAGGTGAGGGTGAACGACCCAGAGGCGTCGCCGCCGCACTTCACGACGGGGGTGATCGGGGGTGACAACTCGATCGCGAGGCACGGCATCCACGGGCTCTACTGGCTGTTCAACGTGAACGTGGAGAGGGAATGGCTGGTGGAGGGCGAGAACACCGTCTTCCTCACCCAGGCCCGGGCCTCCTCCCCCTTCCAGGGCCTCATGTATGACTACCTCCGCCTGGAGGCGCCCTCCTCCCCCTCCCCCTCCCCCTCCCCCTCTCTCTGACGCTGTTCAACATGCCGTCGTCATTCTTCTGATTTTTATTCCAAGTTATTCTTGCTAGTACGTATAGCGACGCACCTTCTCGCATGCGTACTGGTTGCCCCGCTGTGGCGGCCCTCTCTCTCTCTCTCTCTCTCTCTCTCTCTCTATCGATTCATATATATATATAGTCCCAGGACTCCGCAGCCTGGGTAAAGCCCTACTTTCGCCGCCCCGAACTCCGGTGGAACCCTTACTGACAAAGGTCACGGGGCCCATGTCCCTTACGTTTGCCCCGGTTGGGAGGTCGTCGGGCTAGGGTTTTGGTTGGGGTAGGGGGGGTATGGAGGGAGCCATGTACGATGACGACGAGAGGAAGCTCGAGGAGCAGATGCAGCTGCAACTGCAGCAGCACTTGCAGGTGATGCAGCAGCTGCCGGGGCGGGTGGAGGAGGGCGACGGCGCCATGATGGGGGATGCCTTGGTCGGCGAGGGCATGGTCCTGCGGGGCGTGGAGGACGACGACTCCTCTCTGCCGGTGGACGCGGGTGGCGTGGGGATGTCGCGCCCAAACCAACTTACCCTCTCTTTCCAGGGCCAGGTCTATGTGTTTGATTCCGTTGCCACCGACAAGGTCCAGGGAATATCTTCTTCTTCTTCTTCTTCTCTTCCTCTTTCTCGTTCTATCTCTTAGATTAATGCCTGCTGTGCCCTGTCGCTACCAATTGGCGAAGCATGTGAAAGCAATGCCGCGACTAATGCCTTTCTTTTAGCCTACGGACCGGTAGGAGCCCTGGTTTGGAGCGTTGTCGTTCAAGCAATTTCTTGCTCGTGGAAAACTGGGCATGCTCATCACGTTCTTCTGTTATTGGGCTCTGTGTTATGTTTTCCGGTCTCCTATCTTCTTTATTTTCTATGGGTTACGGCAAGGAGGTCCTTGGGCAAAGTGTTGGAACCATTCTTGGAGATGCGTGGTTAGGCGCTCCTCGTGCACGATGAAGAATGAGTCTAAACGCTTTCCATCGAGGGCACTCGGTGTTCGGTCTGTAGATGGAAGCCATTTGCTGTTTCGTTTGTGCTCGACCATGATGCCCTCTCTACATTAAAGGAATCGTTGGATTTTTGGAAAATGTTATCGGGCCACATATCCAGCCACCTGAATGGCAAATTTTTCCGGCGACCAGTTTTTCTTCCACAATTAATTGGGGATGTTATCGTTATTTTTGCCAAAAAATGAAATAGCCTTCTGTCAAATAGAATGGAGGAATAGGGTGATTTGGTGTTGCATCCATTTTTCTTTTATTTATTTATTTAGCTTCGTTCTTGGTTATCTTAGTCAATGACCACCTTTCTTATAAAAGCACATCAATGAAAAGAGAAAAAAAAGCGCGATTTCTTTCTAATTTGTGCTATTACAAAGTATGGAAAGCATGATGGGTTTGAATGATATCATGTCTGTCTGGTTCCTACGACTTTCCGCCCTTGTATAACTGTGACGCTTTCCTTATCAGAATGAGAAGCTTCTACGTGGATATCTGTTTTTTTCCGCTGGATGCTTGCTGCTTCTAATTCCATGCATCAATGGATCAGCTGAATTTTGTGTGCATCCTGCTCTTTGCAGGTACAAGCAGTGCTATTGCTGCTGGGAGCGCAAGAGCTGCCTCCCGAAATCGCCAGCATGGCCGATCCTTCACGTCAGAATAATAGAGTATGTTTTTCTCATGATAAGATTATTTTCACTGTAGCATGTGAACATGACCTCATTAATCTCCCCATTTTCAGGAGTCTAATGGTTTTGCGCAATCTACAAACAGCTATCAGAGACAGGCTTCTTTAATGAGATTTAAGGAGAAGAGGAAAGAACGATGCTTTGACAAAAAGATACGTTACCATGTACGTAAAGAGGTCGCCCAAAGGTATTACTCGTTTCTCTGTGTATTCATTTTACAGTTTCTTGCACAAATGGTTCCTGTAAGGACTAGTTAATTTTTTCCAATGGTTCTGGTGGTACTCTCTGTAAAGATATGTAGCTTAGCCAAACTTCACTGTGATAAATGCTTCCTATTGAAACGTTTTTATTTTTTAATAAAATTATGCCAATTAATTCCTTGTTTTAGAGTATTTCTAGCCTGTGTTTTAGAGTCCGAACTTCCATCTGCGCCATTTCCTTGTTGCACGTCAGAAATTTCCATTGATGAGCGGCTTTTGTAATTTATAAGCTGTGATGCCAAACGAGATTGTCTGGTTCGAGTAAAAGAAACGGTCCATAGTTCCTCCTCTACATGTTTGTCTGATTCTGACCAACGGCATGCCACCGAATTTCCGTTTTTAATCTGTGTGATTTCGTAAAAGCATCATTTTACACAGACGTAATCACTCTCTGAACAAGGGATAGGCCTAAAGAGGATATGCCTTCAACCTCGATACACGTTTCTGTTCTCTGTTGCTCTGGCTTTGTATTATTATTATTTTTTTTTGGTATGTTGATGGGGTTTGTGCGAAAGGAATTCGACTCCTTATCATACGCTAGATTTAGTTTTGTCTCTTCCATGTGAAGCTGTTATATCAATGTTGGGCAAGGCCTGTTCTTAATACTGAATGTGCTCTGAAGATCAGAGCATCAAGATGGGCTCTTTATATATTTTCAATTGTTCAGTTCTTATGGGTCGGTACTGATCATATTTGATTATTTCGTGCATTCATTCAAAGATGGTGATGCAAATTGTGTCTGGTGCTTCTTAGAAGAAGCTTGTTCTTTCACGCAGGGTCTGTGGGGTGATGGAAAACGGGCATTCATTCAGAAACAGCCAGGATATGGAATGCCATAAGTGAACAGTGAAAGTCGCAACATTTAGCCTGGAATCCCGACTGTTTTTTTTTTACGCAGTCTCGCCTCCATGATTACTTTGTGATTTCTTGGAAAGCGTGTTATTCCTCATAGTATTTCTTCCGATACCATGTTTGTTCAAAATGCTGTAAAATTTCACTGAGGTTCCCTCTCTTGGGGAGTAAGATTTTTGAATTGTTATGATTCCATATTCTCTAAGGCTGTGAAGAGGGTTGCGTAGTTTTATAGCCTCACGTAGCATTATACCCTGGTAATGATTTATGGACTCATCATTCGCAATTGCGAGCTTTTGCAAATGCGTGGGTGCATTCTTCAGTGCTTTAATATACCTCAGTGAACGCTCAGACGCATCAAAAATGTGTTTTTGGTGTTCTATTTCTTTTATTATCATGGGGACCTTTTTCCTGTATTAGCATTTCTCGAGTGTAAGTTTTTATCTAAGAACCATTCATGCAGAATCTTCCATGTGCTTCTACTCGAGTATGAGGAATGGAAAAAAGGAGGATTGTGTCACTAGAGTTTTCGTAATCGGAACGGTGTTCACGCTTCAGCCTTTCATGCTTTGTGTTATTGGTGCCCACCGACCTATTATAAATTGGAATGCACTTGATGGGAAGGTTGTGCTGCTGTCCGATGAGTATTTGTTCTTCCTTCTGTGTATGATTGTTGACGCCCAGTCCCAGTATGTCTTATTTCACAATGTTATGGCCGTTGGCAAAGTTAGATTCTCACTTGCGATAAACTATGAGCAATATTGTCCCACTTGTGCTACCCATCGTAGTTGGCTTTGTAGAAATCTTTCATGGGAAAGGTGGGCGACTAGCATCGTTATCGTTCTTGAAGGTGATTGGTCAAGAGGCGGAGATGAAATGGGCATCTCTGTTCGGCATGGGTTTTTCGTTTGCTCGGATTGACTCAGCGCCTGCACCGGCCGCAAGCTGTTCCGATTGATTTAACTCGTTGCCAGGATTGGAATTACAGGATGCAGCGGAAGAAAGGCCAGTTCATATCCTCTAAATTCAACCCGGAGGATGCCGCGTCGGCTTCCCTGGGCTCCGATCTCGCGCAGGGGGCCTGCCTGGAGGAGGCCCACCAGAAGACTTTGTAAGCTCCCTCCCCCCCTGCCTCCAGGTCGCCAATCTCTCTTGAGTGCTTATCTATCTCCCTTCTGACTCTCTCGGTGTTCCCTGCAGTTGCCAGCACTGCGGGTGCAGCCAGGCGTCCACACCCATGATGCGTCGGGGCCCAGGAGGTCCAAAGACCTTATGCAATGCGTGCGGGCTCATGTGGGCGAACAAGGTCTGTACATCCTCTCGGAGCAGGAGTTTAGATCCTCTCCGTGAATCCTTCTCCGTCACCTTTGGTATCGCAGAAACATGGAGAGTGGCTGACCCGATTCTCCGTGTCTCTCGCAGGGGACGCTGAGGGATCTCTCCCAGAGCTCCTCCGCAGCGGCGCCGCCGACCCAAGTCTTCAACGCAAACGATCCGGCGTAGTAGTTCTTCCCTCGACCTGCAAAGAGAAGCGAGGACAAGAAGCAGGGGTCCATCAAGTCTTCTCTTTTCCCCCGCCGCTCCTTCCTGTGGAGGAGCGGTGGGACGGTGAGTAGTAGAATCCTTGAGCGGGGGGCGGCTTTCACAGCCCGACGGCCGTGATTCGGGTTTGACCGCCGACCGGCTGACGACGCTCGAAGCCTTCCCTGAGATGATGGGTTTTGACCCCCGCGGCTCAGACTGGCTGATGGATGCTCTGACTCCCTCTCTCTCTCTCCCCCCCTCCCTCCCTCCCTCCAGCATCACGAGTGTTTTGGACTCGTGGGCCTTCCGTCTTCTAGACTAAAGGAATTCGGGATGTAAATTTCAAGGTCCGGAGTACGTTGATCCATTCGAAGAGGATAGCTTTAACCTCTCGTCATATATTCATATACAATCATCCTCATTCGTTCCGTGATCGGTGTGGGCTTGCCGCTTTCTCGCTCTTCCTCACTCCCCCCCCCTGCATGGCAAGCGCACGGGTCGAGAGATGATGAGAAGGATGACGAGGGCGAATGAGACGCTATGAGAAGATTCTCGCTCAGCCGCGCCAGCGGCGGCTTCCAACTAGGGACCACTGTCCCCCGCCCCCCGAGATGCCGCCGGGGGGCTCATGCAACCTCCTACGCTTCGCTGCTCCGGCGGTGCGCCGCCGAGAAGTCTCTGGAGGGAACGGGAGCCGTCCACGCCCACATGTGCCGGACGGGCTTCCCCTACCTCGGCCTGGGCAACAAGCTCCTGGACGCCTATCTCAAGTCCGGGTCCCTCCACCACGCACAAAAGATGTTCGACGAAATGCCCGCCAGGCACATCGTCTCCTGGAACGCCATGGTGTCCTCCTACGTTCGCCGGGGGAGGAACCCGGAGGCCATCGCCCTGTACCGGCGGATGCCTCTGGAGGGCGTCTCGCCGGACGGTTTCACCTTCTCGAGCGTCTTGAAGGCCTTGGCCGAGGTGGGCTCGCTCAGGGGTGGCCAGGAAGCTCATGGCCACCTGGTGGTCTCCGGCTTCGGCGCCGGCAATCACCTCTTCATCTCTACCGCGCTGGTCAACATGTACGCCAAGTTTCGGAGGCTGGGGGAGGCTCGGCTGGTCTACGATCGTGCAGCCGAGAAAGACGTCGTCTTGGCGACGGCGTTGATCGTAGGCTGCACGCAGATAGGGGAGGACGCGGAAGCCGTCCGTGGGTTCGCCGACATGGTCAACGGCCGTATCGGGGCGAACGAGTTCACCTTCGCCAGTGTTCTCATCGCGTGCGGAAATCTCGGGGAGCTAGCGGTCGGCGCGACGATCCACAGCCTCATCGTCAAGTCGGGATTCGATGATCGTGAGAGTTCTTCCCAGACGTCCCTTCTCGTCATGTACTCGAGATGCTCGCTAATCGACGACGCTCTGAAAGTCTACTCTGAGATCGCCACCCCCAACCTCGTCGCAAGAACAGCGATCATGGGGGTATTGCTGTCGGGCCACCGGGAAGAGGAAGCCCTCTCCGCGTTCCGCACCGCGCTGCGCGACTCTATGCGCCCAAATGGGTTCATTCTCTCCACCGCCCTGCGAGCGTGCTCGAGCTTGGCGCTGCCCGATACCGGGAAGCAGGTCCACTCGCTCGCCGTCAAGAGCGACTTGAACAGGGACAGATTCGTGGGCGCCGCCCTCGTCGATCTCTACGGGAAATGCGGCGACGTGAAGACGGCGAGGTCCGTCTTCGACGGCCTGGCGAACCGCGACCTGGTCTCCGTCAACTCCATGATCGCCGCCTACGCCGCCAATGGCCGCGGCGGCGAAGCAGTGAGCCTGTTCAACGAGGCGACGACTTCGGGCCTGCCGCCGAGCGACGCGACTTACACCAGCGCTCTCTCCGCGTGCAGCGGCGCTGGCCTCCTAGAGGAAGGCCGCCGCATCTTCGCCTCCATCGGCCGAGACCGCGATAAGGGCCCGACCAGAGACCACGTCTCCTGCTACGTGGACCTGCTGGCTCGCGGGGGAAGACTCGTAGAAGCCGAGCGGCTGATAGCCACTTCCCAGGTCGAGAACCCAGACGCCGTCCTCTGGAGGACGCTACTCGGCGCCTGCAAGCTCCACGGGGAGGTGGAGATGGCGGAGAGGACGGCGAAGCGCATACTCGAGCTCAGCCCGGGAGACGACGGGACGCTCGTTCTCCTCCTGAACGTCTACGCGTCCGCAGGGCGATGGGAGGAGGTGGCGAAGATGAAGAGGGCGGCCAGGGAGATGCGGCTGAGGAAAGAACCCGCGGTGAGCTGGGTCGAGGTCGACAAGCGGGTGCACACCTTCACCGCCGGGGACCTGTCACACCCGCGAGCGGCGGAGATCTACGAGACCTTGGAGGTGTTGATGGAGAAGACGAAAGTGTTGGGCTACGTGCCGGACACGAGGTTCGTCCTGCAGGCTTTCGAGAGTGAGTCGGAGAGGGAGAGGTCCCTCTACTACCACAGCGAGAAGCTGGCCATCGCCTTTGCGGTGCTGAGCGGCGGCGAAGGCGGCGCCCCGATCATGATCCTGAAGAACCTCAGAGTCTGCGGGGACTGCCACGCTTGGATCAAGCTGGCGTCCAAGGTGCTCGGCAGGGGGGTAGCAGCCAGAGACGCAAAGAGGTTTCACCACTTCAGGGACGGGATGTGCTCCTGTGGCGACTACTGGTGATTGATCATCAACCACATCCCCTGCTCTCCCTTCCTCATTCTCTCGCTTTACACCACGAAATCGAGGCATAAATTTCATGGGCAACGGGCCATGAAATCAGTATCAGTACGACACTTGTTATGTATGAGACAGGAAATCCAGAGAGAGAGAGAGAGAGAGAGAGAGAAGGGGGGTCTAGTGAATGCCCATTATTTTTCACATTCATACCACATTAGAATTCACACCGTCAGGCCTTGGCTGACGTGATGATGTACATCGCCGGCAACTCCCCTCCAGACGGGCGAGCGTCTGGGCTCCCAGTCTCCTCTATCCTCCCGCTAGCGAGGTCAAATGATGAGTTAACTGTCGCAGAAGAAGCCCACTATGCCAGTGGACTTCCCTCCCCTCACAATCTCGTCTTCACGTCTTCGTCTATCAATTCCTCCTTCTGCAACTCGGCGGGGATCCCCTCCGCTGACCTGCACGCAGCACCAATCGCATCATCCGACGGCAGGGTCAATCGCATTTATTTAATCTACAAGCATCCTGCAGCCCGGCACTCACACGCCGGCGGTGGTCGCCATCGAGTTATGATCATTGGCCACGACGATGAGCGCCTTGTTATCACGACCCGTGCCCACGTCATTGCTCTCGCCGCCCTGCGGAAGGAGCTCGGTCGATCACGGAAATAGCCACAGATCGATCAACCCCAGATGAAGTAGTAAGGCGCCACAGTACCACCAAGAGGAGGGAGGGAGGGGCGACATACCTGTTCGACCGACAGCGCTGAACTCTGGGCTGCCGTCTTACTGGCCCGCATAGGACTCCGCAGAGTGCCCTGAAAAATTCATCAGCCGGGTGAAATCTATGGAGCTCGACCCGACAGGGTTTTGACTACGATCGGCGATCACTCATAATATTGCCGACATGAGGGGCAGAATTAATGGAGAGGCCGGTCCAAGTCAACGGGTAAAGATGAATCGAGAAGGAGCTACCTGGGAAATGGACTAGACACCAATAATCTCACATCATAGTTTCATCACTTGGTCAAAAAAAGAGTATGTCACCGTCGAGCTCTCTACATATATCTCATTGAAGAAGACCAGATGAACAGTTTTTTCAGTTTTAGGAAAGTATGGGACGTCTCAAGGACTAAACAAAAAGAAACATTACTTGTCAGCAAGAGTATTCTCACAATCACTTCAGACCGAAATATTGGAGGCAATTCTTGGGAAAAGAATGACGGCCTCTCCTATTCAGGAAAAGGATCCTGAGGGTGGGTCAACGGTTCCAGCCCGAGTATTCATTATATCACTTTGACTGTCGGGAGAACTAAACCCAAGAGAAAAACATGGGTGATTGAAGAATTGACTTTGATGGCACTGGGATCTGGGTGTGCACTGCGACAGCACATACCAACCTTATTAGCCCACATCAATCCACACGCATTACACAACGACCGAGGCCCTGCAGGTCCACGGCGCATCGCAGGCGTTGCTTTCTCACTGATGCCGCAGTTCTGACATCTGCATTAATTAAAGAATAATTATCAAGGACACAAGGCAAAGGAAAAATTCCAAACGTTCAAAGTGTGATAAATTAGGACAGCCTTGAGAATGATGACGAGAGCGAGAGAGAGAGAGAGAGAGAGAGAGAGAGAGCGCAAGAGACTTTGTTTCTCGAAGAGCCTCGCTGTTTGAGCTCTGAGCAGGATCAGAACTAGAAGAAGCTGCTGTTCCCTCCTGAGGATTCGCCTTCCCAGCAAACTGTCCCTTCCTACGCTGCATCCTAAAAGTCACGTATATATTAAAAGTAACAGTGACTGTAACAGCATGAAATAATGAGATAATGTACAACAACAAATTATTTCCTTTAGCGAGGATTGTATACAGAAAAATAGAAACGAACACAAGGAACAATTGATAAGGGTTCAAGCTGGCATTTCAATTCCTTCTTCTCGACTGGTTTTCCACCAGTCTACTTGCATTTTTATCACGTACTACTTTCCTGTCCCATTCTCAAGAAGAGAATTCAAATGAATAACCAGAAAATCGCTGATATTTCAGGAAAAATGCTTTCATCCAGACAGTTGTTTTCGTATCCCGTTCAGCAGACATTTGAAATGAACTAAAAATTAATTTGCACCAGTTATCCTGATGGCGGCCTTGCAAGAATACCAGGTGAAGAAACATCGATTTCCAATCAAAATTCCAACCTTCTACCATTGGCAAGGAAAAGAAAAAAAAAAAAAAACACGCCGTGCCCACGACCAGTGATACACTTTAGTGAAGAGAAAAGGTAATAAGCATTGGTTAAGTGTCCTATATTACATGGTAATATTTGAATATATATATATATATATATATATATATATATATATATATATATATAGAAGTATCTACATTCAAGCGAGAAACACGGGCCAATTTAGGCTCACATCGTTCTTGATCTTTGTATATACTCTTAACACTAACCATACTTCAGAAGAAATCAAACTTTAGTTATGAACAACATACAGAGTAAACTTGATCACAGAATAAGGGATCGGAGCGGCTGGAAGAGAAGCAGAAAGGATCAGAAAAATGCCGTTGGTATTCAGCGTGTAAACTCACAGTTGCATCGTAAAGTGTATCATGGTTCTACTGTTATACAGTTTTTTTTTCTTCTTCTTTGAAAATGCAATCGCACAACATTACTATCATCTGATACAGACGTGGTAACTCATGGTGGATGTTTGAATGTGATTCTAGCAAACTAAATTACATAGCCATGAAACTTGAAGCTGTCACTGACCAAAATATTACCTGAGAGCCACTTCCTTTCGGACATTATATCGAATTTTCTTATCAAAACACCGCTCCTTTCTCTTCTCACGGAACCTAATCAACGAAGCAACGCGTTTTGCTGGAATATTTGTGCGTCGCAAGATATCATCCAATCCCTACTGACCGACAAACGAAACTTATAAGAGACAGAGCAAGTCTAGAGCTGCCAAGACAAACCCTGTTACTTTGAATGTAATACCCTGTTTTCCGGCTGACATTGGAGCGCCATGGTGCCTCCAGTTGTTGGGACTTCACATCCTCCCAAAAGCAACATTACGGCTTGCACCTAAATCACGCACGTGTTAAAAGATGATGGATAGCATCGTGGAATTATGCCGGGGTTGACTTTTTAGGAAGGTATATCTAGATGAGAAAGAGAGGTAAACATCGCACAAAGAGTAGAAATGAAAAAAATTAACCAGCATAAGCGACAAACTGCAAGAAGATAAAATTTATTAAAATATTATATTTTACCCTTTTCTTTTAATACTTTTAAGTCAGGTTTTTCTTTTTTGCGATGGGCAAACCTGTCATGTCCTAGATATAACCACACCCACGATCTACCCACAAAATTGCAACCCTAAGCTAGTTCGAACACAGTGTTTCCATATCATCAGAGGTTGCGAGTTACAATTTTAAACCAAAGCTATACAAAATTGCAACGGAGGTGTTGAAAAGGTGGAAAGGGATTGGACATAAATAAACCAGAACTCTAATCTCGCTGCATCATGATCCACACCAACATTCTGGAAGGCGCAATAGTCAACATTTCTTCAACGAGAAACTTCATAGGATCCCCGAGTAAATCCGTATCTTGGTCGTCGATTCATTTCGCCATACTGAACCATGTCAGCTCTAGCTATCTTAGATATATTTCAATTTATTCTGGCAACATATGGTGAGCAAGCAAACTGTTGGCGCAACCGAATGGGAATGACAACGGAAAGGGGTGAGTGGGTTTTTCCCAAAGTCAATAGCAAGAGAGTTGTCCAAAGTTCATCGATCGAATCAACCCAGATGATGCAGGGATTGGTTCTGTATTGCAGTGGATACTTCACCTACCAATAGTCGTAAAAATAATGCAGCGACAAAAGGAATGGTAATCCGAAACAGGATTTTCAAAAGGGATTATATTTCCATAAAAATTGGAGCGAAAAGATTTACCAAAACAAAGAGGCCCGAAGCTCTGATCTCTCGAAGCAGCATAAGATGACGGCCCCAGAAGCAGAGAGCTCATTTGGCGATTTTTAGGTACACATCGAGCATAACCACGTGCTCTTATTTGACATTTACACTCAAAAATCGAACATTTTCGGAAAGCAACCAAGAAAACCACGAAATAGGGGAGGAGGAAGAATTTTTTAACAATAGCCGTTAGCGTTGTAGAGATGCTCAAGAACAGTAACAGGAGGCCACTGAGTGAACCAACCTTCTCAGGCGTGACCGAATCGAAGACGTAGGCCTCCCCCTGGAACAATAGCGTGAGCTGGTTCGAGGTTTGGCTTGTCAGAGGCATGGAGGCGTCCACCGCGTCCGCATAGTGCTCATGGTCCTGCGGCACCTCCACCATCACACCGTCCATCTTATCCCCGCTACCCCAGCCACCCGCCACGGCGTCCTCCATCACACCGCCCCCATCACCGTCGTCGATCCGGATAGGTATGCTCTTCGCTCGCTGCTCCACGCCGCCGACCCCCGCCTCGTGGCCGTACATTGGCTGCGGGTGCTCCTGATGGCTCGCCTCGGACATCTCCACGTCTAAACAGACCACCGGTCGATGGGAATCCTTCGCGCGCAGCGGAACGCCAAAGCTAACCCTAGGCTCATTATGCCACGGACCCTCAGGACCTCATAAACCCCAACGAGCTCGGAAACCTGCAAACCCCCTCGCCGGACCCAGATCAGCTGCCAAGGGGAACGGGCACGGGGAAGGGTAGAAGAAGGACAGAGCCCAGGACAAAACCCTAACCCTAGCAGGGAGAACGGATTTGGGAATCTCCCCTGCGAATCCCCTCCACACTCGCCGAGAGGCGGGCGAGCAGGCCGGCGAAAATTTCCTCCTTTTAAAAAAAAGTTTCCGTCTTTCTTCCTTCTTTTTTCTTTTTTTTCGTTTTTTTCAAAGGCAAGTGCGCGGATTTTCCAGGTCGATTGATCGGGATAAAGGAGCCAGGATGACATGTAACTGGGGCCCGTCCATCACGAGCCGTCCATCGATTACGACCGTCCGATGGAGAGGCCTCCGAGAGTGGTCCCGCGGATTCTATCAGATACGTGGATGTGCTTTTTGCCGTCCGATCGCCATCCGAGGGGCTGGAATGGCCATTTCGTGTCCTCCGTCCCCAGGTGGTCCCATCAAAGTCCGAAAATATGGATAATTAGAATCAGCTGGAACGTGACGTGGCGATCCAGCGTCGGATCCGATCACCGACTGCCCGCCTGCATCAGATAAGTGGCGGTCCCCCCCAAATCCAGTTCCCATCTCGAGGACTCTCCCATCGGACGGCGTAGATTCGTGGCTTCTGGGGGCCATCCTCGTGGGGCCCACTTGAAACTTCCAAAACAATCTTCCATTAAGAGAGGGCCCCGTCCTTGCTATCGGGCCAGCCCGTTATTAAATATCGGCCCATCATATAACCTGATGAATTATTCTGCAACGAACTCCCTTGCGAGTATTTCCGGGGCTCAGAGGACGAGCAACGGCGGCACCGCCAACGGCGAGCGAGCGAGGTGATGATGAGCCCGCGCTGACCTTTCCATTTATGGCCTTTCTTGTTCGAGATTTTTGATTATTCTAATTTCCGGCACTCCGGGGACTGGCTGCTTTTCTTCAATTTCGGACGAATACAGAGGGCTAAATCCAGTCGCGACGAGAAGAGCTTGCCGTCGAGTACAGACGATGATCATACTCTGACTTGGTTAGACCTAGTTTAGGTCACGCCAGATTGGCTGCGGCGTTGACTAGCGCTGATCCGCTTTGACTACGTATAAATTGATCGGGCAATGCTGCGCCGTCGTCACCTCCGAGTCCGGTAGCGTCCAATCTTCTAAGCCCTCGAGGGGAAGAAACCCTCGCATCATTAATCACACCGAAAAATCAGAAATAAGTTGGTCTCTTTCTGGATTTCGAGCAGTGGGCGGCCCCGTAAGAAACCGGTCCGCGTCTAGTTGATTGAGGTCCCTGTCGAAGCTTCAAAGAACCCTTCCCCCAAGTACATAGTCTGGCTTTTATGCGCCTAGGAGACAGAAGAGGACGCAGGCTTTCGTGCACCGGGAGAGGAGAAGCTCCTTGGGCGCAGCCCTTTGGCACCTGATCTTTGGCGCGTCAACTGCAGCCGGATTCCGCACCCATCTCTACCTCCGTCGTCGTCGTTGTCGTCCTCGTCGTCAATCACCCCAGCGACCGCCGCTGCTCCGGTTTGTCGACGAAAAAACGTTCACCTTTCTCTTCCCTCTGTCTGATCCTTTGGGGGTTACCCGATTAGCGTTGACACTTTTCTTCGCGCGGCGTTAGGGTTGGAGTTTTTCTTGGGGGCGTAGGGTATCGGTCGCTCCCCCCCCCTCCCCGTCGGTGATTGGCCTTTAAGGGAGCGCCCTCTTCGCCAGGCTCTTCTGTTTCGTGGGTCACGTCTGGTTTTCTTTGTTGAGATCTTCCTGATATCTCATCTCTAGTTTTCTTCGGCGATGTTGGGTATTCCTTGAAGTTCGGGGGTCTTGAGCGATTGGTCAATCGTCGATTTTCATTTGTGCCGCATCTTTTCTCCTGAACGTGTGAAATTGGAGAGTACGACTTTTGTTCTGCGTTTCGCGAACGTTTGTCCCTCTCTCTAGCCGATGAGAGGGACGACTCTCACTCGGAAGGGTTTCATCTGGCGGTCTCTGTAGCTGCTATTTGTCCTTTGATTGCTTTCCACGAGGATCGCGGTGCTGGAACCGGTTATGTGTTTCGCCATTGATTGACAATAGCTGTTGCTAAATTAATCCGGCCATTACGAGTGCATCGACATCTCTCTCTCTCTCTCTCTCTCTCTCTCTCTCTCTCTCTCTCTCTCTCTCTCTCTCTCTCTCTTTCTCTCTCATGCGAATGTGCATTCGATGTATGTTCGAGATTCTCTCATGCTGTCGACGTCTCCATCGTGCAGGTTATCCTGCTCCCCGTGCAGTTCCTCACGCTTCCGCAGTGTGCAGTCCTCAACCAGGTAACCAGACGTGTTCAATTTTTGCTAGCCGTCGGACTGGAATTTTTAACGGCATTTTTTGGAAGCCCTTTTATCATACATAAACGCAGGCCTTGCTTCTTTGGATTTCCGTTTCACCAATGGAATTCCTCGTTGCTTGCAAATTTGGTTGCTAGTTTTGGTTCTATAGTGTTCTTAGTACCACTGGATTGGTTTTATGTAAAGCCCCTAGTTTATTCTTTTCAATCAGGTTTCCCCTTCGAGGTTGATCATCCGACTGTGTTGATCTTTAGCATTTAGTTGGATAAGTGGCATTCCCCGAGAAGGATGTGTTCGATCCTTATTTCTCAGTCAACCAAACGATTGCTGGATCTGTACCTGGATTCCTAGAAGAACAACAGTTTGCCAAAGTTGAAGTAATGTTTTTAACGTGTTTGAAAGGCTTCCCCTCCAAGGGATATATGCTAGATGATGATCAGCATAATGACAAATATAAAAGAGGCGTGGACGGTTTTGTGGGTTATGTCAGAGAAATTATCAGATAAATTATGAATAAGAACAAGATGATGCCGTTGAGAAAAATGAAAGATCTTATTTATACCCTCTAGTTGTACAAGTACCCTTTGAGGAATCTTTGGGTTGCGTGTTTCTTTTAAGATTCAGATCTTAGATGAACACTGGATTTATTTTATGATTTTATTTGAACATTATTTTTTTCACTTTGACCATTTCGTGGGAACATGCAGTTCGTTTGCCAAATGACTGCTGCACGTATGAATAACATCCCGGACAGTTAAATGAAAATACAGTTCACAATAGTCTACTGGATTCTAGCACCATTTTGAAATGCTAGGTTTGATGTTTAATCAACCAAATCGCAATGGGTAATCACGATTGTTGCCAATTGGGTAATCTTTAGTGCCAATCTTACAGGAAAGTCTACCGGTGCATTGATTATATATTACAAGGCATGCATTTTTAGGAGAAATTAGATTTTCGGTTTTGGCGTGTACCATCCATCTACTGTGAAATCTTATTGGCGTGGAAAATTTCTCCAAAGGAGGAGAAGAAATTGCACGATCTTGATTGTTTTTTCCTTCATTTATTTATTTGTCTATTTTCCCCAAAATTGCAGTCTAGTATTGCTTAAGACTAAACTCCTGCTGATGTGGAAGGCCCCATTTATTGTTGTTGCATCTAATTTCTCTTAGCCTTTCCTCATATCTGTTCACCTTTGTCATACTTTAGATGCTCAGAATTAGATATCAATATGTTACCATTGAAGTACACCCTCCCCACATATGTTCTTGGCCTTGAGATGTTCCATGCAGAACAAAGAATATCAATGACTGGTGTACTTTAGCTCTTGTTTACACCATGATTAGGAAATTTTCTTTTACCAAGGGAGAATGCTTCTCTCTCGGTGAAATGATCACTCGATATGAGAGAGAGAGAGAGAGAGAGAGAGAGAGAGAGAGAGAGGGGGGGTGTCGGGTCTAAACTTACTTCTAAGAACCAGCATATCAACCATGGGAATGGAGCTTTTGAGGCTGTTTTATTTAGATGTAAATATTTTTATTTTAAAGCTACAAGGGTGAATTACTTTTGGGCCTTTCATTGAATTTGATGAACGAAATAGGCTTGTGCGAATCATAATTTTCATCGGAGTCTCGAGCCAGACTCAATTTTGTTCGTCTCAGGTAGGACCTTGCCCTCCTCTCCCGTGTTGCCATGATAGAGATGTGTGAAGGGACCACCCTCTTTGGGGGTTGCCATATTTGGTCTTTTGTTGTGATCATGCCTGTGAATATGCACGCTAACTTGTTCTTGCATCTCTAGGCTGTACTCATCTGACGGATTCCTCTTTACGTGATTGTTTCTAGCCATGTACGACAACCCTGGGACTCGACCCGGAATGCAAGGGATGCCGCCGCTGAACCCTCAGTCACAGCAGAACCCGTTTGGGAATGCGTTCTACACGGCAGGTCCGGGGTTAATTCGAACTGGGCTGGGGGCGTACGGTGAGAAATTCTTTGGATCGAGCTCCGAATTCATGCAAAGCAATGTACGGAATACACCCATGGTTTTGCCGTGCTTTCCTCAGATTGTTAAGACATACCAGTCTAGTTGGCATTCTTCAGAGCTTTGAACGTATGCCTGTTGTTCATCCCTACAGATCAGCAGATATTTCTCGAATCCTCAGTACTATTTTCAAGTGAACGACCAGTACGTGAAGAACAAGCTGAAGGTGGTCTTGTTTCCTTTCCTTCACAGGGTAATCTCTCCAACTCCAATGGCCAGTTTGTCCTTTTTTGTTGACACGAGTACCTCCTTTTAATCCATGGCTTAATGCCTCGGGACCCTTTCCTCCTCCAGGGGCATTGGACTAGGATAAGCGAGCCTGTTGCGGGTAGACTGTCGTACAAACCCCCTATCTACGATATCAATGCCCCAGATTTATACATACCTTTGATGTCCTTTGGGACCTATGTAGTTCTCGCAGGCTTCACACTGGGCCTTCTCGGAAAGTAAGCTGTTCATTGACCCACCCTGGATTTATCATCAGCATCATCAGCTTGCAGAATGTAATATTTGGGTATGTCCTGACCGTTTTCCGCTCTGGGTTTCCTTCAGGTTTAGCCCTGAAGCATTGAGCATGCAGTTCACCCGGGGTCTGATCGGCTGGGTGCTGCAGTTTGTGCTGCTGAAGGGGCTTCTGTACTCAATGGGCAGCGGGGAGGCGCCGCTGCTGGACATGTTCTCGTATGGCGGGTACGCCTTCACTGGCATATCCCTCGCCATCTTTGGGAGGATCCTGTGGCGCTATTCCTACTACTTCCTGATGCCCTGGATGTGCCTGTGTATGGGAGTCTTCCTGGTCAAGACCATGAAGAGGGTCCTCTTCACGGAGATGAGAACCTATGAGAAGCACTCAAGCCGGCACCACTACCTCCTCCTGTTAATGGCCGTCGCCCAGTTCCCTCTCTTCTTCTGGCTCGGCAGCATTGGGGGCGCCTAACCTGGGTCTCCCAGCTCTCATGCCCTATAAAGATGTTCTCTTCTTTTTTTCAACTGGGTAGTTCATGCCCTGGGTCTCACACTGTGTTCACTAACTCTAGGCAACTGTGTTCACTAACTCTAGGCAACTGTGTAGTTCAGCTGATAGCAGCTCTGCTCTGGTCATCATCTGTAAAGCCCCACACCTCTTGCATTTTCACTAAGAATTGTGCTGCGCCGTGGATGGTGGCTTGAGACAGAGAGAGCAGTGGCGTGAAAATGGTCGGAGAGTCGTGGCTTAGAGAGTCTGGTCTGGGGAGAGGCTCTCCATTAAAATGGATGCAGATTTCTCATTTTGAGGAGGGCTGCGTCGACGGCGATATACCACGGCAACCGGCTTCGATGGTTTTGGAGAGTCAGGGAGAGGGGGAAGACATATGGAATCTCAATACCGTTTTTGGGTTTGCAAAGGCGCTAAACTGCATCAGCTGAAAACACTGTTTGTCGTAAGAATGTCTTCAATCGTTCCTTCGTATCAGAACATCAGCTAAATTTCATGGACAGTAGGAAGAGAAAACCCGCAGCCCATATCTTCTGGAAGAGGTTTTTTTTTTTTAGTGGTAATTACAAAGAACGCATTTATGTGGCAATGAAGTCAGCTGTTCTAGCAATTGGATAGGCCATACTCAGACCTCTTCGTCTCCTATAAATACCTCCCGAGGCCCACCGATTGGGGTTGCTGCTTGGTTAGTCTTGCTTCCGAGCAGCCGCTTCAGCTGTAGCCGGATTCCCCGTCCGTCTCCCACCAGACGTCGTCCCTCTCTCCATCTGCAACCGCCCGCCATGCCCCGCCGGAGCTCTGGTCTGTTCTAAAGAAAAGGATTCCCCTTTGTGCTTTTTCGTCTTTTAGATCTTCCCCAGCGTTCTCTGCTTGACTGTGCATGTTTTCCCGGCGCGCCATTAGGGCTAAAGTTTGCTTCCTGGTGTGGGTATCATAGCTTCCCTTGCGAGGGGATGCTGCGCTGCGCCTTATTTTTCTCCTAGATGGTGGGTGACGTCTTAGGGCGTGTTCTCTTCTCCCGCCCGTTTTATTTCCTGGGTCTTCTGAGGTTCGTCCGGGATCTTTAGGGTTTCATCAAGGGTTGCCTCTCATTTCTCGCATCTCCGTCCGAACCTATGGAACGGGAGCAGAAGGACGCCTGCCCTGCGGTTTATTGTTCTTCCGTCTGGTAGCTCGAGCTGATTGAAATGCAACCGCTGAGATCATCAAGGGTTTCTTGCCATTGCCTGTGGACACTCTTTTTCTCTATGATTGCATCATTCTCGATTGCCGATCGTGGAGTCGATCATGTCCTTAGCTCATCATGAGATGATCTTTCTGATAACCGAGTGGCCCTTGCGGTGGGTGGCATGGGCGTCGATCTTTGAAAAAAATAAAAATAGTTGCACGATTAATCTGGCCATTTCCTGTCGGTGAATGAAAAATACATCAAAATTCTTTTTGTTTCTAGGGCTTGTGAATGTGCATGTGATGAATGTTTGAGAATCTCTAACGCTTGTCGAGGTCCTGATCCTGTAGGTCGCCCTGCTCCCCGTGCTGCTCCTCGCGCTGCCCCTGTGCGTTCCCCCTCGCAACCAGGTAAAAAGACGGTCGATTTTTATCCGCTGTCAGACTGGAACTTCTGATGATATTTGCGCATGAATTTCGGCGACGCGTTGGTCATCGTCACTTATTTCTCCGGGATTGTTTTGGTATCCTTAGACCGTCTGTAGAAGTTTCTTCCCATAGGGCAGCTCCATTGTCATTCCTCTGGTTCAGATCCATCATTTATGGATATTTATAAAGGTAGAGGATTGATAAACACCAAAGGATCTCCTCATAATAATCACTGGACGAGTTAAAAAGACTGAATCGACATTGCCACGCTAATCGTTTGCAAGAACACAGAATAGGCCTCGGCACAATGAGATGGGACTTGAGTGTCCTCATTGCTTTATATTTGATTGTGTGCGGCATTGTTTGCTGGTATCTCATCAATTTGGTGTGTTTTTTGCTTGTGTTTGCTTATTTTCTCCGTTTTCTGGTGTCCCATCTTTGACAGAATTATTACTTTCCTGTAATTATTTTTACTATTATTGCTTGCGCGGAGTTTTTAGTGCCTGACCTAACACCGGATTGGTTTTGGATTAGGGTGGTTATTTCTACTATTATTGTCTTCGTTACTGTTCCCATTCTCGGTTGGTCATCTAACTGTGTTGACTTTTAACACTGAACTAGTTGTGTGAGGACCCTTGAGAGAAATGTGTTTGATCCTTCTTTCTCTCTCTCACTCACTCACTCCATATAAATGTATGTACACAACTCCAATAGGTGCCTCTCACTGTGTCTCGCCCACCACACAGATAGATCCTCTAGATAGGCATCGATGTCTCTTCCTTGGTTCTGATGGCCTTCTCCAGTGTTGGATGAGAAGGGTTGATGGTGGTGACTGTTGTAAGTAAAAGCTTGCTTCTTTCGTTATATCCAAAATAAGCTATTGTTTTCTTAAACGTGTTGCAGTGAATCAAGCCCCTCCCCCGGCGTCTGTCCAGAGCCATGGCGGCGGCGGCAGCTCTATCCTTGGGGGCATCGGCTCTACCATCGCCCAAGGTTGGTGATGTTCATTCTGCATTTAGGTTGACTTGCAGGAAGTCAAACCACAATCCCTGTGAGAGATTGGGATTTATCCTGCTCACTTCCCTGAATGACTTTTAATTGTCAGGCATGGCGTTTGGGACCGGCAGTGCGATCGCTCACAGGGCTGTAGATTCCGTTATGGGCTCGCGCACTGTCCAGCACGAAACCGTGGCCTCTGAAGCTGGTGGTGCCGTCGCCCCAATGACTAATCCTGCCGGCGCCGACGCCTGCAGTATCCATTCCAGGGCCTTTCAAGACGTATGTGCATATGATTTCCCGTTGCTCGTTTTTATTCGCCTGGAATCATGGCGGCACTGGGTAGGCTACCCGCGCGTTCTTGGCTGACCATGGCGGTGTTGGTTGCAGTGCGTCAACAGCAACGGGAGCGACATCGCAAAGTGCCAGTTCTACTTGGACATGCTCAACGAATGCCGCCGTGGCTCGGTGTAGAACGAATGCCTCAGGCAACTTGATGAGGAGTGTGGTTGGGTGGTTCTCCCCCACTGCAATCTTCGTCGGGAAGAAGACCACTGCTGTCTATCTATCTCATCTATCCGCCATTCTATCGACGAGAACGACGCTCGGTGCTCCAGCAGGAGAGACGCCCGATGTGGTGGACCAAGAACGCGTGAACTCTTGCTGCCGCTAAGTTTGGACCGGATTTGGCTAGTGCCATTCATCTCCGACTTTCTTGTTCTTTCTTCTATTTTCTTCTAGTCGCGTGCATCCCCGTAGCTAGAGATGAGCGCCCGCAGGAAGGTCCTCTCCGCCCCACGGAGCCCCCGCAGTGACGAACGAAAAAAAGAGGGCGTCTTGGAGACCCACCCCCTTCAGTGTGCAACGGGGATGGATGACTGAAACTTACTGTCAACTTAGCTGCAAAGAGGGAGGGGGAGGGTGGGAGGGGCCAGCGGCTTGTTCGTTCCCGCAGCGGCGAGCATTCGGTATCGTCGGAGGAGACGTCCCCGCGCGCTACGGCTTCTGGGACGTGGGCATGGCAAGCGACACCCCCTGGCCCGGCAGGTCCTTCCACTGCTGGGTGACGGTCTTGATCTGCGTGTAGAACTGCACTCCCGCCTTCCCTGCGGAAGACACACGCAACACATCACAAAACTCAGCACCCCGGATGTTAAAATTGAGGACGACGGCCTGGCAGTGGAGAGGAGATTTATAGGAAGATAGATAGATGGGGGGAGAGTGCGCGATTGCGATTCGTGCCCATCGTACCGTAGAAGTTCAGGTCCCCCGCGAACGATGCCTTGGAGCCGGTGAACGAGAAGAAGGGCAAGGGAACCGGAATCGGAACGTTGATGCCGACCTGCATCAATCAATCAATCAGCACGGAAGCTTTCAATAAAGCTGGCGCACACGCGAGGCGTCGACCGAACCAGCGAATGAATCGGCTTCAAAACTCGTGTGGGGGCACTAACCTGCCCAGCTTCGATCTCATTTTGAAATCTCCTTGCGTGCACTCCAGACGTGGTGAATATGGACGCCCCATTGCCGTATCTGCGGTGAGAGCCCACGGCAAACCGACATACGATGTGATATATGGTACGAGAGGTCAGAGATGGAAGAAGCAAATCCAAGAGACACAGGGCGAGGTATGGCAGGCTACTTGTTCTTGTTCACAATCTCGATAGCCTCTTCGAGACTCTCAGCCTGCCGTCACAGGATCGTGGTCAGAAGCTCCTCCCACTGTCGAGGAAACGCAAAGCGAGGGGAAAAAAAAGCTCATCTAACAGCTCGTCGCTCTTGTTACCTGCATGCATAGGAGGACAGGGCCGAAGATCTCTTCCTGCACTAGCACAAAGGCACGCGATTATGTTAGCATCAGATCACCCACTTTATCATCTCAAAATGATGAGATACCGTCTCTCCATTGGTGCTAAAAGACTTGGTCTCGTGAAAATTTCGTTAATCCCAGAAAATGCAGGTCAGAATAGGCAAGACGATCGAAAGGTACCTCATAGCATTTCATGTCGCCCGTGACGTCGGCCAGGATAGTTGGTCCAACAAAGTTCCCATCCTCGTAGCCAGGGACCTGTTTCGAGTCCAAGAAGTCAAGGCACTGCTCACATCTTTCCGTGAATTCAGAAAATAATCAACTGATGAACGTGAGAGACCAGACCAAGGACTTGATCGCCCTCGACAAGAAGTCAATTCAATTCTTTAGTGCCCGTGATCTGGTAATACAAAACCAATTTCCAAGCTCTTTGTCACCAGGCAGCATCCACTGCCCCTACCCAAGCACCTCCATGACTCACCCACCCCTGGCACAACCTGTGCACCTTTTCTCCTTCCTTCCATTGAGAAATCTAGTGCAGGGATCCGTATGTTCTTGCTTCTCACTAAATATAATTCTAAAATTCACAACAAATTATAAAACAGATCGTTATTTTTATACACTTCCAAATGTTTAGTTCAACCCATGCAACTGATACGCATGTATAAGATACAGGCATGTCCTAGTCTGCTCTAACAAAATCAATGAAATCCTTGAAGACCGGCATTTTGGAGGCAAGATGCTCTCTGGTCAAGGTGTTAGTCTCAGGTATCACGAACTTTACTAGCGAAAATCTCAATTAATACTGTCTGCATAAATTTATTTTTGTGTTCTGAGTCGAAATAAGCTCTCCATTTGATTGATGGAACCAAGTTTATCTAATGCATCACATCTCGTCCAAGGGCGAAGGAATGGCTGTGTAAATTGAAATGAAAGTCATGAGTCCTTCCATACACTCATCATCTTGATAGGCTGTCTTTTCTTTCTTTGGGCCACCGTGTTTCAAGTTTTCTCGATAGGTGGATGCGTTTGATGCAACGGCCTCCATCTTTCTTGTGATGTTTAATGCAACTACTAGGTTGTGATTTTACACAAGCTTCTAAAAATTCCAAGATTCTGGTGCATGTACTACAGGTATTATAACGTTCAAGCAGAAAATTACCGTAATATCTCTCCCATCAAGCACAAGACGAGCACCACTGGCAACACCACTTTGGATGAGACTGCAAATGCGCTCCTTTGCCTGCCAGCATGAACCAGTAATGAATTTTCCGCGATCATGGTAGGGCAGATGATTTAAATAGAAGCAAGACTTCGCAAAGGAAAATAAATGATTCATAACATAAAAAGGAAATCTGAAACAAGTGGGATTAGGAATGGACCATATTAAAAACGAACCGCGGCGATTTAAAGAAACGGAGGGGTGATCTATACGGTAGGGAGTCAATGGTTAGTTTCCCCGGCAAAGCGAAAACTCATCTTTGTTGGGGAAACTAACATTGGGGGTTATGGGTTCAGTGACAGGGGAGAGAAACTTGAGGACAGGAATTCAAAGTTTAGCGTAAAACAATAGACGTATCGTTCACTAAGAAGATTGGCAAGGAAAATCCATTCTCATATGAAATACGTACTTGTCTGGTGATCACTGGTCCAAGGTCTATCCCAGGCTCAACTCCAGCGCCCACTTTTAGTGATCTGGCACGTTTTACTAGTTCATCTTCCCTGGTAAGAATGAAAGGGTATAAAATGAATCTAACAGCACTGAAGGATCTGAGTTTCTAAATATCTCATGACTATAGCTGTTGTGAAAAAAACAAACAAACTTGAACCATATACCATTGCTTTGATCCTCCAACAAAAACAGCTGTGCTAAGTGCCATACACCTCTGCCCGGCAGCACCAAAACCAGCAGCTACCAGTGCATTTAAAGTAGCATCAACACTTGCATCAGGCATGATTACTGCATGATTTTTTGCGCCCATGTTCGACTGAAACGGTTAGAATTCGGACATCAGATAATTGCATCTAAAAACATTCCTAAACGTGTGTGCACTCACTTGTGTATGAGGATCTATATAGCCAAATGAATAGAGAGAAACAGCTTACGCAAAGAAAAAAAAACTTACCTGAACACGTTTTCCCTTGGATGCAGCTCTGCCATAGATGTGCATTCCAGCCTGGAAATCGTTCACGAGAAAGAGCATTGATTGTTAGCTTCGGTGATTCCTAAAGCCTACCCCAAAAAAATGTGGACAATGTGCTTCACAAGCGAGAGAAGAATATGAGATTCCTAGCCAGCAATGTATTGACACTTCCCCGAAGTGCAATCATAGGGCTCATACAGAGAATGAAGTATCTCACCACTAATATCCAATGGAATATTCTACTGAAATCTGCAATGGTTTAGAAGGGTTGTTCTAGGCTGGGAGATCTAGTGTGTTTCTTTCCAATCATAGGGGAACAAAAGTATCACAAGCTGAGCCACGATTGTTAGTTTGGAGACTGGACAACCTGATGAAACTATCTAAAATTTGAAGATTCCAATATTTACCATAATTAAGATTTTCAGCATCGGCCTAACAGAACTAGTTAAGCATTTAAATTTGATAGACTATGACAAGATTTTGGGATAAAAAATTGTTCCTTGATTCACTCAGACACCTCAGAATCCATGCAATGTTTTTGTCCTTTGTTCATTGTAGGCTTTTTCCTCCTTGTTCATATAGCGGTAAATATAACTTCTTTTAAGTGAAAGACAGTGCACTGGTGTATACAAATGGAACATTCTACTGCGAGGAATAAAAAATATGCTTTTGCACAGGAAAACACAACACCCAGTATAAAAGATGTTTCCATGTACACAACGATTCGGAAGACATCAACTTACGGCGTTTGAACCAACGAATGATATGGCTCTGATATCGTCATCGTCACAAATATTGTTCACAGTATCCTAGTCAAAATGAGAAGACTTGATCAACATGAGGCGATTTAATTCTGGATAGTAGAAAAAGGATACGGAAAAGCTTTTTGAAAATCATAAAAACAGGGTGTAATAAAGTCAAAGCTCACAGTAGTTCCATGGACAATGTTTAAGACGCCATCAGGTACACCTGCTTCCATTGCCAGCTCTGCGAGAATCATAGCCGCCCCTGAAAAGGAATCCAACCGAATAGTAACTCAGACCAACCTATAGACATAGAAAAATCTTCCTTTTTACTGGAGAAGATAAGGTAGAGCTAATTATTTTGTGGTCATAAAGCTACTCTGAAGTGCAAAACGACGTAATATAATCGGAGGAATGCTAAATTGAGAAGCAAGGAACAAGCTGGGATCTTAAAATCTTTCTTTTGTCCTTCTGTTTCTCTGTAGCACGTTGTTTTCCATTGTCTTTTGAACCAATAATCATGCATATACCAGGAAAAAAAAAAGATGAAAGCCTTATTCAACTTTGAATAATACTACAGACCCAAACACAACGATTGACAGTAACTGTGGGATATTCACCTGGATCTTTCTCAGATGGCTTTAATACAAATGTATTGCCGCATGTAATAGCAACCGGAAACATCTGCAAATGCCATCAAAGCAAGACTTCCTTCAAATCGTTTTGAAATAGACGGGCTGAAAAGACATTTTTTGACAAGTTGGGAAGTTAAAGGATAGTCATGCAAAGATGAAATCTAAATAACAAGGGTCGAAAAGTCCAAGAGCTGAGCTTGTGACCAAGTGCACCCAGAGAGGGGAGAGCTCAGAGTTTAGGTGAGTACCCAGAGAGGGATCATTGCAGGGAAATTAAAGGGGCATATCCCTGCACAGACGCCAAGCGGTTCTCTTATGCTGTAGGTGTCTATCCCATGAGAGACATTGGAGACGAATTCCCCCATCTGAAGCGTTGCCATTCCACAGGCATGCTCCACTACCTCTGCACGATATCACAAAAGAAAACTCAATATTCTCACCCTAAGAGATCATCTGCTCACTCATGCCTACCCAGACAGCTTGCAATGACATCCAATTCAATCGACATTGCAGAGAAAGGGTTCAGGCAGAAGTTTATCGGCCACAAAATTACGCAGGAAACAGGATAATTGCAGGGAATAACGGTTAGAAAACAGACCTAACCCGCGGAAAACATCTCCCTGTGCGTCGCGTAGGGTCTTTCCTTGTTCTGTTGTTATGTTCAGCGCAAGCTTATCCTGCACAAACAAGAAAAAAAGTCACAATCATGTCTCAGGAAGGAAAGATCCACCAAGAGATAACAGAAAATCGAGATCCGTCGTAAATGCGAACCATGTCCCTCCGGATGAGCTCCTGAAACTTGAACATGACCCGCTGTCGTGCTGTTATTGGGGTGTTCCTCCATGCGGGAAACGCTCTCTTAGCGGCGTATACAGCTGCCTTGAACTCCTCCTCGGTAGTTAGAGGGACACGCGAAACCACCTCTTGGGTAGCCTGCCGCAACAATTAACAAGAAGAATTACTAGATCATCTGAGAAAAGGAAGCTGGAGCAACCGAGATTATCATCCAATCAGCATCAGCATTCACGGACGGGTATAATTCAATACGAAGAGATAAAATGCACGCACGGGATTGATGACATCAATGAGTGAATCCGAGCGCGACTCCACGAACTCCCCGTTGATGAGGTTCCTCACCGCCAGCTGTCGCGATCGGAAGGGGACAATCCGATCGAAGGGAGAGACAGAGAGATTAAGAGAAGAGACGATTTCAAAAAAAAATAAAAAAATAAAAAAGAACAAGAAGGAATCACATACCGGCTGAGCTCCACGCGCCGGAGACGCGTCGGCGGAAGCCGTGGACATGCGGGAGAGAGCGCTCAGTGCGGGAGTCGGAGAACCCCACCGTCGGAAACCGGACGCTGCAGGAGAATGTGAGATCACAGAGTTGGAAGCAGAGGTAGGAGCATAGAGTGAAAGGGGGGAAGGAGGAGAACCTCTCCGGGCGGCGAGCAGCATGTCTTCCCTTCGTCTCTCTCTCAGGCGCGAGGAGGAAGGAGCAGAGCAGAGCAGAGCAGACAAGACAGAGCCAATTACCTTCTTATGCGATTGATGATAATCATGGGGAGACAGAGGGGATCAGCACGACCGCGGAGTTGCTAGTTCCGACGTGGCCCCTCCCAAAGTGTGAGGGTATAAGTGCAATATTGTGAAAACTTGGGCACAGATGTTTTACGACGTCTTGTTGCCGATACGACGCCCCATGTGGGTGAGACGTCGGCGAGGCGTCTCCGCCCTCTAAAGAGGGGGGCCGAGTCGGCATAACAACGATTCAGAGGGACTCGGAACGACTCGGAGCCAGCCCATCTCCACCATTCGTTACCGAACAGACGGTTCGGATCCCTTTAATTTCAGATCCGCCCTCCGGATCGTTCCTCAAAAGCGCCGGCGGTACCCTTCGAACATAACGGTCGAATCAACGTTCCTGAAGAGTTTGAAATTTGAAAAAAAACTACACTCCAACGTCGCCGACCGCCGCCGCTAGAGGAACGAAACAAGGCAGGGAGGGGAGGAGGAAGAGGGAAGAAAGAATTCCCGCATCCCGGCATCAGCTGATCCAGAGATAGCTGCTCATTCCTCCCGTGGAATTTCGGAGTCACGCCATGGAAGAGATCCCGCAGAACGGCTCTTTTGCCCCTCCCCGCCCCGACATCCCGGACGACGGAACCCTGGGGAGTTGCGACTGGATGCAAGGTTGGCGGGGGACGTCTCCTTCTCCCTCGATCAGATGTCATCAAGAGCCACCGGTCAACGACGGACAAAATTTCGAGTCGATGCTCTGCATTCCGGACTCGAAGCTCATCACTACCGGGCTCAAGGATGTCTGCTCCAGTGGTTACTCTCTTGCTCCATTTGCCCTCTCTAGTTTTTCCTACACAATGAAGAACTAGACGAGTCTTATCATCTGACTTTTTCATTTTTCTGCGAACTCTTCCGCTACCGAGTCTCATGTCATCCCAGCATCTTTCAGAGCTAAAGTTTCGAGATGGCACGTATTTTCCGCCATTTCCTCCATTTCTCATTCCACTTTTCTCCTTAAAGCCAGTTAAAATGGAAAAGATCATTGCTCTAGTTTTTGCGATTCGTGAGCTCCAATTGTTTGATGGACCGAACGGCCGTGAGTTCTCTGATGGTCATATTAACCTAAATTTATTCATATGATCGCGTTTATCCTAGCATTAGGGTTTGAGATGCCATGCCCTTTCTGTCTTCCCCCCATTTCTATGGTTCGGCGAGCCTAAGTGACATTGAAATAATCCAACGGATTTATTACGAGATAGAAAATATAACACGCTTTTCTAAGTGCAGATTCTCCCTGTTTTAATCTACATCGCTGTTATTTCTCTTTCCTTCGTTTGCGGGCGTCGGATCAATTTCAGGTTCCATTGCATCCAACCGGAAAAAACCTGTAGTTTTCTCCTATTTGCGACCCACGGAAGGCGACCTAAACACTTTTTGTTACGCTTTTGACGTTTTTCCGTGTAACTTGGTCATTGTGCTTTTAATTCGAGGGAACTCAATTTCGTCGAGGAAAAGGGAACTCAGGTGCCAGCTTCTACATGCAGGTGTCGTAATCTTTGTCAATGCTGGGGGAGGCGTACTGGACGAACAAGGTTCCTCTATGAAGATTGATGGCGATTCCCATTTTCAAGGAGGTGATGTGATACGAACGGATGTGACTGTTGCTGATACTGGAAATTGCCCGTCCACCTTATATCAATCCGCAAGATACGGAAACATCAGCTACAGTTTTGGTGGTTTTCCTTCCGGAAATTACTTAGTCGATCTACACTTCGCCGAGATCATTTACACAAATGGACCCAAGGGAATGCGAGTGTTTGATGTTTTTATTCAAGGAGAAAAGGTACGAGCCACTTCCCCTTCTGGGTTCCTCTTGGACTCTGTCAGTGTTCATGAGATTTTTGCTTCCATTTTTGGTCTCTATTTTGCAGGTCTTGTCCGAAGTCGACATTTATGCAGTCGTGGGAGCCAATAAGTCTCTTGTAATCCTAGATGTCGGAGTCTCTGTAGAAGAGAATGGTGTAATCTACATAAAATTTGAAGGAGCTCATGGGAGCCCATCTGTCTCAGGGATTTGCATTAGACAAGCACAGAGAATGATCGGTAATTTTCGTTTTCTATTAACGTCCATTGATGAAGATATTAGGTTTTATTTACTTTTTTTGGGTCATGTAGATTCATCTCCGGGAAGGACAGTGGGGAAATCAGGGCATCATTTATGCAATAAATGTGCTTCGGAAATCAAACATTCTCCCATGCAGGTCAGCAACCTCTGATGCGGAGACAGACACTTTGTTTTGAGGGGAGGAAACTGATAAAAGTTGTTTAACCTGTGCCTCTTTGCTCATGCAGAATAGGGCACTGAACCCTCAGTCCATTGTGAAATACGAGAGGAAAATACAGGAGTTAGAAAGTCTCTGCAAACTTAAAACGGATGAGTGTTACGAGGCATGGATGTCTCTGACAGATGCAAATGAACAGCTGGAAAAACTGAAGATGGAACTTGACACCAGGTTTTTCCAGTCTGATTCTCTTGGTAGGGAAATGAAATGCTTATTGCAGTAGAATGATATATTTTCCCCTAATCTACGCCAGTCACTTTATCGGAAATGAATTCTTTCGTGCCAGATCAAGCTTTTAGGAAACAAACAGAAAAGTTAGAATTTGTTTCTGCGAAGTATGAAGAAGATAAGAAGTACTGGACTGCTGCCGTTAGTGAATTGCAGGCAAAAATCCAGGTGCAGATTTGACCCAGCCATGTTTCCCGATGCATAACATGCATCGGATTATAGGAAAATGGTACTTATCCTGTACCTTTTCTTCAACAGTTAATGAAAACAGAGCAGGCGCAACTATCCCATGATGCACATGAATGTGCCAGTGCAATTCCAGAATTGAGCAAAATGATCACTGGAATTCAGGCATTGGGTAAGCTATATGAATTTCGTCTGTGCAGAATTTGAGAACTTATCTCACTTTAGTTTTTATCTCTCGTAGTTACACAGTGTGAAGATCTCAAGATAAAGTATACTGAAGAGCAGGCCAAAAGAAAAAAGCTATACAACCAAGTCCAAGAGGCAAAAGGTGTGACCTTTTAATCTTCTTTCCTATTTTGTTTCAGATCCTATGGTGGATATATGCTTGACATGGTGTAAGAGCCCCTTCTCCTATTTGTCCCGAGCAGGAAATATTAGGGTGTTTTGTCGTTGCCGCCCCATGAGCAAGGAAGAGGTTTCATCTGGTTATGCAACCGTAGTAGACTTTGAAGGTGCGAGAGATGGCGATCTTGGGTTATTGACTAGCGGGTCCTCGAAAAGGAGCTTCAGGTTCGACCGAGTTTTCACTCCCAGGGATGACCAAGGTATATATATAATTCACAGATGAGCACCATCACCTTCCTCGGGTTGAACTGTTTAATACTAACATGATGGTGGTTGCTTCTCCCTCTCAATACTATGAGCAGTGGACGTGTTTGCTGATGCATCACCATTGGTGGTGTCAGTCCTCGATGGTTACAATGTGTGTATCTTTGCATACGGGCAGACTGGGACGGGGAAGACTTTCACCATGGAAGGAACAGAGCAGAACAGGGGGGTTAACTACAGAACGTTAGAGGAGCTATTCAAGGTTGCAAGGGAGAAGAGAGAAGCTTTCTCCTACAACATCACCGTTAGCGTGCTCGAAGTATATAACGAGCAAATCAGGGACTTGCTGGCAACATCCCCATCATCAAAGAAGTACACCTAACAGATCATTTTTTTTTTTTGAAACCATCATAATAAGTGTAGATGCTAAATCTGTGTAACTACAATTTTCTTACCCTTGAAGGCAATCGCTTGACAGTCTGATATTCTTTGTCTACTTTAGCCTGAAGGTGAGACAGGCATCTGAGGGTGCTCATCATGTCCCTGGGATTGTAGAGGCCAGGGTGGAGAACATAAAGGAGGTCTGGGATGTACTACAAGTTGGCAGCAATGCACGTGTCGTTGGATCCAATAATGTGAATGAGCACAGCAGTCGTTCTCACTGGTAGGGTGGGGGGGTGTGTGTGTGTGTGGGGGGGGGGGAGAGAGAGAGAGAGAGGGATGTGCATTCTTCGTTCTAATGTACCGCATCTTCCTATAAATTTTCAGTATGCTCTGTATAATGGTGAGGGCGAAGAATTTGGTGAACGGAGAGTGCACCAACAGCAAACTTTGGCTCGTCGATTTGGCTGGAAGCGAGAGGCTTGCAAAGACAGATGTCCAAGGGGAGAGGCTGAAGGAAGCTCAGAACATCAACAGGTCCCTTTCAGCTCTCGGAGACGTCATCTCTGCTCTTGCCAACAAAAGCAGCCACATCCCATACAGGTTTGAGGCCAACTACAATACTTTACCGTCCCGTGGCGCCTTAAAGTGTTCTGTATTCCGCATGTTTATGCTCTCATTGTTGGATGGCACTGCAGGAATTCGAAGTTGACCCATTTACTACAAGATTCGTTAGGTAATCAATTATCTTTTGTGCTGCTTCTCGACCCAGATGTACTCCATCGAAACCGCAGATTCTTTTGCGCTGAAATTCGGTGTCTTCGTCTGTCCTCTTGGCCCAACGTACATTTATTCGCTAAAACTCTGCTTTCTATTGGCACAACAGGCGGTGACTCAAAGGTGCTGATGCTCGTACAAATCAGCCCCTCTGAGAATGACTACGGTGAGACCTTAAGTTCATTAAATTTTGCTACCCGAGTACGAGGGGTAGAGTTAGGTCCTGCAAAGAAGCAAATAGACACGGGGGAACTACAAAAGACCAAACAAATGGTAAGGGTTCAAGCCTGTTCTGTGAATGAATCTTCTGTCTGAATTTTTTTTCTTATTTAAAAAGTTTTCAGCTCTCGTTTTTCCCAATAATATCCATTAGTCCGCTGGGTGTTTGTGCAAAAATTGACCCTGCTTGCTTGTGCGTCTTTGTTCTGAAGCTAGATAAAGCCAAGCAAGAGTGCCGATCAAAAGAAGAATCCCTCAGGAAAATGGAAGAGACCTATCAAAATCTGGAGAGTAAAATCAGAAACAGAGATCAACTTTGCAGAAGCCTACAGGAAAAGGTGCGACTTAGGAAACATTATTCCTATACTACTGCTTATGTTTTGTAACTTAGAGTGTGACGTTTCTGAAGATTTTATTCTACTTACTGCAGCTGAAGGAACTTGAAGGGCAACTTCAATCGAAGGCAGACTTGCAAAGCTTATCAGATAGGCAACAGTTCCAAGTTTCGGAGGCATTGAAGGCAAAGGAGGAGGCTTGCATGAGTCTGCAACAAAAGGTTAGCTGCAAGCAGTGCAGTGCACCCAGCATTGAGATGGCTCGGCTCGTTCATTCAGAACTGACTAGATATATCTATGTTTGAATTCAGATTAAAGAGTTGGAGTATAAGTTGAAAGAGCAACAACACTCGGCCCTGTACAAGGTGGCGAATCCTTCGAAAGAAAAACTCCATGCGTGCTTGTTCTTCTCAGGAAGTTTCCTGTTCAGCACTCACGATAAACGGGTCATTCTTTTACATAAATAGGTGAAGGAGCTCGAGTACAGACTCAAAGAGAAGCAAAGCCACGAATCATTTCTTGAACAAAAGGTTGGTGTTCTACCCTCCTTTCTTGTCCTGATGTGCCCGGTAGTTTGGTGTGCATTGACCGGTTCTTTTCACAACATGCAGATCAAGGAGCTTCAGTGGAGACTTAAAGACAGGCGACACACGCAATCGACGGAGAACATTGAACATATGGTAATTTTGTTAAACAACGCTGCCGTTCTCTTTTTCCTCCCTTAAAGAGACCTGGCAGATGGATGACCTGTGAGCACAACTTAGCAGATGAAAGATGTTGAGGATTACGAACCAAAGGGGGAGCATCCAGAACCCATGTTGTTATTATCATCTCCGCTGTCATCTGGCATGCCAGGGCTTGCCGCCACCCCGGCCGAGAGGAAAGAAGCTCCGAAGGCTGATGATGGATCCACAGGCGGTGACATTAACCCCCGTATCCTAAGGAGCTCGAACGCGATCAACAGGCCAGTTACGATCCACCAGGAGTCTATTCTGCTCAAGGGGATGGACTCCCTTCAGGAGGTCAAGAGGAGACGCGAAAGAAGTGGGTTGGATGGCGGGGAGATGGAGAACAGCATTTCATCAAATGGCTTCAAGGAGAGGAAGACTACGGCCCTAAGTGAAGCGGGTCGGCTCAGGAAGACTATTGACTCGTCCAAGGTGTACGGCAGAGTAACGAGGACCGCCGCAACGTCGAGGGTGGTCTCAACTCAACAACGGCTGGTCACTCATGCCGTCGTACTCAATAAAGAGCAAAGACGCGCTTCTGCGGTGGGCAAAGAGAGAGAGAGGGCGACGAGGGTGTGGTCAAGATAGCAACAGGCCACGCGTTATTCTGTTCTGCGTGCAATTTCTTCCTTTTGATGTTGCAGCAGCCTACGCGGGCTGGCGCTTTGGTTTAAATTGAGATTGTAAGAACTTCTTACAAATCATCAGAGGGGAAGGTCCTCTAGCTCTCTGTCTCTGCCTCTCTCTCTCTCGAAGGGAAAGTAGTGGTGCACTGAAGCGTGTGGGTGTCGAGACAATATCAGCCTAATTCCTTCAAGCTGACTGCTGATGATAGTCTTCTCTTCCCTTCAGCTTCTGCGCCGAGGGGGGTGTTGTGGAGGAACGGATAGAGAGAGAGAGAAAGAGAGAGAGAGAGAGAGAGAGATCCAGCCTCTTCTAGCCGTTGAGAGCAGCCTTCAACCCCCAGGGGTCCTCTGAGACGCATTCTCTGAAGCATGCTGCCAGCCCGAGTCGCCTTCTAACGACCGTGAAAAGAAGAACTTTCCTCCGAGTGGGGGTGCTCAGAAGGAGAAGACGGCGTAATCCAGCTGCATGCGCGAAAAAAAAAAAGTGTCCGGACTTAACCCAGTGACGGCGTGGACAGCTAGCTGGTCGTCACTGACAAGGTCACAGAACTCTCCTTTTCTTTCCGTCCTTCTTACACCCTCAAGGTGATGACAGTCTGCTTCAGTCCGGGTTCCATCAGGACAATCGTCTAACGGCGGCAGGGAGCGGAGCGGCGACTGCTGGAACAATTAACCCGATGGCTTGGCTCTTCTTCAACGGTGAACCCAAGAAGAGCCGCCGGAGATCTAGCTGTTGGCAATCACTGTCTTCTGGTTTCTGTTCTGCGTAAAAGCGGGAAGAAGAGGTCTTAATGGGTTTTCAAAGAAGAGGTGGGCGCTCTCTGCTGTGCAAGACGCCCATCTGTACGGTTTAACTTCGCCAGTGACTGCAGTAAAGGATGGTATGGTGCAACGGCACTCGTCTGCGTCCCAACATGCGCTCTCACACACATCGAGATATGGGGTATTTATAGATATCTAGATATCTAGAGAGAGAGAGTACAATTTCACGATATGGAGCCCCTCACCTCCTCCCTCCATATAGAAGCGAAAAGCAGATTTGTCTCCGGTGGAAGGTGCCGCTGCTCTCTCCCCCAACTGAAAAGTGAATGGAAGCAACCTCTCAAACGGAGCAAACCCTAAGAAGCCTACAACACCTCTCCTCTCTCTCTCTCCCTCCCTCCCTCCCTCTCAGCGCATTCATTCAAATGCCGTCAGCCCTGCGCTCATCACCCTTTGAGACTCGCAGCACTTTTTCAGGCTGGGGAATCATCTTGCGTCGAACCAAATTATTGCGGGAAGCCATAGGCCACTGTTTCTGAATAAACAATAAACCTGGATAGGATCATAGGAGACCACGTCTAGACCCACTTTAGAGATAGAGAGAGAGAGAGAGAGGATCTCTGACCTTTTTTTTCCGGAGGATGCATAGCATGAAACACAGCCAATCATGGCGCGGCACTAATCATCAACAAACATCAGTTGTAGATTATTATACAGAGCACGAAGACACGCAGATAAAGTGAAACCCCGAGAACATGAGTGAGAGAGGGGATGCCCTATGCACCCACTAATGGAGTTACGTGGATGATATCCACTAATAGTTGGTCAGGTACGATCTGTCTGGAGAAGAGAAACGAGGAGATGACAGTATCAACTGCACAAGCCTCGCCTCTGATTCTTACCATGAACAAAAACAGTAGCTCTCGGCTTCCAGAAATCGAAAAGCGCAGAGTGATGAATTATCATCTAACAGGTGAGGAAGGAGGCGGTAAAGATGGGGGCTGTGGAGGGAGAAAGGAGAGATCGAGAGAACAACTGCAACACCACATCAGTCGTTCAATCTCCTGGTGGAAATGTTCCGTCTTCCCTGTCTCCTTGCTCAATTCTCAATTTCTAAGTTCACACGCTATCGGTGCGGGAAGAGAGAGCAAGCGTCTGGAAACATCAGAGAAAAAGGGACATGCGACTGGAGGGAAGGGAAGAAGGAACAATTGTTTTAGGAAAAAAGCTTGAAAAAAAGAAAGAATTTCGATGACAGGACGCACGGTTATGTTGAAGGCTAGAATTACGGATGATCCTCTTGAGACGATTCTCGTCATGGCAGGGCGCTGAACGGAAGATGATGCATGCCGCTCCAAGTCTGAATACCATTCCAGCTGTTGCCGGCGGCGTTGTTGCCGGCGCTGACGCCGACGTTGTTGACGTTGCCTCGGTGGTCGGCTGCGGTGGAGGCTGTGTAGCCACCCGAGTTCTCCAGGAACCATCCCGTGGTACTACCTATCGTGGAATCCTTTTCTCTCGAACTCACTGTGGTCATCGGACAGGACGTGATCGGTCGATTGGGGACTTCGAGAAGAGCATGGGTATTGTCGGTGATCCCCTTGCCTTGGTAGGGGTGGTGGTGGAGATCCTCCCCTCCGAAGAACGAGGCCAGCCTCTGCTGCTGCAGCTTCCAGTGCAAGCCCTGGTTGATGGAGCTCAGCGACTCGATGGAGGCTGCCAGGTCGCCGCCCTTAATCGGCGTCGTGGTGGCCTCCCCACCATTCCCTAGTACTAGATCCATGCCTGTAAAATGCGGTGCCGCCAACTGGATCGGGTACTTGAAACCGATTAGAGGAGAAGCAATTGCACCTGCGGCTTCCGATGGGAGGGCGGCGGCGTTGGAGCATGAGAGGTCCCCATAGGAGATGAGATGATTGCCGGCGCCACCGTCGGCTGCGATCATGTTGAATATCCCCGGGCCAGAAGGGGTGTGGTTCAGCCCGCTGGGCAGATGGAAATCCATGACGGAGGAGAGCCCCTGGAGGAACCTGTGCTCCCGAGCTGCGCCGGAGGAGGAGGTGGCAGGTATTGAGGACGACTTGGACTTCTTTGTCTTCCGGCATCCACCACCTACAGGGACGTTGCGGAGGGCGCCGCCCTTGGTCCAGTAGCGACGGCAGGTCTTGCAGAAGTAGCGGGGCTGTGCTAGGCTATAGTTGTTGTAATAGCAGAACTTGGTGTTGGGAGAATCGCACCGAGGGCACTTCAGTCCCTGCTCCGGTGGCCTCACCGGCCCCTCCCCTCCCCCGCTCCCAGCTCTTGTCTTGTTCCCTTGGAGGTCATCCGCCGGGAACGAGGCCATCTGCTGTGCTCCCTCTTTCCCTCTCCACACCCCTCCCTCCTCCTACGCTGATACACTCGACGGAGAGGCGTGGGATTCAGATGATGGTAGGAGGGAGAACCCGGGTTGTCGCTGTTAGTGCAATATGAGGTTTCCTGGGAGAGAGGCAAGGGGGGTGGAGGAGCCCAATTGAATGCTCTCATGCATGGCGAGGACGTTGATGGCTGCCTGTGATTGCCTTCAAGTTGTGGCCACAGAGAGAGAGAGAGAGAGAGAGAGAGAGAGAGGTCCAATGGAGATGGCCGTGAAGACGGCCCCTAGATTTCCTAAAACAAGAAATAATCTAGACAATCAAAATCTACCCTTCCGTCCTCTTCAGTATGTTGCAAGAGAAGCCGGAAACGACCGACTGGGAGAGGGCGAAAGAGATGAGGTGAGAGAGGGAGGGAACGAGAGGGGACAAGGAAAAGAGATATATCTGACACAATCCACGAAACAGAGACTGAAACGGATGGATGTGGTTGTTGCTCCCGTTCTTTGTCCATGTCTGATGGAGGCGGCAGTAAGCATCCAGCGGTTCATGCGTAGGATGATATCATCGCACTCTCGACGGCTTCCCCATGACCAGAGAAGACCGTGAACACGTACGTCCCATGGTAATTCAGGGTCTTGATGAAGCCCCCGATGACGAGGCTTCGTCAAGCGAGACAGTCTCGACCGAACCTACGCAGCTTAGGGCACCCCCACCCACCCTTGGAAGCAACTTCTCTCTCTCTCTCTCTCTCTCTCTCAAGCGAGTCCCACCATATGCTCCCGCGCCTTCATTGCCCTGCAGGTATCATGGATCGATGGATGCCGCCGAGGATGATGTAAGGAGGTCGCATGTCTAGGAAGCGCGTCGCACAGCCCAGACGGCATACCTGCCACTGAGGGCGGAGCCACTCCACTCCGGCTCTGGTCACGGTGTCCGATGGGTTGACGCGCGTCCGGGTGGAGCATGGGGCACAGCCCGGGGTAGTAGGAGTGAGTGAACGCACAGAAAGAGGGAGGGAAGGACATGCGGGAATCACGTCACCCTATCCGAACCTAATACGACGAGGTCCTCCCCCCTCTCCAACACATGAACATGGACAGACACACTCACACAGAGAGTCAGTCAGTCCGTCAGTCACTGAGTCAGTCAGTCAGTCAGAACGGCTCTGCACTGCACTGGAGATACAGCAGAAGGCGAAGGCGATCGATGCTCACCACCTCTCACCCCTTACACCTTGCCCTTTGGCGTCGTCGTTCGTGGTCGTGGCCGTGAGAGGAGGGGCGGATGGCCCGTCTTCTCCGCCTCGTCCCTGCCCCGCAGGGGAGGGAGAGACAATCAATAAAGGTGCATGCATGCAATGCGAAAAGGATGGTGGTGTTCCGGCGGGGATCCATCCATCCGTCCAGCTAGAATCCAGTTGGGGGCGGCGGCGGGGGGGGGGGGTCTCTGTCTTCTCCTCGGCTCGTGAGGGGTAGGGGTGGGCCGTGTCCGGATTCCCGTGATGGTTGGTCCAACAAGACCAACCCCCCTCCCCTCTGTCCTGCTTGCAGCCCCCCTGGATGATGAACGAACGCTCTTCTCCCTCCCTCCTCTCCTCTCTCTCTCATCAAGACATCAAGAAGACCGTTGCGATGCCCTCGGTTCTCACGTGCTCTCCCGCCTCCCGACGGCCCCAGAAATCCCGGCGCCACAGCTGGTCTTCGCCGGAAAGACAAGTACGACACCCGCACCGGGGACCCTCGCGAATCTCGCTCCCGGCGGTGGACGCTTCTGCCGGCCGTTTCTATCGCTCCCCCGCCGTCTCTGTCGGGGCATGAGTAGTCCCCCCCCCTCCCCACAAAACAGTACACCTGCTGCATCAATAAAAGCGGCGGCTTCAAGAACAAGATACAGAAGGACGCGATGGAAACAGGGAGATACCACCCGCACGCGGATACTCGGCGGGAGCGTGGGAAAGCTGCTTGCTTGCGTTCCCACGCGCCCCTGCACCGAACCACTCCGGCGAACGATCAATCCTACGAGTCGGACCCCGAGCCCGGGGCTCTGACCGCGTAGAGATTTCCTAACAATTACCCCCTCTGGACGACCGCAAGATAGAAGCGCACACACATGGCACGATTCTCGCGGCGTCTGCACAGGGACTGCGAGAGAGAGAGAGAGAGAGAGAGAGAGAGAGATGGGGCACATGCCTCAAATTTGGCAGGCGAAAACAAAACTGCCCAGGTGCATTTGAAGAGAGAGAGAGAGCAGAAGAAACTGTACAGCAAATATACTCCTGTTCGTCGTCTAGTTTTGAATCACTCATTCAATCAGAGCCCCTCGCCCGCCCCCCAACCGGACGCCAGGACAAATATCTACACAGTAGCCCGACGCAAACATGTCGGCCCCCTCTAACCGAAGCCGAATCCCTCGTTGGCCTCGTGAATGGCAAGAAGTAGCCTCTCCTGCAGCTGTCCCTTGGAGGTGTACTCGGGCATGTCCAGCTGGTTGAAGCTGCAATCCAAAGCAACAACATCAGGCCAGGAGAAGGGAGCCGGGACTCAAGGAGGAGATGAGGGAGAAAAGCGGAGTCCGAGTGTAGAAAGTTACCATGTATGTGCCGAAGGAAGGTGACTCGTACTCCCATATGCCTTGTGTATCTGAAATCTCTGAGGACCAGAAATTCCTTGCAGCGCACTGAAACCTTCCAGGGGTACCTGCAAAATTGGCCCCGGGGATAAAAAGAAACCCCATAGATTTCGACAAAAAGAGGCCATAAAAGACACCAAAAATGCTCATATTCTCCCTAGTCATATATCATCATCGACCACCCATTCTCCCTACTTGGGACACGAACAGAGACCTTATTCCGTCAGGACAGAGGCATGGACCCGCCCACTCCACAAACAAAGTGTGTGGGCGAGCATACAGGAGGAGGACAGATGCACAATACACCTGCATCTAACCAAATACCACTCTTGTTTCCAATGTGAACTAAATGACTCGGAGATTTCGAACATTTCAATCTAGATGCAAATAATAAATTTCAGACATTTATCACCAGCCTGAAAATTCAGAACTCTTGCTACTCTAGAGATAGTAACGACAGAAACTGCGGACTTGTGCACATGCATAGTTTGAAACACCAATACCACACAACAGAGAAGAAAACTCAGCGTTGTAAATTTCAGTCGCCAAACCTTTGAGGTGCCCGTGACAAATTGCAGAAGTCGAGCTTTGTCCTCCTTGCTGAAGCCTTGAACCACCTCCCAGAACCACTGTATCACAGGAGAAACATTGTTGTACCCGGAGTACTCCGTATTTGCCCGCAAGTCATCCACTGCATCAACATGGAACATTTTAAACGAACATGACGAAATAAAATCGCCTAAATATTATCATAAGAGATTCTAAAGTAATCCGGGACTAACAGTCAATATCGGGAAGTCCACTTATCAATAGCTCCAGCTCCTTGTCATTAAAAATTGATATCAAATCCTTTGGAATTAAGTCATTGAATCCCTCCATAAATGCATTTATTTGAGGACGAATAGCAGTGGTGAGGCGATGTTCGGCAACAAGATCAACATATTCGTGCTTATTTTCTTCAGTCACCCTGATATTTCTTCCTCCAGGAATCAACTCATAATCAGTAACCTGCGGGATATTTAAATATAAGATCAGACAAACTAAGCAACAACACCAACCAAAATAATCATCAAAACAATGGCACGGACGGAAATTAATGCTGTGATATGTCACCTACTTCCTTCCTAGGTTTGAAATTCACATTTCCTACATCAAAACCAATGTTATGAGGAGCTGGCATCATCCGTCTGTGAAGAGTATGTTTAGGAGACGATGAACGGGCCTCCCAACTAGTTAATCTTTAGATGCTGAGAAAAACATTCTAAACGGTCGATAAGATACAGGTGTGATTGTCATTTTTCTAAAGTTGTCAATCTGGAGTAGTAATAAAAAAAGAAAATCTAGACATTTTTCGGTAGAAAATTCGTGACTTCACTTCAGAAAATTTAAACACGAATGAAAAAAATATACATTGACGATTCATGTGACCCCCTTTCTATAACGCTTTTTGGTCTTAAATGTATAATCTGAATCAGGATCTCACATTGAAATATGGGCAATACGATCCACAGTTGATTAATAAAACACATTGAATCTCAATCCAAAGTCGACCAAACTAGAAGAATTTCAGCTGCCTGACCATAAAAGCTCTGATGGCTGACAAACCATTTATTCACTCACACCCAATGCATCAGTTGACAAACTGAGATCGATAGCTATCAATACATAGTTGCGGAAAAAAAAGAAGCTGACAAAGAGTTTGCTACAAAAAACATAATGATCTAGTGCTAGCTTGCATATTGACGTGTTTCAACATCAGCCACTCAGTTTTAGTTATAAAATAAGTAAGTTGCTGCCAGTGGTATTTAAGGAATGAAACCTCCTATTACGCTTGACCCGACAAATAATGTGAGAAACATTTCTCATCATGGCCGAAAAATACAAAAGAACTAGTTAGACTCATTCACATAAATCCTACAATAATTCCTCCTATCCTCCAATGAGGAAACACGATGAAAAAATGAAGAAAATGTGACCTAGTTAACACAAGTTGAATTACCTCGGCACGCTCATACAAAATCAGCTTCTCTTCATCAGCATCCATGCTGAAAGTAAGATCTAAAACATCATTTATATCGTTCTACAAAGGAAAAGAGAATCAAGTCAGCCAAACAAAATGGAGAAGTTAGAAAGAATGTGCTTGAGACAACTGAACATAATACCTCAAGCATCCACTTTAGGTTTTTGAAGTAATCAGGGTCAACAGCTTCAATGTCTAGGTACGTCACTTTTACACCAAGAATATGCTTGTAGAAAGATCTCGTAAAATGCACATCAAGTAGATGGCCATCAAATAAGGCCTTGCCTACCTGGAATGGGGAAAGAGAGGCAGAGAGAAAGAAAGTCAGAAATGGCCGAGTCCAATAGGACTTAACGGACAATGTGTGATAGATGGCACATACCACCCGCCCGACGAACTTGAAGTATGAGAGATGTTCTGTCTGATAACCAGAGTTAGGATTTGGCTGAAACGTTGATTCATTGCCCACAGTAGTGAAGAGAAGAGCATTCTTGTCAAATATTACACGGGAAAGCAACTGATACCATTCCCGAGTAAGCCCACCTGCATCAATACCTTCTTCACCTTGGAAATGGACTGTCAACCTACCCTTAAGATCTTGGGGTGACCGCATGCGAAGCTGGTTATACGAGTCTTCAAGAATATAAGCTCTTCTAACTGAAATTCTCAGAGGACCATGATGATGATCGTGATGATGTTTTATTTTTGATCGAAAATGAGCACGTTTATTGTCAAAATCAATAAATCGCGGAACTTTCAACATAAGCGAGAATGATCTCTCAAGCAACCCCGGGTTTTGACGGATGAAAGCATTTAACAGCTTCCTGTGCTTCTCCGAGAACTTTATGAAAGCATTGTTTTTCTCTTCAGCTTTCATATGAGTATTGTAAGATTTCTGCCCACTAGTAGAAGTTGAGGCATCTTCAAGATCTGAAGAGGTGCCTAAATCATTGGCAGCACTTGTCTGTCCAGGATGTAATTTTTCACAAGTCACAAAGAAAGACTCTATATATGGCAAAATGTTCTGTGTGCCAGCAGGAAGTGGAGGCATAACACTGACATTTGTGAAAGTATTGGCAGCAGGCATTGAAACTAAATCCAATGAAGACTCTGAGGAATTCTCTATCTTGCTTATGCAATTACTTAATTGTCGCCATAATGGTTCTAGAACAACATTTATATTCCAGACCTGAGAAAGAACATCATTACGATCCTTCTGTGGAAGAAGCTGAGGTTCCTTTCCCTTCTCATTCAAAGTAGCAACAAGTGAACTCAATGCCTGCAAAACCCTCAAGATAGCATTTCCATCAACGGAAAAAGAACTCAGAATACCCTTCTCTGCTTCCTCATATTGTTCCAGCTCAGTCGATGCTGAAACTGTCAAGCTTTGAACTGAATTTGCCAGCTCTGTGATAAATAAATTACAATGGAGTGGAGCAATGGCAACGATCTTCTTCAATATCTCAGCTACAAGGACATATGCGCTATCTGACAGGCTACAGAGAGAAGATATGGTTACCTTATAAGCTAAAAAAAAGGAGGCATAGGCTATCAAAGATACATACATGTATATATTACAGAAGCGATAACTGGTGAAAAATAACCGAAAAAAACAGTAATACTTTTAGGAGGAATGATAGTACTTGATCACCACGCAGCCTAGCAGGACAAACAACGACTATTTTGCTAAAAAGACACTATGCACGTATTAAAGATCGGGGCAGTCTAACGATGAGATGATACTTTAGAACTAACCACAGTACTATAAATAAATTTTACTAACAGAATGAAAGTTATGATAATGCCGAGAAAAAAGCAGATCACTATTGAGGCTTAAGATTTGTCAGCCAAATAAAATAGGTAACATAATATTTTCCATCAAGGTCCTTTTGTGTAAAGATGTATAACAATCGAAGAAATTCACTTACATGCAAACGACGGAAAAAGTATGGCATGGGTGAGGAGTGAGTGAGTATGCAATCATTTGCTAAATAGAGACTCGGTCATCTAGTGGAGCTTCCAGTCATAACATTACTACTGATTTATACTTGGAATAAAAATATTCTACAATCTATGGTCTGCTCCATCTTTGGACTCAAAACACAAGCAACTTTTGCAAGGTAAGCACATTTCTTGAGGTTGGAACTGGGAGTGCACATTTCTGAAGGGATACTTGATAATTTCTGCATCATAATGTCCACCACGACAACTTTATTTTAAAAGAATGACAAACAACAAAGTACTGTTTTTGATTATCCTCTCTCAAGTCCTCTATCTAGCCTTACGTTGAAGAATCTATTCTTAGTAAAGAAAAATCAATTCTGTAGCGTTTTACAGGAAAAGCAGCACGCCATTCAGAAAGCTTGCACATCTAATGAGATTAATGATTTAGTCTGCCTATGTGGTACATATCATACCTTTTCAGGCAATAAGTTTATGGTATTGATGATACGAGAGAACCCTTTAACTGTATGCTTTTCACAGGAGGTGTCTTTCATACCCCCCAGTTTCACAGGAGCACCCATATTAATTTCAGAAAAAGCAACCGGATGCTTTTCAGCAGAAATCATTTTATCCTGCTTTCTGTTTCATACAATTATTGGGCGCTGTGCTAACCTCACTGGGGGTAAGAAAGATTTCCACGGGTGAACATCTCCATTCGTTTCAATAATAAGGATCTCAGAGGGCGGTTCTCGCAATCCCCAAAAGAAACAAAAAGGGCCAAGTTGTTTAGACCTGAATAATTACTCTTTGATATCCACGTAAAGTAAAATATTTCTTCAACCAAATTTAAGAAGAAAGAGGCCCTGTTCATTTCACATTGACAGCAACAATAACAGAAAGGTTCTAGTCGAAATCACAAAATTTGTTAAATTAAATAACCTCAATTCACCTGTCACAATACTTGCCAATTTACTGGAAATAAAAAAGTAACTGATCAGTAACTTAAAATATGTATATCTAAGAAAGACTGAAAAAAATATACAAGCGTCAAAATCATGATACAAGTCTTTTGTCTTGTTAAGAAAAGTAAGCATGAATGTAAATTTAAAAGCAAAATTCAAAACCTAAAAACGAAGAAAAATATATATGTTCAAGAAAAGCATTTCCCTCTACCATCTAAGGACATACCCTTCGCGTGCCAATAAAGAACACAATAGCTGAAGCTCTGACTGTGGTAGGCTTAAAATAACAGAAACCAAAGATCCACGCACATCTGTGCTTGTAGATGTAGCATCCACAGATGAAGATGACCCGGCAATGTCAGCATTTACATGGACATCTTGCATAACACTCTCAGGGGCAGATGACTGATCAAGAGATTCCCCCGTTTGTGTCGAGATTCCAGAGTCACCCTCAGCATTATCCACAACAACCTCAAGTAGATTTAGCAACTGAAACAGAGATTTCAGTAAACCATTTAGAAACATTTTACGCAATTGGAGTTTTGTAAAAGTAGAAGCCTTCAGAGAATTGACCTGTTCCAGATGTGCTACACTTCTCAGATATAACGGTTGATTCAAGAGACTGAGCAGCAGAATAATAGGAAAATCACCCTTTTCCTCAGATCGATCATCTTGCATAGCTGCAACTGCTTTCCCATGCCGTTGGTCAGAATACTGTACAGAAGTACGTGGTAGTTCTAGATGAAGAAACAATTTTGCTACTTGAGGATGGTTCCTAGCCAAATAGGTCAGGGTTTCCAAAATACGTCGAGAAACTAGGGGAGGTACACCTGTATGGAGTCATAACAATAGTAACATAAGTTAATTTCTAAAACGAAAAAATATACACGCAAAGAAAAGCACAGATGTGTTAGCCTCTAGCCTGACATCAACGGATCCAGAAAAATCTTACCATCTGAAGACTGAGGGCGTGAATAGATGACATAACTTTGGCAGGCATATAACCGATAAGATGATTCTACAGATCCATCCATGCTTTTCATATGCCCTCTTACATCAAGCATGAGTAATTCCATGAGTAGTTGCACCAAAGAAGACCTTGTATCTTGGTGCGTGCAAAGATTTAGGAGAAGCCTCTGAAACTGACCCTTATATAATGGCTGAAGAAAATGTGTTAAAAATACTGATAGTAACATCAATAGGAGCCAAAACATGAAATTTAATGTCACAGATAAATACCTGTACAATGCGTAGCAAACGAACCATGGCTTTCAAAGCTTCAATGTCAACTAGAGGTGCTCCATCGGCTTCAACCAATTTGGTTCCCCTCGGTCCCCGAGAGGCAGCAGCTCCTGCTTCTCTGTCCAACTCAGCTCCTTCACCACGTCTTGAAGACTCACCTCGCCACCCTCGAGGGTACATTCCAAACAGAGTACCACCGTGGTATCTACGTGCAAATCTCTCTCGGAGCATATTTGCTTCCGCCACAAGTGCAGGAGTGAGATTTGCAAGAACTGCATCAGGGGATGTCAGAAGTACCTAAAACAGAGAGTACAGAAATTTGTCAATCATAAAGATATGATTAACACCTTAACAGTGTTACTAAACTGAACTTGTAGGTAAATTTCAGATAAACAAAAGCGACAACCAATAGACTTACCTCTTCCCTCAGATCTGAAGGAAATGTAGCAATTATGGAAACAGTATCCATTTCCACAGGTTGACCTTCTAATTCCTGAGACTGATGCAACCTCTGAGCTTGCTGCTGTGCTAAAACCTCTGCTCGGATATCTGGGGGCAGAGCAGCGAGAAATTCAGGATCTATGTCACCAGTTGTCTGAGGCTGGTTATTTGATGTCTGGGCTGGTTGATTCTGTTGCACAGAAAGCACTTCAGCTCTTAGGTCCTCCGGAAGAGCCTCTAAAAATGTAGGATCAATGGCACTGGGGTTGCCGTCTCTGTTCATCTGCTGTTCACCAAGTAGATTGTCATGTTCTCCTTCTGGAGTATGGGATGGAACTTCACTGACGCTTTCCAATGATGCATCTCTTGCTGTCATTTGCATTGTGCTACCTGATGACCTCCTCAACCGACCTGTAGACTGTAGATCCCCTTGTCTATCACTTCCGTCATCATGTCCATCAGCGCTTCCTATTTCAACCTCCAAACTACGAAGGCTTTCACCTACAGTCGCACCGCTTCCACTGCTTCCCTGGCTAACTGCCTCAACATCACGAATGATGGCCTCACTTCGTTCATATTGCATCTCAATAACTTGATCATTTGCATTTGATGCATCCCCTACCTGATGTGGACCACCATCACCCTGTCTGACATCAACATTTGTAGACGAATCCCTAGCAGAACTGTCTGAAAGAATGGTCACATTGTCATTCTGAACGTTCTCCGTAGGTGCTTCTTCTCTCACAATAGTTTCTGGCTGATGCAAGTCAGCACCTTCATCCTTGTGTTGTTGGTGAGGTGTTGAGGCATTTTGCTCAGATGCTTGGCCAAGTGTGGGCCTTCTCAATTGTGAAATAAGCATTTCTTCAATGCCCTGTGGCACTGAAGGAGCATTTGATGAGCCACGTTGCTGTTGACTATCATCTATCCACATACTGAAACGACGACCATGCCTCCCAGGGCTTAAGGACCGAAAAACAGCATCCAATCTAGAGGAAGCATTCTCTACAACTCTATCTGAAAATGCCATATCAACAGTACCCTCTGAAAAAAGATAAACAAATTACCACACCATGAGTCAAATATACAGATGAATAATATATAAAGAAGGTAGTTGGACGCTCACCAGGTTGCCTCTGATGGACTAGGGGCCTTGAGGAAGGGTCCATCAAAAATGGATGCTCAGCAGGAATCCCGTGATTGCCGGACCTGCCAAGAAGATTGATGATGGATGTGCTACGACCTTGACGTCTAGATCCAAAAACTTCAAGAGGCATCACACGTAACGTTTCATTTGAAAAATTGTTGCCCCCACCAAAAACCTCAATGTGGTCAAAAACATTGATCCCATTGATACCGTCCTCAAGCCTAAAAATGACACCCTCACCATCATCTTCATCATCTTCCTCCTCCTCAACTAGCACATCCTCGTCGAACTCATCATCCATCTCATGATCTTCCTGATCTGTGTCCTGGTGTGACAAGCGATGGACTTCATCTTCCTCCAAATAATTGTGCTCCTCATCCTCTTCGTCCTCATCATCGTCGTCATCATCATCATCATCTTCTCCTTCTTCCCCTTCACCCCCTGACATATCCTCATCATCATCTTCATCACCCACATTGCCTTCCATGTTCCGTGGGATATCAAATCTAATTTCCACCGTTGCAACAGTATTCTCATTGTCTCCACCTGCTTCAGAACTCTCATGCATAAAGTCATCTTCTCCTTCAGGAGCAAAACCTCCAACTAAATCTCGATCATGGTCCATATCATCTGTAAGGAAATCACCACCACCTGATGCTTGAACTGTATTGAAAGCTTCTATTTGTTCCGTAGCTGCCGCATTACCATCAGGCTGGGACATGGTCTCCAAGGCCTGAAACCTGTTTCCAGTACCATCAACATGTTCTTGTTGAGTTTCATCTGCAGGCTTCATTGAGGTGCTCCCCTTCTGAGCATTACCATCAGCAGAATGGACATGTTCTTTTGTAACAAGTTCCAGGGCCTTAATAATTCCACTAACAACCTTCAGTGACTCAGCATTGTCCAAGTCCAAAACTTCTAGAGTTCGAGTCAATGACTTAACAAGTCCAACATCTATAAAAGACACTGAAGCTTCAGCTGAAATAGGTGAGCCTGTGGGCAACCGAGCAGCTAAGGCATCATTAAGCAAATCAATAAAAGCATGTATTTCAGTTGTTGGAGGCCTGGAAGAATCTGCTGAATTAACAAACTCATTGAAAACGCTATTAATATCAGTGAAAATTCTTCTTCGGCCTTCAGGAGAACGTACAGAAGATGCCACCAAAAACTGATTAGCTCTGGTGACCAATTTATGCCTCCAGTCCCCCTCTGTTTTCTTATCCTTCTTCTGCATCCCAGCATGGGGAAGGAACTTGTGAAGAACATGATAGAATATCCCACCAAAATTCACAGAAGATTCTCGAGCAGGACTATGAAAATTACAAACTTCAGTGTCCCTACGGAGGAGGACATGTATCGATGAAGGATAAGTCAACAGTATTTCAGTCAACAACTTCAAAATGAAAACTGTCTTGGCAAGTGAAGACAAAGATTCTTGGTTCTCAGCGTTACTGCCGTCAGATGGGACTACAACAGCTTTGCCCTTGCTTTTCACCGAGTTGCTATCAATTTCCATGTCTGCTAATGGAGTACAAGCAGCACCATGAATCATATCTTCAACTTTTACTGGGGGGGAAAAGGTTATTACTGAATCCAAAAGAAAATCAATCACAGCTGTGAAACTTTGTGGAGATTTTCTATGAACCTTAGCATTTTTTATGATTGATTCGGGTGACTTGCTATGCACCAAGTTCACATCAACTCCAGACCCCTTGCCATCGGTTGCAGGTTGTTTGTCTTTATCTGAAGCTCTATCTTTCTCTTTCAACTTCTCTTTCTCACGATCTTTCTTGAGAACGACATAAGATCTCTCTCCTACTGTCTCAATTTGGCAAACAGACTTGGCAGCTTGCATAAACAGTACCGGATCCCTAAAAATTACAGAAGCAAGATTTTGAACAAAACTGTGAGGCGTCACCCTTCCATTTGAATGTCTGCTAGCAGCTGCCACTAGGCTACGTCGTATTTCAGACTCCATTGCTTGCTGGAGAGTCTGTGGATCCTCAAGAATATGACGTACGATAGAAGATGCCACATTGTCAAACCCAGGAAACAGACTACTGGTTGGCAAGCTAAACAGCGCCAGCAATCCTCCTGCATCAAGAAAATTAACAGCTACAGAATGAACTTTAGTAAGAGTAGCACACAGCTGTAGCACAACGTGCATCGTTTCAGAAGGCAATTTATTCTGTATACATTTGCAACAAATCTCAATAAGCCTTTTCTGATCATTTGCATCTAGAGAACTGACGGCCAATGCCCCAGACTGTAAATGGGGTTGCTTGCTTTCATCAATAACTAAAGGAGACTGACCACTATGATCACTTTTCTTTAGCTGTTCTGCAACCCTGGTCTCAAGAGCCACCTTTGGATCAACCTGCAACATTCTATCTATGGCAAGAAATGATGTAGTCACATATTTGGGGACTTGGATATTCTCGCCAGCATGTGAAGCAGGGACCCACTCAGAAAGAAGATCCAAGATGATCTTTACCAACCCATTTCTCGAGGCAACTTCCCGTGATGCTGTATCTTCATGAAGAATTAATGCAATGACATGGAAAAGAGCTGCCAGCTTACCGCTGTTGCTCGGATCAGATATAGAACAATGTCTCAAATGATCAATAATGGAAGCTAGAACCTTAGTTCTGTTTTCACCGCTATCCTGACTACAGACCATAACAATGAGGTCCCGAACAGGAAATGCCAAAGATTCCTTCACCTGCATTAGTTTTATGCATGACGATAACAACTCATCCACAGATGGAGGCTGCACCAGTTCTTCATGGTCAATATTGCCGGCATTGGTAGATGCATCCTCCTTTAGTGATGTAACAGTGTTCCCCAATGACATTGCAAGAGCACGTGCAAGTTCATCATCTTCTTGTGGTTCCTCAGGGTGTGAGAACAACCAATCTGTTGCCATCTCAACGCTGTTTGTGCCCACCTGTCTCAACGCTTCCTCAGCCCTAGGCCGAGAAAAGCCCATCTCTACAATCAATGAAATCGCGGACTCATCTGGAGGTGGGCCAGCAACTCTACTTCCAGCGATGCTGTTTACATTCCTGACCTCAACTCCAGAATAAACATGCCTCATGATAGAAATAATTGTTGTGATAAAGTCAGAATCACAATCAGAAAAATGAGGGTGATTCCAAACTGGAAGAACCGCATTCAGCACCTTAGATTGAAGCACCTTGACAAATGTCTCAGCATCACGTGGGAATGGAATATTCACGCTAGTGAGGGGTTGTTCAAGCAATTGCTTCGTCGTAGAAGATATGATAAATGGCGACGTCACCAGGTGGTCCATAAGTGTACCATAGCTAGCCAATGGACCATATATCCACGAACGATCTGTTTCCTCATTTTCAACCTGTCTGACACTGTCAGCATCTGTTTCCATTGGAGAAGCTGGTGCTCTGTTGACTGCAGAGAGCAACTGGCTTGTGGCTTCAAAGGTGGTCAATATAGCTTGAACAACTCCAGAACCATAAAAACAATTCACCATAATAGGGTTGCAAGATTCAGGCTTGTCTAAAAGGATGCCATCAATAAAATCAACGACCTTACCAAGGTACCGGCATTTAGTGTGTACAGAAACATCAGCTGTAGATGAGACGGCCACATGTCCACAAAAGTTCAAGTGATCCAATATGATGGCAGCAAAGATAGAAACAACAGACTTGGCTGAGGCTGAGACATTCACAGGATCATTAGCCCGTCGAGGAGAAGGCAACATTGCATTCCCCAACTCCAGAAAGAGATGACCAATATGATAAGCAAGTGACCTCAACATTTCACGACAAGAATAATACGATTTCCGCTTCTCACCATCTGCTGTACTAACAGTACCTTCATCTGAAGGACTGGATGAATGAGACTGGGGACCAGTTAAATTCACAAGACCAGGATCATCTATGTCCAATCTCCGAGGAATTCTAGAAGAATGGTTGATATCACGATACATATTAATAAGATCGAAAAATTGAGATTCGATGCTCCAACCAGACCCTCTTCGTCTAAGCAGTGGATCCACATACTGCCTAAAAGAACTGAGCCTACGTTCATCATTTTCATCTACAATGGTGTTTGAACTTTGTGCTTCACTTGTGGAAGCTGAGTTGTCAATATCTGTTCCAAGCTTTGCATCCTCAAGGAGTGCAATTTGCCATAGGACTTCCCGGTGAAGGCGGCCGACATCCTCCAGGACATCTCTACTGCCATTTCCGAATTCTGTAAGCAAAGCAGATATCCAGCGGTTGTCTTTTGAAGCAGCAAGGAAAAGAAGAAACTCAACAACAAAAAGAGGAGAAAAAATCGAACTGTCTGATGTAGCAAACGGGGACAGTATAACCGAACCAGAAATTGAATTAAAACCACTTAGGGCTTTGGCCAAATGTTCCCGAAGAGAAGTGCAGAAGGCATTTGCCAGAGGAGCAGAATGATGCTGGGTAAATCCCTTAAAAACCACAGTACTATGCAGAGCAATCGGCATTCCATCAGAGGATTGTGCAATATTTGGCCGCAACAACAGTCTCATCAAAGCTTCTATACCTTTCTTCTCAACAAACAACCTACAAGTCTCGGTATTTTCTGTGACACGATGAACAAGTACCATCACGTGAAAGATGCACATCTGAACAAACTGCTCCTCGCTAACACCATCAGCATTGGAGTCCATGGAACTAACCAAATCATGTCCTTTCTGAGACTTGTCTTCATTTTCTGTTTCCATTGCAGTATTCTCATCCAACTTACAAGAAGGCCCAGAGAAGTTTTGATCCCCCAATGAAGCAAGCTTTTCAATGATTTCAATAATTATGTCTACACCAGCACTTCTCAAAGAAGACACATGACGCAGTAGCTCCTCCATTGCATTAGCAAGAAGAACAACACCTTCGTTCATTGCAACCAGATATTTTTTCAATGAGAAGGTGTCAACGAGAAAACGTAGTGCGGCAGTTTCCTTAACGGCTTCCAAACCTTTTGCATTAAGGCAAATGGCTCCAAGACCACTAGGAATACAAATGAGCGCTTTTGCAGATGGGAGTATTCCAGATGACACTGAATATAGAAAAGCATCAGGAAGACCAAGTTCGTGCAACAGGGGAAAGCATGTAGGATCCTTATGGATGATCTCACTCATAAGAGTCACTGCCGAAAAATATATGTCACCACCAAATTTTTTCACATTGCGAAATATTAAAGACAGCGAAGCAGGCAGTATATTTTCGGAGGAGTTCTGAGATCTTGTAGAGTTTGCAGGAGAATAAGTTGCAGAACCAAGTGCCTTCAGCAAAACTTTGATAAGCCGCTTCTGAGAATATATATTGTTATCATCAACTTTCAATGAATCACCAGTAATCATCCCACTGGTACTCTCATCATCCGCCCCAATAACTCTATGTACTTCGATTTGTAACCGCTGAGATAAAATTTCTACTCCTCCAAGATCCTTGAACAAGGACACAGCTGGATTACTGTACTCCATCAGCTTCTGAAGAATCTTAACAGCGGAATAGACGAGATGCATGTGGGAAGGATCACTGTCCTGTAGAAGAGGCAAAAGTGGGGGAACCATTCCTAGTCCTCTTATAGCACTACCCGAACTTGAGGAAGATAGAACATGAAGCAGGAAAAATTGTAGAAGAGCATTGACAAATAAGAGATGAGATGGATCAGTGACATTATTCAGTGATACTACAGCTTTCTGTAATTCCGTTAATAGCATCATTCGGTTTCCCCCAGCAGAAATAATGCTTGATCCACTCAATACTCTTGCCCGTTCATGAGATGATGTATAAGCAGCAAGCTGAGCCCCCAGTGCAAGCATAGCAAGTGATCTTACAGTCCCTGGGACAGAGCCTTCAGAACGGACGAGCGAAATCAATTCATTCGTGTACCCAGGTTCATTAGCAAAGAAAGAAATAAGTTCATCGTGGGCGTCACTGGATTGAACCAATACAATGAATGCAAGAATGCAAACCCTGGCGTATATCTTGCATGTCCGGCGTGAATGGAAGGCATGAGCATACCTAATCCTTGAGAGTAATGAAAACCTGTGCTCTGGAGGTACATTGTATTGCTGAACAAACCGCCCCAGAAGGGCTAGGTCATCCTCCTTGCATAAATGCAGATCTGGGATCTGTATGACACATAAATTAGTAGCTGGGTTACTGTCGCTGGTTTCTCCCCTTCCCTGGGAAGCAGGCACATGGAATTCAAAATGCAAAGTTGAACCCAGTCGACTTTGAGTTCCATCACGTGTAATCTCTTCCGATGGAAACAAGCACATTCCATCATCCTGGGCTTCCTCTGTTGCCACAACACAGGAGGACAGACCCAATCCTTCTTCCTTGCTTCCCCAACCCTGCGCCAGAGTCAACAGGTTGTGATTCAAAGAGCCACAACCGATCAACTTTCCACTTCCATGGAGTTTGGAAGGGTTTATTTTCACAAGGGCACCGAGAGTTTCCAGTGTAGCTATAAGTATCTCAGGATCTCTTGACGCAAGAAGAAGCTTGAAATACTGGTAGATAAAGAACAACAAATTCAGATGTCAGATACCACAGAAAAAATCAGTTACGAAAAAAAGATCCTACTGATACTTGTACGCACCTCCAAGACACCAAAGGAGCTCTTGTTGTGGCAATTCTCTAAAATAATCTGCATGACTCTCAGAATTTGTAAAACTGAACTCTTGGGAAACTTATCTTCATCATTCATATCATCAGATAGAAGAAGATCCTTCCTACAAGAAATGTATGTTTTGAAATATGTTTCAAAATGTAAAAACAAAGGCCTCCAGTGATGAAAGTTTCCCTGAAACCCAAAGCACAGGTTTAGCTGGAGCAATGCCCAAAATAGAAGACGATAAACAAATAGCTAAATCAATTGCAATAACCTTGTTGTATTCCCATCGGAAGCCTGAAAGAGGAATAGCTATGTCATGTAATGGACACTTAATCACTCTGTCAATGAATTCTTTGGCATTTGGAGGCTGCAAAGATCCAAGTAGATTTACATTAATCCTAAAAAAATAAACAATATGCAGACACAAACACAAGAAAAGCCTCTGGATGCTCATAAGCTTTGGTCTGTAGTAACACATTAAACTTTAAAGAAGGGCCCTTCAAAAGTTTATGGTGGATAGAATTCTATGCATGATCATTGGTGGATAAAGGCTTGAGCAAAGAAAATTCGATAAGATTTTTCAAATGAAACCACATGCAAAAGTAACAGTCACAATAGAATCTGGTTACGAATATATGAATAAGACAATGAAAAGGCAAAGGAAATTCCCCAAAAAAAAACATGCTAAAGACATAATTATACATCAGAAAAGATAAGAACAAAAATGACCGAGAGAAAAAAATGGCATATGAAGAAACAGAGATAAAAGGGAACGGCGACTTTGTAGAAAGACAAAGGCACCAAGAAAAAAGTATAATCTCCAAGACCACATCTTAATGCAAAAGGGAGGAAACCCTGTCTGGAGTGCTTTCACAGTGTAAACTACCATGCTTTCTGTTTGCCCAAAAAACCATGGGAAATAAATCCTCAACCTACTGTAAAATCCTAAGAATCAACAAAACAAGCAAGGGTCAAAAAAGGATCAAGTTCAAACCCAGTCGAATGTTGCCACTACCTTTGCATAGGGGCATGCCCATTCCCATCCGATCTCCCCAACATATAATACATCCAATCGATTGATTATTCAAATAGAATCGTTTATGGAAAAAAGAAGAAAAGAATATCCTGTACTTCACTAGTCATAACTTCTATTTTCATCAATGACGAGTTTTGATAACTAGAAATGATATGGCATCCATTTACTCTTCTATGCGGGTAAATTTCTAGTCCTTTTGCTTACACGTGGACTTCAAAAATTGGATTGCAGCATTATAAGCATCATTTTGTCTGTACTTAAGGGTAAAAACCAGAGAATACATCATCCATTAAGAAAAAGAGGGCCGGCTTCGCCAACTAGATTAAGGCTTGTGAACTGAAAAAATACAATTCAAATAAATACTACACCAAACGAATGTTGCAACCACAGAGCGAATGGCCCATTCAATCAACTCTGGAAATAGATCCCTGGAAAAATTAAATCCCTGAATCGAAGATTGTCATAAAATGGGATAGAGAGAAGACATCTCGATATTTTTACAACATGGTAGAAGTAAAATCCGATATAACCATCTCTATACCCAACATAGCTAGTTAGACTTGTATATGAGGTATACTTTTGCAAGATAGATCATGACGAAGAGTTTTCCCAGTTTTGTTACTCAAGTAAGAGCACATTCTCTCAAACATTCCAGAAAAGCCTCCACTACCTCCTTCGAATGAAAACCATAACCTTGGAAAGTAAATCAAATCCACTTTCACATATGCTGTTTAATGCTCAATCCACTCATTCCTCGCAACCCGAAAATTCTCCTTGCCTATGATACTTCTGAGTTTTCAAATTATAATATTTTCAAACGTTTTATAGTACAATCCTGATTTATAAAAAAAATCCATGCACTGCAATAGAGCTCAAAATATTCAGTATCTTTGTAACGGCTTCAAAAGGTCGCAAAAGTGGGCGTTAACTAATCATGAAAAAAGCTACATGTTGCCATTGAGACCGTCCAATCAAGAAGAATGACAGTTTCATAACGGTAATTCTCTCCACTCGGAATTTATTTACGACAGCAGATAAATCAAACAAAAATCAGTAAACTTAACCACGGGACAAAGTTCTGCACATCATGACATGCTGGGTATTTTCTTTTGCCAAAGACCTAGCAACTGCTGCATTTGGGACTACAGTATGTCGAGACAAAACCAGCAGACTCACCTGTGGGGCAATGTTCTTCATATTCATGCAATGTTTAGTACTTATTTTTTCCAAAAACCAATCAAATGCTGCATAATTCACTTCCCCATGTTTCTTTAACACTGACAACAGACTCCCGATAAGATAAGTGGTAAAAATTACGCATCTCAATTCATGATTCTCATACGAGACCCTAGTGACAAGTGAGGGAAAAATTAAAAATTTCTAGCAGCAAAAGAAGTGTAAGACAATTATCTTTTGGAGAAGATGTTAATCATAGGCTCAACGTAAAAACTATATGGGTTTGTATCTTATCTTCACCAAGATGGCAATTTATTATGCCCATGAGCAGCGGAGAAAAAGAGGCAGGGCGAGAGCTCAACGAGATGGGCAAGTGAATCACGCAGTTGTCTCACAGATATATAGACAGAACAATCATTAAATCCATTAATTCTCCGATAAAGGAACAACGCAACTTCCGCGGAGCTAAACGGGCAAAAAGCAATAGAAGAGAAAAAAGAAAACCCTAAAAAACAAGCATGAAATTAAGAGAAGTGGGGCAATAGGTCAACGCAGTTGGATAGGAGAGAGAACTAACAGGCTCGGCCTCCAACTTAAGCGAAGGGACCACAGTCCGCCCACCGGAAAGGATCTGCTGGAGGCGCAGGGAGGGGAAGGCCGACCTCTGGTGGGCCGCCATCTCACGTCGGCAGGCCCTATTTTTCTCGCTGTTCTCCCTATCGCAACGCGAGCAGCGGCGGCGGGAGCAACCGTCTCTGAGCACTACACAGCTTACAAAATATCAACAAATGCAAGAGAATAACCTGACCGAAAACACTAGGACAGGCGAAGCGAGAGGGCGAGGGGGGGCATAAAAGCATACATAAAATATATATGGGAAAGAGAAGGGCGTCGCAAGGTCGGCGAGGACGTAGGGTTTCTAATGTCGAAGGGTTGATCGGAAGGACGCTTTGGCCGAAATGGAGAGAGGGATACGTCGGCAGCAACGATCAAGCGAAGCTTCTGTTCTTCTTCGACCTTTCGGGGCCGGTATCGTCTTTCGCCCTTATCGAACCCGCGGGGCACAATCTTTTAGAGAGAGAGAGAGAGAGAGAGAGAGGGTGGGCGGGGGAAGAGAGCGAGAGAGAGAGAGAGAGAGAGAGAGAGAGAGAGAGAGAGAGAAGAGGAGAGGGAGAGGGAGCTGCTCGTGGTCTCCGAACCTCCCGTGTGTTTTTAAGCGCACCTCCTCGCCTTCCTTTCTCTGCTAAATTGCTTTCGCTACACGACGAGGAACCTGGGCGGACGAAAAATAATCAACGGTCATCTCACCGTCGGATCGGTGGCCCTCGGGGTTCACTGCCCGTTGACACGTCACCGACCCTTTAGACCACCGCCAAGATCACCGCCTCGTTGACGGTGATGCGAACGAAGAAGGGGAAGATGGTTGGAGGAGCACATTTGCTGCGATCGATTTCGATTTTCATCCAGATCGAGAGCCCGAGTCCGTCGTTTTGGTATCTCACAATGACGGGCACGGCCCCCCGTTGAGGGCTCGCCCAGATGGATGGACGGATGGATGGAAGGATGGGCAGGGGAGTGCGGTGGCGGGGAACGCCCTCCCTGACCCCCCAGCGAAAGTCGTCGGACGACCCCGTAATTCGCTTGGAAGCTGCTGCAAAAACTAATCCCACGGTCGACTCAGGCTTTGGATGAACCGAAATCTGAGAACGATCATCTGCGTCGCAGCGCCCGCAGCTGCGGGACGCTGGTCAACGCTGCTCACGCTCTGACCATGGGATCATCTTTCATGGATTTTTCTCGCAGGGCCTGACGCACGGATGCTCTTGGCCCGGCGATCTCACGCCGACGTCTCCCGAAAACGATCCGAAACTAGCTTGAGAATAATTTCTCCGCCGTCCCCAGAGAAGACCGTGCTCGCCCAATTAGCGCGGGGGATTTCCCGAACCCGGACGGAGAGATCCTGGGTGCTACTACGCTCGACTTCTCTGGACCTGCTGCGTGCTGGCTCGTTCTAGATCGATGCCCAAGCCTGCAAGCCAAATCCCCACTGCTGTGTCATATTATCGCCGGTTACTCTTCCCTTTTGCGGCGCCGGCGGACGACCTGCACCGACGCGTCGTATTTGAAGCAGAGAGTTCTGCCCAGAAGCTACAGAGTGATGGAACCTACGAAGCCACAAGCCGGCGCGAGTAGCATTCACAGCACAAACAGAGTAACTGGGGGGTGGACGAAGGTTGGATGGCGCCGAAAGAAAAGGAGCCAGGTGGCTCTGACATTTGCTGCCTCAGGCCTCAGACCTCAGGCCTCCGCAATTCTTGATCAAAACAAGACAAGATACGAATTTTGGAAGGAGTAGGAACCAAGTCCATCGTAGACGAGTACCCGAACGTACCAAGAATCAGCTGCGCTTCCGCTGACTTTTGCTGTCGTCACTGCTTTGGGATGCAGGCGGATATCAAACATGCGATCGGCACGGGGAATCTGAAAACAATCGTTGAACCACTAAATAGCCTTCTCCCCCTCCCCGCCGCGTATTCCAGGAGGACGAGTGGCGGAGGAGGGGCATTGCGTAATCTCCGAGTGTTTCTGAGGATCTTGGACCCGCTGGTGCTGCTCTTTCTCAAACTCTCACGCCTAGCCGATGGCACAATTGCATGCGGGGCATCTATCTCATCGAAATCTGAAACAAAACAAAAACAAAAAGTTGTAGTCTGATGAAAAGAACTAGAGGAGGTGGTGTCCTTCGCTTCGCTGAAGGAAGAAAGACATGGCGTCAATGCGTACGTCCTTGAAGGCTCGCCCAATCATACCGTCGTCCTCTGGTCCTCACTTACCCCAGCGGAGTTTGAAAGAACAAGGATACTGTGGAGCGTCCCGCCGTAGACCACCACTCTGTTCTCCGCTCGTCTCGGCTCCTCCTGCCGAGGACTCGCCTCCTCTGTGTCCTCCCGCCCTCTCCCCCTATTCTCCAAAGACCCGCCAAGAGACGTTACGTGGAGGAGATGATATCAGCTCCTCCTCCGCTGCGCACGTGCCGGAAGGGCCGCACCTTCCCACCCACGGCGTGTCTCGTCCTCGTCCATTACCCGCACCTTCTGGTCGCGTTCCCCTTCGGAGAAGAAGGAAAGGCGACACAGCAGAGGGGGAGTGGGGAACATCGAAACAGGGGAGTGGAAGCAGCAAGACAGGTGAGCGTCGCGTCTTCTCGATCGGAGCAGCTCCCTCGGGGGCCGTTGCCGCCGACCCCACAAAAAAAAATTGTGGGTCGTTCGTTCTTTACAACATAAATAACTGATGAAATGACTGATGACTGATGCCCAACAACATAAATATAAATAGATTAAAGCATTCCCCTTTTCCGGGCAGAATCGTCCTGAAAATTCTACTTTCCGGGCGCATCTTTTGGAAGATGATGAGAGAAAATGTGGCCGGCAGCACAGAACAACTACTGGTCGATCGAGTTGAATGCATAGTAGGGAGACAGCATCCTACGATGGAAAAAAAATACAGAACAAAATCATACAACCAGTGAAACTATATGACGGCATTGTCATTACAAATGGAATGACATTGACCGAGACCACTTCCGCGCACACCCAGATGGGAAAATTCTTATGCCAGAACGAATGCAACCCGTGGGTCATTGACCTCCTTTTCTCAGGATCCTCGTTCTGACACCTCCTGCGAAAATCAATCATAAAACTTCACGAAATATTCCTAACATGCTTATCATCCACAAAAAGTCTTTGGCTCTTCAGTAAAAAGAACAATACAGGAGGGCACTCGTATAATTTTCCAGATGTTATTCCTAATTTTTCATACTGCTTAAACCCACCGGGCACATGAGATGACTCCCGGAACCATCATCTGTCCCATATTGTCGTGGAAAATTATAAACTACTCTCTCACACAGATAGATACCCATTAATATGAGTTATTCGTCACATACCATCAACCTCTTCACAATGAACTTCTTTCACCACATCAGAAGCTGCATGGTACTCAAACCTGTATAGTGGCCAACAACATAAGTGTCAGAGGATTTAGAGGACGAGTAACCATTTCATGGCAGGTCATTACTAACATACACAGCGGACGACCATCTTCATACCTTCAGCATATATACATGAAGGGTCAAAATCCAACAAAAAAAAAAGGGTCGCTTGACATATATAGGCCAAAATTCTTTTGGACTAAAAAAAAAACCTCACCGGAGATAACTTTGCATAAAAGATTAGTAATTTTCTATTCTTCTGTATGTTGAATGACGAAAGATAACAGTTAACACTTGAAAACATAAGGTACACAAATCTTGGGACAAAAACAGGGAAGATGCATGGGGAAAATTCCACATTATTTTGTATATATAGAGAGTTACCTGAAAGGAAAATCACTTGCAGATCTACAAAACGTGACAGAAATATTCAAGGTAAAGCCAACCGACAAGGCTGGTAAATCTCGCAAAACGACTTCCTGGGGAAAACAAGGTAGCTTAAAGGGAAAAGTTCATGTCATAAACAGTCTAGGTAGGCCGCCTAAAAGAGAGACGGAGAAAAAATTAACGAAACGACTAAAAAAATCTAGGAACGTTTGAAAATGTGGTCCAGGCTTGATTTCTAGCGACAGCATTATCTCTGTTTTCATCATCAAACTTCATGACTTTTAGGGCAACGGAAGGATAGAGAGAATAAAATTCAGTGAAGCTGCATCCAGGACAAAATATGCAATACATAACAATAAAATAGAGATTTCATTCTACAGAATCACATAGAAGTAAAATTATGTGGCTGCATTAATCAATACAAAGGCCTGATGAAGAGTATGCCTCCATAAGCCCCATATGTAGCATCTAATTCGATAAAGTTTACTAAAAACAAGGGAAATGGAGAATGCACCACAATCCTTAACGAATGTTCTTCAAGACTGGATCCAATTTAAGAAAAAGTTGCCCAAGATGCTAAACAGAGGTCGACTGTGGCAAGATTCTAGAACAGATCTACACATTTGCGAAAATTGGCTAGTCATTCTGCGTCATGGTAATAAAATATAAAGATTGAATTATGTGAGACTAATGATTATCATCTAATTTTTTCAGAGCTAGCAAAAGAGCTGAAGAAAACATTATAACAATGGAGAAAAAGTCAAAGTGGGTCCAGGAGTACAGGGAATGAAAATGATGCTTCAGTTCCTAGTCATTGGCCAAAAAGCATACCCATCAGAGTTGCTGAATGATGCTGAGTGCTCTGACTAGGTGGGTTCTAGGGAGGCTTGACTGAACTTTTGTATTCCGGCTATAGAAGACGGTAGGAGGGGAAGAAACAACAAACGCGCTGGTTGACATGATTAAAGTAGAGGAGAAAAATTTAGGGGGCAAGGGATGGTGATCTTGTCGATGGGTAGTCAGTAACATGGTCCAGAAAAGAACAGGTATGAACTTGAACGGGGGAGAAAGAGGAAAATACCATCTTCAAATCAGAGGAATGGAAGAGTTGGACTTCACGTTGGGGAACGAACTCATCACGATAGGGCTCACCCTAGAACTATCAATTGTCATGTCATCCTAAAGAAAGAACAACTGGCGCATGAAATATAATTTCCCCAGTATCGCCATTGCAGGCCATCAAAGCTTAAGCTTTCAACAGTCCGAGAAGAGGATTAGCATTTCCCTCTCAAAATGCTGTACTCCCCTTCCAGCACATTGAATAATTTTGATTCAACAGTGAACAGGGAACAGCGATAGAAAAATGATAAAGACATACTGTTTTAGGAGAAAAGAATTGGAGCCGTCCGGCTGACACAAATAAGAGAAAAACAGGCCAAGAGTTCCATTTAAGTCTTCCAGAAAAGACGGTCAATGATTTTTAGGCTGTTTTTTTTCTCTGGATGAAGGAAAAGGTTAAGTAAACAAATACACAAATGCCTCGAAGATATCAAAGCGTGATGAAAGGTAAACAGGTTGGAAGAGAAGACAAGAATAACATTAGATGGGAGCGGGAGAACCAGTAGGAAGTAGCTAGCCTCGCAGTGACAATTATGTGACTCATTCTTGGGACAATTAAGCAGCGCAGTAACACGACAGACATTGCTGAGAGAAACTTGTGCATCATTCTGATTACATAGCAGAGCAGCAATGGCATCATTTTGCAGACAACATGGCAAACAAAGACTTTCTTATTAACACAGGCCAACGTGACGCATCAGCAGTCCTCATTGTTCTGTGTTTCTCTATTTCCATCACCATCACCTTCAAACTAATATTTACTTACTTAATATGATCTGCATCCATCTTCAATATGAAATGGATAATTTATCAAATATCATATATGTGGAGCCTAACTCTTTTGAGCGAGAAAGAAACCTAGAATAGTAACATGTAAATCAAGCGAAACTGGAAAGGCTATGGAACTAGAAAATTTACCTGTTTAAGAAGGTTACTACAAGTTCATACTCAGACATTGTCTTCGTTGCTTCAATTAGCACTGTGACAATCTCTGTTTTACGAGTGGTAGCCATTAGACAATCATACTCTCTTGGGACAATTATTGCAAAGAAGTTATCATTCAATTCACTCAAGCATAACTTGCCAACAGTGGATAACACAATCCGCCGTTTAAGACTCTCAGTTTCCGGGTCCACAAGATAGATTGCAAAATCAGTGATCAGAAGAATACGTCGCTTCATCTTCCCTGACTCAGTGAACTTCAAAACCTTGTCAGCAAAAAGAACTTTCTTGTCACCTGTGTGGAAAAGACGAAATAGTGAATGGATAGTCCAAAACAGCACTGAGCCAAAACAAACTTGGAGGGAATTAGTGTGGCAAAAGAAGAGTTGGCATAGAGTAGGCTCCCCAATCAAACAGGTTTATGGCGTTAAGAGGGAATCCAGACGCTTTCCAAATGAATAGCGGTCAAGATTGGCGCCCAAGCATCAAAAATCATGCGAGCCCGTCCATTTATTCTCAAAACGAATAATAATTCTTGGTAACTTTCGGTTAAGAACGAAATTTTATATTCCTTGGAAAGTCGAAAATGTGTTGATAACTAAACAAAATGTGCCAACAAGAAATAATTAAAAAAAATCATATTCGAACCATAATTATGTTCTCAAAACGTTTTAGTCAGTACATGAAAAATGAAGAGTTAATTGGATGCAAACAACAAAAATGATGCCTTGAATTACAGCAGCAGCTGTTATAGCGTCTAATGGAGTATGATCTATTTATTTTTGTTGCTATCCAAGTTCAGCCATATGCTCCCCACAGTGACAACTTTGGCAATCATGTACATTTTGAGAAACAATATTTCAAGTTATTCCCATATTTATTATATTTGGGTTTAGAGTAGCAGAGGAAAAGATTTCCCATTATCTCATTGTTCGAAATACTAGGATAAATAATTTCTGAACATGCTTCGATATCTCAAAACCGATTAGCATATAAGCCCAATTTTCCAGAGACCCTAGAGTTCTGGTCATCGCTGAACACGGAATCAGCACAAGCGGTCACAAAATGCAACGTGTCCTTTTCTCGGATTTTAAATAATGACTGTGAGATCAATCAAGTCTTTAGACTCCACACCACTCTCAAACAATAATCATACAGAAACCCAGGATTTATGCATTTAAACGAACAGGGTAAAAATAACAGTAAAATTGGTGGCTAGTTATGCCATTTAATTCGTTAAAGAGAAATGCTTGAAGCTTTCGTGGCATCATTGTCCAAATAAGTGGACAAACGAACATGGGAAATCAATTGATGGTACCTTGTTTTGAGAGCAGTTTCGTAAGATAGGAATAAGATCGGACGTCGAGGTAATCCCCCCGGCATTCTCTGCGAATAGAGGCCAATCTCCTCATCTTGACGCCCATGAAAGGTTCGAGATCTCCCGCTATCTCGACGGAAGGCTGCCGATGCTCGTTGAATTCACTTTCATCGTCCGCCGGCTTCCCATGAGCATCGCGATCCACATCGACGGCCTCTGCGGCATGGACCCGGATCCTTGTCGAGGCCTTCCGTCGATCCATCAGGTATCAGAAAACAAGAGCGCAGCACCTCCCCAGCGTCCTTGCTAATCCAATTCAGAGGCAAGGTTTCCAAAAGGTAGCCTTCGGGACGAATGCCGCGGATGGATATAACATTCTATTCCGGAGGGGAGACTAATAGTGGGCCGTTACGTGCGACAGAATTGTCGGCCCAAACAGCCCATTTTCTGTCTTTGATGAGTCTCGAAGTCTGACGACGCCGGCAAGCGATTGCCGCCTGTAACGGGGCAAAGATCTTAGTAAAAGGTTCGACTCGAGAAGCGTTGTCCCGCGTCCATCTCGACACGACGGCTACGCGTGTCGTTACTTCAGCTGCGTCTGTTATTTCGCCTCGCTCCTCCGAAGAAGCAGAAATGGAGGGGAGGTCGATGGAGTCGGGGCTGAGGAAGCAAGGCCGCTCCTTCTTCATCTCCATGCAAGAAAGCTGGCGATACATGAAGGCCATCTTCACCGGCCAGGTGCAATCTCGTTGCCCCGGTATATACGTCTATCATCCATCTGTCCGTGTTCTGTGAGGCGTTACGTTCATCTCTCTCTCTCTCTCTCTCTCTCTGTGGACAGCTGAGAAAGGCCAGGGCTAGGACCGAAAAGGAGGCCAGCGAAGCGGACCTGCAGACGGCGAAGGCCCAGGTGGAGGCAGCGGATGCAGCGGAAGAGAAAAAGAAGCAGCTGGGAATATAGAGCCCTAGGTTTAGACACGCCCTCGGCTTTAGGACATCCTTCTTCGCACATAAGGATGTTCGTCTGCCCGCCGCTCCGTCTATGACGTATTATACTCACTTCCATATAAGTGTGATGTTGGTTTCCCCGGGTATCTGTCGGCCACCAGTCGATTAAATGAGTAGACACCCACCGACAGTTAATCTTGGTGAGCCGGTCTTCTTTCTCCTACAACCATAATGTCACCAAGGCAGAGTTTTCTGTCCAGAACCCTCTCCGACGGATGACCACTTATTCGATCTCAGGTGTTTCAAGAACAAGTCCAGGGAAATTATACGACGTTCAGGCCACCGTAAGTACACTCTTGGGCTCTTTTGTTCCCGGTTCTCTTCAAATACAATGATCGACTTGAAGACTTCTTGTTCACTGGAAGCCATCCAGATTTCGCTCCCCCATCTATCAGCCCGTCTTCGTCTCTGACTCCCTCTTCCATGATTACAACAAAAGGGCAACTTGGTAATCTGTAGATAATAGTTTTCTATTATGTTTAAAGTGTGAATTGCCATAGACTAAATCAGTTAATTAATAAGATGAAATTAGGTAAAGGGAAAAATGATCGATATTCGTAAGCTTTATGCTTCTAATTATTTTTTTGCTGGGCAGTGTTACAGATGTGATAATACAACAAATATCACATCAAAATTCAAAGATTTCAAATTGATGTAAATTTTACAAGACTTAATGAATGTCTTTTATGTTTAAATTTTAGCATTACTAAACTAGTTCTTGTCTTGATTTTTAAGACCTATTGAGTATAAAAGCAGTGTTTCACTAAAGTTGAGGTTTTAAAAAAGAAAACATTAGAGAGAGAGAGCTTCTCACATCATCCATCTTCTTCCACTAAGTTTTAGCTGTTGATCTTCAACCTTAAGCACTCAAAGAGTAAGAAAATCACTCGTGTCTAAGGTTTTAATGACTACTATTTGTATTTAAAGCTTCTTTTATTTAAGAGAAAAGCTTTTAAGCTAAATAAGTTATATATTGAATGGGTAATGATGTTAACCATAATCAATATTATTTATAATTCAATGATATCTCGGTTTTATAAGGTGATAAATTTTCATTATCATGAGTTAATAATTAATAAATAATATAGTTTTAGCTTTAACTCATGATAAATAGATTTATATTTGTGTTAAATTGTGAAAATAGGTTTTCAATTAGTTAATGTGATTTTTTGTGAATTTATATGATTTTTATAATCTTATTTTTGAGAAAAATAAATTAAAATAAAAAAGGGGATACCCGCGGGCCAGTTGGGTTTGCAAGTACGAGTTGGTAGCGTAGTTGGGGTGGAGTCATGAGCAAGGGCTTGAGCAGCAATGGATCATTAGAGGCACGTGTGTGCCACTCCCCTTCCACATCATCAGTGGCCAACTGACTGTGGGGCAAGGAGTGGTCGTAGATATTCAAAAAAGTTTCAAAAAATTTAATACTTTAACTACCTCTTATTTATAAGTGAGATGTACTATGATGATGTCACTTTATAAATGTATTATAATACTTATTTTGATATCTCTTATGTAGGTAGAGACTAGTGCGGATTCGAAGTATTAAGCTATGGCATCTACAACGGTATAAATTATTTGACATCATTAGCTACTTGGTGATATGGGAGTATCAAACTCTGCTCCAACTCTTCTCTATTGTGATCATAAAAGTGTAGTTCATACTGCTCATAATTCTGTTTTTTATGAGTGCATGAAACAGACTCTCGATGATTACCTCATCATGAATTTGAGGGGGGGGGGCGGTGTTAGTGTAACATGACCCATTACGGTCTATCACACTCACTTACGTTAGCCCATTACCTAGGGCTCCTTCCGTGCGGACGATTCGCCCCCCCTTTCTTCCTCTATTTTGATAGCTCATCTCCTATCCATCTTCTCGATGTCATTGTCTTCTCCTCCCTCTCTTTCTTCTCCCTCAGTTCACACATTACTCCACTTACTCACTAGGTTACCCTTCTCTGAAAGCTCCATGGGTCTTGCTGAAAATCTGAGTTTCAAGGTCTCAAACGAGCTGCTACTGAGAGGAAATAAGTATTTGGTACGGCATTTATAATTCCGGTTCCGAGCAATGGTTTTACGGCATGATCAAATCGAGTCTACCATTCTAACCGCAGTATATGATCTTTCATGCTCCCACGATTTGGGTCGCAACACATATTGACGTTTCTCGTGGGCAAAATCCTTTCCTTCGGCATATCTGTGCTCCCAACCGGTCTCCCGATATCCTCACTAGTAGTCGCCCTACCCCATTTTGCGTGACTGCGTGAGAAGTTTACCGCCGGTTATCGTTGGCTTCCCAGTTTTCTCTGCGCTTACCACCGTCCTACTTCCCCCCTAGGCAGTTGGGGATAAATCAAGACCACCTCTGCCCTCATGCCGGAACCAGTCGGGCGTTTTTTCGCCATCCTGGTCGATCGCGGAAAGGCCCATTTTGAATGACGAAGCAAGCCCAGAGCGGGCAGCGTTCAGTACTCGATGAATTTAATTAATGGCAACGATACTCAAAGGTAAGATGTCACGAGGTGGCCAGCAGTCTAAGCGTACCCGGCTCCCGCCACCGCTTCACATGAGTCGGGAGAGGCGCCGAGGAAGAGTGGCGTAAAACCCATCTTTGTTCGATCCCAGTGGCTGGCTAAACGATATTGAGACTCGTATTCCCAAGTTCTCCTCTCTGCCCCGGGCTCGGCTGCTAGTGGGCCAGCGGCAGCCAACCCTCACGTCTTATCTAATCCCTCGCGAAATTAAACGAATCGTTGCCCGGTGAAAACGGTGGCCATCGTTGTCCGTGGCTGAAGAAACAGAGATGGGCTTGGATTTCTCACCCCAGTCGAACAGATATGCAGCGTGAACAGATAACGCAGGAGGGAGGGAGGGGGAGGGAGCACGAGAAGGCTAGATCTTTGAGATAAGCATGTAAATTGTCCCTCTTCTTCTTCTTACCGTTGAATTGAGTTCGGATGGCGTCCTTGCCCCCCTCTGTCACCTTGAACGCCACCCTCGCCAAGCTCGAACCCGACAGCAGGAAGACGCCCAACGCTTCCCTACTGCTCGAAAAGGTAATCAACTTCTGCCCAAATTTCTCTACACCTAATTTCCTGCAAAAGCTCTCTCCTAATTCACTCCCCTTGTAGTCCCCGAATGACTGGATACGTGATGTGCTTTTTTTCGTCTTGAGCATCCTCTTTGGAGGGTTTTGAATCGAACGGTATTGGCCGGAGCATCATCTTTTCTATTCCTTCTTGTTTTGGTGTGCTTCCCCCCCTCCAATTTTCTGACGAAAACCCCAATGCGTCGAAAGTTCGTTGTCTCCACGCGCCTCTGATGATTTCGACGGTTCTTTCGCGAGTCAGTGGGCTCTTTCTCCTCGCTTGCATTCTTTTAGTTGCAACATTTGTTTGTAATTTCTACGACCCCGCCTCCTTTGCCCTTCTCTCTCGTACTTACTAGACCAGAACTCTCTTTGTGCTCGTTGACTTGCCAGAGAAGCCCGGAGCCGCTGTCTTTGAATCTCGGGGAAGCGCTCTCGGTCCTGAAAGAAGCCACTCATGTGGAGTCAGCTGTCTACGTTCCTCTCCTCCAGGAGTGCGTGGACACCAAATCTCTCCAGGGGGTAAACGCCCTCCACGGCCACATCTTAAAGACAGGAGCCCGCGAGGATGTATTCCTATCGACGTTCCTCGTTAATGCCTATGGGAAATGCGGGTCTATGACCCATGCCCGCAACCTGTTCGACGGCTTGCCTCGGCGGAACATTGTCACGTGGACGGCGCTCATGACCGGGTACGTCCACAATTTCCAGCCGGAGGAGGCCGTTCAGGTATTCATTCACTTGCTGGAAGCAGGTGTTTATCCCACGAATTACACCTTGGGAGCCATTCTGAGCGCGTGCTGCTCCCTACATGATCTTGCGTTGGGCAGGCAGGTGCATGGCTACAGTGTGAAGTATAAGGTCGGTGCCGCCGAGACCAGCATAGGGAACTCCCTCTGTGGCTTCTACTCGAAATGCGGAGGCCTAGATTCTGCGGTCAAGGTCTTCCAAAGTATGCCAGAGAAGAATGTAATTTCTTGGACGACTATCATATCTGGTTGCGGCGACAGTGGCAAAGCTGAAATGGGGCTGAGATTTTTCCTCACCATGCTATTAAATGGCGTGGAGCCAAACGAGTTTACTCTGACCAGCGCATTGAGTCTTTGTTGCGCAGCACAGGAGCTTGCCCTCGGACTGCAAATTCAATCCATGTGCATAAAATTTGGGTGCGAATCGAAATTGCCGGTGAGGAACTCAATCATGTACCTGTATCTGAAATGTGGAGACATCGACAAGGCAAGGTGGCTATTTAATGATATGGGGACCGTCAACCTGATCACTTGGAATGCAATGATGGCAGGACATGCTCAGGCGATGGATATTTCCAGGGATGATGTCTCAGCTCATCGCAGCGGTATTGAGGCTCTCAAGATATTCCAGAGGCTGAATCGATCGGACATGAAACCCGATCTCTTCAGCTATTCGAGCGCATTAACTGTCTGCAGCAGGTTGTCGGCCTTAGATCAAGGGGAGCAAATACATGCTCAAACGATCAAAGTGGGCTTCTTATCTGACGTAGTCGTCGGCAGCGCGCTGGTGAGCATGTACAGCAAGTGCGGCAGTGTAGAGAAAGCATGCAAAGCGTTTGTAGAAATGCCGACAAGAACAATGATATCCTGGACTTCCATGGTCACCGCCTATTCTCAACATGGGCTGACCGAAGAGGCATTGCGGCTGTTTGGCGACATGAGGTTCGCCGGAGTAAGGCCAAATGAGATTACATTTGTGGCAGTTCTCTCGGCTTGCAGCCAGGCAGGTATGATCGAGGAGGCGAAGAGGTACTTTAAAATGATGTGCAAAGAGTACCGAATAAAGCCCGTCATGGATCATTACGCGTGTATGGTCGATTTGTATGTAAGGTTAGGCCTGCTGGAAGATGCACTTGACTTTATCGAGCAAATGCCCTTCGAGCCAAACGAAGTGATCTGGTCCATGGTGATCGCCGGCTGTAGGAGCCAAGGGAATACAGAGCTGGCTTTTGTGGCTGCTGGCCGGTTGCTCGAATGCAAGCATAAGAGCAGCGAGACGTACATGTTGCTGTTGAGCATGTACATCTCGGCAGAGAGGTGGCAGGATGTATCGAGGGTGAGGAAACTGATGAAACAGGAGAGGATAGGAGGCATCAAGGATTGGAGCTGGGTCAGTATAAAGGGAAAGGTTTATTCGTTTGGAGCAGACGACAGATCTCATGCACAGAGTGCCCAGATGATCGAGCTGCTGGAGTCGTTGCTTCAGAAAGCAGCAAGAGACATGGGATACGTTCCCTATGTAGGCCTAGATATGACAGAGGGCGAGTGTGACGAGAAGAAACCCCCCTCCGTTCGCCATCACAGCGAAAGGCTGGCAATTGCTTTCAGTCTGATCAACACAGCTGAAGGCACGCCAGTGAGGGTTGTCAAGAACGTTAGTATGTGCAGGGATTCTCACAGCGCTATAAAGTTCTTCTCGGTATTGACCCAGAGAGAGATCCTTGTGAGGGACAGCAAGCGACTCCACAGGTTCAGAGAGGGTAAGTGTTCCTGCGGTGACTTCGGCGCATTCTTGTGAAAGCTCTTTCAATGGAACGCCTTCACTGGCGAAGTCCAGATTGCTCACACTGCTGGTCGTGCTTGCTTCTGGATGCCACGTCTGCTTCCTACTTGAAGAAGGGGCTTGAACATTTTTTCTGGCGGGTTCACGGTACTCCTGATGCCCTGGCCGGATTGACGATCTGCCAGGCGTGGCTGGCGGTGGCGCATTTAGACTTGAGACAGGCCCGGCCCGGCGTAGAAAATCTGCGGCCGGCGGACCCGGTCGCCATTTCTCTTTCTTTTCCGTTTCCCATTCTGGTTTACTGAAGGAAAGCGGTGGATGAGGCGGTAAACTATACGGGCGGCGATTGCCGCCACCTGCAAGCTCCCGAGGGCCATGTGTAGTGTCCTGCTCAAATACAAGACACATTTCTCACGTACCATGGTCACTCGTCTCTAATAATAATGTTGGGCTTATCGACTGCTCCTATCCTGCGTCCTTGTTTATCATCCTTGTTGTCTCGTAGCGGGCGTATAAATTGGAAGTGAAATTTTCCGTAAAAAAGCTGAATTTTCCAGCGAGAGTGAGGCCTACGACGTGATACGGTCAACGCCGGTGCAGATCTGCGACTTGCTCGTAATATATGTTACCCACTTGGTACGAATGTGTACAAAAACATCAAGACAAGCTTTGGAGATGACAAAATCATATATAAATAAGAAAGCACGAAGAAGTGATGCAGCGTGCGTCTAACTCAGTCTCTTTGTCGAATGCCTGACGTTCTCACCCTCACACTACGCAGCTCTCTTCTTGATTCACGTCCCTGTCTCCAATCATTAAGCAGCTAGACGGGAGGGCCTACTGCTGGAGTGGACAATCCTTTCCCCCACAAGCCTCTCACTTTTGACCAAGCTTGAGAGAGGGGGTCTCCCCGTCGATTTCGAGCCATCCGAATGAGGGACGTTGCGGCAAAGAAAGCAAATTCCCACGAAATAGACGGCACAACGCGGCTACGTTATCATCAATCTCTTCCCCGAGATGACGTCCGTTCCGAGTTACATACAGGCGGCATGAATTTGATCGGCCTCTCGTCGAGCATCGACAGAGCAAATGCGTCCACCGGTGCACAGACAAGTCCAGGCCAGAGGGCGGGCTGGTTCTAACAATGGATCGGGCCACGTGTTAGACAACTATTCGCGTCCCGGTTCTCTTACACCCACGTGTGGTCAGAGGGTCACCCAAGCACGGCGGCGCGTCTCCGGCAAGAGTCGCGCATCTCTCATGTCACCCCAAGTGTTTGCGAAGCAAACCAAGGACACAAAACACTGACACACCCAACCCACAAGCCACCATCCTCCGCTCTTCTCTTCCTTCCCCAACTTGGCTACAGCGGCCCGAGCCCAGAGTTCAGAATCGGGCATTCTCGAAACCGTGCAGGTCGCTCACCCGGTTCAGCGACTTCCTCATGATGGCCAGCTTCGCCAGCCTCTCCGCGGCACGCCACGCGGACATCGGTGTCAGAGCCTCCGCGGCCGCACTGTTCTCCAAGGCCGAGGGCGTCGGCCGCTCTGTGATCCCGTTCCTCCTCTGCTGCCGCCATCGGAGTTCTTGAAGCTCTGCCTCAACGGCCCGGAGGTTCTCGTCGGGGCAGATCGAGCTGCACTCGAGCAGCAGCCGGCGGGCTGAAGCGAGGAGGTGAAGCCCCGTGGCGAAGTCACCGTTGTCTGCTAGGCGCTGAGCCTCCGCGATGGCCCGGGCCGTGATGAAGACGTTCCGCAGATGCTCGACTTTGGGCGCGGCGGCTGGACGTTGGCGGCGGGTGAGAAACACCGGGAGGGTATGCTCCCCTCCGTGGACCAGCTCCTGAGTGGCGGGGTTTCTGTATGAGTAACTCACCAGAAGGGGCTGGAAGGCACCAGCGCTTAGGACGGCGGAGTTCATTCTCAACTCCACAAGCAGCTCTCTCTCCTCGCCAGCATACATGTCCCCCATTCTCAAATTACCCCCACCGCCGAGGGAGACGGGCCGACTGCCGCTGGAGTAGACGGAGCAAACCTCGCCGGAGGGGAAGGAGAGCTCAAGGCGTACGTCATGGCACACAACACTGAGAAGACCTCCCACACACCGGGCGAACGAATCCTCAGCGTGTTCTTGGTGCTCCTCGGCACCGAAACCTGACTCGTGGATGGGTACCTCGAGGTGAGCGAATCGCGTTCTTGCAGAATAAGACGTGTGAGACGAAGGGCATTCCCGCCGCCGCCTGCTACAGTCATCCTTGTGCTGCTGACTGTCGGTGAGCAGCACGACGGCAGCCACCGGGTTGCTCTCCCTCCGGTCTTCGAGCACCTTGACTGCCTTCCTGAGCCCCTCCCTGGCGGATGAGCCCTCTACACAGATGAGCCTCTCCACGATCCGCCGGGCCGAGCGCTGCCCGTCCGGTGACATCCTCCGCAGGGGGAGCAACCTCTTTGCGGAGGATGCGGAGATGGCTACTATGGATAGCCTGTCACAAGGCCCAAGGGAGGAGACAACGAGGCGCATTGCCCGTTTCAGCATTTGGAGTTTCGCGCCCGTCATGGTCGTCCCCACGTCAAGCACTGTCACAAGGTCGATGGGGGCGCGGCGGGAGGGGTCAAGGAGAGGCGCAGCCGCCGCCGTTGCCGCCGTATTTGACACCGGCGTCAGAGACTTGACCTTGAGGGCGACGACGTGGTTCTCGTGGACACGGCCTACGGACAGCAAGGCAACATCGGAACTGGACGTGACTCGCAGAGCGCAATTGGCAGCGTGCTGACGGCGAGGCGGAGATGTGCAACTGGGAGAGGGCGCCACGGCTACCCCATCCCCTATTTCTCCCTCCGCATATTCGTCCTCTGCTTCGGGTATCGGATGGAAGCAGGCAGTGGCGTTGTTCAGGAATGGCTCGTCGTCATCGTACACTTTAGTGCCGACGACAGAGTTTGCCGTGTCGGCTTTCCGCGGAACCGCAGCCGAAAGCTTCCCCTGTTCCGGAGCAGGGTCCTGCTGCTTTTGGTTTTCCTCCGCGTGGACGGAGGAGAGGAAAGGTACCTGGCGCCAGACAGAAGAGCAGATTGGGCAGGACTTCTTCTGGTTGCGCACGTCGCTGGCTATGCATTGGAAGTGGAAGGCGTGAGAGCATTCGGCAGTGAAAATAGCGGTGCCCTTCCCCGTCCTCACGCTTTGCAGACAGATGCCACACCTGCTCTGGAAGCCCGAAGAAGCCAGTCGATAGTAAGAAGCGATCAAATCGTACTGCAATGACGGCTGCTACTCTACAGAATTCCGCGATTCCAATGAAGAAGTTGGAGCAAAAGACCAAAAATCCGGCCCAGGGGTGACACCGCAATAAGGTCCGATGGGATGGCTCCCACGCCCGAAGTAGAAACCCTCCTTTTTTTAGTAGGGACGAATTAAAAAGGCTGACGGGATTTTAGTCTCAACGAGCTTGTGCTGAATCCGCGAGGACAGAACCCGAGACGGAGATGAGCCCATTGAACGGGGAGACCTTGAGAGAAGAAGGCTGCTGGAATAGTGAGTATTGGTCTCCATCGAAGCAAAGAAGCCCATCAAAGCTTCCATCGGCATGAACTCAAGGCGCCCACCCAGCAGTCGCGCAAACGAGGGCTTCGACGGGATAGGGGAAGGACGAGACGCATAGGACGCGAGGATCGACGGTGAGGGGGGAGAGAACGATGCCTTGTTTCTCCATGGAAGGGAGGATGAACTGTGGGGGGAACTAAATCACCGTCGAAAGAATTGCTTACCCGGGTGAAACGGAGGTTGTTCCTGAGTAGCAGTGCGAGGCGGGAGGGCGAACGTGGGGAGGACGGATTCGACGATACAAACGGCGGCCTCCAGCTTTGGCGGTAGCTTCCCGGCGTGGTTGGTTCGCCCAGGAGTGCTGTGGCCGAGCTCTGGCTCTGCAGAGTGGCCCTTTCGGTGGCGCCGGTGTCGGTGAAACCTGTCGGCAACTGGGTCCGGCAGCGGAGGGTGGGCGTTGAGGGCCGTGACTGCGTCTGATGCTGGAGGCGTGGCGTGGAGGGGCTGCTGCGGCTCCTGCGGAAGAAACTTAGCTTGGCACCGGTCTTCGGGCTAGGGCTTGACTGTGGTTCTACTGGGGAGGACGAGTCGGCGTCCCGACGGATGGTCGTGCAGAATGCCCTCCTCCACCCGGTTCCCATGGCGCACACCAGTGACGGATCTCTAGTAGTATCTCTCGCCCCTCCCTTTCAAACCGTCTTCGTTCTCTCGCTTCCTCTGCGTCTTGCCCTCCGGATCGGCGTGTATGTATTCTCTATGATGCCTCTCTCCCTCTCTCCTTCTCTCGGAGACAGTCACTGCTATCTCGTCCGATGGGAACCTCACGTCTCCAGTGTAGCAATCTCTCCCACTCTGTCCGACCTCCGTATTTGATGTGACAGACTGTGAGAGGGAGGAGGAGCGGTTCGTCCGATGCATAGGCCTGGAGCTAGACCGTTGAGGTGGGGATAAAACGAACGCAGAAGAAACAAGTTCGGGGTTCGTATCGGTCGCCTTCTTTCGTCACACACTACAGACGGCCAAACAGGAAACACGGATCATTTAGGCCAGGAGCATTCAGACGGGCGGAGGATAAAAAGCGGTTATCTTTTCTCCTCCCTTTGGACTTTTGGATCGACAAGAGTAACGGAGGCGCCCCCCCGACTGAAAGAGGTCAGTGAGCCTGCCATGGATAGATGGATAGTACTGGCAGAATACATGGCTCGACGTCCGCGCTGGATGACGGCCTCGGAGCTGATACGCGATGGCCGCCACCCCAGCGATGGTGGTCTGTCCGCCTCCGTGTCGTCTTGGGCATTTAAAAAGAAGGGAAAACTGAAGGGTCGTGTGATCGTCCAGGGACAGTAATGGCAGGTGCATTAAAGACCGACGGGAGTGGGTGGCTCACCGCTGCTGCACATGGGGATTATTATAATTTCATCTTCACGAAGAAGGTAGGCGGGCTCATCTTTCTCAGATCCTCCGACTGTGGGAGCTCACTGCTGAGGAGGCTATCTCCGTCCCTCCTAGGGAGACTACTAGCCCCACCCCGCTTGGCGCAGACGACCCATCAGCTCCTTCATATATATCACTAGTCTACGACCGCCCTCCCCCCCTGATGTGCGTCCCTAGGCCTCATCCATCCCTGATGGAGGTGTATCTTTTACCCATTGCTTCCGAAAATGGAAATCACCATGGGGCGCGTGTTAGCAATTAACACGCGTTGCGGCCGCGCGGCGGCAAGTAGTCTCACAGACAGAAGAGAAGGCATCGGGGAGGGAGAGGAGCGCCCGCGCCAGTCAAGTGTCTTCTTCGCTCGCCGGATCCCGAGCAGACAGAGAATCCCGAAGCATCCGTCACCACCTTTTTCTTCTTCTTCAACCTCAGCCTGACTGGGCATAGGCAAACCTTATCTGGGCACATAAAGCTCAGGATATTGCATCGAAATGAGGAAAGCTTTTGACAGAGGATTTCCTATTTTTGATTCGTAAGGTATTCCACAGTTTTACATCTCTAGTTTTAATGATCCCTCTGAATTGTGCCCAAGAAGATTCTGCCTTCTCATTTTCTGGCAGGCAGACTTTACCAGAATTCCATCCTGGGAGGGATCCATATTTCATTGGCTGTGTGCATCGATTGTGGATCTCTTCTATGCTCAGGATTTGTCAATGAAGCTCCATCGGTTCACTAAACTGCTGTCCATGAATGAAGAGCTTAAACAGGCGAGGAAAGCATTTGAAATAGATCAAGAAAAGCTCCTTCAGAACGAAGGCTGGACCTCATCCTCCCCTTACGACATACCAGACAAGGAATCGTGATCTCCCTCGGAGTGAACTACAACTAGAATATAGGGGGAGCTTATTCTGGCTCGAGGATTGATGTGGTCTACGGATGACAATACAAATCATTCTGGGATTTGATTCTGATCGAGTGGCAATGGACGAATTGCATTGAGGTGAATTATGATGTATAGAGGGCCTAAAGTCTTAGAACAAGAACCACCCAAATCCCAGTCTGCATGACGGCTACTCAAAGGGCAACATTTTTTCAGAGGCTAAAGACTAAAAACAGAATTTTACACAAACTTGAGATTCGAATTTTAAATGATAGACCCATCTCAATATCTACTAAAGCATCTTGGTGTCCTTAACATCATCTTCTTTTTAAAATGGTAGTAAGATTTTTTCCTTTTCGCTTACGTACATTGAGTTCTATCACATTTGTCACAAACTATACAGGTGACGAAAACCCAAAGAAGATATACAGCGGAAAAAAAACCCTTGCTTATTATTCACGTCATGGATGGCTGTTAGTAATATAGAAGTACAAGGGTCACGAAATAAGGAAACTATCTAACGAAGTAGTAAACTGACCAACTAAGAGCCAAACCCTTAAATATATGTTTTTCCTACAATATTTATGTTAAACTTTTGAATGATTGATGATGTTATTCCTGATATTGTCTTTCATCCTATTAATGGGCGTCTGCAGCACAGATATTACAGACTTCCATAGCTTGCTTATCACCAGATAAAAATTTGTAAAAACTACTTGGATGAAGAAAAATTCCATGTAAGCAAAATATGTGGGCTACGTCCTGTTTACTTTATTTTATTCTTGCTAGTTTGTCAAATCTCTTGATCATAACGTTTACTACTTTGATTATGATTTTACCCATTTTGATATTCATGAGTACAGCTCTACTATCCAATGAATATCTTTGATTTGACCTATTTGGATGTTTATGTGATTTCTTCCTCTTCTATAGGTGTAGATTAAGGGGATACAATTCGAGTGCTACGTGGCGGGAATAGTGGGAGACGTGGTGTGCAGCCCGAAAATTTGTTCATTAAGCTGAAAGTATGCCTCGTTCTGATCACTCGTTCACAGAATTGGGCGACAAACTTTACAGTGCCCATAATCCAATTGTCATTCATTAATATGCATATCAGCATTGATAATTTAGTTCTTAGTTGTCACTCCATAATCCAATTATTCTACCATATGCTATATATCACTCCATAATATGCTAAATTATTCAAGCATATGATGAAAGTGCAGCTTTTTAGGTTCATTTTCTCATCTTAGCCCGTCCTGTAGTAGTTCAGACCTTCTATAAAGGGCGGATTATCTTGTTAGAGAGCAATTTTCATGAGAGGAAGGTTCTTGACGTTGAAGAACCTTCCTCTCTCTCTTGATCTTTTCCACTTGTCACTTTATCGGTTTCCCTCGACTCCATATTTTCGGGAAGCAGGGAGTTAGCTGTGTGTCATGAGCGGTAGACCTCTCAGCGGCGCATGTGGGACCCACATGTGATGCATTGTTCAATTTCATTGGTTTCTCTGGTTACGAACCTCGGCGCAGTCCCTCTCCGGGTGGTAAAGGAACTCCTGCCTGCGGGCGCAGTTGTACTCGGCCCACATCTTCGCCACCTACTCTGACTGGTTCTGATACGCGAAAGAGTGCTGCCGTCTCTCTCTCTCTCTCTCTCTCTCTCTCTTCTGTGTCATTTGGGTTTCTTAACGATCGGTGGCTGGGTGGGAGGAGGAGGAGGAGGGAGGGCCACCACCGGGGGGTGGCCGGCGAAGAGTCGGAGGAAGTGGCGACGTTGTGCGTCAAGTGAAAGTGCGGTCGCAGGCAGGAGTTACTTTTCCGTCAGAACAGGCCCTGAGCTCCCGTCTCTTCCGCGTACCAGAGCAAAATACCGATTGATTGTGCTTGTGTGTGTGTGAGAGAGGGCTGAAGATGTATATATAAAATATATTAATAAGGAGAGAGAGATAATTGGCAATGCAAGCCCTGAGCCCACCTAATCTCGTACCCGGTTTGGGCTTGGGAGGCTGTAACTTTAAATTTAATTTAAATTTTAAATTTAAATTTCCCGCCTTAAGCCCAATACCAAGCCTGGTACGAGATTGGGTGCGCTCAAGACTTGCGTAGCTCATTCTCTCTCTCTCTATCTCTTTGTGGGCATCAGGGAAAGTGACGACGTGCAAGACGGTGAAGAAAACAGGAAGCCAAGGACTTAGGATTTTGCCGAAGCGCGAGTGTTTGGAGCTGATACCAGCATGGTGGAAAGGGGAGGGTGGGTCCCCTCTTCGTGGGGCTGCAGCATTAAATTGAATTTAAAATTTAAAGTTAAATTTCAATAACTGAAAATTTTCCCCACACTGACTGTTATAATGTATATTTATTAAATATATCCATTAAATTTCATTCGAGATTTTCTCAAATTATTATTTTTACTTAATTAAAATGTAATATGCACTTTAAAATATTATTCTGATTAATTTAGACAAAACTGAAATTAATTTTAATCTGAATACATTAAATTCTCCACGAACTTAATTTTTTTTATAGATACATAATTATTCTAAAACTTCCTCCGAGTTTTTTTTCAAATAATTACTTTTACCTACCATATTACATTATAACCATTATTTGACATTAATTTAGATAAAAATGAAATAAATATCAATCCTGATGTGAGAAAAACGTTCCCACACTAAGTTATGCATACTTACATATCTATAAATTTAATTAACACATCAATTTTGTTTCTATTTTTATTAAATAATTACTTAAAAATACAATTTTGAATTATAAATACTCTTCTCATTAACTTACATAAAAATCAATTAAATAAAATCTGAATAACATAAAATTCTCCCCCTAGTTACTTATACAGATTTATATATTTAATTATTCCGTCAATTTCCTTCTACTTTTTCAAAAATAATAATCAATTTATTAAAAATCCATATTAAATTATTAAATTAGTCCCATTCATTTAGATAAAATGGATTATGTGTGTATATGTCTATATACATATATATATATATATATATATATATATATATATATAGAGAGAGAGAGAGAGAGAGAGAGAGAGAGAGAGAGAGAGAGAGGACCATGTCAAACCTTTTGATATTAGATTGGACCTAGCCTCCCTCTCTCTCTCTCTCTCTCTCTCTCTCTCTCTCACTCTCTAGTAACCAAATAACAGTCACCTCACCGGAGCCTCCATCTCTCTTACTCTAGGGGGCTCTTCGGTCCACCATGTGAACTTAGTGTTCTGTCCAATGGCTGGTTCATCTAATAATGTCTCAAAACTAGCAAGACACTGCTACATTTAAGTTACTTTTGAGTTTCACTTATATGT